GCACCCCGAGCTGGGTCGGGGAGTCGTGGGGTTGGGTCATGCGCCGGGTTGGGTTGGGGAGGGCGACCAAATCGGCGCGAGACCGCGATCTCGGGCCTGTTTGGTTTCCGTTTCGTTGTTTGGGGGCCTTAACCCGCCGACCTGAATCTGCGACTTCGCAGAAAACGCGGGCCGTGTTTTCCGCAAAATCGCAGTTTCAGGGCGGCGGGTTAAGGCCCCCAAACAACGAAACGGAAACCAACCAGGCCCGAGTTCGCGGCCGCGGACCGGTGGGGGCGCGGCTGAGCAAATCGGCTCGAGCCCGCGTTCTCGGGCCTTTTTTTAGTGCGATATCGTTGCCCTCGTTCATTTTGAGAAATCGCCGGAAGCCACAACGAATTCGATTTTGAGAAATCGCCGGAAGCCACAACGAATTCGATTTTGAGAAATCGCCGGAAGCCACAACGAAATCGGTTTTGCTAACACCAAATACAAGCACCATACCAACAACTTACGCGCCCAAGGAATTAACAGTTGCTCAAGCTGTAATACACATTCTTCATCACCTTCTCATTTTGGTGCAGCTCCTTAACCCATTGAGATCACCCCACCCATATGATTTTCGAGCCCATTGAATTTGTACCCTTAGCCCATACATTGAGTCGTCGTAATGTATCTATTAATCGCTTCTTTCCGACGGAAACTCGGTGCCATCACGCCAGCCCACAACATCTGTCGTGGGGTACCATCTTTGAAGATGCAAAGCTTGTTCAGTAATTCTAATTGAAACCTCAGAACATCAAGCGGATTATCTCAAATCCCCTTCAACCCGGCCGTATATTATGTCCGCCGCCACCCGCACCAACTCCCCGCAGCCGCCGGTTGTCGGACTCTACAATGCAGAGAGTTTCTCTCTGCACCAGCAAAACGGCGCTTACACACTTCCCAACTACAACCTCCCGCCCGCACACACGAACGCTCGGAGAAGCAGCAACGCAACCACGGTGTCTGAGTTGTCCGAGACCCGAATGACGGGGCAGTCCACGGAAAATGAAAATTCTAGGAAAAATTTCTCCGGGTACTATGATTTCCAGCGGTATATCCCCGATAGCCTGTTGAACGACGGTGCGGACGATTTCGATGAAAACGGCAACCCGACCTTCAATCTGGGCCATATCATGCGGAACAACCCGATGCAGAGCGCCAACAGCATTCTCTCCCAGGCGGCCAGGAACTCCCAGCACACACCCACGACGGTGTCTCGGGATGACGAGGATTTTTTCGAATCTCTGGGTCTAGGGGGAGCAACTGGTGCTGGCAGAAACAATGGTAGTACGCAATCTGGCACCGGCACCGGCCCTGCTTCTCACCAGAATCTCGGTCCTTTGCCGACGCGAATTTCCAACAACCTGCATCGGGTTTCGCCGCAGGTCCGGTCGAGCCTGTTGGAAATGCGAGAGGCGCTGGCGCAAACGCACAACTTGCCCGAGTACGATAGGAGGTTGGGAAATTTGCTGAAATCCATGATCGCGCACGAGGAGGGGGAGAGGCAAAACCAAGACAGACACCACAGGAGAACGCGCGCGACGGAACGGGGAGAGGATCCGGAGGAACACGAGAGGAGATTGAACCGGCACTCGGTTCTGGCGCAGGTGTCGGACCCGATCGTCTCGGTCGTGTTACCGGAGCACCCCATAGACCCCTTAGGCGTGATCGAAGCGGCGGTGTCGGCCGAGCACCGGGAGCGGAATCCGGTAGCGAAGTCCATGTTTAACTTTCTCGAGTGGTGTTGCGAAGGCCACGAGCACGCGGCACAGCCGGTGCTGAAGTTGACGAAGGTTGGAGGAGATCATGGCACGAGGAAAAAGAAAAAGCCGGCGGCTCTCGGAGAGCCAGAGCCGGTTCCCGTTTTCGACTTCGATAGTGACCAGGGCAGCTTCGCCGGCAGTCCTGCCGCTGGTCAAGGCATGAAGGCCGCGAGCGGTGGCGGAAAAGGAGCTAGTAGTCCGATGGCAGGGCCTGGCGGTAAAAGTGGAAAGAAAGGTCTGCAAAGGTCAGGAACTGTCCCGATTTCGATGGGAGGCGGCTTGCAACAGCAAAACGGCGAAATGGGCGGTGGCATGGCCATGCACGGAAAAGGTCCTGCTCCGAGTGGCGGCTCTGGCATGATGATGCCGGGAAAATCGGGCGGCCTGACCTCGATGTCAGGCGCGCCAGGAGGTGGACCACCTGGAGGCCCTGGTGGTGGAATGGGCAACATGCACAGTTCGTCACAACCGGTTGGTATGGGCATGCACAGCTCGTCACAACCAGTTGGAGGAGGCATGGGCATGCATTCTTCATCTTCTCTCGCCATGGGAAGCAGTAGTTCGAAAGGCGGGCTCCCCGCTTCCGGTGCTACTAGTGGTCCAGGAGGTCCCGGCGGCTTGACAATGGCCGGTAGTGTCGGAGGAGGAGGACAAAAAGGAAGTTCAAGTTTTCGTGTTGGTGCAATGCCCCAGACCCAGCAACCTCGACCCCTTCATCACGACGACTATCTCTACACCGATGAGGACTACGACGAAACCGACGACTTCGCGCACCTATTCCGCCTAACCCCAGAAGAAAGACAGAGACGGGAAGCGGAGAGACTCAACGCAGAGTTCGAGTGGCAGCGGGAAATCCAGCAGGTGCACAACAGCGGCCACAACGCGGGCAACGAGTCTTTCCGAGAAATCACCGGTATGCTGCTGGAAAGAAAAGGCGTTTCGAAACAGAAAGCCGACCCCGAAGCACGGATCAATCTGGATAGAAATGCTCCGGGGTTGAGTGTTGGGAGCCACCAGCAGAGCATGGCAGACGACGCGCAGGTGACTGATGGTGCGGATGGTCCTGCAAACAAAGGAAAGTTGTTTCGAAGAGGGACGACCAATCGAGACCTGCCACATCATCCCGAGGACGAGGGGGTCGCCGGTGGTGCGACTACTTCGAATGCAACGCCTGGCGATGTTCTTCCTGGAAGCAGCAGCAGCCAGCCTGCAGGACCTTCGACTTCCGCTTCCCCACCTCCACCTGCACCTGCGCGACCTCTGATAGCAACCGCTTCATCTGCAAGTGCAGTTGGACTACAGAGCAGTCCCGGGCCCAGTAGCCCAAGCGCAAATGCAAGCCCACCCCTGCCGCCAGCACGTGAAAGCGCAGCGAGTGCTGTAGCACAACCTCCGGGAGGTGCAACTGCTACGCCATCTTCACCCTCGTTACCCACTGGCGCAAGTAGGCCATCCGCGCAACAGCAAGCGCAGGCCGACTTTGCGATGTTGAAAACAAAGGGGAAAGGAAGTAAATGACGATGAGTGAAAAGTAGACTGCTCCTATGCGCTTTTCCTGCTGCAAATGCCAACCACTTTGCGATAACGGCGAAATTACATACGTAAAATCTCTATTTATCAATTTTCTTACGCCTTTGGCGCGTCAACAACTCTACGACCAAAAAGAATCAAGAAAGGAATGCAGAGCAAAGACGGGGTTCCGCTACACCCGTACGGTTTCGGGTGGCGCGCGTGGTCTGTTATCAAAGTGCACATGGAATTTCTGTTCTCTGTTGCGACAGTGTCCTCATGGTCGTGGACCCCCCATTGCAAATGCTGCACGTTCGCAGTCAATATGATCCACATCGGTACCAAAGAATTGGCGGGTGGCTCTGAAATCCGTCGAGAGTGGAGTTTGGAGTAACCGTAATTTTCCTCAAAGAGAGACCGTGAGAGCAATTCGATGGTCAAGCTTACATATGCGTTTCCAGAGCACCAAAACCAGGACTCAACGCTACATCGATCTTGAAGTTCTGCGACAGGACCATATGAATCGAATGCTCGCAACACTGGTTTAGTTGTGTCTTGGTTGAAGATCCCGCCCAGATCTATAAATAATTTGAAAATGTTGAAAAAACTCAGTTGTGTCTTGGTTTGACAATGAAAAAACTCAGCTCAAGAAGCAAGATGGGCAGCACCTCGAAAACCGCCCAAGCTGAGGGGAGCCGCGCCACCACAATGAAGAAGGCGAAAGTTGTCTTGAAAAAGAACCGAACACCTTTGTGCAGAACCGCTGCCAGTGGGTATGTCAAGCCCTTCACGAAGTTTCAGGAGTTGCAAACGGAGAAGAGCCCGAAAACGAGAGAAGCGTTCTTCCGGCTGGTCGAGGACTTTCTGCAAAAATACCAAAACCCGAAAGTACAAAACCAGTACGCTATGCGACAGTGCAGCGTGTTGAATCTGTTCCGAAAACGGCAGGATTTGTTTCCGTTCGAGCCGAAGACCGCCCATGATAAAGTTTTGGACTGGTTGGTGAAGAACTATGCTGCGTTTGCAAAGCGGGTCATTTTGGAAAATTCTTGTGTGCAGAAATGACGAGTAAATAGGAAACGGAAAAAACGCAGATAAGAAGCGGGAGCGAGCATTGCTGAGTACGGCGAATAATGTACTTAGGATAGTTCTTCGTCATTTTCACTTCATCTCGTTGTCGTTTCACAAGATCAGCACCCATGCGCGATGAAAGTGCTGAGTATGATGCTGGTCAACTTCACATGAAGATGGCGCAGCACTGCCTACACTGAGCTACCAGTTGTTGTTCCAGCCGCATGTTCCTTGCGATACCTGTGAAGATGTTTGCTCCATGACCTCCAGTTTGTCTTGCGACTTATCTCACTTCCTGTACACAAACAGAGCAGCTCTCTCAGATGAAGATCCGCATTCGCAGTGGCTCGATTGATCAAGCTCGCGCAAGAATCTAAAACGTTCTAGGTCGTGACAACAGATGGATCACTGCCGTTTTTTTTTTTTTATCTGATGTCTCATGTTCTTTTTGTGCATCTCGTGGTGGACCATCATCCGCAGTTTTTGTGTTTTCTCCACGACTGATTTCAAGCTGAACAGTGAGAAAGCACAGACCATTCTTTCATCCTCGACGCGGTCGGACGGGCTGTGGTACTCATCTTTGAATGTAGCAGTGTCATGACTTTTCCACCGTGAGAATACTTATTAAAACTCCTGTGGTGCCCGTGTCCGTGAAGATTTTTCCATCTTCCGTAAATAAAAAGAAAAATGAAAATCAGAAGCGGGGTAGCAGCGTTGTTTGCCACAAGAGGTAATGAAACGCCACTTGAAAAAAACATGCAGCTGCCTCTCCTGGATCTATCCTTTCTGAATTTGCTGCCTGACAAGACATCAACTGGACCCGGCGCAGATGATGAACCAGCCGAGCTTGATTTCCCTCCCGATCTTGTTTCAGCCTGGGACCACGCATTCAAAACGTACGGTTTCGCATATGTGAAAATTCCGGAATCACTGACCGCTTTGTACAGGAGACTCGCCAGGAGAACAGCCGAGCCTGCATCTGGAGAAGGGGACGGCGGCTTAGATGAGTGTCAGGACGAGACCTCCGAGGCAGCCGAGCGCGACGCAGCCGAAGAAAAAAATGTTGGCGCCAGAACGGATCTTTTCTTTTCACCCCTGGACGAGTTTTTTCTCGGCTGTTCAAATGAGGAGAAAATGCAGTATTGCCTGGGGAAGGGGTACGGGCTGGGTGGATACGTGCCTCGTGGCGTGGAAACCGTAGCAAAAAGTAGCGTACTGGCAGAAGGTGACACTGGAAGTGGTGTTGGTGGAAAAAAACGAGTCCTGAGACCAGACCCCGTTGAAACGTTGTGTCTGAACGCGTGGAAGGAAGAATTTGATGCGGGCGAGATGGGGCTGGTTGATGTTGAGCGCAAAAACATTGCAGCAGGCGAAAGTCCGCCACTTCTAGCAGCACACGGAGCGGGTTCGTTTGCTCTGTACCCACCCTCGGAAAGAACCATTCCGATCTCCCCGTTTCCGCGCGAGCAGACGGGCTACAGAAGTGATGAACTCCTGGACTTGACCCGCAGCCTCTGGCGGCAGCTGGATTCGCTTTTGCAGAAGGTCATGGAACTGTCTGCGACCGCGTTGCAGCTGCGCGGAGAGGCGCGGGAGAGCTTTCTAGAGGGCTTCCGGGAAGGCAAGGCGAGCAATGTGCTGCGGTATGCGAGGTATTTTGATGAAGACGTGCACCAGGAACAGGGAGGGGAAGATGGATCTGGTGCACAAGAAGGACCTCACCAATCGCCACCGGCAGTAGACGAGAGGCTTCTCTATGGTCCCCACACGGACTACACAGGCTTTACCTTTCTGTGGCGATCAGGCGAGAACGGATTGCAGTGCTTGGGATCCGAGCGGAGTAGCAGAAGTTCTAAAAGCGGAGATGAGCAGCAAACGCAATTGGGCTGCTCATCTTGTTCTCCTGCTGCAGCATCGACTACAGCACTTTTGCAGAGAAATAAAGGATTATCCTGGGTCGATGTTCACAACAATCTCGGAGATGACGTTATTGTGGTCAACGCGGGAGATTTGTTGCAGCGATGGACCAACGATTATTGGCTAAGCAACTTGCACCGGGTGACAGGACCGAGGGGAACGCGACAACGTGGTGGGAGTGCGCCACAAGTCGGTGGAGAGCGTGGCGCATCCGACGCTCATCGGGGGGAGCATTCAGTGTTATACAGCATCGTGTTTTTCACGGGGCCGCACGATGACACCGTGATGAGACCTCTGAGGAGCTCGGAATTGATACGGGCTTTCAGTGACGAGAATGGAATAGATGAGAACAAATACCCTGTGACCACGAGTGGAGCCCACCTGCTCGAGAAAATTTTGAAGTCGAATCAATGATAGAGACAAAAGTTACGTAATAGCCTTGGCGATATCTCCAGGAGAATTTTCCTGATATCACCAAGCATACAGCGAGGCATCCTACTGTTACTTAGTGTCGTGCAGAACATATATTGGCAGTCCGAGATGGAAATAATACCAAAAACATGTCGAGGTATCTCCAGAAACGAATTTGAGTCGCTTTGTTGAATGAATTGTTGCCTAGGAAGACGCTGAAACGAAATTTGAATGATTCTGTTTTTGGTGGAATTCAATGGCAGAACGAGGGCAGCAGGTGGTGCAAGCTCGCCGGACAAATGAGTAGCCGTTGTCTAAGCCTGCTTCTTAAAGAAGCGGCTTGCACTACATTGCCTTACTTGCTGCAGTTCGTCGCATGTGTTCCTTGCGGTGTTAGCTAGCCGAGTCACCGGCAGCGGCAGTACCAAGAAGCGATTATGGAAAATCTGAATTCTCGAGTCGTAGAGAGCTCTAGAGAGACGCAAGGCGCGGCAGAGTGGCGCAAGGCCCTGCGCGTGCAAGGTGCTGGCGCTGAGCGGCGGAAGAAGTGGCAAGGCGGGCGCGGGCCGAAATTTGTGGCGCCGCTTCAGCCGGTGGGCGCTTTGGTCGCCCACCACCGGCGCCGACAGGACGCCGATGAAGAGGGTCAGTCCCAGCCGGCGGCGGGCAACCTAAGGCACGGATTTGCAGAACAAGGCCAAAGGACAAGCGTGCGCGACTGAAGCGCCACCGCTGTGGCGCTGGATAGTTCGGAACTATTCTCGCGGCGCGGGGCCCGCCGGCCCCCATTGATCCTTCCCAGGCGCACCCGGGGGCTTCTTGCCGGGCCTCCCTTGAAGGCTGCAGGCCGTCGAGCACGCCGGGGGGGGGGGGCGGCGCCCGCCCGCCCGGCGGCTTCCGCAAGAGGCGCACGGCAGGCCCCCCCCCCCGGCTTGCCCGGCCGGCCGCCCGTGGCCCCCCAGGGTAGGCCTCTAGCGGGCGGCACAGGACGGGCGCGGGAGGCCGCCCCCCATTTCTTCGGCCCGTATTCCTGCGCGATGTTCGGGAGCACGCCGGCGCCCTCTCCGGCCTATCATGATGATCGGGCAGGCCTAGGCCCAAGACGTTCCACGGAAACGGGCCGCGGGCCTTCCGCTTCCTTCTTGCTTGTGCCCGCCAATGGCCTCGGCAGAGCCGGGTGCCGGGCGTGGTTGCTTTCGGCCCCCCGGCCGGCCCCGGCCTTACCGCCGGCGCTTTAGTTAGTTGCCCGCGCGCGGCCATCGCTCCGGAAGGGGTTGCCGGGCGTCCGCAACGCGCGCCCGGGCGGGGCCTGCGTATGTTTCCGCGCGCCCCTTGGCGCCCGCCAGGCCCCTGCCTCGCCCCTTCCTTCGCTCCGTCCTAGGATCTATGTCTGTTGTGCGCCTTTGGAGGGGGCGCTATTTTTTTGTGCCCCGCCGCCCCGACCGGGCGCTGCACTGGACAGCCAGCATTCCCTGGCCGCCGCCCGCACTTCCATGCCCGCCGGCCGTCCGGGGAGGATCCATCTGGACAGTGCCTACGCCTGGCCCCGGCGGATTGATATTGTGAAGGGGGACGCCGGCCGGGGGTGGTGTGGCCGGGTGTCTCGGCTTCACTCAGTTGTTGCGTCGTTGTCATGTGTGCTAATTTTCGCTGCGGTGTGCCATGGCGGCGTGTGGGGCGGTGAGGCTACAAGTTAAGTACGCCGACTCACTGAAGACGAATAAAGATTTAGTGTCCGTGTGGCCCACCTTCGTGTTCGTGTGTCTGTTTCAGTCCCTCTGTGTTGCAGTTGCTTGAGCTTGGCGCGTCCTCGGTATTAGTTGGCCGTAGCGTACGGGCATTCTAAAAATGGAAATGCAAGAAGGAGAAATCGAACGTCAAAAAGTCAAAGTAGATCCTGATCTGAATTCAAGGCATGGCGACGAAATTCATCGCACAAAGATATAGTACCGACAGCGTGATCCCCCTCAAGAAATTGATACAGCGGACAAATTTAGATCAGAAGTGGAAGATCATTGCATTTGTTGTGTAACAAACACAGTTACAAGAAGACAATGAGACGGACGAAAAGCCACGCGCTCTGTCTTCTCGGACTCCTAGCTACTTATTCCGGACGAATTCGAATTCACGATCAGGTAAACGACCGTAGGAGCAAGTATGAACACGAACAAAAGTATTTCTGTCGGCATAGATCAAAAATTCGAAGTGACCTCCTAGTCGTAGAGGCAGAGCCATTTAAGTTTCTTGCCAAGTGTTACTTTGACTCAGCATCGTCATTCAAAATGCCGATGCAATCCCGTTTCGAGCGACGGCGCAAAGACCGCGCCCGGATACTCGACATTTGCTCCCGTATCGCGGACAAAGTCGTCGCAGAAAGTGGAGTCGAGGTTTCCCTGCACAAGAAGCCGACAGCAGGTGCGGTTGGTGATGGGCTTGCTGTACATCGACATCAAGAGCTGCATGATGGAATCGCTCTCACATTTCCCACTTCTACAGGTGGCACAACCGATCATGCTACTTCTGGCACCTCATTGCCCCACCTGCCTCCAGTGAGTGCCGTCATGGTGGACAAGGAACGCGACAGGACGAACTTGAGCACAGCAAGTCCCTGCACCACTATGTCCTCGCCCAGCAGCCCTTCTTCAAGCGGAACTACAAAAGATGAATCTAAAAACTCCTTCTGGGCGACCGTTCCCGCAGCGTTAAATCCGGCTTCTGAACTCTGCGCCCTGCAGAAAAAAACCGGTCGCGCAGAACGGAAGCAGCAACAGCTGGAGAGCGTTATAACGAGCGCTGTTTTTCCGGTTGTGGAGCATGTCTTGCAGCATCAAGCATCAAGAAAGATATTACCGAGCAACGCAACATTGAGAGGAGGAGCAGAGGATGTAGTTGATACAGCTGCAACTGAGAAGATTATTGCTACAGGCTCCTCTATACAACGTATGAAGAAGCCCTCATCTACAACCACAGCACCGCTCCACATCGTCGATTTTTGCGCTGGGAGCGGCCACGTCGGTTTGCTCGTCGCGCATTTTTTCGGGCCGGACAAGGTTCAAGTGACCTGTGTGGACCGGTGTCCAGGGAAGTGCGAAATGGGGAACAACCGGGCTAAAGACGCTGGGCTGACGAACGCGAAATTTGTGCGCAAAAGCTTAGAAGAGTGTGGAATTGGGCGAGACGATGACAGTGAAATAAAATTGAAACAACACGAAACAGCAAGCGCAACAACTACCATCGAGCAAGACGTATTCAAATTTGACGTCGCTCTCTCCCTGCACAGTTGCGGGCTGCTCACGGATGCGATTCTGAAGATGTGTACCGAGCAAAAAGCCTCTTTCGTCCTCGTCCCCTGTTGCTACGGGCAGTTGTGCGGAAAGGAGCGCCTGTTTTACTCCAAGCTGTTCGGGTTGGACGCCGTGCCCAGGCCGCAGAGCCGGTTTTTCCAGAACAGAAACTGGTGGGGGGAGAAGGTATTTGCAGGGACTTCTACAACAACTTCTGCTCTCGAGGGCACGACCAACGACCCGCTCAAGACTGAAGATCATTCGGCGGACGACTCGATGCTCATGTGCACGCCGGCGACCACCGCAGACGAAAGCGGAGAAACTACGCCAGACCCAGACGTCGAGAGTGACGACGATCATGGGTCCTTAGATGCTCCACTTCACGAGAGTGCAAAAGAGGATGACGGCCTCTCAACGCCGCGCAAGCTCCTGCAGGAGAGAAATGCCGCTCGATCTGCGCAGCAGGGGAGGACAACCCGCGACGCATTTCGACCCCTCATTCCCCGTAACGACCTGGATTTCTTTCGAAACAAAATTATACTTTCTCAACAACACAACGCCTCGAGCATTAAAGCGAAAACGACATCTTCGAGCAGAATAAAGGCCCAGCAACTCCCCGGAGGCGATTTGGCAGACCAGATGAAGGATATGAATTTGGAAGAGTTTGTCAGAACACCACCACCAGCACCTGAGACGACTGCTCCAGTAGTTTCTAATGCGGAGGAGACATCGGAAGATGCGTCTGGCTCTGGTGTGATGATGCAGACCACCGGTTTCCAATCTGAGACGAGTGAGAATTGCCTCGTCCACGAGAACGATTTCTGGTCCCAGATTTTGGTTTCTGCGGAAATCGACGTGGTGGGGAACCAGAGCAACTGGCAGGACGAAAACTTCGAGAACAATTTGAAGTTTCAACAAGTGAAAAAGTGCATGCAGGCCTGCGACGTGGACCGTTTGCGCAGGGTGAGGGAAAAATGCCCCGACTTGTATGATGTGCGACTGACCTCTTTGTACCCCTTGAACTGTACCCCCAAAAATGAGGTTTTGGTCGGCAAAAGGAGGTTTGTTTGAAAGAAAGTGGACAACCTTACAAACCACCATTGTTTGAAAGCGACAAATATTTGAACATGAAGTTGAAGATCTATTTTGCGACACTTACATTCATTACTTCCTCCTAGCATTTTTCCCCCGTGCTTCAAATGCATGGCCGAAAGTTTCAAGATGTGACATTTGGGGCATTCTGGAGAGATCATGATGGTCTTCTTCAGGTATAGTTCGTAGTCACCTGCTCGTGTTTTGCGCCTTGTTCGAATATGGCTGTCGTGATCTGTCTGATACACTCAAAAAGTATTCTTACGTAGCCAGCTAGCAGGGGATTTTCATCCACTCTAGGTTCGTGAAAGAAGTGCAAAAACCAGAGCGACTCACTACGAGAGAACAAGCATCGTTTTGCTTTGCCAAAGCCAAAGGTTCTCGTCCTGAGAGATGGTTGGAAAAACAGACGACGACTTTGTGCTCGTTTCGGCGCAAAAGGTCAAAGGAGCAAGTTTTCAAAATGCCTCGTCAAAGTTACAGCAATGCAAGTTGTGCCATTTCCTCCGCATGCGGTGGGTACGCGTCGGTTTTTGTTGAATCTCCAAAAAGCCGTTTGATTTTCTTCAAGTTGTAGTTGCGCATTTATTTTACCGCAGGTGTCTTTTTCCGCCTCCGCGTTTTGTTTCGGTTTGGCTTACTTATGTGATTATATCTATGTGTCTGTGAGTACCACACGACAAAGAAATCGCGCAACGAGCGGTGTCTTCATTTTGAGCCCGAAATCGATGCGCGATGAGAATGAGCAGCCCATTCGCAAAATAAAAAGAACACATCAATGCATAGTCGTTTTTGAGGAGGCGTTGTAAATAAGCAACACAAGAAAGCAGGACGCTGAACCCTTATCAAATTACACCACAGAGAAAACAGAAAAGTCGGGAAATAAACAAAAAATGGCTAGTATGCGGTGCGATCTTTTTCCGGAGGCGACCGATTCCATTCCGGACGCTTTCCGGCAGAAAACTGGGTGTGGTCGGCGTCACCGGGTACGGAACGTGCCGGTTCTTGGCGAGGCAGGAGGTAATTGTGTTGAACGGAATGAAATTCATGCAGTTCACCTTCCGAATGAGGAGGTAGAGGGTAGTTCCTCGAAAATAAACCATCATCAAGAGGATCATCATGTGACGACCTACATCACCCACGTCGGAATTCACACGCTGAACCACAAGCAGAATCGTGCTGAGCCCCCGCGACATAATCATGAATCGCAAAGAGCCGACGACGAGGAAGATATAAAAAGCACTAACTTCTACCACGCGGAGCATCGGTACCATGTCCGAAACCTGTCCGGGACTTCTGTCTCCGAAACGAAGCAGACCGTCCAGCAGCTGCACCGGATTTACAAGATCAAGGGCACGACCGCGAACACGCACGCGGTCTCGCTTATCCTGAGTAAAAACGTACCCACCCCAGAGTTGTAATGCAGATTTGCAATGACAAAGACATTTGCGATGCGCATCCCCATGAGAGCCATTTCCAATCGTGTTTTGGAATTTGTGATGCTGTGAACAGGATCAGCAGGTCGATTTGTGATGCGGCTTTCCCTGCTAACTTGCACTACCTTACGGACTGAAACTTGTCATGCGTGACTCCCAAAGCTCCTAGGTTTATGTTGCAAAATCCCCATCTTGACTCTGGTGTGGGTACGTTTTTACTCAGGATATCGCTAGGTGGAGAAGGTTTTGTTCGAAGTTCTTGTGGAGGAGCATCTTCTAGCTCGTCTTCTTCATCTTCTACATCGAAAATTACCGGTCCTCGCTCCAACAACAACATGTCTCCTGTTGCGCCGCCATGCAGTCTCAGTCGCGCTTTGGAAGAACCATGTTCGCAAAAATCAGGTTCAGCTAAAGAAAAAGATCAGGATGATGTTCTTGTTCATTCATCACCACAACATGCTGGTCAGTTGTACCCAGGAGTCGATATTGGCTACCATGAAAAATTGCGTCGCTCGCCGAGCAAGGAGACAGGAGCGCCTACTGCATTAGGCGGATCCCTGCAACTGCCGTTACGGGAACGAAAAATATTGCCCGGTGTCGTCGACATGCCGCACGTATCACGGCATGCAACTGATGTTGACCGTACAACAAGTGACACCGTAGATGATGAGCAGTTTACTTCATCAGGCGGAGGTGCAGGCCATTTTCATCAACCGCGAATGGTCAACAACATCAGCCGTGAGCGCTCCACCGGACCAGCATCTCCTTCCTGTTTCGATGAGGATTTTCTGCGACTGGACGACTTTTCCGACGAAGAAGAGTCCGCGTCTTCTTGCTCTACTACAGTGACACTCAACACGAGCTGTAGTCGCGAAATATTCACACCTGCTGGGACGAGGACAACTGGAACGACCAGCTGCCTGGGAGATGATGGAACGAGCACGACAAATAACAATCCCTATTTTTGCCACGATTTCGACGTTGCTTTTCCGGACTCGTCGGATTTCCCTGTTTCGTCTGACGAGGCAGACACGGACGAAACAAACAGAACGGCCGCTCCGGGCGCGAACGATCGCAGATCTTCCGTGTTGAAAAGAAGAAGGCCGAACAAACTGCGAAATTATATGCAGAAAAACAGCTGCAAAGTGCAGCAGGTAGCTCTCAGCTATTCGCCGTCATCTTCCGAGTGGTCTACGATGTCTCCAAAGAAAGAAGTAGACGAAAAGCAGCTGCTACCGCGAGCCCTGACTGAAGCCACGGACTCGACAAGGTGCAGTAGCAAAATAGAAGGGGAGATAGATGCGTTGATTCGGGAATACGAGGACAGTGAAGGCATCGATTTTGACCGTAGATATCTGGTGGAAGAAGAAGCAGCGCGAGCAGGACGAGGAGCACGACCCCGGCCGGTGTCTGATGATGGGACGAGAACTTCTGCAGTAGTTCCAGCGTGTGCAGCTACAGCAAATACCACCAGCACAACGAGACCCTGTAGAAGTCCTCCTCCACCTACCGCGACTACATCGAGAAGTTGTAGTACGAACACGTCTTCAACAAGAATAAACAAGCTTGTCACCCCAAGAAGCCGCACGCAAGTGGAGCCCTTCCACGACCTCCGCTGTGAACTGGTTCTCTGCTTCATCCAGTTTTCGAATTTCATCTTCATGCAGGCTTTGAAAATGAGCGACGAGGTGATCAGCAGCATCTACCCATTGTTTTTGGCCGTGTCGCAAAACTTGATGAAGTTGGTGATCTTTCCGGACTTTTTACTTCCCTTGGGAAAGTGCAAGAGGGAAATGGTGGAGATAAAAAGGCCACAATCTTCTTCAACAGCAAGAAGAAGGTCTGGCGGTTCATCTCTACAACCTCCACACGAAAAGATGAGCAGCAGCAGCAGCAGGAGCGAGGGTGCTGATTTCGACAAGGGGCCTCTTCTGGCGGAATGGATTACGCCCAGAAGCAAGGAAGTGCGAGTGCCGTCGAGGAAAGGTCCAGCCTCATCGTCTTCTCCTTGTGCAGCTTTGTTTTCGGCCGAGAAAGGTTCTGCTGGCAGCACTACATCTACACCCGTACAACATCATGTTAGCAACCCTGATGAAATAGAACAACAACTACAACTACACCATGAAAAAATAAACAACGATGAACTGGTTTTCCTGTACCTGCACGGTGGATCGTACTTGCTGATGCATCCGGCGATGAATCGTTTTTTCACGCACAAGCTCGCGGTAAACATGAACGCCAAGGTGTTTGCGCCGTACTACCGGAAGCCGTTCGACAATTTCTTTCACCGGGTTTTCTGCGTCGAAGCGATCTTGCATTTTTTCCACTACTTCTACGTAACGATCGCGGCCGTGTTTCTGGTCACCTGGGAGGTGTTTGTGTGCAGCGAGGAAACTTTGGCGACGCGGGTGCGCAAAATAAATGTTGGCGGTGCAGGAGGGAGAAATGATACAACGACGGTGGTATCGTTTTTTGAAAGACGCGAAATTTAATCGCTGGGGCTGGAGCTGGTGACGAGTTGCGGTTGCGTTTCTTGCAGAATTTGCCGGGAAAAAGTATAGAATTTGACTTAATTGTTTTTTGAACTTTAAATTTGCACGAAGAAAACGAATGAATCACGACGGTATGACGGCGAAGCCTCCGCCTTTTGCAGCCGTCATGCACAGATGCATTTTTTAATGCATGTTATTGTCCCTATTCGCGAGCACCACATCCTGCAATGATTTATAATGATCACGATGCATTCATGAATGGAGTCCAGTACTTAAGAAATCATCGAGCGCCATGTAATGCTTTGATTTTGACAGATTGAAAAAAAAAAATAAAAGTATCAAGATTGAAAAATCGAAATCCAGATCTGACCGTCAAAGACAGCCTGGACGATGTGATTCTGTCCTACACGCACTTGTTGAATAACTTTCACATCCATCCCCAGAACATCATCCTGATCGGGGAATCCGCAGGCGGCGGCTTAGCGTTTTCCGCATTGACGCAGATCCAGAAACTAAACCTGCCGCTCCCCAAGGGAGCCGTTTTGCTTTCCCCCTGGGTAAGTTTGGATCCCTTGAGCAACGAGTCCAAGGTGTACAAAAGTTGCACGACGAGGAACCTTATCAAATGCAAACATGTCTGGGTCTTGGAGATTCCGACATTCGTCATGCTAGTCTTGCATGACTCTGAACTCTGTATTGCGTGGCCGCGAAGAGCTTCCACTCCCTGTCATGCAAAAACGCAGTTTCTCATGCGGAATACGCAACTCAGCACCATGAAAAAAACTTGTCATGCTTGGCAGCGCATCACAGGAAGCTCACTATTCCCTTCCTTGCATCACAAGTTTCCAGACCCAGACACTTTTGCAATGCATAAACCTCTCCGTCGGAACGGTGCAGCGCGACATCATCCAGGAACACGCGGTCACTGCTACCGGGAAGTTGGTCAAAATGTCGAACGCGTTGGCTGGGGCGGGAGGTGGAAGTCGTGTAACTTGTCCCTCTGCGGGGCGGGCCTCGGGCGAGGATTCTCGGATTCAATGTGAGGACGTCGACACGTCGAAGATCGCAAGTGCCTGGTACGTCGACCCGCTCACCGAGGCGCACACCACGACACTGGATCTACCCATCTTCGTATCCCTAGCCGGGAATGAAATTCTCCGCGACGACGCGATCGACTTTGTGTACAAGCTGCGGGAGCGGGAGAGGGAAAGGCAGTCAACATCGGCGGAAGACGAGCGTGGGGTTTTGGGAACAACTGAGAAGGATTTGAGAGTGAAGGAATTCCAGGGTCGCAGCGGGGGAAACAAAAACTACAACTGTGGTAGTGGTTGTACTTCTAGCGCCAGCACTTTTGGAAGAAGTAAAATCGGACTAGAAATTTTCGACGGTTTGTTTCACGCGTTTCAGGTCTGGCTCATGCTCGTCGACCATCCCTCCGCGCAACTGTGCCTCCGGCGGGGCGTGGATTTCATTCACCAGAAAAGCGGACAAGAACGCCGGCGGGGGTAAGGAAGCGGGAGGTGGGGTTGCAGGAATGAATTTCTCTTTACTAGTACATCGGCAATCACTCATTTTGACGAAAGGGGAAATGAACATGAAAGTAGAATAAACACAAAGTGAAGTACAAACAGGCCAAAGTAGCGGACTACTCCGGCGATCAGAACACATTAGAGATGAATTACGCTAAGCTAAAATCATCTTGAAAACGAACACAATTATACTAGCGTGAGGAATGGAAAATTCGAATCGCCTCTACAACTCGCACGCCCTCCTGGACCCACATTGAAATCCTAGGTATTTTCTCAACTGCAAGCCGGGGTATTACGAATCCCAAGAACTACGCCTCCCTCTCTACTATTACGGATCACAAAAGCGCCTCTAGAAGAAGGGACGCCACGGCCTCTCAGTTCAGCCAGCTGGTGTTGGGCTTGGACCTTTTCATCACCAGATGCAGACCTTCTACTTCTGAGCGCTATGAATTACTGACAATTTAGCTATGTGTACGTTAATGTTGCGCTGTCTTGTTCTGTCTACCTTTCAGTTCGCAATAGCGAAGCAAACTTTTTCAACAATAGGAACAAATGTGCATACGATAATCCTGTTGGTTGTCATTGTCAATAAAGGTGTCAAATGCCAGTGTACCGAGGAATACAAATTTCATGTCGATTGGGCTTATGGAAATGTTGTAGCTAGCTGACAAGTAACAAGTATCGCTGAGGACGGGGAAGAAATCAGACCCAAAAAGACAACATGTTGAAATTTTGTTTATACACACCACTAGATGAGCTGCCGCCCGCGCATCGGTTCTACTACGACAAGGCCACAATCCATAATTACAGTATAGCAGTCGTTGTCTCTGTTCACTATCCTACTTTGCAGATGAGTGGTCTTCAAAGTAAGTGGTCTTGCAGCAAGTACGTGTGTTATGTCCTGTATTGACCTTTACAAATTGCAGCCCAGACAATGTCTCCATCACTGGGCTGCTAGTTGCGCCTGCTCTGTACCAGCAGACAGGCATTATTTTCGCGTGTGTGGCGTTACCAACATTTCTGTTATGACAATACCGCCCCACGGGATCTTCGTGCTCTGTCTCCACAAAATTTACACTATGACCAATTTTTGAACCCTTTGACGATACAACCTGAGCTCCTTCTGCTCGTTCCCCGTGTTAAATAGGCCCTAGACGCATTCAAGAACTCCTGACGCCTTCATCATTACTATACAACTGGTCTGAATAGTTAAAGGGATCCTCACAACAGTTTATTTTTCCCAGCACAGTTTGTTTTTCCGAGCGCGAAGATGAACGAAGAGCTTTTTACCACCCAGCCCGCCGGAATTCACCCACTAGCCAGCACACGGTCTTGGACCACTGCGCCTAGAAAAATTGAACAGCTCAATTTTGAGCAAGGCGCACACCTCCACCCCTCCAGCGGCCTACTTGTCAGCAACATTTACGCCTTGACGCAGGATCAAAACGTTTTTAGAGATTGATCAACTTAACTTTTCGTTTTCGCCCTGACCCCATCCCCGGGGGCATGAAATATGGAAAGCTTCTACTTTATTCGCAGGCCTTATTTGATGTTTCTCTGTTTTTTTACTATGGTGCGCAGCATGGAGCAGCGCGGAGCTGTAAACGACCGTACTTGTCATCCCCGCGGCGGAACGACCCTTGCATTGAAAGTAAGGATGTCGGGGTCATCAAGGACGAAATACCCGAAAGTGCCAAGAGATGATATCATGCTGCTGCCAGAAATAAAAAGTTGGAGACGTTTGTTGATGTGACGGTTAATGTGTAGAGTAAATTGAGTTTGAAATGTGAATCGTTAATGGACGACGATGTTGACCCTCCCTTGTTTACCCAGTTCCTGGTTCTGCGCTTGGGCTGGTGCAGGGGAATGCAGAGTGAGAAGGACTGGCTTGTTCGCAGAAGCTCCTGGAGCAAGTGTTCACCCTGCGAGCAAGGCCGCCGGGAACAGCTCTACCACATTTTTTTTGGTCTCCGTGAGAGAAGGAAGAGGAAATCTATCATCTCCAATGTTGTGAGAGCGCCATGAATTAGATAATGGAAGCGAAATTAGATCGGTCAAAAGTTATTTCCTAAGTCTGAAGCGCAAATTGGTAGTGGAAGACCATCGGTTCCGGTTGTGTTTGTTCGTGATTAGTCTTTGGGAGTTTTTTTCCATTGTTGACGATCATAACACCGGCGCCCTGCATGAAGTTGCGGCATGCGAGTGAATCTTTTTGCAGCAGCCCCAATCCGAAAAAGTGCGCACTACAGCAAAGATAATGTCACTATCGCTTGGAAATAACCTGCATCCTCGCGCCAAAGTGGACGTGTGGTTTGCGTCCTTGAGAAAGCATCTTTTTGTGGCCGTCGCCCTTCTCTTCGGGAGCGGAATTGTGGCTTTTCTCGTGGTCAGTTTACTGCAAGCCTTCGACCAACCGAGGCATGCAGTGCCGATACTGGGATTTGAGAGGAAGAGCGGGAATCATGTGCCGCTGCGAGAGTCTGTTTACACAACAACAACTCAGGTGGGCGGAAGTGGTACAACAGCCACATCCCCTTCTGCAGAAGCTCCCCCGGGCGTGGTACCATTACAACCGTCCAGTGTGGCTACAACCGCGTCACAAGATATGACCGCAATTCCAGGAAACAACGCAGCTTTGGTCAAAGGATCGAGCGGTGCAACTTCTAGCATGACACAGAACTCCGTTGCAAGAACTTCTTCAACTGCATCCACGGACAGGACGGTTCAGACGACCAAAACTGAGTCCGCCACGGTTGCGACAGCGGGTTTGCAGGTAACGCCCTGGTTCGCGGAAAAATCAAAGACCATGTCTGGAGGTTTGCCTAACACTTCCAGCGCAGGCACAGCAGTTAGTAGTGGTGCAACTGCTACGTCGTCGGGTAGTACAGCCGCGCCCCCTGCTGTTCTAGGTAGCTCATCGTCATCGTCTTCTGTACTAACCTCCCCCGCGACCTCCGTCCAAAGCGCAAATACACAGCCTGGAGGTGCGGGCGTTCCCCTGCTCAGCTCGCAGAACAGCCGACAGAAGGAGTCTGCGCTCGACCCTACCCACGACGCGAGGGAGAACGCATTCGAGCGGATTTACAAACACAACCTCTGGTCGCCGGAGGGGAGCGGCAGCGGCCCGGGGAGCCGCGTGGACGCCACGGTGGGGCTCCGGGAGCATTTGCACAGTGTGATAAAGTCGCGAAACATCAACATCATGCTGGACATTCCCTGCGGCGCGATGGAGTGGACGGTCGTGTTTCTGAACGAAGTTTGGGCCTACAACAAGGATTTCCAGTACATCGGCGTCGACATCGCCCAAACGCCATTGGTCCGGGCGAAGGCGAGATTTTCCGCGGAGAAGAACGAGAAGAACCTCCAGCTCATGCAGGCGGATTTGTCCCTGCGCTCGCCCGCAAACGCGGGAATTTTGGAGAAGATCAACGCCGCCTTGACCACTGCGGAGGGACGGATCAAGGGCAAAGAAACCAACGCGGTCGCCTTGACGAGAGACGCGCTGCAGCATTTGTCGCTGAAGTCCGCGTGCCAGTTCGTGATGAACATTCGGGACGCGACGGTGGGGAAAAATCACCAACTAGACACCTGGCTGATTGGCCACTACCCAAGGGGAGGGAATACGCAGGTAGACTGTAATGTTGTGGGATCGACGAGATGAGCCAGACGAGCATCAGCATGCTACATAGTTTGTGATGCAGTAAAATGTAGTCGTGACTCGTGAGATTGTATCAAAAGCAATGACGAGATGACATAAACTCAAACAATTTATCGCCTCACTCAGGGCGCCATAGATGGCGGACTGATCGACAATAACATGGCTTCGTGGCCGTACAAGCTCGGGCAACCAAAGGCCGTGTTGCAGGAACGAGGCTACCTCCCTCGGGGTGCGCCGACAAAAAATCTCGCGGTGTTTCGACCCTGGGAAGACTGGAAGGCGGCCGATTTCAACTCCTGCGTGTCGTTTTTGCGAAAATTGTTTGGGAGGAGTGCAGATGTTGGGGAGTTACATGACGTAGGAAGAAGTGTCGTGAAAGAGGTTGAAGGTCATGCGCGAAAAAACACGCCGGTAGTGCCAGCACTTGCAGCTGCTATTGTGCCACCTCCACCACAATAGGCACCACAAGACAGAGTAGCAGACGCGGTTATGCTAGTTTGAACGCGAGGACTTTTTTTACGTTTAAAATTGAACTTACCGCTTTGCCCTTGCTGAAGAGCGCAGGGCGCTTACCGGAAGTGTTTCGTCAACTACTGGTCTTAGTGTTCATTCTTGGTCCGTGAGTCTTGGTAGATGCACACGGTGGCGGCCAGGACTTTTTCCATGAAAAACGCGAGTGGAGTTGATCGGTCTTCAGGAATGTGTCGCGCATTTTGCGCATTGTTTTTCTGCCACAGGCTGCGCCGACCCGGGTCGGTTTCGTGATTGAGGCGCGCGAGCAGGTGCTGGCGCGCGGATTCCATGCGCCGCCTCTTTCTTGCGTGACTATCTTGAAACTTTAGTGCCTTTCCTGTTGATTCGTGAAGCAAGACTGGTTTCTGTAGAATACAGGGAGACGCCGCTTCCTCCGCACGAAAGGTCGAAAGCACTAACAAGTCAGCCGTACCGTCAAGATGGAAAAAGCCATAGTGAATCGGTGGAACGACTTCGACCCCCTCGAGGAGGTCATATTGGGAATCGCGGATGACGCCTGCTTCCCGCCGATGGAGCCCGCTTGCCAGTCCGAATTTAACGACCAATACACGAAATACGGTACAAGCACATGCTGCCTTTGTTTGTCATGTGGAAAGAACCCGATGAATTTGTATCCGGAAGAACTGGACCGCAATCGATTTTTTTTTCGAGTGCCTCTGCAAGCACAAAAAATGTGATAAATTGCCTTGCAGCTCACCACGCAGGAGCAGTGACTAACATAGTGAAGATGAAAATCACAAAGAATGAAGGTTCTTTCATGAAATGTTACCAGGTGCCAAGATGAGCCACCCCTTCTCGGAGTATTTGCCGTGGCCAACAGGACCCAAGCTCAAGCGCTTTATTGACGGCGCAAATAAGGAGCTTGAGGGTACAACTTCCGATTCTGGTTTTTCGAAACAAGTGCGACAAGGGTATTCGCTACCGGTCAGAAATGCAACATCTTCTTTCATTTTCCGTATTCCATTTTGTCGCCTCACGCTTGCGAAGATGAAAAGTAAACTCGTGAGTTCGTTCATCTACCCAAAATAAAAGGCATGAAGGACGTCCTGGAAGGCGAGGGTGTGATTGTGAAGAGGCCAGACCGCAAGTTGTGCAACTTCAATGTCCAGACAAAAACGCCAGACTTCGAGTCACCAAACCAGTACTGCGTCGTGTGCCCAAGAGACGTCGTGATGACCGTCGGTATAATTGTCGGCGTTGCAGGACAACTGTTGCTGTTCTTTCTGATGGGTTGTTCGTGCATGACACTGTACTGCTGAGGTTTGCATGATGGAAAGATAATTTTTTATCTACACGTATATAGTAATTGCTGCTGGTGCAGCACTTCATCTTTCAAGCTCACTAAATACATTTTTTTCCACAGGTAACGAGATCGTGGAGGCCACGATGTGCAAGAGAAGTCGATTTTTTGAGTACCGACCCTTCCGAACGTTGATCCGGGAATATTTCGACGCCGACCCCCGGATGATCTGGACCGCGGCACCAAAACCCATGATGGGACCGGACTCCTACAACACAGACTTCTGGAACTGGACAGTCGAGGAAAGGATTGAGAGGATGCACAAATACGAATACTGCCTGTCGGAGAAGGAAGTATGAGAATGAGTTTTTTGTTTGCAGCTTGCCATGTAGTGCAAATCGCCGCACTACAAATCATCATATTGCGTCGCAGCTTTCGCAAAACAAAAGCAAAACCGCCTCATCTCACTTCTATCGTGTCAATGTCCCAACATCGAAACTTCTCAGATAATGTTCGACGCTGCGGACTGCCTCCTAATTGGAAACATGATGTTCGTGCAACAGTCTATGGTCACCAATCTCGCCGGAATCCGATGGTTGAAGAGGCATTTCGCGCCAAAGGGAATTCAGGTATAGAACTTTTACAGGGGTGGGCCCTCTGATGATTTTGTGCTTTTTTCGTCCTCTTGGAGTGCACAGAGCTCGTGTAAAAGCGCTCCTTACTGATGTTACTTGACATGAGCAAATTACGAGCAAGATTTGGAATACTCAATACTAAGGTCCACACCCTGCACTTTCCCTATGACCTCTACCCATCACACACCGACTGCACCTTCGTCGCCGTGAACGGGCACACTGTGTTGACAAATCCGGACAGGCTATCCAAGGAAAAACTGTGTTAGAGTAGGTGCTTGGAGTGACAGCATGACAACTTTGTTTTGCATGACAGAGAAAGCCTGTCGCGCACACCTGGAGGGCGCAAGCCTCGTACCATACCATACCATGCACAGCTGGCACCTGAAAACGCATATGAAAGACGATTTCATGGCTGAATAGCATGACAAATGTAAGTGTATTGCATTATCTGCATCACGGACTTACAGTTGCGCACTTTTTTTCTCGCATACAAGCCGGTGGTGGAAGAGGAAGTGAAAATCTTCAAGCAGAATGACTGGAGGCTGGTACTAGACGAGATGGTTTGAAATTTCTAATGCGTCACACGAATGCAAAAGAAATTTGTATTGCGTCACACGAAATGTACGATATTTATGTTTATCAGGTCGATGTGCCCTACTACACGACCGACAAGGAGCACCCGCCCATGTGCCAGTCTTCCAGGTGGCTCTCTATTTATCCTGCGTAAAAACGTCCCCAAGCCCAACCCAGAGTCAAAATGGGAATTTTGGTTGTCGCGCAGGATTTGCTTCTAGACAGAGCAACAGATTTTGGTCCTCGCGCATGACAGGTGTGGAATCGTCGTCTACTTAGTCGTATCTGACTAGTGCTGTAGCCTCACGAGAAATTGATGAAATGGGTCAGCTTATCCTGATGTATGAGATGGAGAGGATGACAAAGTCCCAGACAGCATTAGAAAATGCGTCTCATGGGGCTGCGGATGACACACATGCAAAGTATGCAGATCTGCATGAGAGCTCTGCGGTAGGGACGTTTACGTTTTTCCACACGATACTGCGAACCTGTTCTCCATCACGCCAAACAAAATCGTCTGCGAGGAGGGTTTATGGATTGCAAAACGATCGCGCTAGAAGTGGGAATCGCATCACAATATCTTTTGCCAGATTCAACAAGAGAACAAACGGCGTTTGTCATGCAGAATCAGGTACATACAAAATCAAAACAAATGTTATGCAGGGTTGCAATTAGTACGAGCGCGATGGTTTTGCACAGGATACGGCGAGAAGCCGCTGATCAACTATTTGGAGGGTGAGCTCGGTTTTGACGTCATTGGCGTGCCGTACAGACAGGTAGAAAAGTCATTTTTCATGCATCACAAAAATACGTATCGTACTTCACAAGTGGGATGAAAGTTGGGTTTGTATTCATGCTGATTGAGGTGGAGGATGAAAAAATCTGTCGTTCTTGCAAGACAGCTGCGCATCAAAACTAGGTAATTATCCGCAAAAAAAAAAAAGGTCTTCGAGTTCGGTGGTTCCCTGCATTGCTCCACCTGGGATGTCCGCAGAACGGGCGGCTGTAAGGATTTTTTCCCGAACCGCGAGGATATTGAGGACGTGGGCTTGCACAACCTCACGGACCTGCCGTAAGGAATAAAGCGAAAATCTTCACGAGGTGGAGAAAAAGAAATATAAAATCGAAAAAAATAAGTATATGATAGATTCAAAATGGGAGACGATGTGCTGGAGGTGTAGAAAGTAAAAAAGATGACCTCGGCATGATCTTCAAGGAAGTTACTCAACTCGTTTCAGGCATAGTTTATTACAATTGCATGTTGAAGAAGAACAAGAAATTTACATCTTTATCGACGTAGTAGTTCCCTCGAAATTTAAAGGACTGCTGCATCAGAAGATAATTGGATACAACGTCGGCGTACATAGGTTTCCTCGGTGTCACCACTCAACAAATAAATGCACGACTCGCTCGCTTGTGCCGGCGCTTATTGTGTCTTAAAAAAGCAGCTGTTGTTGAAAAATATACGATATTATGGAAATAAGAGCACCGCGCACCGGCGACCGATAGAGAAAAAAGGTTTCAATACGATTACTGCATGTAGTTTGATCAATTTTTTAATCAAACAAACCAGAACTACTAGAACTCGGTCGGTATGGAAGCCGACGCCATGCTCAACACAACTATACCCAATTGCGAAAAAAACCTCGTCGCACTGATAAGTATCTAGTTCGCCTAGAAGAAGCAGCAAGCAAAACTCCTATTAGTGGAGTTGACAACCACGGAAACTACTTTTTTCTTGCACAGCAAGCTTGCAGAATTCTACTGTCGATGAAGATACTGAACGCCGAAAAAAATAGCCGCGAGGACTCAAGCCCGAAGCCAGAAACGATGAGCATACGAGAGCGCGATATCAATACCAGTATTGTCAGTCGTATTTTCTTGCCCTGCTACATCTGCCCTTTTGCAACCGAAAATTGGTAGTACAGAAGATCGTCCTAGTAAAAAGCACTATAGACAACGTAAAGCATCGCACGTATACACTCGCCGAGCTTGCTAGAGGATCATCTTGACTCTTGTTGCACCTTGCCAGCCTGTACATTGCAAACGAAAGCAGCTACCTCGTCGCACTCGTAGTATCTGTATCGAGCGCCAGCGCTAGTTCTCTTTCTGCTATTTGGCGCAATACAGGTTTCTCCTGTATACGGTCACGTAGATGAAACAGAACAAACTAGGATGACCATGACGCGGATGTTACCGAATTATATTTCGACTCGTCTACAACTGTCGTCCTTCCTGAACAACTAATTGATGACTTGCTATACTACTTCTTGTTAGTACAACACTACCAAGCCTCTCCTCCGTAGTTTATCACCGCATAGTCACGACTTCATTTACGACTTGCTCTATCGGAAAATCAAATATTCTTACCAACTACTTCTGCTAAACTACTGACACTCATTGTTACTTTGCTCAGGCCAGAGCTCTGTTATCGCCAGAGAAAGAACTTCGGCACCACGATTGATACTATCCTTTCACTAATCTACTGCTTCTTAAATATTGTGCTGCACGGGTAGCAGCGATTATTACGTCACTATCTTCCACTTCAACACCGACGATAAAATTGTCCCTGGATTTTGCGCTGTCGTATGTTGCAGCTAAAAATCTTCTATCATTTTCATCGCATCATGACTGAACAGAAAGAGAGCCACGACATTGTTGTAAATCGCCAAAGAGGGCGGCCCTCGTATGGGATCCAGTTCTTGGCCCAACAGAGCAGGCGTCGAGCCTGCCGCTGTTGACATCGCCTCCGTTTTGTTCCGCGAGAAGAACTACATCAACCTTCTTCCCCCATGCTTGGAATTGGTGAAGCAGATGTAAAGGAGGACAAAAAAAAGAGGATGTAATTATTTTCGATTCTACCTTCATCTCAGCGACAATTTCCATAGGGTACGTATTGATCTTTTTCGTGCCTTAAATATTCCTCTCCTGTCTGTTCTATGTTGACCATGACAAGTGTAAGTGTGTGTTGTACATTCCTTATGTTATTGAGAGATGTTGTAGAGCCGGCGGTCATGATCTCGAGACGGATTGGGTTCCGTGCTTCTTATCTATACCATAGCTTTTGAGATTTAACTCGACGAGTTGCTGCAGTTATTCGGAACATCATCAATCTCCATCATCCAAATGGCCGCCATCGAGTTTCGGCGCGCCAACTTCAATCTGGAAACTGCGGTAGATGCGGACGTTAGCGCCCCTCTAAAACTCGAGCTCACCTTTGAGGTTCTCGACATTTTGCCAAACGCCGTGGAGATGAAGCTTTCCTTTCTGCCGCCGGTAGATTTGGGTAGTTCCGACGACGAGGAGGATGTTTCCGAGGATTGTGAGGGCGCTGGGAATAACGCTGACGAGGACGACGACGATGTTGAGAATAACAAGACCGAAAAATCTACTGCGAACAAAAGTTCCAAGAAGCAGAAAGCGATTGACAGTAAAACCCTTTCGATTTTCGTCACCAATCCGGACGAGCAGATCCTGGACGAGATCGAGTGCGGTCCGTTCCAACAGAAGGGCAAGAGGTACGGCGTTCTCAAACGTTACATTCTCAACTGTTTACATGAATTTGTAATGCAAAACTGCCATCAGGATCAAGGTACTCCGTATGACAAACTGTGCACAATCTTAACAGCATGATCATCCGTTCCAAATTTGTAATGCAAAACGCGCAATCTTCTTCCCGCTCTCACTTTTACTGTTCTTGCGTCACAGATTCACTGTTCCGTCACAGATTCGCGCAACAGTTGAGACTGTAACGTTTGACACCCCCATAAGAGGAGGGTGATTCTGGAAGGCCAGGCCCCGGACTATGACAAAGTTCCGGAGGCGTCGAAGCTGGACAACGGCGGACTTTTGCTGACTGCGACCTATAAGGAGCAGGAATTCTACCGCTGCGGCTGGTTTCTCTCCCACAATTTCAAGGACCAGAAAGTACAGCAGGAGTGGCAAGAGACGGGGAAACGCCCACTGACGGTGGATTTCAGGAAGGATTTGCTGCGCCGGGTGGATTTCGAGCACCCAATAGAAAACAGAACGATAATCGAGTGGGCGGAGGAACAACCGGAGAACGGGTTGAGAAAAAACGCCGGAAAAATAAATAACGCCAGCAGCGGGCATAATAGCTCCCGATCGAGCGAAGCGAGCGGCTCGTCTGGTGGTATTCACAGTGGGGAGCAAGAAGAAAGGCACGCGACAAAAAGGCGGAGAGTTCAGGAAGGCGGCGGAAGGGAAAAAGACCGTCCGTCGAGCGGCAGGTCCAGAGAAGGTGGTGGAGGGAAGAGTAAGCCGAAGTTTATCATTGAGTAAAAGAAATTTTTTCATCACATGACCGTTGTTAATGCGAGCAGGCACTAAGACTACTAGTATTTTCATTTTGTTTTTGAGCGACAGCTGCGAGGAAGATCTCACCGCTCCCATTGCGCGACTTATATATAGAGTTGCGGACGTGGTCCTGGTATGGTTGTTGATTGGAAGACATGTTCATAAGAATAAACAAGAATCTGCAGAAATAAATCTGCAACGGCCCTCCCAACGATCTCGATCATTCACGAAGATGAGGATCTATGCTAGAAATAATCGGAGCTTGTTGCGATCATGTTGCGTAGTTACCACAAGAAGCGTTCTTGCAGCTGCTAAATAAAGTTCATTTTCGCTGTGCTAGCGCCGGATCTTTACGACAAACAAACCGGATCACTAGAAAGAAGCTCATCAAATTTAGGCCGCATTTTTTATCCGCTACTTCGTCACTCAGTACCGGACGCGGAGAACAGAGACGCGGATGCTGTGTGTGGTACTGTTGAATCTGGACACGAAAGCTGCAACGTACTTAATGGTCTTGTTGTGCGATCCCCTATATAGTCTTGGTACCGGAATTACAACCCTGTTTCTTCGTACAACTTCAAGTTTCCAACCACGATAACGATAACAACACCAAACCAGGGCAATTATTCGGTGCTTTCGCTGCACATGCAATTTTACAGTAAGTAGAGATCAGTCTGCCGATCTTTATCTATCAGACCCTACGAAAGACAAGGTCTCATTTTTGATCTTTCCTTCGCCTTCCTTCAAACTTTTTTCCTACATTACTGATTCATTTCCGTGATCTTTCGCCACGACCGCGCGAGCGATCTACTATTTACGAATTTAACAAGAGTTAGACTTTGAAGAACAGAACCCAGCAAGAAAAAATGTCTCGCGACGCCGGCAAGCTTGCAGTGTTCAACCTGCCCGATGACTGCAAGGAATCGGAATTGGAAGACCTGTTCGGAAAGTACGGAAAACTGACCCGTGCCTGCATCCGGCAAACCCGGGGAGGCGACACCATGGCGTTTGTGGAGTTCACCGATTCAAGGGACGCCGAGGACGCAAAAAAGGACCGGTACATATTTATTATAAGTTGGTTTTATTGCGGTCCTCATACATGGAGCAGCAGGTTTCACTTACACTTAGGTATTAATTTAATACCATGACAAGTTTTGTTTCGTTCGTCATCTCATACTCAGCAAGTTACTTAAAAGATGCAATGACTACAACAGCCACGGTTACGAGTTTGCCGATCGCCGTCTCCGCGTGGAATTCTCTGCCGTACCGCGTGGCGGCCGCGGGGACTCTCGGGGGCGCAAGGACTCCCGCGGACGACGAGATTCCCGCCGCCGAGGAGGCCGCCGCTCCCCGCCGAGAAAGGGAAAGGGCAAGGGCGTGGGATTGCGAGACTCGTATTTCTCTTGGTTTTTGTTTTCTATCAGTCGATAAAGGACAACGAACTGCATTTGAATTTGATACTAACGAGGTAGTACGCAGTGGATTTTTCTTTTCTTCCGCTTGTTCTAGTTCTCAATGTTAATTCTGGCATCATGAGGAAGCGCAATACAAATGTTCCAGGTATCACAAGGTTGAGGTGTCAGGGATGCCGGAGACCGCGTCGTGGCAAGATGTCAAGGACTTCCTGCGCAAGGCTGCAGCCGTCAAGTTTACGGACGTATAGACTTCTTTATTTTTCCGAAGGCTGTAGCTGTTATTTCCGTATCCGTGCCATACTCTGTCATGCGTACATCAAATGTATCTCGACGTGGTCATTCTTCTGGCATCTGTCATTGGGTTGCAGCAGGTATCATAGTTATTCATAGTTGCTGCAAAAGCATCAGCATGAGGATGAAAAATTACCATCACAGATCGACCCCCACCACCGTGACGTGGGTATCGGCGGATTTGATGATGAGAAAGAAGCCGCGCGGGCGGTGAAGGACCTCGACGACACTACCTTCACGGCGCGTGATGGTACTTGAACTTTGCTTACTTTGCTCTGTAGTTGTTTTTCTTTTTGCTGCATCCTTTACATGTATGACATTCACAACGACAACTTGGGCATAATGCTAGAATTCGTTGCCGTTGCGCCAACACCATGCCAAAACAGTATCGCTACTTGTATTTACAACATTTAGGTGAGAAGAAGCGCGTGCGCGTGCGACTGCTCGGCGCACCCGGCGAGGCGGGTGGAAATCGTTCCCGTTCCCGATCTCGTTCCCCTGCGGGCGGCCGCTCCCGATCCCGCTCCCGTAGCCGCGGCAGCCGTCGCTAAGCTGATCAGGTTGATGGTAGTTGTGAGCAGGGTTGGAAACACCAACGAAAATGTTTCTCACAACGTCGATGCGATACCGATAGTTCCGGAGGGCAACTCTTCAGCTTTTTTTATCGTGGCTTTTTACTATAAGAATCACATGATCACGCGACACAACTGGATGTTCATCGAAAGGAATCTCTTTTTTTCACAGCGTAGCAAGACGAGCACAGCGAAAACTTTACTAGAGCATACAGAGAACTACAGAACTACGGAAGGTACTATTTGTTAAAAAACGGATAGGATCCTATATCGGGATCTAGATCAACGTCAACCACCGCCACGCGGATGGGGGACCTGGAACGCGGAAGAACCTATTGCAACTTAGTACGAATTATGATAAACCGTTGAAGAAATACGGTGGACCACCGCTCGGATAGCGAGCACGGCGACTTCTCCAATCGTCAACGCTTCTATTCCTGCAGCTGAAGACCACGTCAGGCTGTACTACTAGTAGATCAACTCCGTCGACAATATATACACCGAAGACGAATAAACCGGATAAAGCAGCAAGGGATTCTGATAGCATAGCGTGCTTCAATCATGCACATGACAATTATGTATCTACAACGGTGGGTGGACGAGAGGAGGAAGGACCGGCAAAGATACCAAGGAATTCCGCAGTTGTATTTTTTTATGAAAACAAACAAGCGATGCTGGGACGATGTTTAATCTGCTTGCAATATGACCACGTTGACAGCAACAGCTGCGTGGTGCTGACGAGCATGAAAGCTGCACAACTAGTGATTGCACGACGGTGTTGACCCATAGTACAACCACCTCGTGCTACAAAAATCCCTTGCCAAAGATAAATGAAACTTGTTTCGCATTCGACGCAGAAGTTCGAAAAGATGAAGGCCAGCTGGAACAAAAGCGCAGGGAATGAAACCAGAACGGAAAAAAAAAAACCTTTTCGTCCTCGTGTTTGATGTTCGGAACTGAGCCACTCAGGCTTCTGAAAATTCGAACACTGTAAGAACCACATATCCTAGCGCACACAGAGTCCTATCAACTTGACAACGAGACAGCTCTATATGCGCTCCTTCGGTGAATAAGTCAGATTCTTTGCTGCAGTGTCTGTGCTTGTGTGTGCAATTTGAATTGTGATCTTCCAAATTGGAAAGGAAAGTGAAGATCAGATGAAGGCCTGAGTCACTATAAATGATCGCATCAGTAGTTCTTGTACCTGCGCAAGTACCAACGATCATGACAATGCTCGGTCTTCCCTCCTAGGTCGAAATGATGTTCATCTGTAATTAAGTTTGCATATTATTGGGCGACTTCGCCACGGAAAAATCTTCCACCTCCTGGATCCTGCGCTATTCGGCTCGGATGAGGGGTGTTTAGTCGGTAGAAAAGTATAGTTTTGAAGTTCTTTCGCTGATGTGTAGTTTGGTTTGTCGCGATATAATTTTTGCTCTGTTCTTGCAATAACAAATGCTACAGTGACTGCGACAAAGTGAAAGCTTGAGGACCTTGAGGACGGACTAGTTTTTATTGCTCCACTTCATGTCGATCACGACCGGGACTGGCCACGTTGTCGCGTTAATGTGATCACTCTATTTCGCTTTCGTTCCTTTTATTCTTTTCATCTTCGACACTTACTTTTGGCTTTCCACTTCAACATCGACATTATGTAAAATAAAATGCGGTAGAATTATAAATCGAGAACCAAAACGAGAACCACGACGAGCCATGGAGTCTTATTGCCTCCGCGTCACCGGAGATGAGGAGTACCCGGAAGCGGGAACCAGCGACACAGAGGTCGAGGTCTGGTGGACACGACGGCCAGACATGTTCAACGATGCTGTACTGCAGCGACCACCTAAAAAACGAGCATCAGTGGAACGACGCAGCGTTGTAGTATTACGCGGGGCCAGTGAAGACATCAAGGGCCGCGTATGCGGCTGGCCGGTTGAAGGGACACCTGAAAATAAAGGATGTTGCGTCGTCGAAAGGGAGGACGACCCAGAGGACCATTATTCTGACACGGCCTCGAGCTGCAGCCACCTTACCAGCGATGAGGATTCTGACGATAGTACGGACGAAAGGAGAGGAGATGGTCGTTGTACGGTTGAGACCACATCAAGGGCTACTCCTTGTAATTTAGCATCGAGGAAACTGGCTTTGAGAATCAGAAAATCCGCGACTTTTTTCCGGCAATTGAACGCGATGGATTTTCTCGATCGGCTGAAGCATTACCCGCACAGAAAAATGCTGTTATACTACGCCGCCAATCGGATTTGGCCCAGTGCACTCGCGTTGGTAGACTGCTGTGTCTTGCTTGGGACGACGAAAGAGGAACTGCTGGTGTCGCGGCATGGAAGTTGCAATGCCGTTGACGAGCAGAGTCCAGAAAAACTATCAAATCCGGCTACTTCGGATGAAGAATATGGTTCGACGGTTCATCTCCTCGAGCTCGGCTGCGGGCTTGGGGTAACCGGAATGCTGATGCACAAACTAGGCTGGTTCGAAAAAACGGTGCTAACGGATCTGGAGGAGGTTGTGGCGGAGGTGGAAGCCAATATTGCTCGAAATTTCGCATCTCAACATAATTGCGGCACAGGCACTACTAGCAGGACAAGCAGCATTACAGCCTGCCCATTTGATTGGACAGATGACAAGGCTTTGGAAAGAGTGTTCGAAACGCTCCTGCAAACTGGAGAGGACAGCGGGGATAAAAAAGAACCGTCGAAAGAGCAAGTAGAACAAGAACGCTTCGGAGGTCTTCCAAAGAGACGAAGCCGTGATCTTTTCATCGCTTGCGCGGACTGCATCCACAAACCGCTGTATGGTGCGGACTGCGTCGATTTTCTCTACACCGCTCTGTCTCGGGTTTTCCAACACACGAAGGAGAAAAGCGATTTTCGAAGAGTGACCGCTCTGGTTGCGTGTGAGCACAGAAGTCCCGACGACGGCGTGGCGGAGTTTATGGAGAGAGTGAAGCAGCTTCCCGGTCGTGTAATACGAAAAACGGACGAGGAGCAAACAGGATCTAGTACTGTCGACCCGCCATGGACTTCCGCTACCACGATTGACTACGAGAATTTGGTGAACACGATTGACAACGAGGAGCATAATCGATTGAAGCCTCTTTTCTGCGAAGCGGGAAATGACGACAGTGAGGATCATCATTCCAGTTGTTCCTACAACACCTTTCAGCAGTGCTCCACCGGCTCGGTTGAGGTTGTGAAGCTCGTTTGGGAAAGACCAGCACAATAGAAAATTTCACACGTGGTCGAACAATTCAGCGACCGCCTTCGCCTTCCGATGATTTCGTGATGTAGTAACGACCACGACATGAAATGATAAAAGTAAATCGAAATCGTCTGATCATCTTGATCTTCAGAGAGAAATACAAAATGAAGGAAAAACACCTGCTCTGTGAAGATCTCCTTTTTCATCGCTGATCGGCTCGGCCATGCCAGCCTGTTTTTTGCGACGCCGATCTTTTTTTGTTCGACCCTGCCCTGCCGCTGCCGTTCTTTTCATTGGGCTGACACTGGCTTTTTGTTTGGATCTCAGAGACCAAACTACATACAGTGGTGCGCTGCACTCGTCGTCAGCGATTTAAGGTCGAGCATGTTGCAGCTTTGAGTGGGTTTATTTTTCATCTGCAAGAGCAAGGGGCACTCCCACTCTATGAGTTCCTCGTGGTCGTCCTCCCTCACTATTCTCAAGCAATAAAACATTACATGTTTCGGTTTCGCAGCTGCATCTGAATTTTTGCGGGACGAGCGTTGTTTGTACCAAGTACCAAGATGGCTTTTTTCCAGGACGACCGCTCAGTGCGCTCAGGTGGAGGCGTGAACAGGCACGAAGCGACATTCTCCGTCTACGTCGATAACGTCGACCCGGCGAGCCTCGACTTACCCACAGTGACAGAGCTCGCAACTTACAGCTACCCTCCACAGGAGGAACCGAGCTCGGGTTCTACTTATAGTTCTTCGTTATCTACTTCCTACCCGTCGCTGCACAAGGAGGACGTCTACACTCCTGCGCACCAGGAGCAGACCCTATCCCTGATACCGCCGACGGCGGTCGGCAGGTTCGCGCTGCGGCACGAGGTCGACTTGAACCTGTACCGCAATTTAGTGCCGCTCTGGAATGGGGACCACTTCGACCTGTCAGACAAGTTCGATGCCGTGTGCGGGATCAAGGAACTAGACAAAGTGAAATGGGCAACGACCAAGACGACAACGTGTATTTCTAGTGGTAAGGAAATGGGTACCAATAACGACAGTGGTCTCCAGCCCGAAGAGCTGAAAGCCAGAGCGAGTTTTCTCGCGACCGCGATCGCCGCGAGGCTACTGTACGCGTACGAGAAAGCGGAGCAGGAGAGTGAAAAGAAAAAATCTGGAAAAAAAGGCAAAAAGAAGGGCGGCGGGAAGGGAAAAAAGGGCAATAACAAGGCCGGCTCAACTACATCTACCTTCGAGCCGGAGAGCAGACGAAAAAGCTCGTTTGAAGGAGAGCAGGACGCTACTAGCCCCTTGTTGAAAAAGCAACGGGCGAATAGCAGCGGTGGCGAAGATTATGATAGCCCTAATGCTAATATCAATGACAGGGAGCACGACTCCCCCTTCCCCGCGGCCGACACTCCAGAGGCGAGAAAACAGCTTTACCAAGCCTGTCTCAGCTACTGCTTCGGTGCGGTAAATTCCATCACTACCGCCTCTTCCCGAGCAGGCGCAACATTAGTGAATTCTGGGTCCTCGTCGCTCTTCGGAGAAGTGTTTGAGTTTGAGAAACTGCTCCACGCACACAAATTAACACGAATCTCCGATGACCTCGGCCCCGTTGACGCGTTCCTGGACCAGATTTCAATACTCCACGCTGAAGAAAAATTAGACCTCTCAGGAGATAGCAAAAAAACCAACGAGGATCACCTACAAAGCCAAAGCGCATTGGCCCCTCCGCGGAAGGAAACCCGGTGGTCCCAGTTCAAGATGTGGGCGACGTTGGCACCGAGTATCGAGGAGTGCACGTTTTTCGTGCCCCGGTTTTTCCTCGTGGATCTTGGGGCGGCGATGGAGAAAGCCCCGTACGACGTGGACAAGGAAGTCACGCTTTTGGTGGACGAAACAAAGTATCAAAGTGAAAAATCCCCCCACCCCATACTTAAACTAGAAATTTGTGATGCAGATTTGTGGTCACGAATCAGCTTTGATGCTAGAAGGGAAAAGATACGGACTGTAGTGCTGGCTGGCGTGGGAAAGCCTTGCATCCTCAGCATGACAGGGGGCAGCTGGAAGGGGGAAACAGTGTGACAAATTGCCTGCAAACGAGGCCAAAGCTGCGTCTCTTAGCCTTCTAGCATTACAAGCCGATTTGTGTACTCAGATACAGCATCACAAATTTCGTTTTCGATATGGGGAGGGGGGATTTTTCCTTTTGATACAAAGAAGCACATCTTTGTGGGCCAGTCCGGCATGTTCAACGACAAGACGTACAACGACGGCCAACGGCAGGGGTACCACTTTGAGAGCAAACTGCTCGACGGGTTTTCCGACGGTGGCAGGACGCATTTGCTTACTGTGCTGGAGTTTTGTTCTAGTGGATCAAAGGACCACGCCGCTGGTGGTGGACGAAGCAGACGACCCAGCAACACGAGTACAGCCATGTCATCATTGAAATGCGTCTACTCCTGCGCCCCAGATTTTGCTTTTGGCGAGCAGAAGCCGCGACCGGAGAAGGAAGTCGATTTGTTCAAGTGGAAGACAATAACGAGGAAGAAGGAACAGAATCTGAATCCCGCGTCTCTAACGTCTTCTACAAGTAGCGCGGCAGGCGTTTCTGGCGGAGTAGATGGGAACAAGGTTTCAACCAAGGAACTCATCTCGGAGTGGCTCGCCACCGGCAAAAGCTGTCAGTACGGGTTACCGGGCGACGAAGAGAAAGTCGAAACTTTGCACATCTGGAAACAGACGACGAGTGATGAAGACCACAGCGCTAGTGCGCCCTCAACTGCGGTCAAAGATGAACCGGAGCCAAATCACGACAAAAGTAGAACCAGGTCAACTATTTACGGCGAACTGAAGCGCACCCGACATCTTTTCGGGAAAGGCGGCGAGTTGAAAAAGCTGAAATATTGGCTGCAGGCGTATTTCGGCAACATCAATCGCGTGATCGTGGGCTTGGATGGGGACCATGGACAGAACCGAAGTGATGATAAGAACATCATTAACGAAGTACTGTGTTTTATCCTGAGTAAAAACGTCCCGACACCAGAGTCAGGATGGGGATTTTGCAACACAAACCTAGGAGCTTTGGGAGTCACGCATGACAAGGTGCACTCCGCAGTGTAGTGCAGGTTAGCAAGTGCAGCCGCATCACAGATTCATCTGCTCATCCTGTTCACAGCATCACAAATTCCAATACACGATTGGAAATGGCTTTCATGGGGATGCGCATCACAAATGTCTTTGTCATTGCAAATCTGCGTGACAGCTCTGGTGTGGGGACGTTTTTACTCAGGATATGTTTTGAAACGAACACCCTTGTGCCGGACTTGAACCACCAGAAAAAGTTATCCGGGAGAAAACACCCATCCCCATCCATTTTTTGCATGAGAAATAGTGGACTTTATGCATGTTTTGCATGATGTCCGCCTGACCCACCTTCCCTGCGTGACAGCCATCTGCGGCCGTTTGCACAGGGGGAGGCAAAGAGTGTCGCACTTCGGTTTAGCATGACAAATTGGATGGGGATGGGTATTTTTTCCTGGATGAAAGTGTATGCTGAAACTGCAAAATGCCCTGGAGTGGATACAGCACACCGTGACGGGCAAGTCACAGAGACCAGCGGGGCAGGCGTCTTTGTGGACCCTGAAAATCCGAAAGGAAGATAGCTTCGCTACCACCTGCAAATTGCAATTGGTGGAGCAAGCGGATGAGAAAGTGCCGAGTTTTGTCGGGGAAGTTTTCAGTACGACGTGATAAAGCGACCTTAAGAATGGAGGTTTTTGCTGGCTGGTACGGACGCATCTAGGTTAGATTTTTCGAAGAAATTCACAATCAAATGACGCAGAGTGAAAACTTGACCACCATTCAGACCGGGAATTGTGAACGAACCTTGAGGGAGGTTCCTCATTCTGCTAGGGTTCAACTTTTCCCCTCATACGTAACAAATTGTCCGATTTCGTTGGTGGTGTCTACGATCGTGTGTAAGAACCAATCCACGCGGCGTGCGCCGCGTGGGAAAACATACAAAGAACCTTCAGTGTGGGCCTAAGACTAGCTTGATTCTCTGTCAAATTGTGTGTCTGTCCATCTCGTTGGTGGTGTCTACGGTCGTTTGCAAGTACTTTCGTGACATTCACAAGTAGGAGTTTGATTTTGAGCAAATCAATATATCAAGAGAGGTGAAGATGAAAAAATTCTTGAAAATCATGGAGCGGTTTTTTTGGCGAGAGAAAAACAAGGCGAGTCTTGCTTCTGAATCTCTCCCCGATTTGTGATGTCCATGCAGTAAGTTTTTGCATTGATCGACGACCAAGTTCGTGTCTCTCGTCTCCCCAGTTTTGGTTTTCCGTTACAGTAATGTGCAGAAAAATGGCTATCTCCTTGCATCGCGCCGGGAGGTCTTGCTCCTCCTTGCGTGGGTTGCAAATGTGGGTCAGCCGGTCAGACTTTTTGTCGCGACCAACAGAAACTCGGAAGCAGAAACTTCTCAGGACTTTGTGTACCTTCACCACAACGCGACCGCACAGCACCGTAGCCGCTACACTAGACGCCCCGGTCGCTACTTCTAGCGCACCCCGAGAGGAGCCCGTTGCACCCTCTGGAACGCGCTTCAGTATACGATCGTCCTCCGGCGTATCTGCGTCCTCTACTGCGACTTCTATCCTAGACGACGTGCTTGTCAATGGTGCTGCAACATCGAAAGCGACCTCGTCCACCATCGCGGGCACCGGCTGTTGCAATGCCCCCACAGCCCCCAGAGAAGTGCAGCCCGACCTTCCCCTCTCCAACATTCCCGGCGCGGGCAACATGCGAAAAAAGCGCACCCCCGAGGAACGGAAGCAGCGACGGGCGGAAGCGCAGGCGAGCCGCGACAGCGCGCGGGCGGACTTCCACAAAGCACGGGTGTGGTATTACACGAAAAACAGTGGCGCAACCATGTTGAGCTTCGCGATCGGCTACTGGGGAACGCGGTGGTATGAAGATTATTGTAGCGAACAAAAAAGATCTGAAGGGGTGGATGGAAATTCTGTGCTTCCTAGTGCCGAAGATACTGCAAAAAGCTAGCGTCTTCTTTTGATTACAACTCGTGTAGACCACAGATCTTAATATTTTCGCGCACTGCAAGTGCAACTGCTGCAGCTCGGTGGTGGCGCTAGCTGCATTCAGGGTGACAACAACTACGACCGAGCGTCTGCCGCGAGACTCTGTCCTCTTCCGGTTTTGGGACGAGATAATTTTCCATCTTCTTATCGAATTCCAATTCGAGTGCTTTCAAGCTGCGTTTTCCGTCACATTTTTCTTTGTCTTCACCTGCGGAGATTATACGCTCCTCAAATTTCGGTATGGTCGTTCTTCTCGGTGTTTTTCTTCCGCTACATTCTTTGACGTAGTTCTAGTTGCCTATGGCGTGTTTTAACGTCACACGAGAGATGATCGAAAATCTCAACCAGCAGCTGCAGTGTGGTAGTTTGGTGCAACTTGTTCGAGAGCAGTTCTTTCTTCACATGAGCGCTCATCTCTGCCGGAGAGTGTTTCTTCTAGTTCTATCACGCATTGCAAGATGAATTTTCAGAGAAATACTTCTCCTGTGGAGGGCCTATATTTGATGAAGAAGAAGAAAACTCGAGAGGAGAGCTGACTGTAGCGAGAGTGGCTATATATTTGCAAATGGAAACGCGGAACAAAAAACGTCCAGGTCACTACGTCCAGATACGCTACCCTCGTACCCCTATTGGAATTTTTGATCTCTTTGTCCTTATGTTATTCCCCTCGCACAGCCTCGGGACCCAACCCACCTAGTAGTATAGTCGTGTAAAAAAAGTGTGTAGTTCATGGAGAAAAATTGCCCCAGTCCGCGTTATATTCGCCAATTTTGATTCATTGTTGCGCTAGCACTCGCTCCTCAAGCCTAGGTCTAACTCTAACGTCTCGAATTGGAATAATAAATGGTCACAAAGTTGATACGCAAATTAATATTCGCCGGGTCTTTAGAAGTGAGTCGCAGCTGCTACGTGAATCTACAGTACGAAGAGTTTTTCAATCTTTTCACAGAATGGTAATCAGAGCAACTTCTTCTACGCAGTGATCTGCGATAGTATTACGACCGACAAGAAGTGCGCTGGTCACAGGATCTAGTTTTTCCGTATTGGAAATCTACCACCGTAACCGCAGCTCCCCGCAGGACCGATGTAAATCGAAGCGCCGCTTGAAGTCTAATAAATCGAAGCGGAAAGCGAAAGTGGAGGCTGACCTGTAATTTATTGAGACAACTGACGCGAAGACAAGAAAGACAGAATAAAGAGTTCTAGCACTTACAATACGCAAGAGCTACTGCCAGGCCGATAAACCGCTGTACACAACGGCGTAACTTTTGAAAACTCTGATTTGTCACCCTGACCCAATAAGTCATTCCCCGTGCTGCTTCCGACAGCCTCTTTCACTACCTCAATCCACCACCACCCGATGCTGACCGGAGGGGGCATGCCCAGCCGATCCAGTATGCTGTTCTGGCTTTGCTGAAGTTTCCCTTGAGGATCTGGCACATGATGTCGACGAGTTGTACTTCTACCATATCTTCAACATTTTCCAACACCTAGCCACCAAGTTGCCATGGAGGAAAGGTAGCAGGGTTACGTTACTGGAAGAGCGGAAGTGGAAAGTATTACGGAACACTAAGAACCGTGACGGTTCTCCCTGGTCGTGGGTGGTACCGTCAGGACAAGAACTGGCGTTCGCAAGATCGTCTCCGTCGCTTTCGTAGCCTGATCCGCTACAGCACAAATAAAAACTCCTTCCGTGGCCGCGAGGATGTTATTTGCCGGACCAGCGCGGTCCCTCTGGACGGGAACTTCGAGTTCCTCCACCTGCACCTCCTGGCGGACAAAATCGAGGCCGCGCACAGGCTCGGGAACGAGCTGCTCTCCAACATTTTCATCTTTTTCCACCTCGACTAGAGGTGGTTCCACCGGCGGACCGAGGAAAACGACCTGGGCGGGTCAACAGGGCGGGAGTGGAGCCTCTAGCGAGCATCAGCAACACTCAGCATCTTCATCCACTTCGCGGCCCTTTGGTGGAGCGGCTAATTATAGAGGGTGGAAGAGGATAAATCATACGATAAGAAACTTCTCATCTACAACATCTGCTGTCGTCCATCCGTATTACTACGCTCGGGCGCTGACGTCACAAGACCTGAAGAAGTTCAAAAATGTAAATGACGACCGACATCCAGGAACAATAAAACCACCTCCTCCGATAATCTTTTTGAAAAGAAGGGGCTTTTCCACCTCCGCAGCGACGACACCAGATGGCGGAACAACGGCCCCAGGAACAGCGACGACGACCGCTACAACCTCTTCCACAGAGGGCGATACTATTTCTAATTCAGAACCATCAAAACCGAAAGCCCTCAGTTCTGACCCCGGGTTTTTCGTAAAACCCCCGACTCGGAACCAACTCCGGCGCGTCTTCATTGCATCCGCGATCCCCTTCATCGGTTTTGGTTTCCTGGACAACTTTCTGATGATCCTGATGGGCGACGCGATCGACGCGAGCCTGTGCGTCAAATTCGGCTTTTCCACCATGGCGGCAGCGGCCCTCGGGAACACGTTTTCGGACGTTTGTGGCGTCTTTTCCGGGGGCGTGATTGAGGATTACGCGCAAAAGCGGGGGATCGAGATGCCGGCGTTGGACAGTGAGCAACTGAAACTAACGTCCGTGAAAACGTACCAGTACGGCGGTTTTCCCCAAAGACAATTTTTTTTTTTCGATCCAATTGTAAGCAGGGCGGGCCCTTCGCAACCGACTTGCGCCGCGAATGGCCAGACCGAGGCGGAGGCGCGCGCCCCCCCGGGTGTGTTGCTTTATGGAATCCAAGAGATTGCGTAGCTAGTGGCGCCAACGAACTGCTTTGGTAGCTCCTCGAGAAGTATGCGCGCAATTTAAGAAAGGCCTCTGCGGCTCGGAGTCCAGACGCAGCCGGCCGCCCCTCCTTCAGGGCAGAGCAGCTTGCTGATGTTCTCCATGACCGACCCCAGTGTGCCTCTCTTTCTATCCTACAGGCTGAAAAGCGCAACGCCCCGCCCGGCTTTTTGGGGCGCAAGCAGCTCGAGCCCCGCGGGGCAGCGCCCGGGGCAAGGCGCCCGTGCCAGACCCGCCCCCCGGCCACCTAAGGCTCCCACGCGATGCCCCTTGCCGTGGACCTGTGTTCTCCACTTGAGGCTGGCCGGCACCGTTTCCCTGAGTGCATGCTCGGACACGTTGGCGAGAAAAAAAACGTATGCTGGGGATTTCGGCCCTAAGCGGCTATCTACGCACTTGCGGCCACCAAAACGGGCACCAGAAACGTCCCGAAAGTGGACGCATGCACGACCTCCAGGGAAGCGGCGAGGCCGGGGCCTCAAAAGTTGGGCGCGGCCTTCAAAGTCCGGCGGCCATGTGGGCCCGGGCAAGGGGCCAGCGCCGACGCCCACAAATCAACACTCGGCACGGCAGGCGGGGCGTTGGATCGCTAACAGAATAACAGCGCCCCGTCCGAGGTAGCAACGCAGAGCACGCTTTTCCAGCAAAATGCCCGCAGCCAAGCAAGCGCGAGCAGTGCGGCGGGGCCGCGTTGCAGTAGTCTACACGCGGATCGGGCCGAAATAGATACACACATCCACAAAGCCTGCTGCCCCATCAGCTCAAGCGCTGACTTTTGAGCGCCGCCATCTCGCTTGCTCCTTTGCATATGTAACAGCATCAGAGATTATCCTTGAAGAAGATCCACTAGCGGACACTATCCGGTCGGGCTGCGCAGGCGCAGCCGGCGGCCGTGTTGTTGCATCAGTTCAAAAAAATTTTTTTGATTTGGGGAAAACCGGGGTAGTGGGGACAGTTTTTCCTAACGTAGAAACTAACGTCCGTGAAAACGTACCAGTACGGCGGCCAGGCCTGGTATGGAAGCGTCAGGTTTGAAATCGTCAAAGTTGAAATAATTTGTAATGCATAAAATGCATGACCCGAGGCACGTATGTTGCAGAGCAGGGAAGTGAGGCCGATTCTAAGCCTGTTTGGGGTTACAGCTCGAGCTGCTAAAGTAGCATGAGAAAATCGCTCTTCTTTGCCTAAAAAGCATGACAAACTGGATTTTGGGACCAACGAAATTTGTCTTGCGCCACTTGGAAACTGGGTTGTCTAACTGGTGTCCGTTTTATGCATGACAAATTATTTCAACTTTGTCGATTTCAACTCTGACACATCCATACCTGTGGGATCGTTGTCGGTTGCATCCTCGGGATGTGCCCCCTGCTCTGGATGGACCCGGACGCGACGGAGAAGTTGAAAAAGGAGAAAACCAAAATCGACGTGTTGAACCGGGTTGTCACGGACGTGAACGATTTACTGAACGCAGAATATCATATGTAAAAGCGTCCCCACGACCCCAGAGGCAAATTGGGAGCTTAGCAACAGAAATTCAGAAGTTTTGGGAGCCACGCATGACAAGTTGCAGCCCGTAGTGCAGTGCATGTTAGCAAGTGCAACCGAATCACAAACCCATCGATCTTCTTATCCTGTTTACCGCATTACAAATTCCAAACCACGGCGACTGGAAATAATGCCTCTCATGGAGATGCGCATTACATATCTTCGTGTAATCGCAAATCTGCATGACAGCTATGTTGGGGTCGTGGGGATGTTTTTACATAGGATACAGAAGCGACGTTCATCATGATGATCGACCGCGAGCGCGAGGAGCTGTACACCGTCGCGACGGAGAACATCCCGGAATTCATATCCTGACTAAAAACGTCCCCACCCCAGAGTCAAGATGGCGATTTTGCAACACAAACCTAGGAGTTATGGGAGTCACGCATGACAAGTTACAGTCCGTAAGGTAGTGCAAGTTAGCAAGGAGAGCCGCGTCACAAGTCGATCTGCTGATCCTCTTTACAGCATTACAAGTTCCCAAACACGAGTGACAATGCCTGTCATGGGGTTGTGCGTCACAAATGCTGCTGTCATGGCAAATCTGCATTACAACTCTGGGGTGGGGATGTTTTTACTCAGGACAAATCCGCGCGAAACTGAACGAGGGCGTGATGGGCCACTGTGCGACGACGAAGAAGTTCATCAACATTCCGGACCTGAAGCAGTCCGAGTTCTTCGACCCGAAAAGGCACACGAACTACCGGAATACGGGGAGAGATATCAAATCCGTGTTGTGCATGCCGGTGCTGAATCTAGCCGAAGTGGAGGGCGTCGACGGGGAGCAGTCCTCGGTCATCGCAGTGGTCGAAGCCGTGAACAAGAAAGCAGACACGGGGTTCACGCACAAAGACGAGGAAGTGATTGCCGCGATCTGCTCCCATATAGCGACCGCGCTCGCGGACGACGAACATCGAAAGTTCAAAAACGTCATCGACATGTGTCGGGCACAGATTGTGCTACGGGAGCAATACACGACGATGAACCCGTACTGTTTTTTTTTTTTATTTGCTTTATCGGTTTTGTTTGTGGTGTAAAGAAACTCAAACTACGAATAACAAGAAGTGATGCAGCTGCGATGGTTTGCATTTATTTCAGATGCAAAAATAAAACCTGAGATAAAAAAAAAACAGCATTGCATGTCGTAACTGCCACTTGCTCGTCCTGCAAGAACCTGCAATACGTAGCAGTATTAGCAGTAAAGCAACTCTGTTCATCTAAGATATCATTTTAACACAGTGTCATCGAGCAGAGGCAGATGAAGCTGTTCGAAACGCTCATGGAAGAAACCAGCGCGATTTTAAAGGCCGAGGCGTCCCATTTGCTCCTGATCGACCCTGTGAGACAGAAACTGCGAACGAAGGTCGGACACGTCTTGCCGCTCAGGGAGTTCGCGCTTGATGAGGACATCATGGGAAAAGTGTGCCGGAGAGGTAAAGAAGTATGTTGACACAAGCTGCGCAGTGGTTTCAAGATTGTTGCATTTGCAGCTACTTCTTTATGGCGCCGTATACTATCTCAACGTCGAACTATCTCAAATTTTTTTACCTCAACTCTATATAGCTACCTAAAGTAGGTAGTTTATGTAGATAGTGAATTATATGCAAGTAGATAACTGTTTTGCATGACAAATGAGCTATATTAGAAGAAATCGTCTGGTCCCGCTCCGCCGCCCTGTCAATTTCCGGAACCCCTTTCGACCCCGTCTGTGAGGGGCCCCCCCGGAAGGGGGGTCGGCGAGGGGGGTAGCTGAGGGGGGCAATAATAAGCTTCCGCCGATGCTAGGGCGCACTGAAAAAATGCAGCTTTTTGAGCACCTTTCAGGGGTTCGCGGAGGGGGTGTCCGGAAGGGGTCATGAGGGAAGCAACAGGACTAGAAAAAATCGGCGGAGCAGGACCGGACGATTTTCATTGATCTAACTTAATCTGTCACGCCAAAAATCTAGCTACATAAGCATCATGTGTTAGCTGAATAAACTAGCTACTTGAACTACCTATTTAATATTGGGTTGAAAAATTTTGAGATAGTTGAGCGTTGAGATAGTATACGGCGCCATATTCTTGGTATCGACGACGATCATAAGTCGCAGACTGCTCCGCTGGAACCATCGCTCATTTTTTTATGAAGATATCACTTGCACTTCTGAAATTGCTATAGAATAGAATTTTCTTTCCGCAAATGGAATACATTTACACATCCTCAGGTCAACTGGTGAACTCGACGGATTTCCAGCGTTCCAAGTACTACAAGCCCGAGAAGCACGACAACTACCTGGGCACGGGGCTGGAAGTGCGGACAAGATTGTGCGTCCCGGTTATCTATGCACTGCAAAAGTATCGTATTAGTATTAATTGCAATACAAATTCGCTCAGCATGACAAATTCTGACTAATGGAACTTGTCATGCTGATTTGCTTTGGCAACGAGATTTGTAATGCATAAATGCAATTACTACGAGTACGATACTTTTGCCGAGGATGTTATCAACACGGAAAGGCACGTGATCGGGTGTTTGGAAGTGATCTATCGCAAGAAAAAAATGTTTCAATGTGAACTTGTGATGCAGAAAATGAAGCACCAGAGTTGTTCTCTTGCTACACCTGCAAGACATTGGATTTCTAAGCGTGTTGTCTGTTGGGAAACGCGCATGGCAAATAATTCTGAAACTTGTGATGCAGATCTTGCAAAATCATCACAGGGAAACAGTTTTTTCGTGGGATATGATCAACAAAAAGTCCAATGAGGTTTTCAACATGCACGACATCGAGCATTTGTTGAACATCGCCGGCCACGTCGCGCTCACACTGGAGGGTCACGGGTCTTCCATCAAGAAGGTTTTGGCGTTGGCGCAGGACCAACGGCAGTTGATGCAGGACAGCAAGGACTTCAAGCGCACCGCGACCAGGCAGCTGTCCGGGCCGTTGATGTTACAGGTGGAGCCGAGTGAGGAAGACGCGAATCTGGACCACGATGATTCTTGGGACGATGAGATGGTCGCGGCGAGCGAGCACGTGGTGGACTTGATGGCCGGGCAAGATTTGATCAACAAGGGGGACGCGACCGCGCACAAAATGTCTTTAGGCGGTCACGCGAAGAACGAGGCGCACCTGAAGCAGAAACTGCGGAAACTGCAGAAAGAGTCGGACCTCGTGGTGCACTTGGACCGGGCCGCGGACCTGCCCAATATGGCGTTCTCAACTGTTACACTCTCAACTGTTACATGAAATTTGTCATGCAAGAACAGCAGCAACCGAAGAGGCAAGATTGCTGCTTTCGCATCACAGATTTGGCAGAGATGTGCGTCCTGTTTAGCCCTTCGGAGATTTGTCATGCGTGGCCGCTTGATCATCTGGAGGCTTAAGGTAGTTTTGCATGGCAAATCCGTGTAACAGTTGATAATGTAACAGTTGAGAACGCCATACCAAAAGCGGATCTGTTCGGTACCATCGATCCCTACATCACTGTATCACAAGAAGAAGTGTTAACGTTAACGGTTTTCACAGATTGCAGTCATGCATCACAAATGTAGTTAAATATGCATCACAAATGTAGTTAAATATGCATGCTATGCATGACAAATTTAGGCACGTTTTGCTTTTGTGATGCATTTCTGCATTACAAATTCCGTTAACGTTAACACTTTTTCCTGTGATACACTGTCAGCATCGTGGAGGGAGATCCGAAAGCACCAAATTACGACGGGCCAACGAAGGGGCGAGGTAAAATTTTTGATAGCCTTTATGTTTGTTTCGTAAAATCGAGCGCAGCAGTGAGAGTCGTTACAACAGTGTGCTTCGAAGTATTTATGGTTTTAACCATTTTTTGAGTTGTTTCTCCTCGCAACACAGCAGGTGAGATGAATTATCTGAATCAGTAATCTGCAAAACTGCTTGATAAAAAGATACATACATGAAACGTCGAACTGCAGGTCACGCGTCGCCGCTCGGGCACGGAAAGTCGGTTCCGATTAGGCAGAACCAGAACCCGGTGTGGAACGAGAAAATCAACATCGCTTTACCGGAGGAGCTCGTGAACGATTACGAAAACCTCTACCTGCACATCAAATATCCACTGCAAAAGTATCGCACTCGTATGAATTGCAGATATGCATAGCAAATCTGGTTTCCTACCCAAATCTGCATTACAAATTCCAAGTTTCTTCCTGATAAAATTTGTCATGCGATTTATACTAGTACGATACTTTTGCAATGCATATCAAGCTGTGGGACTGGGACTTCATGAAATCAGACGACATGATATCACAAGAAAAAGTGTTATACGTTAACGGTTTTCACAGATCGCAGTCATGCATCACAAACGTAGCCCAATATGCATGCTACGCATGACAAATTTTTACACGTTTTGTGATTCATTTTTGCATCACAAATTCCATTAACGTTAACACTCTTTCCTGTGATACATGATCGGGGAGGTGGTTTATCCGTTAAAACGCGTTCTGCAGGAGGACACGATGCAGATGACGTCGTTTCCCTTGACCGAGATAAAAAACAACCCGGACGAGTATGACTTGAAAAAATCCCGCATCTGGCTGAAGTTCTCAATCGCGAAGAAAAAGCAGTGAGTGTGCTTGTCTTTGTGTGATTGTTTTCACGGTAGAAGTGCTCCTTCAATTACGTCGACGGCGCATCTTCACAGAAGTATTTCCACGTTTCCTTCAGCGTTGACAGCTCGCGGCGGATGGGCTGCTGCCGCGTTTCCTTCCAGCGGTCCGAAGCCTTTTTTTACACGCATGATGAAGATGATTTTCTTTTTTTTTACTTTTGCGACTTTCTCTCAAAAACAAACTTCGATTTGGTAACAACAAGATGAAAAACAAGTGAAAACAAAAGAACTCGGACAAAATGACTTCTGATTTTATTTTTCGAATACAACCCATCAACGCTTACGCTACTAACTCAATATCGATATCTCCATAATTACACTACAATGACAATAAAAAGAGCAAAGAAAAAAGAAAGAAGAAGCAGAGATGTAAAACCAAAACGAATTTATGTCAATAGCAAATCCAAAAAGGGTTTGTTTTGGTCGCGCGCGGATCTAGCGTAGCGATTACGCGGCTGTGGCAGGATCTGGCGACGCAACCTTTCTTGTACTAAAGCAAAGAGATGAAGAAAGTTCTTCCGCTAAATATTGCGGCATCGAATATCGATTCGCGGAGCAGATGTGAAAGAGTAAGGGAAGGATATGGATACAGTAAAAAACGCAGTATCCACTCAAACTCTCCGTAGAGTCAATAAGTCGTGTGTTTTATTGTGTGACAATTCTGACATAATAATACCCTACGTCATGAAAAGCAAGTGTGAAGGCAGATAAGCATGACGCGACATTACCCGGCATTCCTTTTGGATTCCCGTCTCAAGAACGCAGCGCCTGGATACAAAGGCGTCGTCTTGTGGTGACAGGCGGCTCCAATCTCTTTTACTAAGGAACAAGAAAAAATCTTCTGGCTTGAAATTGTATATCTAAGTTAGCTTCTGATTGAGCGATAAGTATCTACAACATTTTTATCTAACTATCACATAGTCCTTGCCTTTTATGCCCGAGGATCTTTGTACCGTTTCCGTTTGACGCATAACTCTTGAGCTTTGTTCTAAGACAGCTTTCAATCGAAAATACTGTAGTCGCTTATTGTCCTTCACCTTCTACATCTACAACTACTACAGCGCCCGTAGTACTACACAAAAAGTTTGGAAGAAATCATGGAACAGAAAAGGACGAAAAGCACAAGGATAAGGAAATGTCTCCAATAAGGAAAAGGATGAGACCACGGATAGACTTTGACAGACTCAATTTTATGAACAGCGGCGTTTATTTTGTTGGCCGAGCGGAGCTCCCGGTGAGGGTGGAAGTTTGGGCGTTCTGCGAGTCCTGCGTGAGTACTTGATACTCTCATTTAACAGGTTCATGCTCATCACGTGCTTATGGCTATGTCAACCTCGATCAGTGGTCGCGGTTTGCTTTCCTGCAAACGGTAGCTCTAGAGACTCCACAAACACTCCTGTGCTCACGAAGACGGACATGGCCACCGTGCAAAGATCCTAAAATGATCATCGATCCAGCGAGCTCAAGCTGCGATCTAAAATTTTTTGTTAATCGACCTTGAAGAGATCGCGTGCGCGAACCGTAGCCTGAACAACAATGGCCAAAACAAGTGTACCTTAGCGCAGCCCCGGATATTTGATGTATTTCAGCATCAACATCATGATCATGGCGACTCGTAAGTAGTAAGTATAAGCATTCCACCTACCGGCCACAGCTAGCGCAGCCGGTCGCAAGTAGGTGAACCATAAAACTTGTGAACTTTTCTCTTCATAATTCCTCAACCTGCGCAGGGCGGCATCATAGTTCTCGCTTTCTTTTACACAACACCATACTTAATTTCATCTAGTTTCGCTCTTTAGGACAGCAAGTTGTGTTCTAAGAAACAAACGACCATGAGGTAGGAGTTTTGTCGAAGCGAATGGACGACCAATACATTTTTTTTTCTTCAACAGCAACATAATACGCTTGTTAGATGGGAAAGAAATTTTGTAGAATTGATGCCAAGACTGAATATTTTTCTGGGATCTGGAAGCTTATCTAGCCACAGCACTTTCCTGTGACTAAGTCCTTTTGACGAGATCCTGTTTCTGTTTCGCGTGAAGAATTGCTGCGTTGGGTCCTTGACATTCCGGACTTGACTTGGTAATTTTCGAGCTTCATTCTCACGCATAGTTGGTGCAAGTAAAGCAAATAGACGCTTTACTTTTCGCAAACTTATTTGTAGTGGCTGTCCTCGTTTCAAGCTGCTCGATAATTTCATCCTCCAAGTTCATATATACACAACAACACCAAAGTCATAGTTTCGCTTTAGATAAGCATCAAACATAAAAACAACGCTTCATAGCTTGCACGTATCTACTTGAGAAGTAGCTCGTCATCGCGACAGATAGAAGAAGAGAAAACTTCCAGGAAAGATGCTTCCTTCTGACCGTTCAAGCGCGAAAAGCACAAATCGTGCCAGCACGTCTACCTGCGACAAAAGTCCGAGACTAGGAAAGAACTCAACACTCAGCAGAATGACAAGACGGGCCGCGGCTTCCCTTTTTGTCCTCGGAACTGGCGTCACAGCGCTGGACGAAAGCTCACCAGCAATGATGGGCATGGACAGGGGGAATATGAACTTTAAGGTGACCTGAGTAAAAACGTACCCACACCAGAGTCAGGATGGGGATTTTGCAACACAAACCTAGGAGTTTTGTGAGTCACGCATGACAAGTTGCACTCTGCAGTGTAGTGCAGGTTAGCAAGTGCAGCCGCGTCACAGATTCGTCTGCTCATCCTGTATACAGCATCACAAATTCCGAGACACGATGGGAAATGGCTCTCATGGGGATGCGCATTACAAGCCTTGCTGTCTTTGCAAATCTGCATTACAACTCTGGTGTGGGTACGTTTTTACTCAGGATATAAGGTGACCTTGATTGAGGACCGAAAACACGACCTGGCGCTCAACATCCACAGTCAGAGAAAAACACCCTCAGCGGTCTCCTTCGCGGGCAAAGTAAGAACATACGGCGACCAGGCCATCGCAAGTCAGAACAAGCAGGACACCGGGGCGTTTAGTTACATCAACAGGTAGAATTAATCTCGTACAGTGGTGAGAAATATTTTTTGTGACTGATGTGACGAGTTGTAGACCCTCAACATAATCTCATTTGCAGATTCAGAAGCGGCGGAGGGACGAACATACAGGCGTCATCAATACCGACTCCACATAATAAATTCGAGTTTCTTCATAGAAAAGTCTTCATCAGCTTTCTATCATGCGACGAAGGCAAAGAAGATGATAAAGAGTTGATATTGTACGAGCACGACGAACCGCGGAAAGCGTCAAAGACGATGATCTGCTGAGCACGTTGAAATAATATATATTACAATCTCAATCGCTACTGTCAACACAGGCTACTGGGTCTGTCCGCCGCCGACTGCGACAAGGAAGACCCGAAAGAGTGCCTGGGGGACGTTCTCGGGCTCGACCGGGACTACTACCAATCTTACGGCCTGCACAAGAACGAGACGCGCGGCACTTTCGAATTGCTGACGGATAAGCAGAAGGAGGAGAAAATGTCCCTGGAACTGATCACCGCCAACATTCTGCAGTACGCGCGAGGTATCGCCGAGGACAAGAACGACGGAAAGGCGATTCGCGACGCCGTCATCACCGTACCAACGAATTGGAACCAGAGGCAACGGCAGGCATTGCAGGACGCCGCAAAAATTGCGGGCTTGAACAGCTTGTTGATCCACGAAACCCCGGCGGCGGCGGTCAACTTGGCGATGGACTGGGCCAAGGACACGACGGAAAACGTCTTGTAATATTTATTCGACAGAAGTTCTTGCTGCTTTAACACACTCATTATTGGACGACCACCTGCTGGTCAATTGATTTTTTCCACTCAGTACAGTGATAGATTCTCGCGTCACCAGCAGCAGTTGGAGCATTTTAATAACTGTACTTCTATCTTCACCAACCTGATCAGGTTCTACAACATGGGCGCCCGCACCACGGAAGTGTGCATCGCCGAGTTTTCCCCCCGTCAGGCTGGTATGGTGGCTGGTCGCACCACGCCCGCCATTGTCATGAAGGGCTGCGTGCATGACGAGAGAATCGGTGGCCATTTGGGGGATATCGCCATCGCTGACGAGATGAAGAAGCGATTCATCAAGAAGTACTGAATGTTTTCTTGCGACTTGTGTGATAGATTTGAAATATGCGCTCCTTGCAGTCTGTGTTGACGCTGAAAATGAAATTGAAAACGCTCGACCATACCTGGCACGCGCACGGCCACGAATGGTACTATAATGTTGACAGCTCATGATTGATTTCCACAGGTTCCCGAAGCTTTCTGACATCGAGAAGCACCCGCGTGCGCTGCGAAAGCTGTTGGGCCAGGCACTGAAGTCCAGACACCAGCTGTCTGCCGGGAAGGACACGTTTTTCTCCGTGGAAGGGTTGTACGAGGAGAAGGATTTTCAGACGAAAATGACCCGGGCGGAATTTGAGGACCTGGAGATGATGAAACAAATGTGGTCCATTCTCACCGAACCGATCGACGCCGTGTTGGCGAAGGCGCAGATGACATTGAAGGACATCGATCTCATGGAAATCGTCGGAATGGCCTGGCGCATGCCGAAAGTGCAAGAGGTACTCTTATCAAAAACGACGATGATGTCAGGATAGGTTATTTCTGCACTTTGTAGTTTTTGATTTTCGTGCTTGTCCTGGCTCATTCTCATGCGCAGTTTTTGACATTTTTCTTTTTGCATGGCTGGGAGTTCGATGATCCCGAGCATGTTCATAGTGATCTGTTTGCTTTGAACAAAGAGATGAAATGAATTTGTGATGTAAATCATCATCATCAACTACCTGCTCAGATCCTGAACGACTACTTCTCGAAAGCGCAGGAAGCGCGGAAGGGCAAGGACCAGTTGGTCCTTGGACAGCACCTGAACGGAGACGAGACCTTCGTCCTTGGTGCCTCTTTGTTCGCCGCCAACCACTCCAGGGCCGTGCGACCGCCGAAGAGGGTCTTCTTCCAGGACACAACCCACGATCACAAGTATAATAAATTTCTATTTGTATCATGATTATATGTACTTAGCTTTGCATCGTTGACGTTGCCCATGAGAAATTTGCTCTTTGTTTTTTCAACGGCTAGCACTTCTGCAGATGGGTACACGAAAGATAAGAAGAATTGAACTCAGCACGAAGAAACAGGATTCTGATCCAGCTTTTTATTTCAACATGACCAGCACAACTTTGATTTTTCGCCCAATTCTTACCCGCCCTACATCAGCTACACCATTGACCTCCTGTCCCTCTCCGATGAAACGCCGATCAAGAACACCACCGATATCGCTTCCCTCGGGTCCCGCTATGGCGTGAAGAAAAAAATCACGGTGAGTGACGCGAAGCAGGATTTTACCATTAAGCTCTTCGAGAACGGCAAATGGCTGACCAGCTGGACGATCACGGGCCTCGAGGAGGCCATCGAAAAAGACTACGCGCACGTGGTCAACAACAGTACCAATCCGGCCCCCAAGGTCGCGTTCACCATCGGCCCGGATGCGAGTGGGGTCATCGGGATCTCCAAGAAGGTCGAGGCACTGTTTGTCGAGGAAGTAGAGGAGGAAGTTGTGGACGAGGAAGCTATGGCGGCCAGGAGAAAGTACTGGATTTGTTTGCAATTTCTCCACTACCATAACCAGTGAACACACGATCACGTCGACCCAGACAAAAAATAAATGATTGAAGATTTTTTATTCTCGCCACATCGATTCAACTGTTGGTTGTTACTGTTTATTGTGATTGAAAATTGACTAAGTATGATACTTTTTGAGCTTATCGTAGACCACATAAATTCTTCTTCATCTTCCCGCACATGATCTTCGTATCAGGCGCAAGCTCGAGAAGGAACGTAAGGCGAAAAAGGCGAATGAGACGAACAGCACGACGAACAGCACCGAAGATAGCGCCGAAACCAACAGCACAACGGAGGAGAAGAAGGATGAGACGGGTGAGAAAAAAGAGGAATCAACAGAAGAGAAAAAGGACGAGGATGGTACCACGGCAACTGACGAAAAGAAGGACGAGACTACTTCTTCTACCGAAGAAAAGAAAGAAACCGAGGAGACTTCTACGGAGGAGAAAAAAGCTGAGGAGGAGTCTGCGGAGGAAAAGAAATCTGACGGGGATTCAGCCGGCGCTTCGGAGGAGAAGAAGGACGAGACGGCTAAGGAAGATGCCGAGAAAAAATCCGAGGACGACGATCTGGATGATGACAAGCCCATCATGAAAACACGCATGAAAAAGAAGAACCACATCATCAGTTTGAAGGTAGAGATATGGAAATTCAAATTTCTGCTTTATGTATTGTCTATCGTGGCGGTCGTGAGCTTCAACTTCTTGAAGAGCGACACATTAAAGTCAGGCTATTTCGAGAGCGAGATATCACATCAGAAGGCCAGCGATTCTTGCAATTTTTCGGCATTTTGCGCAGCTTTTGGAGCTGTAAATGGCGATGCGCATATTGATTTTTCTTTTCAAATCTTCATTTTCATCAATTCAAACCACCAGGTCAACCGCGACGACGCGTTCCCGAAGCCGATGACGCCTGAGGAAATTACCTTCGCACAGGACATGCTGTTTAAGATGACGAAGCACGACGCCGAGTCCGCAGAAATGGACGAAGTCAAGAACGATCTGGAATCCTTCTTCTACGAAGCAAGAGAAAAACTCGAGTACAACGACGCTTACAAAACCGTGACCACCGAGGAGCAGAGGAAAGAGCTGCTCGACAAAGTCCAGGAGGTACTTAATTATACCTGTTGTCATGTTTTTATGTGCCAGATTTCATTGTAGTTTTCCTTTTCTCCAACTTGCTTCCATTTTTCCCAAATGGAGGACGGAGCAACGTAGTAACTCTAGCGTCGTGCTGCAGGGCTCCTGGCGAGGCTGCGCCCCCAGCTTACGCTTGTTTATGTTTTTCGTTCGGTTTCTTGAAGTGAAATTTTTATCAAACCAATCCTCAGACCGAGACGTGGACGGAGGACGAGATCACGAAAGACACGTCGCTCGCCGAGATTATCAAATGCAAAAATGTCTGGGTCTGGAAGAATGCAACCTGTGATGCTAATTTTGGATTCTAGAAAAATCTGTATTGCATGACCAGCAAGAGGAGTCCAGTTTCTGCTATGCGGGGAGGCCATTTGTCATGCGGAATAGGCATCAAAAAGCACTCAGAAAATCTGTGATGCCAGGGAATACATCACAGACGTCACGGGCCATGTAAAATCTACATGACAAGTTCGCATTCTTCCAGACCCAGACATTTTTACACTTGATAAAGATCAAGGAGAAACTGAAGGCCCTGGAGGAATTGATGATCCCGATCAAAGCCCGGGCGATTGAATTCGACTCCCGCGCGGACTTTATCGTGCTGATGGACAAGGAGGTCGGCAAAATCGAGGATTTGAAAACGAAAGTCAAGGGTATGCCCTGGCTGAAGGCGGAGGAAGTCGACAAGGCGCTGAAGAAGGTAGAGGATTTTGCCGCGGACTGGGACAAGAAGAAGGCGGAGCAGGCCGCCAAGCCGGGCCACGAGGAACCGGTCTTCACGAAGGCACAGATCGAGGGCTACTTCGACCGGTCCACGGTGGATCTGAAAAAGCTGTCCAAGGTGAAAAAGCCCAAGGAGCGCAAGACCAAGACCCGCGGAGCCGGGAAGAAAGGTAGGGATCGATCGATCGTGGATTTTTGTGTCAAATAACAAGTAGCTTTGACGGTGACGATGTAGTAGACATTCATCTTGCTAATGGAGGTTCCGTCCATCGTACATCGTTGGTTTCGAGAACAATATTCTGCGTTAGCACGATAGTTTAGTTTTCGCGGAATCGGAAAGTTGGTATGCATGACTTTCAGTGATAAAGAGCACCTTCCTCTTGTGAGAAATTCATCGTATAAATATCATTCTGAACCCTCCAGCCGCCAAGGAAGACCCCCGCACTGAGGAGCAGCTGCAGGAGGAGCTGAAGAAGGTCGAGAAGGAGTTGGAAGACATCAAGGCCAAGAAGATGGAGGCCGTCACCAAGGAGGACTATGACGAGGCGGACAAGCTCAAGCAGGAGGAGAAGACCAAAAACGCGGCCGTCGAATCCCTAAACGCAGCCATGGAGGCACTGAAGGCGAAAACCGCGGACAAGGAAAAGAAGAAGGACAGTGGGTCGTCTTCGAAAGAAGCAGGAGAGAAAAAAACCGAAACTTCTTCGGAAGAAAAGAAGAAGTCGGAATCCGATGAGGATGCGAATAAATCGGATTCCGATGCAACTGCTAGCGGGGACGCGAAGAAGGAAGAGACGAGTGGGGAAAAGACAACCGGTTCATCGGAGGAAGCCGGTGCGAAATCGAGCGACGAGAAGACGGCTGGGGAGGAACAGCAGGAGCTGTAAGCGATTGTGATTGATGATGAAAAATCCACCTCTGCGGGGAAGGAACGACAACGAGAAATATTAAACATTGCAGAGCTTCTTGTCGCGTGCCGCGATGAACATACAAAATGAACCACATTTCTCACCACTGGAGGGACGTCAACCGCGCATCAGCAAATCTTCGAGCAGTAAGATGACAAGATAAAAACTACGACTCCTCGCTGAACAATACGAACAACAGCGGGCGGTTGTAACAGGAACAGGGCGCTGCACGAGTAACGCACTACACGCCTCGATCTCTGATATGTGGAATTCCCTCTGGGGTGTGAATGTTAAAGTTGAAACGAATATGAAACAAAGACAAGAATGTAACAGCAGCAAATCCATTTTGTACACCCGTTCTTAAAGACAAATGACATTATTTTCAACGAAACTTTTCAACCGTTTGGTATTTTGATTCTCAGAAGACAATGACAAAGAAATATAGCAAGAGCCGCTGTGCATGACGACGGCTTTTTATCGAAGATATATAGCAGCACATAGATGGCTACAGGAGAATGACATAGCAGCCATTCCAAGATAGCACAGATGCTGTCTATATGATAGTACTACAAGAACGAACAAGACTTCATTAGCTTTTTTTTTTTAGAGCGACAGCCCCCTACACTTGGAAAGTTTCCTTTTTGGTAGCACCTTCTAGCGACCCCACCCTTTCCCGTGGCATGTCTCCCCATGATTTTCCGCTCTGTTGCTCAGAAACCTTTGAGAATGAACCGGGTCGCACGAGAAGAAGCCTAGAGTAGCAGCAAAAAAAAGGATGGATCATGATGAGCGAATGCGTTTGGCAAAAAGAAACGCCTGCACAGCTTGCACTTTTCGAAGTTTTGTGTTCCGCTACTTCCCCTTGCAGCTGATCCGAGATGTAGAGAGTGTGGAAATACCAGCCACCTGGCTGGCCCCTCCATGTTTTTGTTTTTTGAGCCATTGTTAATCCTGTCGGGTGCATATCAGTGAGCAGCGCCCTGCCCTCGCTTATGGTGGGGCATGGCGGCCGCCCGTTCCCGCTGTCAGGGGGGGCGGCAGGGCGCAGCATCCGGCGGGGGCGCAAATTGGCCGGCCCGCGATTTGGCTCGCTGGCTGCCTCCCAATCTCCCGAAGAAGGACCCCGCAACGCCTGTGCGCGCGTAGATCGATCGCGGCCGCCAAGGAAGACGCCAACCCGGGCGCGGGCTCCCTGAGTCTTCGCTCGCCCTTGGCCGACTTCCAGATCCAGGCCGGGGCTACCGGACTAGGCGGCCGGCTTTGCCGCCTTTCGGGGGGCGGTCGGAGGGTCCGCGTGCCCATTGGGCAGGGGCGCGCCCGGCGATTGGCGGCACCGGGCCCGCCCCTGTTGATTCAGCAGCGAGGGCGCAGCGCCCGGCTTTGGCGGAAATTAAACGGCCGGCCCGCCCCCAGATGCAAGCACGTCTGCCCCCCTCCTGAAGGGGGGCCCCGCTGTGATTGCCAGGGCCGGCGTTGTGGTCGGTGCCGGCCGGGCGGTGCGGGGCGGCGCCCGCCAATTAAGGCGATCACCTGACTCCGCAGGCTTGCAGTGATGCGCATGGATGGCGTCGCGATAGCAGTACTAAACTCCGACAGCGTAACCACGCAAAGCGTGTGGCTCCGCGCGAATGCCATGCGATTTGTTTCCATCGTTGCGGCTATCTCAAGCACCCCACGAACCTGCCGAAGTTGTCGCGGAGCGCCTTTCTTCAATGTTCGCTCGCAAAGTTGCCACGCGCGCGAATTTGCCGAGCCGCCCACGAGGCGCTGACTGTGTGGGCGGGTGTGCCCGGATGGTCGCGGTAGCAGTCTGCGAGTGGAGTGTCTCGAGTCAGTGGCGGCAGCCGAGCGCAGAAAGAACTCCGCCGACTGCCTGCGGCCCACCCGCGCCACCCCTAAAAGCAACGTAGTTCGGCCCTCTTCATTTGGCCGCAGATTTGCAGTCATATACCAAGCAGGAGGGGGCAAAGAATTACGCGGGCGATCTCGGGGGGGGGGGGGGGCGCCGCAGGCAGCCAGCCAAGCTAGCCGCCCCAATCACGGCCGCGGGGCGGCGCGCTCCATCCTTCCGCCCCGGCCGTCGTGCGTGCGCCCGAACGACCTCGCGCCCGGCGGGCGCAGACGCTCGGCCCGCCGGGGCCTTCCGGGATGCAGGGCGGGGGGGGGGGCGGGTGAGGAGGGCGCCGCCCCTACCCCCGGCCCGCCGGCCGCCCCTCGGCGTTTTATTTTATATCCAGCACGCAGCACCGCAGGCCCCAAAGTGCGTGCTTGGGGGTCCCGTGACCCACCTGCCTAGTGGGCGCGGGTTGTTTGTCTAATACATGGCCAGGCGGTGCTGGCGCGGCGCAAGGAAGTGGGGGGGGGGGGCGTCGCCGCCTTTCTTTGCCGGGCTGGCAGGCAGCGCCAGACCCGCCCTGGCGCAAGCATTCGACCTAGGGGCGATTCTTGTGTCACTTCTTGAAGCCGGCCCGCCCATCAAGCGGTTGCGGCCGGCCGGGGCGTTGTGTGTGTGTCGAGCAAATGGGCCCGTGCCGCCCGCTCGAGTAAATCAATTAGTCAGCAGATAGCCCGGCTTTGAAGGCGTGACCCAGCGGGGCCCCTCCCTCGTCTGTTCCTTTGCATTAATTCTTGTGAGCAGAAGTACTTCAGTTTAGTCTGGCAATAGATGACTGTCGTGTATCGATCTGCTTCTTTTGGTTTGCGCACAGGCGACGAAGTTCTGTTGCCAGTAAGTATCATGCTGTCGCTCAAGAACGACATGAAAAGCATCTTCTTCACAAACTTGCAGTGGACACAACCATCGATAAAAAGGCTAGGTAAGAAGACCCGCCCTTCTAAGATCAAATGTGGTGAACAAAATGCCAACTACATCTTTCACATGTAGTGAACAAAATGCCCCGACATCACTTTCCCGGCAATGTGAAGCTCGCGGCGGTCTTAGAGGTGCAGACTCTGCGCCCGCTATCAATCACCGGCAGCACGGCCGGACTGTGCTTCGAATCCGCGCGCGCGCATTTCTTGCGTTGCAGATTTTCCAACTTCAATTGCACGACCGCGTTGCGTCATCATCGGCCTTTCCTGTTTCTTCAACTACGTCTTCTGCTACATCAACAGAAGAAAGGAGTGGAGGGCTAGGCCTTCGCGCTTCTAGACGACCAGCAGGAAGAACAGCAAGCGCCAACGTTTTACCGCACCTGGAGTTCACGCTCGACCTTTCAAAATCGCTAGGCGAGTCGACCTCAAATTTTGTCTGCGCGACCCTCGATTGGTGGCCGAGAGAGCAGAATGACGACGGCCGCTTTCCTTGGCAGTTTAACACAACGATTCCCTGGCTGGACGCGAAAAAACTTGTTCCCTTTGTGCGGGGAATGCAGCACGAGCGTCCTGCCCCTGCAGGTGGACAAGCGCCTCGCCCTCGCGAGCCAAGGGCACCAGATGGGAGAGACGCCCGTGCGGAGAACGGAAGTCGTGGGGCATCAAATGCAGGAAGCTACGTTCCTAGTACTACAGTTGAGCCCCCCAGTCGCGAGCGAGAGCTTTCTTCAACAATAAATCACCCTCCTGTCATATGGAAGCGTCAGGTTTGAAATCGCCAAAGTTGAAATAATTTGTGATGCATAAACTGCATAGCGCGAAATACGTGTGTTGCAGAGCAGGCAAGGGAGGCCGATTGTAAGCCTGTTCGGGGTTAGAGCTCGAGCTGCTAAAGTAGCATGAGAAAATCAGTCCTCTTTGCCTAAACAGCATCACAAACTGGATTTAAGCATCGCCAAAATTTGTCATGCGCTACTTGGAAACTGGGTTCCAACTGGCATCCATTTCATGCATCACAAACTATTTCAACTTTCACGATTTCAATCCTGACACTTCCATATGTCATCCTTCGTGTTGGCGGTTCCTGCGGCGATTTGATCATCTACGAGGAGCGGCTGGACGAGGATGAAAAAGCGGTGCAGAGCTGGAACCATTTTCGGGAGACACACGGTACCTACCTCCCGAAATCTTCCTTCGAGCCCCACCCGAAACCGGAGCCCTGCCCCGACTTCGAGCCCAACCCAGACAACCCGCCTCTGTATTACACGAACGGCTGTTTGAAACGGGAGAAATTGAAGAATTTGCTGGAATTCTGCGAACAGGCGAACTGCAAGATCATCTTCGGTTTGAACGGGTTGTTCGGGGAAAAACTGGTCCCTCTTCCGAACAAAAATCCGAAAATCCCCGACTACAAGTATTTCGGCCGGTGGAACCCGCGCAACGCGTTTTATCTGCTGTGGTTCGTGAAGTTTGTGCTGCGGAAATCGCACGTGATCCTCGGATTTGAGTTGGGGAATGAGCTAGGCGGGATTCCGGGCGTGCCGGTGAAATTCTCGGTGGAGCATTACGCAGCGGCGTATAGGATTTTGGAGAAGCTGGTGAGCTGGTTTAATGATAACGACGAAACGGCTTTGGACTGGTCGGGCTCCTCCTCGTCGAAAGCGGCGAGTAAACTCCTGGACGGCCGCGGTGACAGAGCACTCTCCAGCACTTCGTGGAAGGTCAGTGACGAACAGCCACCGAGGCAGGAGGATTATGATGTCGCAGAAAATATTAAACCTCGACCCCACGACGGTGCTTCTTCTTCAACAGCGAAGAACACGTCGTCGAAGAACACGCCAGCAGTAAAAACAACAAAGACAGCCTGGCAGCTCTTCGGCGTCGCGAGTTGGTTCGACTACGAGTGGCTTCGGCGGTTCCAGGAATTGCTGAAATTTCCACACTTCACCTTCACCACCCACCTCTACAGCCTCGGGTCTGGGCCGGGGCAAACGAGGAAGGCGTTGATCGAGGGAAAAATCCTGAACGCGACCTACCTGGACGAAATGCACACTGTCGCGAGAAGCAACAAACAACTTCTCCACCACTTCCGAGAAGACTACGGGCCGACGAAGGACAAAAATTTGAAGATCATGCTGGGCGAGTCCGGGGGCGCGTTTGGGTCCGGGGCAACAAACATCACCGACGGTTTCTACTCGGGGTTCTGGTTCCTGGACCAACTCGCGATCTTCGCCATCCACGGGGAAAACGTGCATTACTGCCGGCAGACGCTGGTCGGCGCCTTTTACGAATTGGTGAGCGGGGAGTTCTATCAAATGTAAAAGTGTCTGGGTCTGGAGAAAAGCAGCGCTTGTCATGAATATTTAGCATGACCCCTGATGTCTCTGATGCATGCCCTAGCATCACAGATTTGTTGAGGGCTTTGCGATGCCTGTACTGCATGAGAAATGCCCTCTCCGCGTAACAGAGAATGGACCTCTTTTGCTGGTCACGCTATACAGATTCTGTGTAGAATCCAAAGGCAGCATCACAAGTTGCAACCTTCCAGACCCAGACATTTTTACAGGTGATAAGTTCCTGGTCCCAAATCCGGACTGGTACGTCAGTTCGCTGTGGAACTTATCAAATGTAAGAATGTCTGGGTCTGGAAGATTCTGAGACTTGCCATGCATGTTTTGCATTGGCCATGATGTCTGTGATGCATGCCCTAGCATCACAGATTTTCTGAGGGCTTCGCGATACCCATTCCGCATGACAAATGCCCTCTCCGCGTAGCAAAAATTGCACTCCCTTTGCTGCTCATCCAATACAGATTTTTTTGGAATCCAGATTCAGCATCACAAGTTGGTTCTTCCAGACCCAGACACTTTTACATTTGATAGAACTACTTCATTCGGGAAGGTGGGGAGTTTCTGGAGATTAAGGAAAGCGCTGGGGTTTACTTGCCGCAAGTTCTTGCAAATGGAGAAAAATACGATCCTCTTCGTTTTGCAGATGGTGAAATAAATGGGTGGAGTTATAGTGTAGAGGGTTCAACAGCAGGAGCAGGTAGAACAACAAAGGCCACGACTTCAAAGAATATCCGGATGTATGCGCACCGGCGAGAAGCTGACGCAAGCACTTCCACTGCCGCAGGCAATCACGTTGCAAGAGAAGGCCAAACACTACGTGGTGACATGGTCACGGTGATTTTCCTTAACCTGGGCAACGAGCCGGTGCGGGTTAGCCTTGCAAGCAGCGGCATGTTCGGGTTACCAGACCCAGGCAGTGCTGACAAGAACTCTTTCTCTCTGGTGAAAACACGGGAGTGGGTTTTTGAGGACGTTGAATCTACTACCTTTACTGCAGAACAGCATGATGAGAAACCGAAACGACCAAAGCCCAAAGTCCTCATCAACGGGAAGCCGGTTATTTGGAGGCCGGAGTTTGAGAACGCAAGGATTTGGATCGAAGAGTACGGGAAAAAGTTTCCAGCAGCAGTTTCGACTTCCAATGGAGATGATGTAGCGACTGCGAGGACAGTGGCACCGCAGCTATTGGCAACCGCATCTTCTTCAGAAGACGCTTCCATTCTCCCGCCGCGAAGCTACGGCTTTCTGGAATTCAACCTCGCGACCGCGGATGGCATGGAAAAAAGAGCAGGCACCGCCGGGATGATGACGCAAAAACCGCCACTGCAGAAAAATACGCAGCAAGATGACCAGAATGAACAAGTGTCGGATGCTGATACTTTCTACGCATAGACACGCCTTCTAGAGCTCCAAGAACCAAAAGTAGAAGCACAACAGATGAACTTTCGAGCTTATCATGTGTGTACTGTTTCAGTTTCTGTTTCGCATTCGCAGGCGATTGGCGACCCGTAAACGAGGATGCTAAAGCTGCCGTATGTTTCTTGTGTAACCATAGCGAGGCCCTCGTGGCTTGTTGTCTTCATAAAAAAAGCAATCACCTCACTGGAGGTCCGCAGTCGCAGCGTGTTCGTGCAGCTTCGCCAGTGATGCAAAAAAGAGTCCCTATAATTGGCTCTTGTGCTCCAGGCACAGTAGTTCGCTACACTGTCATTTTCGATATCGGGCAGCCTTTCTAAGTGCGCTTGCGTGAGAAACAAATGAACGCCTTCTCGTACTGTCATCGACAGAATGCAGCTCACACCATCCTTGTGATATTCGATCCACCTCCGGTTCCGGTACCGATTCCAGTGTAATTGCAATGGATCCACCGTGGCGCGGTATTGTTCGCACGCGCATGTATATCTGGTCCGTTTTCCACGACTGATTCGAGTAAAAACTTTTTCTTTTGTGGACGTGGAGGATTTCAAAAAAAAAAAAGTTTATTTCATGTATTCATCGCTAGAGCAGATGCAGATACACCAGTAAATACAACTGATACCCGAGCAGCACATTCTCGCGCATAGATACTTAAACGTACATACTCACACTCTTTTCCTGCTTACACTCACAAAAAGATGTTGTCGGGCCCGATTTTTTTCAAAAAGTATCTGTCTGCAAAAAGATGGTGGAGTCGCCAACTCCATCGGCAGATTCGAAGAGCACTACTGGGCGGGTCTTCGCATCATGGTTCACCCTCGCTGTGCGCTGACGCCGGCGGTAGCGCCTCACAGGTAATGGCATCTCACGAACGCCAGGTGCGGATGTATCACAGCCTCGCGGACGAGAATCCAGCAGATTGCCTCGCGGGTTTGAGATCACATACAGTGCCAGCCTCAGCGCTCTCTAGAGGGTTGACCGGCGTAGGAACCGTTGCAGGCAGGAGCACAGCGTCCTCCTCCAGGTCAACATCATCATCATCATCATCATCATGCCCGAGTGACGTCGTTCATAAAACCGGGAAGACGATGAGTCGTCAAAATCCACCAGCACGACAAGACCACGACCGCTACGAAAATCCCGATCCGCAAGAAGCCGGGATCACGGGCACGGCCTTGACGATTGGAGTCGTGTCCGCGTTGTGTTACGCGGTCGCGTCCGTGGTGTCCTTTTCATCATCTTCGTCCTCCTCGAAGAGTGCAAAAAGGTCAAGTTCCGCAGGGGACGATCGCAGCGCCAGAGGCGGAAAAAATACCGAAGTTCCCGCAGACAGCACGTCGCCCAGAATATCGCCACTGCCGCTTGCCAATCCGGAGGACGACCCTGAGAACTACGACTTCGTTGCCAAAGGCAGCATGCATTTTGTCTACCGCCTGAAGCAGGATATTAAAGGTCGTGACGCAACCTCCTCCAACACCGTGCTTCGCGTCCGGAAGAACAGTCAGCAACAAGCGTTTTACGACGAGGAATTTCGACGGAGGGTTGTCAGATCGCTCTTCCCCGATTGCAACGTGCAGGTGCCGGAGATTGTATTAGCTTCGCCCGAGTTTCTGACCAGACTGGTCGAGCGAACGAGGGCGGCAGACAGTGCTACCTTCTCAGTAGAAGATGGAACTACAGCCAAGTCTTCTACAAACTCGGGCAGCTTGGCGTCATCTTCTTCATCCAAGAACGGAGATGATCTCATCCCGGTTTCTAAGCTCCGCGACGCAACCAGAACGTCCGCGTTAAGGAACACAAAATCTACTTCCGTGCTCACGATCGAGATCAAGCCCAAGTGCGGGTTGCAGGAGATCGAGACGCTGCCGACGCGGTTCGAGATGCTGCAGTACCAGAAACTGCGGAACGGGGAAATCAGCCGAATCACGAGATATAATCCCGTCCAGATGTTCAAACCCAGGACGGCGGCCCGGGCGTTGCAAAACCTTTTCGACGAACCCCAGAATTTTCTGAAGGTGTTTCTCGACGGAAAATTGCTGTTCGGGGAGGAGCTGTTGCGAGGTAGTCCGACCGACAATACCGAATTAGATTCGAATCTTCACGACAATCTGATCGTGGATTTAGCCCGGGAAGCGGGGAAGGCTTTGAAAATATCGGGTGCGGGTGAAGGATCTACTGCTAGCGGACTTCCATCCGCGAAATCAGAGTTCCTTCTTGACCTCGTCCAGCAGGTCGTACAAGCGGACCCCGCTTGGCAACGCATCCTCCACGTGCAGGCGTTCGCGGCCGGGCGAACCGCCGAATACGCCAACGAATTGCTCTATGGATGTGTTAGGATCGAAATCGTCAAAGTTGAAATAGTTTGCCATGCATAAAAATGCAACGCAAAGATTGTCTCTATTGCAGAGGACGCAAGGGAGACAGATTGTAAGCCTTTTGAGAGGTAGAAAAAGAGCTGCTAAAGTAGCATGACAAAAGGAAAAGGCGCCGCCCTTACCCAAACAGCATGACAAACTGGATTTAGGTTCTAAGTTGTGCCCAAGTTTGTCATGCGCCACTTAGAAACTGGGCTTTCAACTGGCATCCATTTCATGCATGGCAAATTATTTCGACTTTGTCGATTTCGAACCTGACAGATCCATATACTCGAGCACTTGCAGCGGACGAAGACAAGCACGAGGAACATGATTCTTTCTGTCGACGACTACGCGGCTGCTTTACAAGCGTCCTATCCTGAGTAAAAACGTACCCACGCCAGAGTTGTAATGCAGATTTGCAAAGACAGGAAGACTTGTAATGCGCATCCCCTGGAGAGCCATTTCCAGTCGTGTTTTGGAATTTGTGATGCTTTGAACAGGATGAGCAGCTGGATTTGTGATGCGGCTGCACTTGCTAACCTGCGCTACACTTTAGAGTGCAACTTGTCATGCGTGACTCACAAAACTCCTAGGTTTGTGTTGCAAAATCCCCATCCTGACTCTGGTGTGGGTACGTTTTTACTCAGGATGCGTCCAAATTTCGTCCCTTTCTGCCCGACGAGAGCGGGATGCGGCTCAGCGAGCGCGAGGGGCGAAAACTCGTGGAGCAGACGAAGAGGAGCGAATTTTTACCGGGGGAAAGGCAGTTTTCGCAGGCCTCGCAAACGGATTTGGAGAAACAGATCGTGGCGTACATTTGCAGGTATAATATGACTGTTGGTGTTGCTTCTTGTTGTAAATGGTACTGAATTTTTCATTTAGCATGACTTTCGTATAAAACTGCAACGGGTCGCTGTGAACATACAAAGCGGCATGAAGATGATGCTATTCCAATTTTCTCCTCGCCCATACCAGGTTCCTGCTCGGCCGCATGGCCATGGATTTGAGCGTGATGATGAATTTCGTACACGCCGACGTGGAAAATCTGGAGCCTCTGCGCAAAGCGGGTTTCCGCCCGTTGCGCGGACAGATCTGGTACCGGCTGACTCTGGTCGATACGGATTCTAAGCCGTTGGACCGGTTACCAACGTATTCCAGGCAGCTGGCGGAGTACGAGAGACTCTGGAAAGGGATGCCGGGTGGCGGATAGGAGTGAGAAAGTGGATTGCTGTGGCGCTGGTCTACTTGATGCTGCGAGGAGGAGCTGACAAGTTCAATGAAGCGCATTTTTTGCGATGGTGAGAGTGATCAAGAAAACACCTACTTCAAGTGAACAGTACTTCGAATCCGCATGCTAGCGCAACAAGCCACTTTTTTGTTGGATGTGATGTCCCCATGCAAATCACGAGTCTTGAAGTTTCACGCTGTTTCGCACAGCACCAATGGCACTACGAGATAAAACACGTATGCGCATACTTACAGTAGACGAATACCACTAAAAGAGCCGAGTCGTGGAGAATGTTGGAGCGTGTTCACGTGCTAGCTGACTGTGCTAGGCAATGATATACACAGCGAATTCAAAATATACGTATGTATCAAAGTCAAACGAAACATAGAGAGTAGAGTACGAGAGCTGGCGAGCGCACCAAAAAAAAGCAAAAATGCAAACCTGAGTGTAATGATGTTTCTGTTTCAGAAGTTTCATCTCCGACTTGGCGAAAGCGCCTATGTAATGTGTAGTTTTTCTTGCTGACTCACACATGTCGCCATGACCCCCCTGCCAGACCTAAACGAGTGACTCGCTCAAGATGATTTTTATCTTTGAAAGTAGGCCTGCCCATCTCAATCTCGAACGCCATAAGTAAGAAGCAGTAGCTCCCAGTAGTACCACTAAGAATCTTCTTAATCTTCTTCTTTGAAGAGCGTCATATATAAGTTTCATCAACCAAGAGAGAAGATTTACTGCTATCTAAATTCTTCATGCTCGGCATCCTGTTTCTTCTCGTTCTTTGTTTGAGCCATCTTGTCAACGGCGATAGCGAGAGAAAGGCCTCAGACGAAGCAGGAGCCACCAGCACGGCTAGAAACTCTAGTCCACAAACACGAAACTCCCTCTCCCCGAGGACTAGCTCAACTAGAGAAAGAACAAGAGGCATGAGATAGTCGTGCTGGTGTACAACTAGACTAGTAGGTGTCGCGCCAAAGTGTTCCTGAAAGTAGATTTTCCATACTAGATTAGTTTGCCCTGTTGCCCCCTCCTCTTTTCTCCCACACACAACTTCTACGCCCTTTTTTCTTTACCGAACTAGAGAGCCCTAAGTCATGTCCGCCGCCGCCTCGATCCGTACTTCGGTCCGGCAAACCCGGTTCTTCGCGACCACAGTGAAGCGCGCCGTTGACGCCCCGGCGCGGATCGAACTGAAGATGGGCGTAGGGCTTCGGAACCGGCGGCCGAAGGTATGGGACGGCACGGGGGAGGTGAACAGGTTGAAACCGGTGTACTCGAAAGACCAAGTGAAGGAGTGGCGAGAAACCTTCAAAATGCCCAAGCTGCAGCATTCGCTGGGCAGACCGAGCTACAGTGACGACGACATATTAACTTGGAGAGCGGTCTTTGACAAGTATAACAAAGATCGTTGGACTGTTCGACAACTCTCGAACTACTGTAGACGGATCGAAATCGAATTGACTTTCCAAAACAGGTGCAGGCGTTTAAGTAGTGCACCTCAGTGCCACTGTCAACTACACGCTAGTGATTACTTATGTTGACCCCGTCCTCTTCGAAGTAAACATCGAACAAATATTAACTCAGGTACTGCAGTGGGCAATCCGGACAGATCAACCTGACAAACTTTCAGAAGCTACTGCAGGAAAAGTACCCCGACATTCCGGAGAAGGAACTTCCTTCGCTCGTCATGCGACACTGGAAGCAGTTCGATTTGGACGGGAACAACTTTATCGATTTCGGCGAGTTCTGCAAGGTGTCCTTCAAAGTGGACGTGTCCAGGATGCGGGAGTCGATTTTTGACGGCGGGAACAAGGAGAAAATGAAGGAAATTTTCTTGAAGTACCAAGAAGACGGCTACATAACGGAGACCGGCCTGTTTCAAATGATGGAAGACTACCGGTTCACCTGCGCAACCACGAGCGATTTGCGAAAGTTGTTGAGCCTGATTGACTATCCATTGCAAATTATGTCTGGGTCTAGAAGACGAGCGCAGGTTTGTCATGCTCAGCCAGCATGACTCTCAAGTCTGTCATGCAGGTTATGCAAAAGCCCCGACTTTCTGTCATGCAAAAACCAACGTACTTTGTCAACACACAACACGTAGCAAGTCAGAAACTTGTCATGCCGAGCCGTCACTTGTGGCCTCCTCATGATTTGCCTCTCAGCGTCACAAGTTTCCAGACCCAGACACTTTTACAGTCCACATTTACAAGGACAAGGACAACATGCTGTCGGAGCTGGATTTTGAGTCCTGGGCAAAATCCGAAAAAGACTGAAAATTGATGATCTTCAGAGGAGTACTGTTTGATGTATTTGGTGGCGTGCAGCTGCATTCGCATTCTTTTTCTATGAATAAAACGAATGCTGCGCACAGTCTACTGGTAAGACACTGTTTCAGAAACTGCAAAAATTCTATACGATCATTTTGGTGCTGGTACTGGATCCCCCTCGTCGTGGTGTCGTGAGCAGAACGACAGCAGAACATAAGCGATTTTGCTGGATCAAATCTGTGTCTTTAGAACTCTTATATTTTCCACCGGCTCAGGATCTTCGATATGTGGCGTTTCATTGCGGAAAACGAAACTAAAAAATACTCGTTGCCTTCAGTCGCATATGCAGGAGCCGTGCAGTAGAATAGATACTTTGCGATGATGTACTGACTTTCGAACGAGCAGAAGAAAGTAGTGCAGCGGCACAACACCAAAGATCAACGTGTAAACAAAGATAATTTCTGTACTATCTTGGTTACAGCTCTAAAATAAAATATTGGAAGCGCGTTTGATCCACAGGATTACCTTCTATAAGGAAAGAAGGAGTTTTCTGATGGCGAAAACGGAAAGGATGAAGATAAAAATCGTATAGGTCATCAAGGCTTGAAATCAAGATGGAAAATGAAAGAGACACGTTGTCAATTGAAGGTAACTGTAATTGACACCGCAAGGCTAAGGTTAACAGAAAACGGTTGCAACCCTCGATGCCTTCATCCGGAGAATTCCATTCGAACAGACACAGGGAAATGTATGTACGTTGTTTTCGTGGTATTTTTTCCAGTGCTTGGCTTGTCCACAACAAACAGACGTCCTATGGTTAGGTTAAGAAAGAGATAGCTTAGTAGATAGAAGCTGGCTATAGAGTTTTCCTCCTCCTCTTCCTTTTTCCAGATAGGATTCTTATTCTTTCTCTTTGCGATCATCGTGCCAGTTTGTTTTTCATCTCGTAGTGATCATCCCTGTGGAAGATCAATCGGTTGTCTTGCTCTTATCTTAATCTTCGCACCAGAACAAGCACAATAAGCGTACCTTCCCTATAAAAAAAATGCAAAGCTTCGCCCAAGACGTAGCAGGTGGTGGCCAGCCACTGCCACAGGTACCACTAGTATCACGGAACAACGACAGAAAGTTAACAAAAACTGCTCCACGACAAGCACTATCCTTTGTCAGCGATAAAATCGCAGCAAGAAGAACAAGCGCTACCCTAAAAGGTCAAATAAGAGATCTACGTGCACCACCTTCCAGCGAGCATGCCGTGCGCCTGGCATTTCTGCGGTATTGTGGCGCCCCCCCCTTCACGCGGGGGGGGGGGGGGCGTGGAGACGCGCAGGACGAGGCGCTGCTCTGCTCGCGGTTTTTTTTGTCTCTCGCGCTTTTGGCGCTGTGTTAAGCAAGAACCACGACCACACTGCACATTTCCCGTATGCCGGCGCAGCGACCGCGATGAGCGATTTGCCGTATTAAGTATTGCTATGCTTCTATTTCCACGCCTATAGAGTTGCCCTTCCCCTTGCACAGCCAAGGTCGCCGACCACTATTGCAGCGAGGCCCGGTATTTCTGCAGTCAGGAATCTTTGGAACCGCTTTGGAAGGAAATAATCCGACGGCCCGCCGGGCTGCAGCGAAGATGAATGCACAGCATCACGACCAGAGCGTGTCGCACAAAGTCGAAGGCGGGTGGTCGTCAGGCTACGAGGCCGGCGGAGAGGCCGCAAAGACGTCGACAAGCAGCGCCAAGATGAAAGCGCTTTCGGAAAGCCACGCCGACGCCGAGCTGAACAATGCGGACTACCTTGAGGCATTATACTCGCAGCAGCTCTACTGTCTCGCAAGTGCGCCATTTGGTATTAAGACGCTTCCACGTCGTTGTCAAGGGAGGCGCGGGCGGTTCCACACGAGTTCTACAGCAGATAGTGAGGCTCCCCCTGCTGGGGGGCTGCGGAGGGTTGAGGCCTGCCCATACCTCGGAAGTTTGGGCATACCAAGCTCGCAGGAACCTAGCGAGCAGCGTGCCCCGTGCATCTTTTTCAGCGAGGCAGAGCCGGCGCCGTCGTCGTTAGACAGCGGGAGCGGCTCTCGTGCTGGTGATGAATGCAGCAACGTTATCCCGCCGATGAGGACATACCAGGGGCAGGGAGCTGCAGGAGACGGAGACTCCGACAGCGAGCCAGGCTTTCTATTAGGGCTGCGCTCCGGCTTCAGCAGGGCGACCAGTTGCGGCAGCCGCAGCGATTTTGGCGCAGCAGAACCGCCAACATCGGGCTCCTGTCACGCTACCGCGTGTTCCGGGGTTTAGAAGTACTCGGCTTCTTCGGTAAAAAAGGTGTGAGTGTCGAATGCCAGTGGAAATGAGAATAACTGTATCGAGCACACACGAAACCCGATTACAGTAAGTTGCAGAACCTAGTAACAAGGAAACGTGGACCACACGACCGCCAGCGTGAGTCACTCGCGAGTACGAACCGGGCAGAAGTAGAAAGAAAGAATAATAGAAAATATGATGATTTACAGTAATTAACCCTGCGGAGTGCCAGCTATGGAGTGCTTTTTGTGTTTTGTTCTTTTCGAAGACTCCCACTGGTACTAGCACAAGAGCTCCAAATTCGATTTCGAACTCAAATAAATATAAATGACAAACCACAGAAGTCAAGATATAGTGACTCTCTCTCTCGAGATATAAGACCGATAGGGTTGTAGTCTCGCGAGATTTTCTCGTGAATAAATTGCAAATTGTAAACTGTGCCTGTAGTTGTGCAACAAACACAAACACAAACTCAAACTACAACATGTATGATACGCACCACCTCCTCCTGGGCCTCTACTGCCTTCTTTAAATTTTTTCCAATTTTACCTGCCTTATGTAGGAGGACCATGCATTTGTATGTTGAATGTGACCGTGCGACGAGAAGTGCTGCCTGCACATGGGCCGGTCTTTTCGATATTATGCCTGACTTCTTCTCTTGACTATGCACCACTACGACCACCACAAAAATGGGAGGCAAGATTTGGACTCCCAGTTACCTACCAACAACTACGAGCTTGTCAAAATACCCTTTGCCGTGCAACATCGAATCTGACCTCTTTTAGGGTCGTCGTGTTGACCATAGGCAGTATGAGTTTACGATGGTGCTGGAGATCTCCCAACAAAATTTTACCGCCAAAATATTAGTTTTCTAAAAGTGCTTCGCTTTGCTTTTTTTTTGTTTTTTCTTTATGTGTGCACTGCAACTGTTCTAGTTCTACCTCGTCACGAGCGAGGATTCGCAAGAAACGCACTGACTTGCGAGTGCTTTCCGAAACACTACTCGGCTCGACTTGACTGGACTTGCGTTGCATCCAGGCGAGCTACGACATCGAAACAAAAGGAAGATTTAGATACTATCGTTTAGAGCTACTAGAGGAGTACTACTACTCAAAATAAAAATATGTCCCTACTGTAGGGAAGAAACGAACGAGAAAAGCAACAAAGAGTGCTCTAATGTAAAAACTTAGAATCGCGCTTGGCGTCCCTTCTACATCTACACGGAAAAAAACAGATTTCTCTTGGAGAAACGAACAGCAAAGGATAAAGAAGGTAAAGTCAACATGAAGACTTCAAAGAAAGGCTGATTTAGCAGATGGAAGACGGAAGAGACACGCTGTCATCTCGAGGTAGCTGCCACCGCAAGGTAAGCAGAAAAAGGTTGTCCTCGATCGCTTTCATCAAGATAATTCCAGTCGAGCAGCCTTGTTTTGGACAGCACACGTGAGTAAGTATTGCGTTCGTGTCATTTTTGCGATATATTGGGATTGTTTGCCATGCTCGTCGCAGCCCGCTTTACATCACGCGGTAAGTTGTCAGCCGCCGTCTTAATTCCGACGCGTGTAGTGGAAAGATGCATCGAGTTGATGTGATCAAAGGTGATCGTTTTTCTCTGAAGAGGATGTTTGCTTTACAGCAATAATGTCACTCTCGTGTCAACTATTTTTCATCTGGACCGCCGTCGTGATCTTGGCCCAAAGCAGCGCATTTTTCGGATCTGAGACAATCTTCTGATTACGCAACGCAACCACGACTGACCAAGATCCTCTGCATGATTTTGTATGATCAAGTACAAGATCAAAAGCAAAATAGATAGAGATACACCCGTGTCGCATCAGTGTGTTAATTCTTGTTTTGCCTTTTTATTTTTTCGAACTCTTCTATGTTAGTCTTCACCTTCAGACGATGGTGCATGCAGCAAGGGATGTTTGATAGCAACCAAGTTCATCGGTGTTAAGCGGATTTTTATCTGACCCGTTCAATTTTTTTTCTTAGAATTGAAGTTCGTTTGTATTCCCCAGCCGGTTCTGAGTCTTCATCCTCGATTTGTTCATCCGTTCAGTTGATAGCGACAACATCAAGACGTCGCAAGGACACTATGGCTCGCGCTCGCACTAATACCACGCAGCCAGCAGTTGCCCCCACGGCAATCAGCTCCACTTCCCCCGATGCGACGAATAAAACCAGCGCCGCAATTGGGAACAATAAAGGTAAATCGCTTCTGCCGCAAGTCCTGATCCGGCCGCAGACGGATTTGCACCCCAAGTCCAGAACCTTCATCCGCGACGTGGTTGAGATTCTGTACGAAAAAGTTTTCCTGAACGGTGAGGACACGTTGAGGCTGGCGAAGGAAGTTGAGGCGGCGACAAAGAGGGCGGGCGACAGCACGACACCTGCAACGAGCATCGACGACGACGGAAAATGGCTGCAGGAGGCACTGATGCCCGAACAGGCGATCCAGCCTTCCTACGATTCCGACCAGGATGCGCGGCAGTACATGAAGCGGCTACAGTCGAAGCAGAAACACCAACTCTACGTTGATTGGGTGCGAAACGTGTTGGATTCTCGGTACGGAGGTGGCTGGCACGTGCTTTTCGGAAAGGATATGGGGTATTCTTTAAGTTTGTACTGCACAAGGATTCTGAACTAGGTGTCGAGGAATCTTCTTCAGCTTTTTTCCGTCGTCGTGAATTGGAATTGCTATGTGGTGTTTCGAAGTTTTCTTTACTTCTAGACAACGGACAGGTGGAGGACACGACAATAAAGTGGAGGTAGCTTTGAAGATACCTCCGAGCCTCTTCCAGTACTACTCCTACATCAGTGAGTTGGCATCAAGTGTTTACCGTAGCTGCATTTCGATTTCTTTATCTTTTTATTCACTTGTTCGTCCTACACAGCTTTTCCAAAATAATAAAAACCCCTAGGTTCGCCATGCGGTACCGCAAAGGATCTCTTGGCATGTTCAGCATCGGCAATGCCGTCAGGGTGATCGTCTACAAATCTGGCCCGGAGGGCACCGCGCTGCACAACAATCGCCTCGTGTGCACCCGACCGCCCGAAGTGAAAGCCGCCGCGTACAGTCTGACGGACAAAGACTGTCCGAAGCTGCAAATCGTCGGCTGGTACGGGTACTGTGCGGAGGAGTGGGAGGACGAGGAAGTAGGAGGAGCAGGAATGTTGACACATGGGGAGAAAGAGCAGGAGGAGGCGAGAGAAGAGGAGGCGAGAGACGGCAAGGAAGCTCTACAACCGCACGAACCACGAGCCGCAGGCGGAGCAACAGAGGGCAACGACCCGACTACTGCTATTCAAATAAAACGGAAGGAACAAATCCTCGAGTTCGCCCGGTCCCGGAAGCGGTTCGAACCGGTTATCGATGCGTTGACGAAGGCGGTTCCGTTTGAGGCGAGCGATTCCGCGGTGTTCGCCAGGTCTTTACGGTACCAACTGACCAAAAACGCAGTGTTTGAGGACTTGGAAAAGGAAAAGAAAAACGCGGGAGAAGGCGCATCAAGTGCTTCGTCGACCAACACTGCTACGTCCAACCTTACAGTTGAAAATATCCATTGCAAGGAGAGTTCGCAGCGGGATCTACTTCCTGAAGAAGGGGACATCAAGCAAGCGTCTAGGACAGCCTCCGGAGAAGCAGAGATCACATCAGCCTCCACGACCTCGCCGTCTTTGACAGTCTGTCAGCCGAAAGCGGACAGCAGTTGGCACTGCTACATCGGGTCGGACTACGCGGTGTCGACGGCGGTGACGGCGGAAAACCAGATCACCGCCATGTACAAAAAGAAGCGCGTCATCGTCTTCCAGCACTGCAGTCCGGACGACCCGCAGAGCTTTTCCCCGGTCGCGCTGGCCAAAACGGTCTTCTCGGATGGGCAGATGTTGATGAAAATCCTGCCGTACTTGTGTCTGTTTCTCCTCGGCATCTGGTATTGCAGCCGCAAAATCCTCTGCGTCGACAGGGAAAGTCTCGCAGGAGGAGCCTTGGCGGCGGACGGGACGGGACACGCGGAAGCGGTGGACAGATCGGAGGCGTCAGCAGAAAACCTCACAGATACGGCTGTGGGTCCAAAACTCACTGTGCACCCCAACGTGGAAGCGTACACGGGTCAGGACTTCGGTTTTCTCGTCGACACCGCGCTTTGCCGACCGGATCTGGAGAAGAGTGGGATTATGACGTACGTCGCCGGGCTTTTTATAGCGATGATGGTCGCAAGGAGCGTGTCGGGGAAGATGGGCGGGGGTGGAGGCGGAAAGAGATAGCGGAAATAATGAACAACCCCCATCGGACAGACAGTTTTAGCTCTCAAAGGTATGCTGTTGCATCAAATCAAAATGAGAAAAAGCGCATGAATTCCAGACAGCGATTTATACGACAGTTATGGCGAGGTCGAGGACACCGACTTATTGAAAGAACCTCCCATAAAGATAAACGCGAAGCTACAATACCCGCAGGAATTTATGACGAGCATCCTCGTGCAACTGAAACCGTACGAACGTAATTGGACTTCCGCCACGGTACACGACGCGGGCGTTCAAATGAAGAATCAGATGAGTCTCTCTGTCTCTCTCTCTCTCTGGTGAGGGAGACGCACGGACAACCTCGATCGGCGGGTTCTCTTGTTCGTATCTACTCGTCGCCGTGCTTCATCTCAGAAAGGCACGTCTAAATCATTTACCCCTCTGGTCATCCTGACTGCCCCAGGCCCCACGAGGCGGCGATCTGAAACAGGTCGGTCGTGTCTTTTATTCGTCATGTCGAAAATACAAATTTTTTTGCCTTCCTCGTCGTGAAGTAGCCAGACATTGAGGACCAGCACAAACCATGTCGGTACCTGATCTTGTTTGCTGATGGAAACTGAAGGTAGTCAAGTTTGAGAATCCAAAGGGCGTGCGTGTCCCGAAGGCGGGTTGGCCGCACGGCACTGGTGTTTGCGTTTGGTATGAAAGAATCATTGGAATGCGATTACTTCTACACAGTTGGGTAAATCATTCACACATTCCGTGACAAGAAAAATGAGGAAAATCAGTGAGCTTCGTATTTTTTTTTAGGAGTATGTTTCTTGATGTTCCGGCTGCAAATGTTGGTGCTACCATTGCTAAATTACATTAGCCCATGCCCAGTAAGATAATTGCAAAGGGGGTGGATCACGAAGACCGAGATCATTCAACAGTAAGGTTTGATAGTTCTTTTATTGCTACAGTACACGCTTCCTATGAAGAGCAAGAGCAGGATGAATTCAAATCATTCAATGATCATACAGATAGCTGGAAGAGAAAGAGAGCAGTGAGAGGAAGCCTAAGCAGCTCCGGTGGTACTGACACAAACTACATTCGACCGCACGGCGGAATGATTGCACTGTTTCAATCTGCTCTTCGCGAACTACCGCTATTACCTTCCAGGTTTCATTCCCCGCCTTTTATTTCCCCATGAGATTTGGTCTGCAAAAAACACCTATACCCAACGCATTTTTCTTTTACGATTCTGCTTCAAGAACAAAACATCACCCAATAGTGTCATTGCCGCACCCACGACGATTGCTAGCCGACCTGCGCAATTAGTACCATTGTTCCTCCCACTCAAGAGTATTCATTTCTTTTTCAGCAGATACCGATTTATATTTGGAATCATGCCCGGCGAGCACGGTCCGGGGATTTGCAGTTGCCAGGACGAGCACAACGCCCTGGGGTTGACGGCCAAATGGCTGAACCCCCACATCGCGCTGGACCAGGCCACGGCACTGAACGTGGACTCGGGCGACATCAAGCGGGTTTTGAAAAAATCCTACGACAACCGGCTCCGGGATGAGCTCGGCTGCGTCACGACCCCGGACGACGACAACGAAATGCTGGTGTTCATCCCGTTCTCCAGTCCCGTCATGCTGCAATCCGTCTACATCATCGGCGGCGAAGGGTCCCAACACCCGCGGAAGGCGCGGCTGTTCGCGAATCCGCCCAGCAGCTGCACCGGGTTTTCGGAGTTCGCGGACCGGCAGCCCGAGCAGGCGCTGGACCTCGCGGAAGACCTCTGTGGGGCGGTCGAGTACCCAGTAAGGGCGACCAAGTTCACAAACCTGCAGCAGCTAGTCATACACTTTGAAACGGTATATGAGCTTTCATTTTTATTTTCTACGTAAAGTGCTTGCATTTTGTAAAGTTGCAATTAGTGGCGCCATGGAGTCTGCTCATCATCACTGACGCCGGATAGAACGAAGCATCGTCTCGATGAACATAGAAACTCAAATTTACAATTTTGCGGTCGCTGCAGCACCCGCCCAAATAGATTGCCACTTACAGCAGGACGGTGCAGGATTTCCGCGCACGGAGAAAGTTGTATTACCAGTTTCTTTGATGAGGCCTTGCCGAAGAAACGCAAACGACTTTCCAGAAAAATCAGCGCCGCGTTGCTTCCGAGTCCTGCGTCTCTGGGATGAATACCGAACGCATAAAACTATCTGCGCCGCCCAGAAGTTTCTCATTCTCTGCAAGCTTTTCTAACGCGCTCTGCCCACGCCCAAGGCCTTCCCGCGCGCGCCCCGTTTCCGCATGCATTCGTGCTACAGCTACTTCTGTGTAAGTATCTATAAAAATAACAAATCATCTGTGTAGCAGTAGCTGACAGGGACGTCTTGTGAATATTTAGAGCGGCCTTCATCTACACATTGTTTGATTGAGGCCAGACTCTTAATGAAAAAGATGAAAAACTGCTCCCCTCCACAAATGATCTCATTTGAGGCTAGAAGATTTATTTACCCACGATTATAGTGCCACGACTTATACATAGATTTTCATCCTTTTTCCAAATCTCGTACACCACTTTTACTGTCGAAAAACATCATAACTACAGGACGAGACAGCTGAGGAGAAAGAGGTATTTTGGATCGGCCTCAAGGGCACCCCAACCGACTACAAACGGCAAGCGGTAATCACCGTGTACGAGAGCCAGGCCAACGTCGCGGATCACGAAGCACCCGAGGAAGCGTTCGCTGCCAACATGATGCAGCACTGATCACGATAGTGCTTGCCGCTCCTCCTCCTGGAAGGCGTGCTTGGCGAGGACCACGTATTGAACGTGAAGACGGGCGGGCGGCAGGCGGCGATGCAGCGCGGCGGTATCATGTACTACCGGGTCGTGATGTTCATCCTCTGCTAGCGCTCATTGTGGGGGCCGAGTTGGTCGTGGGAAGAAGGAAATGCAAGAAATGCTTGCTCGCCGGAGTTCAACAGTTAACGACAGCCACATCATGTACGGGCGTTGCACATCAACCGGTCGACGTCGCGAATCTCGACGACCAGCGGTGGAGGCCGACGCGGTCGAACATGGCAGGATGCGGACGCGGAGTCGGAGTGTACTTGGGTAGCTCGACGGGGACGGAGGCGCCGGGGTTGTTACAATGACGGAGCGTTCAACAACAGGGACAGGACGACGAGGAAAAAATCGCTCAGGCCAAGTTGTGCGAAGCTTGCTCAGAAGTAGAGCACACACGCCACCGTCAGCAGCTTTTGCCAGAAGAAAAAAAAGCGAATGAATGGCGTGGTCATGGTGCTGGTACACAAGCACCACGATAGAATGTCGTCTTTTGTCTTCAAACTCGCAAGTTTTACTGGCGACACAGAGAAATAACAGAAACAGCATCAAACTGAGTGACAAGTACTGTTGGGCCGCACAAGTAGGATGCGATGCGCCGACGCAGCACAATCGAAAGACTTTTCAACGCTAGACTCATCTTCGGAGTTTCCATGTTGAGGTACTCCTGATTGAGCTTGACGCAGGCACTCATTTCAATTTACGGAGGTAGCTTGCTCGTCGGCTGCAGCTCCTACAAAGTGTTCATAGACGTATTCAGAGCCAGAATTTCGTTTGCACCTGAAGAGTAGCGCCGACAATCCTGGCCTGTGTACGTGTGACTAGGCACGATATCATCTCCTTAGTAACATAAAGAAGATCCACTTGATGCGCACCCTCTTTGCTATTCCTGATTTGAGGTTTTAGTTCTATGGGCCTGGTGCAGCGGGAAAGCACTTCACAAGCAAAACCCTGTCGGTACTGTTTTGTTTTCCTACCACTACAACTGCAAGGACTACACCATGCCCCCTCCACCTGCCGTGGAGCACAGCCACGCCGCTTGTAGTTCCTCCGATGAGGAAGGTGAAGCGCTCGGCCTGAATATCACAGGAAAAAGTGTTAACGGTAACGGAATTTGTGATGCAGTATCGCACCACAAAACGTGCCCAAAATTGTCATGCATAGCATGCATGCTAAGCAAAATTTGTCATGCATATTTGCAATCCATGAAAATAACCGTTAACGTTAACACTTTTTTGTTTGATACTGAACACCAAATGGCTCAACCCGCACATTGTGCTGGACCAGGCCACCGCTTTAAACGTGGAGAGCGGAGACATCAAGCGGGTCTTGCAGAAGCTTTACGACGACCGGCTTTGTGAAGACGAGGGAAAAGCTGTAGTCGCCACACCGGATGATGATAATGAGATGTTGGTCTTCATCCCCTTCTCTTCCCCCGCGCAGCTGCAATCCATTTTCGTTATCGGTGGGGAGGGGTCCCAGCACCCGCGGAAGGCGCGGCTGTTCGCGAACCCGCCCAACAGCTGCACCGGGTTTGCCGATTTTGAGGACCGCCAGCCGGAGCAAGTGCTTGACTTGGCGGAAGACGTCCGGGGCGTCGTCGAGTACCCGGTAAGGGCGAACAAGTTTGCAAATCTCCAGCAGCTCGTCATTCACTTTGAGACGGTATCTATAACGCTGCGAAGGGTCTTGTTGCGTGTTGTTTTTCTGTGTCGAAGTTATCGACGATATCATGCGAACACCCATGTGAAAAGATTACAGGTTGGTACGCAGCAGAGCAGGTTTCGTTTCCAATTTAGCGAGACTAGCTCAACAACTTAAAAAACTTGTGATACGTCGAAAATCACACCACTGAAATCAGGACGACTCCGCCGATGAGAAGAAAGTCCTTTGGATCGGCCCTAAGGGCACCCCCACCGACTACAAGCGCCAAGCAGTGATCACCGTGTACGAGAGCCAAGCCAACGTCGCAGACCACGAGGCACCCGACGACGCCTATGCGGCGAATCTCTTGCAGCACTGATGCGGGGGACGGCCGCTCTGATCGACTGCAGCGGATAATTTCCTCCATTCAGCAAGTGCAAGCGTAAGAACGTCACTTGGAAAGATCCGGTCTGAGTCTGAAGGCAGCGTGGGCCAAAACTGCCCTCTTGCACCCTCAGCGAGGAGGAGTTTTCTTTTTCGAAGTCATTCGTTTTAAGTATGAATTCGGTTTTGCATATGCATTTAGCCTACTACTTACAGAACTTTTGGAAGACAGAAGGTTTTTGTACGATGATCGGATTTTTCAAAAAAATAAGGACCCGCTTTCTAAAGCTATTCTGAATATTCTAAACCCAGCAACGACGCCAGATCGTGTTGCGGGCCGAGGTGTCACGACGTCCATGTGTAATTATCAGCAATTTCTAAAAATGTACAAATTAGTTCGTAGACACGAGTAGAATTGGCGACAGCTTACGAGTCAAATGTGTAAGTGTTGCAGTCCTTCAGGTAAGTTTCTCTATATTCAGTTGGTGAAGTTGTATGCTGTTGTTGCGTTACTGTTTTACTAGTGGTTCCTTTGAGACTAAAACTAATCCTTGTGGGAGATGAACTGAAGTCCTTTATTGGCCAGCAGAAAAAAATGAGAGCGTTCCTCTGCAAGACGCATTTGTGTCTATTTCAGGAGCCTTTTTCGCGAATGAAAATTTCGTATTTCATATTTGATGAAAAATATCATTCTACGTACTTCTGGCATCGCAGAGTTTTAACACCAGTGGTTTCATCGTATTGAACGACGTTTGCACTTTATTGACGGCCGCTCTAAAAAGTGGAGAAAAGATTCCAAGAGGCGCGCAACTCTTGACGGATGTAGTTTCATCGAAGTTGTGCGCTTATTGGCTGCACAAGCAGGGCCACGGGCCGAAACGGTGGTCGATGGTTTGGTGAGGAAGACGAGTTCCGAGGAGACGTCCTTCAGAGCCAGATTGTCTAGCTGTCCTTTTCACCAACTGGGCAGCCACCATGAGCCACAAGCGAACGGAGGCAGGTTTCTTCATCTTCTGCTTCTCGATTTCGATTTTTCGGATGTAAGGACCTAACACTTCGTGCGCATTGTTCGAATCATGTTGTAATTGATCGTTCGAATCATGTTGTAAAAAACCCGTAGTCGTTGGCGCTGGTAAAATGCTTCGGCCCAGCTTGCTGTCTAACCTCTCGTCTCGTCGATGCTTGTGCCGCGCACAAGCTCTCGCCGTCGCACTGCGTTTGCTTCTTGTGCTTGCGTTTTCATGGCCGAATCTGAGCAGCTTCGTGGCACTGGCAAGAACCACTGCAACACCTAGCACACCGCCAGACAGGCCAGTCCAGGCCGAAGCAGGTGTGGAGAACGACGCAGCAGGTGATGGAGCGGGCCCGCACCCCGACGCCAAGCTTTCGAAGCCGAAGCAGGCGCCCGGCACGAGCAAGCACCGCCGGAAGAAAAAAGTCGTGAAGAGAAGCTATGTGACGCTGCCGGAGTTGCCGGAAGCCCTGCTCCCGCACAAAAAGGACCGGTATGGGCTAAGGGAAATGCTGAAAGTGGATCTTCGAGTAGCTGCACACGAAAGCAGCCGAGTAGCGTCAAAACAAGTAGATGACGACGCCCCCGTCGCCTCCTGGATGGTCGAACCACGGTCACTTATCTCCTCATCGTCTACTCCGCCGAGCACGGACGGAGGTCTTGTCCCTCTCTCTACTTGGCAACAAATCATCGATTCCGAGGACGAGGGGCGGTTTCGCGACATTGTGGAGCAGTTCTACGAACGCACCTGCCGTGCTGACGTTTGGCACGCAATCGATGACAACGAGGACGGAATTTTGTCCCTGGACGAATTCAAACAAATGCTTTCGCAGGCTGAAGAACACTTTGCTGCTGCGATGAAATCTGAAGCAACAGCAGAACCTGCAATAAATGCGGGCACTACAACTGCCAAGAAAAGCGTCAAGAAATCGTCAAAACCACCTACCTCCGCAGTGTGGGCGTTTTGCTTTGAAGCGTTACACGCAGCTTTTTGGCGGTTGGAGTTACAGGAGCGGACGGTGTTGGAACCGGATGTGGTCATGAGGGAGCTGAAAACGTTTTTGAGTAAAAACACCGACTTCCTGGAAGCGAGAAGGCGGGTATGAAAGGGAGCAGAAATAAAGTGATTCCAGTGCTAGTAGTGTTGAAGATGTGATGAAAAGCATGACTTAATGAAGTAGAGTTTTGTGATGTGTGTATGCATTTCTGTTGATACAACATGACGAACATCAAGAGCTGCAGGCTCTTGTGGTAGTAAAGCGAGGCTGAACTTGATGTAGCTCCTGTTGACTTCTGCATCAGGGTAGTAAGTTGTGGTCTGGTGCAGCTGCGACCAAGATCAGCAACTGCATACCAACACAAGTCACAAAACCAATATGTGACAAACACCACTGCAAGTCGCAACAAGAAACACTTTTTACCTGGATAGTGTGCATTCGATTCGTTGCCTGGCATCGTGGAAAAGATGGAGGCAGCACAGCTGGAGGGAGCGGGCGGCTCCGAGAAAAGTAAGAACGATAAAGAGCAGGAACTGTAGAACCAAAGCACCGAAACATTTTGATGCATACTTTCCTGGAACTACACACTAGTACAGCTTCTATTGTCACAGTACCATTCACACATTGCGGAAGTCCTCGTGCAATTCCGAGCACGTCGCTGCTGAAATGGCTGCGTCAAGCTGAAGTGGCTGCGTCCACCTGACAGTGGAGCAATGCTGTTTTTTCATAGCTGTGTCTGGTTTCCAAGACGATGAGAAATGAGATGTGAGATACACACACCAATCACAGACAAGACCAGCCGACGAGCGCAAAATTTATCCTATTGCTGTGGCTTGATATTGATCTAATCTGTCGTGTGTGTGGCCGTGTGGAGTTCTTTGTCTCTGAAGAGCGACGCTAGAATGAGCGATCCATGATGTGGCTTGCGCGGGAGGTGCGTTTGCGTAGGACCTCTTCATGCGGCCTATAGTGCCAATATTGCGTACATCGCACCTAAAACTTCGGTGCAGTTTGATGATTCATTGTATTACGGCCATTTCCGTTTAAGCCACACCATGCAAAATGACATGCAACTGTGGATGAAGAAGTAGGCCAGAGCTCCGAAGCCCTCAAAATCGACACCGCCGCAGCATCACTTGTGGTTGCGCCGGGTTCCACGCGGTTTGCTCGTTGCCGGCTTATTTCGAGGTCCAGCTAGTAGAACTCCGGTCGTCCAAGGGGGAAAACGAAAACCGCGGTGCTCTTGCGCAGCAGTAAGAATTGTGCGCCCGGTGCACACTTCTAAGCTTTAGTTATTTCTGGTGATCCACCTCCTCCTCCACGAGAAAGAAACCTTCGCGCGCGTCAACTTCCAAGATGGGAGCGTGTCACTGCGGTGGTAGTAAGAAAAAGGAACCAGCAGATGATGGGACTGCAGCAACGCTAACGCAGTCAAACGCACCAACACTACCACCGCAAGCAACATCAGCGACTGCAGCGCAGGAACAAGAAGCTACAAACCTTCTTCCGGGAGAGAACTCAACATCACTCACCGCTCCGGCCGAAGAGGCTGGCGCTTCCACCGTCGGCCCTGCCGCAAATAAATCTTCAAAGTTCGACGAGGCAAAGCGGTCGACCTCCCGCGAAGAGGATGCTGCGTGGCTGCGAAAATATGGTCCGTCGATGGAGGCACTGGCGAAGGAGGTGCTCGCCGGTTTGGAGGATACCGAGGGACTACTAGTTTTCATGAATGATTCTACAGACAAAAAAGATGATAAAAACACTTCGAGCAAGGCCGCCAATAATGATGTTGACAATCAAGCACCAATACCACCGGCAAAAACTTCCAGTAAAACATCAACAAACTCCCTGACCCCGGAGACAGACTACCTGGAACTGCTACTGCAGCTTCTGACAGAGGACGCGGACGAAATTTTCTACGCGGTCAGAACCACCGAGGCGCTCGAGGAGGCTGTGGAGAGGTTGACGCGGATCGGGACACTCTTGATCGACAAGCAGTTCCTGCAAATCGTGAAGTTGAACCGCGTGCTGCGCTTGTCCGAGGCGAAATACAAGATCATCGAACTGGAAAACTTCCTCGCAAACTACAAGTCCGAGCTCAAGTTCGAACCCATCAGCCCGAATCCGTCGCAGCCAAAGTTGGTAATCATCGCGGAAGAGCAGGAGGTATCCCGTGGAAGCGAGGCTGTGCCATCCTTTTCGTGTGTATTTGCGTCCATTGAGAATTGCAATTGCATCAACTCGAGTGGTGGTGTCTTTGTTTTTCAATGAATGAGAAAGAGAAAAGAGCTGCCGAGCCCTCCAGCTCGATCTCATCATCAAAGAGGTGCCATTTTTCTCATCGTATGAATAAGTACATTTGCCTTTGCATGATCTAAAAGTGCAATTCGTACGATATGTGCGACGAGCGATGTTGGCGTTTTTGCAATGCATAAATCGACAGCAGTCCGAACTCGGGCATAAACCCGAAATCCGAGAAACACGGCCCGACGGAGAAGGAAGACGACGGAGTTTTGCGGGTGCGCACAAGCTATGCAGGGCAAACACCTGGCCTCCGTGTTGTTGTAGTGTTATTCTAGATTAGAAGCAGGAACGTCTTTGTTGAAATGCAAGCAAACGGGTTTGGATGCGGATGAGTGCGCACCATCGGGAGTTTGAAACTTAATCTGATCCTGTGAAGAGGAGTCGCGATACACTTTGCCAGAGGTGATATGAGGAACTCCTAGTGCCTTATGCCAAAACAGCGCGCAGCTGAAAGTGAAACCGCAATTGATTCAGACTTCACACCCAACAGCATTAATACACAGCCTTGTTGCACTGCATACATGAAAGTTGACTGGCGCGGATCAGGAAGTCGTCGTGACCAAGGAAATCCGGCCGCCGCAGGGCGCTTACAGCAGCAGCGTAAGTGCGACGGCGAACAAAGCACCAGCTGACGGAACAACTGGCGCTGTCTCACCCTCTTCTGAGGCGAATACAACAGACGGAGGCGCGACGACCAGTGCTGCTCCTAATGGAGCAGTTCCACCCGCGACCACTTTTCTCGATCCCGCCATTGGAGGGGGCGGGAGCGGCGGCACGGGCCCGTTGCTGAAGGAACGGACGCTGTCCCGGGACAGTAATCGATCGCAGAACAGCACGGGGAGTCGGGCGAAGGTGCAGGTTCTCGTCCCGCCCGCGCACGCCGAGATGGCGCAGTGTCTGTGCGACTACTTTCACGAGTGCATGTCGGGCAAATATAAAAAAATCGTCGACTCCATCAACTTTACGCTGGAGCGGATGACCGCGGCGCTGGGAGCGCTGTACAAGGAGCAGCGGTTGGCGGACTACGTGCCGTTCCACCTGAAAAAGAAGGACCACGTATGAATTGCAAAAGTATCGTACTCGTATAAATGCTTTACAAACTTCTTCAGCATGAGAAAGAAAATTTGTGATGCGGATTTGCCTTAAGAGCAAGATTTGCAATGCATGTTTGCAATTACTACGAGCGCGATACTTTTGCACAGGATACCACGTGTACGACGTGGACGTAGATTTCGACATCCGCATCAACTACGCGGCAGACAAGGGAAAAGTCTATGCGTACTTTGACGCGAGCCCGATTCCGATCCCAATCCAGCACATTGCCAGCCTGGCGCACGAAGTAGATCGTATGATCGGTTTGGAATTTCAAAGAGGTCGTCAAGCTCAACTAAGAAAGCTCCACCTCATTTCGTTAATCTAGCGCTACTCCTTGGCTCTTCGCACACATTTGTCTCCTGCTTGCGGCAACACAAACGACCAAAACAGAGGGAAATCCATCGGTCGGCGTCAACGCCATAGAATTTTTGCTTTCTCACTGGGCGGGTGCGGCGGGAAGATGGAGGTAGAGCTTGAGTGAGGCTTGCCGGAAGTTTTGAAGTTTTTTGCCTGCATACTTCTCTGGTCAGAGCTTGTTCCCTACGTTCCGAGCATCGACATCGTGAAACAGTGGTCCTTCGCAGACAGGGTCCACAAAGTGACCATGGCGCCGCCGATACCGTGGTCCAGAAACATCGAGTGCTACATGCACCGCTCGCTGTGCGATTTAATGGAACTGGATGCCACAAATTCGGTGCTACAAATCCAGCCAAAACTGTACCAACCGACCTGGATGCCGTCGGATTGTACTGATTTTCATTGTAGTGCAGTTTGTAGCATCGTGGTGGAAGAACAGACTCTATCGTCGTGAAAGTTGTGCCTTCGAATGAACAATGGCCGAGCAGCTCTGTTGCTACAGAGGTGGTCCTGGTCCTCGTGGTTCTTGTTGCAAAACAAGACGATCATATTAGTTCTCCTTTTTAATTAAAAATCCAAATTCACAACCCGTTTACACGACGACACGCGTCTTCTACAACACAACGACTCTACAAAATCATCCAGGTACCCAGCAGCTGAAGGAGCGGTACCACTACCAGGCCGGCATTGCGATTTTCGAGGCGAGTCCGAAACCCTACCCCGCGATCCGTCAGGCGGTCCAGGAAAATCCCGAACGGGACTTCCCCTGGCGCGACATCCGAATCCCGGGCGTCCCGAAGGACAAGCAGAAGAAAGTCTATCACAGCAAAAAGTGTTAACATTAACGGAATTTGTGATGCAGCAAGCAGCAATGCATCACAAAAGATGCCAAGATTTGTAATGCATAGCATGCATATTGGGCGACATTTGTGATGCATGTGCAGGTAGATGAGTTGTCGTATAGGATGAATTGCACCCAAATACGTATTAGGAATCCAGCAAAGCTTACATCGTATCGTATTGCGAAAGCTCGAAAACAGCGAGCAAAGCACTTTACCAGCCAATTTCTTCAAAAGCGAAAATGGCGGACCCTGTGTCGTATTTGCCCAAAAACGAAGGCAATAGCTTAGCAGCTGAATTGTCACAAAGCGAAGCAATTCAGCGCAGAAACACAATGCAGCCTATCTCGGTCGATCGGAAATATATTTGCCGGCAAAAGCCAGTGACAAGCTTTGAAGCAAGAAGACAGCAGTCCACGAAAGTGGAAGTGCCCGACACGCTTCCAGGCGCCTCCGATAGAAGCGGTCGCTCTACGTCTACAAGGCCGGTCGGCGGTCGCGCGGAAGGGCTGCGCAGGCGCTTGGCATATGGCGCGACTGGCAGTGTGCGTGCCGACGTGCTCCGCATAGCAGTAGCACTGCTTTAAACTTAAAGCAAAAGCGAAAATAGGCAGCGCGCGCGCCCTAATTTCGCATCGCGCCAGCATGCGAAAGAGGGCCCGGGGGGGGCGGGGGGGGTACACAGCCGCCCCCAGGCGTTATCTATGGGCTATGCCAGGCGCGAGGCGTGCCGAAAAATCATAATGTTGGGAGGCTTGCGGCAATTTGCTCGGAACGCTCCACCGCCACACGCGCAACCATGCCCAGGGCCCAGGAGAGCACTCCTTGGCAGTACCCCCGCAAACTGGCTGCGGTAAAGCGCAGCGCCTGCAGCTTTTTACCCGTTCCGCCATGCTTTTGCCCTCGAACAAGTGCGCGCGGAAGCCTAGGGCCCCGAGCAATCAAGCCTGCGCGGATCAGGTGATAATCACGTGAGGAGTCACGTGATAATCACATGATTTTGGCGGCCCATAAGCCATTTTGAGTTGTCTTCATCACGTGATAATCACATGATTATCACGTGATGACGACCCCGGAAAGGCGACGGCCAAAATTTCAAGATATGACGCTCCCCCCGTCATACGTGGAACCCAAAGCGGCAAAACAGTAACGATTCACGAAGAAAACGGAGCAAAGACGAAAGTCGAACGTATGAGCTATATTGTGACAATTCAGATCGCGCCAGAAACTACACAACAAAAAGTCAAAAAAGCAACTCAGCATGGAGCAATTCAGATTACTGCATGCATGCCTGCAATCTGTGAAAGCCGTTAACTTTAACACTTTTTCCTGCGATAAAGTCGCCCGGTTTAACACGGAGTGTTTCTTGATCATCGGCACACCGTACTTGATCGCGAACCCCCATTTCGACCCGAAAAAGCCGGCCACGTTCGGGGACGACAACACAAACCCGAAGGCGCTCGAGGCGTTCCGGGCGCGGGGGATGGTGGAGGTGGACTGGAACCCCTGGGTGCGAACGATGTGCCCCAACGTGCTAGTGCGGTACATCGCGAAGAAAATTTGCAGCCAGTTGCTAACAAAAATGATGGAGGTGCACAAGAATTTCGACCAGAGCGAGCACAAGCGGCGGCTGGAGCAAGATGCGGAAAGGAGATTCGTTCTCGGTCAGCTAGCCGACCGGGTACAGGAATATTTAAAGAAGCGCTTCAAGAAGGTGAAATAGGAATAGCGAGAACAAAGGGGATACTAAGGAGCGGCGGGCGAACAGGACAAGTGATGCGAGATAGCAGACGTAGACGATGATCGTCTACTACGTGAAGATCGTCCAAAAAGTGGTTTCCTTGCGCTTCGTCCTCCACAAAAACAAAAAGTGTGCGCCGAGCAAGGCATTAAACATGCAAAGGCCGCTTCGCGACTACAGCGCAGAGAGCTTCGATGCTGGCACCGAAACATGATTACCAGCAGTCTAGCACATGTTCATTCGCAGTCTCTCGAAAGACGAAGATCTCCCGTCTAAGTAGCAGGCCAGCTACGATTTTCATCGCATCTTCGTTCACCAGCAAGAAAAAGTTCGAGCGTACTCCTCCCCAGCTGTGAGAGCTCCTGAACGCAGAATTTAGCTGCGGGTTGGGGATAAAGCGCGCGTTTGATGTCTTCTGTGCAGTCGGGCGAACGGATTTGTGGAACGAAGATAAGGCCGAAGATGCTACCTGTTTCGAGTCGGCCGTTTTTTTATGGCCGAAGCACCAAAAACAAAAAATCTAAAGAAAGCCCGAGCTTTCGCTGTCCACCAGTTCTTCCAACGACAGCTCCTCCGAAAGAGCAGCGGCAGACAAGTAGGTTGACGAGCTGCAACAAATGCAATACGTACAGTAATGGGCGGAAAGCTCGCTGAGCTCCACCGTTAAGACGACGTCGGTGCGAAAACATACTCCCGACGATGGTGGTGGTAAAACCACAGAAATTTTCCAGACAACGGCGCGTCACAAGGAAAGATGGCGCTCCTGTCGCATCTTCGAATGAATTTAGATCTCGTTGAGAAGCAATGATTTCGGTGCAGCCTTCACCCATTTATTTCGAAGAAATGCTGGTAAAATCAATTCGCAATGACTGCCCCCCACAAGGGAGGTTCATTCTCGTTCTGGAAACAAGTTGAAGAACCAAGGAAATTTTCAAAAAGAAAAAAGACGAGGATCCACAAGCAGCACTGCTGCGTTGAGGTCGTGAAGGAAAGGCAAAGCCCGCGGGTCAATGCGTGTGTTGCGCACATGATGGATTTCGTGCAAACGGTCGTGAGATCAGAATGATATGAAAATCGGTTGCTTACCGATTGAATGTCTACTGGATTCGTTGGCGTTGCTCTGTTTGATTATCCTATCGAAATCCAAGTCGGTGGGGTCTGTGTGTGTTTTGGATGCCGTGAGGACATCGTGACTCTAAAGGTTTCGTGTTTTTTTTTCAAATATCGCCCTGTCCAGCAGTGGAGGAGGTCAAACTCAAGCTATTGATCTGGTTTACTTTGGCAAGATTTAAAGATGACGCGTGTCGTGAGTCTAAAGCGAGAGCGACAGATAGATCCATCAGAGGTCCTGCAGAAAGAAGTTGTTCTTGGCCTATAAATATCTTCGAGAAATTACGACTGCAGTTTGCTCGATCTGAGAATCGCACAGCACATGACCCAACATGGTATCGATAAAGGTTCAGAGTGTCAATGAGTGTGTTGCAGTAGATGATCCGAAATCTAAATCTGCAATCTGTTGCGACGATCATTTTTGAAAAGTGCCTAGTGTTTGCGATCTGTGAATTCCTAGAAGAGATCGATCAGCAAATCGGATCAACGATCTGTTCTTGTTGAGCAAAATTAACTAGATGCCGCATGTATGTACGACTATTCACGACCCTGAAACTCATCGCAATTTCTTTCTCACCACTCCAGGGACAACTAAAGAACACTGGACACTATCGTCCTGGTAAGCTCGATATCCTCCAAAAAACAAAAGACAAAATGGCTGAAAAGGACGTGAAGACTATGGAGGTCGAGGAGGAGACCCTCCACAAGATCCGCATCACCCTGACCTCCCGCAACGTCAAGTCTCTGGAAAAGGTCTGCGCGGACCTCATCGAAGGCGCCAAGCAGAAGGAGCTCGTGTGCAAGGGTAAAGACGAGGAGTTTTTATTTTTTGCTTTCACTATTGGTTTCTGGGTTTAGGGTTTCTAAAAAACATATTTTTTCCCGAAGTCGTGTGACGCCGACGAGGGAGTGTTTGCAAGTAGAGAGACGAGGAGAGATTTAGATGGATCTTTATGATGTACGTAGTCCTTGTGCGTGTGCCTATTGCTGGGGATTTAAATTTCCCCGCGAGAGAGAGAAGTTTTGGCTTAGCTAGGGCATTTCCTTCCAATATGGATCTCTGTCTTTACAGAATATCAAAGAATCAGCATTACCGCAACATCCATTTCCACAATCTACTCAATCCCCAGGTCCGGTCCGCCTGCCGACCAAGCGCCTGCGCATCTGCACCCGTAAGGCCCCGAACGGTGAGGGTACCAACACCTACGACAAATTCGAGATGCGCATCCACAAGCGCCTGATCGACTTGCACTCCCCGTCCGACGTCGTCAAGCAGATCACCTCCATCCACATCGAGCCGGGTGTCGAGGTTGAGGTCACCATCAACGATGCTTAAGAAGCTTGTGTGTGGTGAAAACCATATGTAGAGAAGATTTTGTCGCTTCTGCTTCAAAATTTAGACCGGCATGGGGTTGTTACCATCATCGAGAATGTCGCATGTTGAGAGGATACAGTTCGAGCTAGGACGCTTCTAAGATTTAGAACACTTGAGTCCAGTGGAGTGAACAAAAGAAAACGCAGGAGTGGGTTTCTGCTGTGGTCAGTTCAACAATTGTGAACGGATTTAGATTTGTGTTCGAGCCGCGGACCAAAGCGCTTTCGTTTCAGAGGTTGTCACGGTGTGACATATCAAAATGGAATCAAAGACAAAGTGCGCTTTTTTGTCGTTGTGCGGGTTCGTTATTTTAGATATGAGTTGTCCGCCGTGACGGTCATGTCAGCCGTGACGGCGATGCTCTCTCTGGTTTTGGTAGTTGAAGTAGTTGTGCAGCGGAGATGAAGTAGAAGAAGAAGTTCATGTCATCACGCACGGAAGGCTTCTCATAAGTCCAAATACAGCGATGGTTGCCATGGAGATAGAAAGAACAGTGAGGGATGAATGAAAGGTGAAATGTCATCTTCAGTTTGCGTTGAACTTTGGTGTTACGAGACGAGTCGTTGCCTTCATTTTTTCTGGTCTGGCAAAGTCAAAGTAGAGTAGTGGTTGAGTCTCCCCCCCGAGCAATAGTAGTGTTGCTGCGAAACCAAAGACTACATCATGTCGTCGACCGTCGAGCAACAAATTTCCAAGCGCCTTGACCAAGCGCACTTCGTGTCGACGTGCTACCTTGCAACAGTCGGTGTGGATAGGAATACCGCGATTCTCGACCTGAAGACGTTCTTTGATAAGAACCTAAAGGCGAAGAAGCTCGAGGCGTGTTACGGAATTAGTCGCGAATTTTCTGGTGCAGCAGGGGGGGCTCCTGCATCTTCAGCTTCTGGTGACCAAACAACAGAGAACATGCGCGCATTCGGGTTGACTTTCACACTGAAAGAGCTCGAGGAAAAGAAAGCGGCGACGAAAGACCTGCAGCCGGTGATGTTTGCTATAGCCAAAGAAAAGTTTGTGAAGAAGCTGAAGGTAAAGATCGTTCTCGTGGTGGTTGAAGTATATTCATGAACGTCATGTGGCACTGTGCGAATTCGTTTTTTTTGTATTAATCAGATCATGTCGTGCGTCGTTCTTGATGCTTAAAATCGACGAGGCGCTATTGTGACACCCCACAGACGTGAAATTTTTCTCAGGCCGACATCGCAGATGAATGGGCCATGATGGTGAAGAAGGTCAAGTTAGAAGACTTCGCAAAGCTCGGTTACTCCGCTGCGGGCCCGTCGCGGCCAAGAAATCAGCCTCCCGTCTCTTTTTCCGAACTTGGTGGAGGAGGAACTTTACCCGCAAAGCCAACAGCCATCTCTGGAGCAGCTGCTCCGAACGCGGCTGCAACAGGACTGTCTCAATCTTCCTCGGTCCAGAAGCTCGCGGATTCGGTCGGTGGGCAAAATAGCGGAAACAAGAATTTTTCTGCGGACATGTCAATGAATCCGTCGACTTCCAACAAGCGCACGTTCGAGGAAGCTTTTGTGAAGCAGCAATCCTCTTCGAACCTTCTAAGTTCCGTTCCGACACCAAATCAGAAAGACACCAGCAAGCAGAACCTACCTTCGATGTTTTCCACCATGGCAAGTCAATCCACGTCAAACAATAAGCCATGGTCTCCCCCTAAAGGAACGGCTGCGGCGAATGGAAATAATGGTAGCAGTACTTCTGGCGGCGCAGGAGGAGCATCTGTAGCTACGGCAACTGCCTCCGGTAGTGGCACCACTTCGTCTTCGGGTGCGGTACCATCCGCACCGGCTTCAAATAAAGCGGGTGGGTTGACCGAGGAGCAGAAGGCGCGGATCGCGAAAAACAGGGAGGAAGCGTTAAGGAGGAAAGCGCTGAAACAACAGGCGGCAGCGGGGGGTGGAGCCGTCAGTGGTGCTGGAGCAGTTGCTGGTGTTGTGGCGCAAGGGTCATGAAAAAGCAGCGCTTTTTAGTGCCTTCTCATATGGGGCAGCAATGGTCCTCTCTTGAGCGACTCAGTATTCCAAAGGAGAGGACGATGGACATGAAAATAGTACATGTCCTTGTACTCACGCGCAGGTATTGAAAGCCAAACGCAGACTGACCGAAGTCAGTTGCTCCAGTTGTCGAACGGCGTCGTCGTGCTTTCGTTGTTACACCGTGGCTGTACTGGTTCACACACAGGTAGGTACTACTTGACAAACCGTTGGAGAGAGCCAGTAGCCCCGTTGGCGAACAAGAGCAGCGACCGAGATGATCTCTTCTTGCGTTTTTCCGAGCTGCGATAATTCTATTGTGTATGTATGGCAATGAGGGCTACATGCAAGGTCGAGCCGCGCTTTAGTGCAGTTCTTGGGAGAGTCTATTTTTAGTGAAGAAGTAGGAGAGCATAGCGATAGCTGTAGTGCTGTCGTTGTTATCACTTCGCGACACGAAGATCTATCGTCAACACGCCAGCACTTGTTTTCGAAAATAAGAAGTTAGAGCAAATTGATTAAGGTCTGCACCATCGTTGCTGATCGTCAACGTCTGTCAAATCCTGTATAAAACAAAGAGCGAAAGAAGATGGTGCGGGTCTTGCTATCGAACTCGAGGAGGTTCCGTGCCTTGCAGCTCCACCTCTCACGACGACTACCTTTTCGTCCCTTCGCCTCCGCAGCGACAACCCGACGTCGTCCTTACTACTACAACCAGTCTAGCTCTTCGCCTCGCGGCACTGATGGAGCTTCATCAACATCCACCGAACACTACCAGTCTCGGTCCTACTACCGCAGAGGCGGGAACAGTTACGGCTATTACGGCAACAAATCCTCATCTTCCTCCCGACCTACCTCCGCGGCCAACAAAGCGGCTAAAAAGTACAACCAAAACGCATCCGATTTTGGGTTGGACATCCTGTCCCCAGACCCGTCCGTGACGCAGGTGGACTTGGCGAGGCCGAGCGGGGTGGCGCGGCAGCTGATCAACTATTGGAAGCGCAGAGCGCTGGCAGAGCAAGAGGAGGGGTGTAAGACGCGGGCAAGCAGAAATTTACCGGAAATCGAGACGGAAGAGGTGAAGCAACGGGTGATCAGCTTTTCTTCCACTACCGCGGCGACTGCAGCGGCTTCCTCATCTGGTGGTGCAGTAGAGGATGCCGGTCGCGCACCAGGAAACGATACTTCGAGCCAACCGCTTCAGTGGCTAATCCGTGAGCCATGTGTGATTCACGAACAGAATCGGAAATTGGAAGGTAGTGCGGAAGGAAGTGGCAACGAGAATATTTTCGTCATTCAAGACGCGGGGAACGAGGTTGAGATCAAGATTCCACCAGCCGGCACTACAGGTTGTAACCACGACAGTGATAGTGGCGGGAACATCAACCCGGAAAAGATGACAAAGTCGTCCGAGACGACTACATCCCTTTCCATGGAGTGGCCGTTCCCGCAAATTTACGAGTGCCAGCAGCAGCTTTCCCTCGCCTCAGTGAAGGCGATTCTGAACAAACAGCACGCGTTCATCGAGACGCCCTCCGGCACGGGAAAGACCGCTGCGCTGCTCTGCTCCGCGCTCGCCGCGCAGCGGCACCTGGCGATGAAGTACGGCGCGGCGCCGCAGATCGTGTATGGGACCCGGACGCACGCGCAAATCCGACAGATCGTCGACACTTTGAAGCAAACCCCGTATCGCAACGTCGCCGTCCAGTGCGTGGGGGCGAGGACGAACGCGAAATTGTGCGCAAACCCGAAGATTCGTTCGCAAGCCGGGGCGGTGCTTGAGTGTCGCGATGCGGTGCGGAATTACTGGCAAAACGGCTTAAAGGCGGAGGAACGGAAAAATTTGGCCGATGAATTCAAACAAGTTTTGAAAACCGCATCCAGTTCTTGCAGTGGCGGGGGGGAAAATTTTTCTTCCTGTGGTAGAGCAGCTGGTGCCATACCAAAAACGACAACAGCAGAAGATCATCAACAGCAATCCACGATCGACAGCCGGTACATGTGCTCCCGCTTGCACAACATGCTGGACCCGCAATTCGTCCCAAAAGCCTACGATGAGCTGAGAAATCAAGGTCCCCTGAATCTCGAGGAAGTCGGGGAGAAAATCCAGAATCTCGGTGGTTGTCCGTACTTTCTCTCCAGAGCAAGTTTGTACGATGCGGACATTGTGATCCTTCCCTACGCGTACATCATGGACCCGCAGGTCCGGGACGCGACGTTTCCGCTGGATGCCAGAGAATTCCTGAAAGACAAGATTTTGATCCTCGACGAGGCGCACAACGTGGACGGGTACTGCCGCGAAGCGTGCAGTTTCGACTGCAGCTTGGACAAACTGGAGGAGTTCGAGGAGGCTTTGCGCTCGATCAGAACCGGAACAAAGTACGACACGGAGGATTTGAGGAAGGCAAGTAGTGCTGTAGCAAGTGCAGTAGGTGGAAATGATGGTGAAAATCAAAATGGAAATTGTGCAGCTGGAGTGGCCTCATCTACAACTTCTTCTTACGACCAGAATCTTGTCCAGGAACTACTGAGCTCCGACGAGCAGGGTGACGTGCGGGACTGGGGATTCGCGACCTGTTACATGCGCGCGGTGTTGCTGAGACTGGCCGACTGCATGCAGAAATGGGCACTGGAGGCACAAGCGTTGCAAATGCAGAGTGGAGCGGCGGTGGGGACAAGAAGCTACGGATCATCTTCCGGTGCTGGTGCACCAGGGAAAAAAACGTCCTCTCCTTTCGCCGACGGTTTGAGTGTCGGTCAGGCCGGGACGAGACGGGAGCTGCGAAGTTGGGCGGTGTATAACGACGATGACAGTCAGAATCAGTACCAAGCATCAAAGCGGTTTGGTAAAAGTAAAAAATCTGAGTCCGGTGGTACCGACCCCCGTCTCGCGAAGCCGATGAGTTCGTTCTTGCAAGAACTCGCAACGGCTCTGTACAACGACGACGCGAAACTGCTGCCACAGTTCATTGACAAGCAGCTGATACCCATGCTCACCTACGGGATCGCGGGGAGGGTTCGGGAACTGCAACGCGAACAGCGCAGCTCGACGCAAAATCAAACGTTTTTTGACGAGTTGGAGGAAGCAAGACTGACGCACACGGTGCGGGAACTGCAGGATTTGTTCTCGCGATTGAAATTCGTGTTTGAAAACTCTGACGATTTTTCGGTTGGCGTGTCGGTGAACCGGAAGCAAGACGCGGGTATTGACGGGATCGGCAGCGGTGCAGCAGCAGGCGCGAATGTCCACTTAGACTTCCACCTCTTGAATGCGACGAAAGTTTTGGACTCCACTTTCGAGCCGACGCACAGTGTGTTGCTCAGCAGCGGCACACTCTGTACCGAACTAGGAAACGACTTTTCGCAGCGCCAGGTGCAGGGGAGCTATCTTCCTGCGGAGAAAAGTAGCGATGCAGTTGTAAAAAGCACGACGAACCGCAAATCTCTTAAATCGGCCCCAGCTACGGTTCCCTTAAGTCCGCTCCGCACAAATCACGTGATCACGAAGGAACAATTGTTGGTGCAGAAAGTGCCCTGTCTCATCGATGGAAGCCGTTTCACCACCGATTTTCAAGCGATGCGGAAAAATAACGACAGCAGTACTAAAAAAGCTAGCGATCAGGTAGCACGATCCAGCACTCAATCCCTTTTCAGCAACTGGAACCAGGACACCTTGATCGCTTTGGGTAATTCGGTGCTGCAACTCGCGGCCAAAATCCCGGGCGGCGTTCTGGTCTTCTTCCCGAGCTACAAGATGCTGAAAGAGTGCAGTTCCTGTTGGAAGCGGCACGAGATTTGGGAGGAGATAGAGAAAGCAAAGAGCTGTAAAATCCTGAAAGAAACGGAAAAAGTAGATATTGACAAACTCCGGGATGAACACAACAAAGCCGTCGACGAGAACGGTAGCTCCCTGCTGTTCGGCGTGATGCGGGGGAAGTGCAGTGAAGGAATTTCCTACAACGATAGCTACGCGCGGGGGGTGATCTTACTCGGGATCCCCTACCCAACGGTGAACGCGGCGGACGTTTTCCACAAACGGGCGTACAACACGTTCCAGAGTAGTAATAGCAAGAAAACAAACAAGTTAGCTACAACAGCCACGTACGACAACATGAACGCGCTCTCGCAAGAACTGCTGGACGGCAACGCGTGGTACCGGCAGGAAGCGTTCACGGCGGTCAACCAAGCTTTGGGCAGGTGTATTCGGCATCAGGAGGACTATGGAGCGGTGTTTTTGTTGGATGCGAGGTGGGAGCTTCACGAGCAGGAATTGCCAGCCTGGGTGAAGGAGCTGGAGTGTGTCAGAAGGTATGACGGGAACTGGAAAAAAATGCTGGCGAATGTGGGGAAGTTTTTCGCGGGGAAGCAGTAAAATCAAAGCAGCTGCGAAAGGGTTTTTGGAGCTTGATCCGTCTTCATCATGAAAGTGTTATTTTTACGGAGCCGTTGCCGCAGTATGCGCCGCTTTGAACTCGGGCTGCGGTAGCCAATACTTCCAAGAATGAAACAGCAAGACGCGAAGGATAGCAAAGCCAAGGCTCAGTTTCTGTTTTTAAAGTCGTGCTCTGCGGATATGGACAGCAGCAGCGCGAGACGACATCTATCCTCAAGCTGCGCCTTCACGTTTTCAAATTTCCTGCTTCAAGGGCGATTTCTTGACTTTGCGGGCCGCCATCGCAGCCGGCGCCTATTATTTCAGCATCCCTGAAGGAACTACAGCTTTTCATTTTGGCCGTACTGGTTTCATTTCTGTAGTTTGCGGTAAACAATACAACCATGCTTTTTCACTTAATCTGTCCATTTTTGTTTTGCGAAACGTAAGTACTTAGAAGATTTTTGATTTCTCACGTATCATCAGATTCTCATCATAACTACGAGAAGTGCCAATGGAATGAGAAAAGAAGCATGCGAATCAAGAAGGTGGTGCTTCCGCAGTTGGCAACATCGAATGGCAGCGGTTTTGTTTCGACCATAGGTGGAGAGCCGTCGTGACACAGCAAGACTCAACCATCAAACAGCACGAATATCTGTCGTTCTAGTGGGATTTTCGTATTGGAAATGTGGGCGTCATCTACACCAGAGTCAGATAATATACACAGGCTGGCTTTCATTCTTCCCTTGCTCCATCAACTCATTTTTTTTTTCTACAACGAACAGGAGCAGCTAGTTGATTGTAAAAATAACGGGAGTTGCTATCACCCAAGGTGGTATCGTTGTCGTATTTCATCTTTGGCATAGAGAGACCACAAAACAGCGTCAGAGGCGGGAAAACATTACAAACAGTTGAAAATAGAAGAAGAACAGAGCTCTTGTCCCAGGCAGAGCAGCTAGGATGGATGATGTCAGCCGTTCTTCGGCATTGCCGGAGCAAGGAGACCACGGACAACACCCTGCAGCACCAGGTAACGGCAGTCCGCGGAGCAACAAGCGGCTTCGACGGCAACACTCGGACCAACCTGTTATACAGCATGTAGTCGACGCTGCGCAGCAAAGCAGTGCAAGACTATTTGATCCGGCAGCCGCATCTATGCGGAGTGAGTTTGAACAGATCCTCCTCGCAGAGGTCCGCGACGGGAAGGACCTAGCGGTTGCCACGTTTGACCTGACGAGGAAGCATTTGCATTCAACAGCCGCGATTCTTGACAATATCAAAGAAGCAATTCAGAATGTGAACAATCAGCACGCGGCATCATCACAACTATCATCCCCTCTGCATGTAGCCGACGTAGAAATGGGAGCAAGTGTCTTCACTGGCAACGACTCGCAGCCCGCATCGAAAAACAGCCGACGCTCGATGTCAATCAGCCCTCCGCGCGGAAGTGCGACGCCCCCGGCAGCTGGATCTTCTGTCCTACCGCCACCGAGCGACATTCAATCGCTCGCTGGATCGCTATCAACCGCAAATCAAGTATCGCACTCGTACTAGTTCAGCATGGTAGGTCCATCTGTTTACTCACCTGCTAATTCTGAATTAGTTTGCAGAGTGCTGAATAGCATTCAGCGCTCTGCAAAATTTTTCGATTCCGTCCCGGACGAAATCCGCTGCAAAAATTTGTCCTGCGATTCTCACTAGTGCGATGGGACGAGATTATTTTTGCACTGCATAATTGCAACACGCCTACAACAGCCAGTCCACATCGTCGAGCCAGCCCCTGGAGCTGTGCCAAGATGGTGCTCTAGTAGACCCGCCGTCCTACTACACCAATAGCAGGAACCGAGCCGCAAAGCTGAAGGCCTTTGCCGACGCGAAGAATTTGGCGCAGCAGCTCTATGCGCGCGCCAAAGCCGACAACATCTGGTATAGTATAATGTGCACGACTGAAACTGATGGCATTTTCCGCCTTGATGTTTTATGTGTGTCGTTCGTAGAAGTTCATCTTTTTTCGCGCAAAAATGCAGACCCTTCGTGATGAGACCCCCCACAGTATCAGTACTCAGAAGATAGTGCGCTCCTCTACTTTGTTGAATCAGCATGATGAAGAGCAAACCTATCAGGTTTCATTTTGTGAAGAACGAGGCGCGCGAAGGCGGGCTGTGCCACAGCGACCAGCTCAAAGTTCCGGACTCGGAGGAAGACAAGTCAGTCCTTGCAGCCATCGAGCAAGTGGCGACGGAGCAGGCGGACCGCGAAACCGGCAAGGATTTTTCCTACGACAAAGACTTCTACGGATCGCTTGGTCTCTTTGCAAATGCTGGGAAGCACATCGACGACTGCCGCACGGAGTGGCCGACAGACGAAGCCGGGCGCTTCGTGGAGCGGAGAGTGCGGGTGTACCAAAAGCAGCGCGAGGTCTTGAAGAACTACGCGAAAAGGTACCACGGTGGGGACTGGACGCCGACGCATTTCGAGCTAGACAACTGCGGCAATCACGTGGCGCATTGGCTAGTGCACCGCTACACGACCTTCCCCACGGTCTGCGACAAATTGAAAACGCACGGAAATTCCTTGGTACAGGCGGAGAAGGATAAAGAGAAGCAAGGACAAGTCGACGCGCTGCTTCAGGTTATTCCTCTTTGATGACTTCTTGGCTTATTGTGCGCGTGCTGTAAAATTTGGATAGGAGGAGCAGGAAAGTGCACAGATGATCATGGAGCCAGATGCATCAACTACAACCCATCCCTTCCGTTGAAGTTGAAGATGCTCGAATGCGAAAGGGTAAAAATGCCTACAATCAGGTGGACAAAAACGGGAACAGCAAGCTCCACAGAGCAATTTTCCAGGGCGACGTGACGAGGGCGAAGCGGTTACAGCTTGGACGGCCGTTAGAAATCATCTTGGCGAATTTCTTGCGAATTTATAGGGGAAAGACCCGCAGCGCGGCCTGGGCATTGGTGTCGGGCTTGGGATTCTGCGTTGCCAACGCATCTATGACGCCCCGCTCGTATTCCGCGTCTTTTTGGTGTCCCGACGAGGAGGGGCAAAACCAGCAAAATCTTTCCGCGCCGGGCGCCTTGGTCTGTGCCCGAGTTTTGGGCCCAGTGGCTGCACTAATGTGCCCCACCTAGGAGCACCATCGCGCCACACCGGGAACAGAGCTCGCGCGCGATGGACAGGGAGGGCATCAATTGCACCCCCTTCCCCCTGAGTTGTCCTCGAATGCCAAGAGTTTTGCTCTTGCGACAGGTGGGCACAAATCTGTGCATTTTGGAACACAAGGCCTCGGGACTTGGTCTACAGATTTTGCCTCTGCGAATTTAGAAAAGTGGCCCTCGCGAATTTCGCGCGAATTTAGAAAAGTGGCCCTCGCGAATTTCGAAAGCCCGACCTGAAATTGCGTTTTTTTCTAAATTCGCGCGAAATTCGCGAGGGCCACTTTTCTAAATTCGCAGAGGCCGCTTTTGCAAATTCGCACGGGCCACCTTTGTAAATTCGCAAATCGAGAATACCGCCCTGATTGGGCATGCCTTTAAACGCTTAGCCCGATGGTGCTCTGGTGTTCCAACTTTAGCAAAATTCAAAAATTACATCTGAAGCCGCATGGTATGACGAGAAAGCGGCTGCGATTGTGCGTGACGGCGTTAAAAGTTTCGCATCTGGCGCAAAAAGCTGCTGCTCATAATTGACGCCGTGGCAGTTTCTAAGCCGGCGCCTGTCGCATCGAAAGCGAAGAGGCCCCCTCGATGGTGAGGCACGGGAAACGCAGCAAATTTCCTTGCGTCCCTCGGAAGGGCATGGGACCGCGAACAGGGTGGCCACGTGATTGGCCACCAGACGTTGGCGCTTGGATTTGCGCTGAAATTCGCTTGAAATTCGCGCCTGCTCTTTCTAATGGGTGCCCAAGCTCTAAGCGAAGCGGTACATAGACGCCGGAATCGAGCTCTCCTGGAGGAATTCGCACGGTGAAACAGCGGAGGAATTCGCAAAGTGGTACATCGAGAACCCGCGACCCAGCGCCCCCGACAAGCGGCAGCAGGAACACTGCCAGGAGATTGTGGACGCGATAAACATGAAAAAGCGTAGCCGAGACCTCGGGCGGTCTTGCAGCAGTAGCTCAGCGAATTAAAAATTGATCCATGATTCCATTACACCAGGGGCGATCGATGCGGTCAGGGTTTAGAAGGAAAAAGGGCTTCTAGTAGTAGCGTCGATCTCTTCAATCAAAACTGAAAGTAATTCCGTCAGCACATTCGTTCTCTGATCCACAAAAGCGTGTCGGTCTATTCTAGGTAGTTAGTTGATCGCATTCTTGATTTTTACAGCTCAGATGACGTCGGAAGAAACGACACAGCAAAGTGTTGATATCGACGACGCAAAAGCCGTAAGTATGAAAGTCAATTGAGGTGTGGGCTATCCCCATCCTTATCCTATCCTATGGTTCGATCCCGGTCCCGTACATTGTTCCTGTGAGGAGGTGATCCCTTGTTTACTCGAAGTTGTGTGTCCGACCGGAGCGAAAGTGAGTGTGTAAGTGAGTGCTAGAAGAGGGTCCTGCCTAGCACGGCGCATCGAAGATTTTCCACCCTGTCATCGTGACGCATATTTCACTTCCTCGAGAGAAATTCAGAAAGAGAGGACAGCACTAGGAGTTGTGGTTTTCCAGGCATGTGGTCCTAAGCGTTAATGACTACATCTTCTTCGTCGCCGGTCATAAATACGTTGTGTATCTGTTGACGAGGGCAACGAACAATCTCGATACGTTACCGATATCATGTTGCATTTGCATTTTATCTCCCCGTTATTTGTCTAGAAGTGAAAGTGAATTACATAGATCCGTCTCGCATTGCTCCTGCATTACGACTGAAAAATGAGTTCTCGGAGTCGGAGCCACAAGAATCATGTCGCGTGTTTGAATTTAATCTTTTCTTCTAAATGTCGAGTTTCATCGCAGCGGGAAGATCTCCTCCTAAGGAGGACGTGGCGCATGTTGAAAAGCCATACCCGCAGGCCGCCTCGTCTCGTCCGCCACGGTCCCGGGATTCAGAGCAGAAAGGCACAGAGCGGTTTTTTGCGCGGCCTATCGTGAGCCCGGGCGCTGCCGGAGGAGCCTCGAGCAAAGTCGATCATGCCTTGACAGGTAAAAACGAACAACACCAACCTAGACGCCACTACTCCAGCGCCTCGTCTACTGCAAGCGCAGCGAGCAACCGCACGGCTCGCTCGGGTCCGCCGTCCACCTGGCAGGACGTAGAAGTGATCACGCGGCCATCCACCGTCCCGGCAGTGAGCTCGTCTGCTTCGTCTTCCAGCAGTAGAAGCTCTATTTCGCCGTCAAAACAACAAGTTGTACAAGGGCTGGTAAACAAGCAAGCTGCAGCTCCATCGAGACAAAAGCTGCAAACTAATGCGAGTACTGTTGATTCTGGGTCAGTGCTACACCAGATTCAGCAGGGTGATGAAACAAAGGCGAGGCCTGATCTTGATCTCGTAAAAAACAGACCTACGAGGACAACGGGTGGTCCCAATAATGAAGACGGAGAACATGATGATGCGGCGGTCAACGTACGCGCCCTGAGGGCGTTTGGGTCCGGCCGGCAGAGTTCCGTGCTTTCCAACAAACTTCGATCGTCCATCAACACCTTGAACACTCTGCGAAAAAGCACGATCCCGGATGTGTCGAGTAGCAGCTCCTGCGAAAGCTACGACGGCACCAGCAGCTCCGCCAGCGGTTCCAAAGGAACCTCGGCGCCGGCCGTGGACCACTTTTTCTGCGACAAAGCGAAATCAGATGGGTTATTCGGCGCTCGAGATGAACGAAGGAGCGCGACAACAAAACCGTTTCTGCTAGGAGAGCCTGCGGCAAAAGCTCCTGCGTCGCTAGATGGCAACAACACGAGGAACAGCGGTGCTGCTGACGCTCCTCAGGGTCAGGGGCAGGTGACAAAGGCAGATGGTGGGAAGAAAAATCGAGCGCAAGACGATCGGGGTCGAATCACGGTGCAGCTAAACGTAAAGCAGGCAGCAGCAGCAGCAGCAAACGAGGAGAAAAACGTGGAAAACATTGCGGAGCCTTCAAAGCCAGCTCCGGTGGTTTTCGAAGCACTTGTACAAGATGAGGAGGAGGACGGGCCGTTGCCAGTACTGCAGCAAGAGCAAAAAGTCAAGATGGAGGCTCATGCCATTGTCACTGAAGCCATGAGCAGAAGCACCGAGCGCACAGAGAAAGCACAGGAAGACGTGGCAATGATAAATCGATCTAGCTCTGAAGAAGCCGAGAAAAACAAAGAAGGAAGCGGAGCGGAAGCGACCGCGACGCCTGCAGAAGCCAATGTCAGCGACGGTCCTCCCCGAGCACGGCCGATCCGACTGCCCGATCTTCTGCCAAAATTGAACGTTTTGCGGTACTTCAAGAGCATCAGCAAGCAAAGAGAAAGGGATTTGTTTGTCGAGGATCTGCATGCAGCGGACGGGCGTGAAGGAGACACCAGTACCGAACCGGCTCTTGCTGCCGGAACAATTACTGGATCGGAGAACAAAGACATAGCTTCAGGTGCTCTCGCCCCTGCTTCGATTTCTTTGAACGAACACGTGGAAGCGAGACCTACACTGCAACTGGACGGGACTGCAGTTCTTGTAGATAAACCACTACAAGTAGTAGCTGATGATGATGCTCAGATGCAAAAAGCGATAAAACCGGCCGTCTTACTTGAAAACTTCCCTCGCCCCGCCTCTAATATTGCCGAAATGAGAAAGACACGGCTCGCAGCCGCCGCGCACCAAATTCGGTCGAGCGCAGCAGTGTTGAAGCGTATGCGCAGCTCGTCGGGTACTGGGTCGAGCAGTGGCTCGTCGTTTTCTTCCACCACGGGTGGCGCAAAGGACACCAGGCAAAAATTGCGAATATGGGTAAACACAACGGGTGCCAGCCGCGCGGCAAGGGTTCCAGAGGTAGCAACAGGGAAGGTTTTGGGGTCGGGAGTTGAAAGCGGTACTGTGCCCGTCGGACGTAGTTCTGGAGATGAACCAGCAGGAGCAGCTACAGGAGCGACGGCCACGGCGCAGATAACGAAGATTGAGGCAACTGCTGTTGGTCACGAGGACAATTCAGAAACTACCCGTACACAAAATAAACGGCCCTCAGCTTCAGTCATCTCGATGTCCTCTTCCACAACACTAACGGAGCAGCTTTTGCAAGCTGCAGGCGCTCCGATCGTTCCCATCCGTCCAGCGCTACCGCAGGTATTTCAGGCAGAAGCAAAACGTGCAGTGCTTCCACCAACCGCGACTCTTGTGGCCCCCGCGATCGTGCCGAAGCGGCCCGTTGCCCCCATGACGATCCTCGGTCTTGGAACAGGTCTTGGAGCTGCAACTGGCGGCTCAACAAGTGCCTCCAGCGGTCGTGCAGCCATAAACCCGTCGGCCGGCTGCACAACTGATGTTGCTGACGACTTCCGGCGAACTCTATTACAGTCTGCCAGCCGCGCGAAGAAGCCGAAGATAATCCCACCCAGGCCAGCGAAGGCGCCACAAATCCTTGCGCCACCGCCGCTGCAAGAGGAAAGGGGTTACGTCGCTGCAAAACTTTTGCAAACGAAGACGCTCCCAGTTGTCTGGACCGCGCCCACCACGCCGGTGGCGGCCGCTGGGGGGACGCGAGTTGCTGCTGCTCTGCCGAAGTCCGCAATGCTTATGTCGTCGTCTGTCGGAGGACCTGCAGCGACAAGTACGGGAAACCGCAGCGCTTCTCCGGTCTCGAAGATAATGTTCTCGCCAGCGAAGATGAGAGCTGCTCCTGCTCCGTCGTGCTCAGCTGCATCTGGTGCGCAAAGCGGTGCTGCAGGAGCTACTACTAGCTTTGTGCCTCCTACTGCACCTAAGCTTTTCGCGCCGGCTTCTTCGCCTCTGCAGGCAGGCTTGTTTTTACCGGCACGAGGTGCGACAGTGGCTCGTGCGACCGGTACAGCCGCTCCTATGCGGGTGTTTGATCCTGGAACATCAAGCGCGTTCCTGTCATCAGCTTCCAGCACGAGCACTGGCACAAGTTTCTTGCGTCCCTTCGATGCGCGGCAAGAACAACAACCGCCTCAGAAGTCCCAAACACCGCCGCACCTAGATACTGAGCTAGCGCGCCAATTCCGCCTCAGTCTAGTCCCAGTGCACCTTCCGCCCCCGGAGAAGTTGCCGTCGAAACTTTCTCACAAGCAAGTTGTGACTGAAAGCGTGCAGAAGCACCTGCAGGTAGAGTTAGAAAGGATGAAGAGCAGGAAGAAAAGAATCGCCACGGAAAAATCCTTCTTCGACTTGCTTTACCTGGGAAAGCTGAGAGAGATGCAAGAAGGCGCGGAAGTGAAGAACGCGGCTTTGCGTAGGAAAATCCAGCGGGCCAAGCAGGACTTCGCAGATGAGGTGACGGAACAGATTGACCGGTTGCGGAAGTTTTTGTTGTACTCCAAAGACAGCTGGCGCAGCCACGACGCGCTGGTGGTGAAGCGAAACAAGAAGGGACCTCCTGGCGACGATGAAGAAACGGTCTTGTTGCAAGAACACGAGCGATACCGTCTCGAAGAAGATGAAACTTCTTCAGAGGAACAAGAAGCCGAAGAATCACAATCCTCGTCGTTAATATCGGCCACCGAATCAAAAGCAACAAGGAAAAGCCAGCTGGGGAAATCTTCCAAGATGTCGTGTTTGACGTCGTCCTCCAGTGAACAGGAAAAGCCAGTCGCTGTTCCCGATGCGGCGGAGAACGACCTTGACTCGCCTGATGCTCCTGCCGGCGCTGAAGGAGAAGAGGCTGGGGGCGAAGATGAAGAAGTAGAAGGACAGCACGAGTCAGGAGCCCCTGGCGCTCCAAAACGACCAAGCAAAGACTCATCCGGCCCTCCCGTCTCTTCTGCGGTCCACTCCCCAAGCGAAATGGCGCCCTCATCTCCTCGTGATCATGCAGAGCAAGAAACTCCTCTTCCCGAAGACGGTGGCGAAGCGAACGCCGCCCAATTAGAACCTGGATCAGCGTTATCGCAAGTCGAAGGAACTGAAGCAGGTTCAGCACAAAGCGTCTCGGAAGCAGCAGTGGGTGGGCAGGCCTTGTTATCCGAGACAGCAGCTGTTTCGAATGGGACGCGCTCGTCCACTTCTGCGCAACATCACAGCGCGGTGTTGAAAGCCGCTGTGAAGACCTCCAGGCTGGAGCGCGTGAAAGGAAGAGAGAACAACAAGCCGAAGGGAGGCCGCTTGGGGAGAGTTGGGCAGGAGCAGCAAGATGGAAGCCTTGAGGCAGAGCAGCAACCAGCACAGCCGCGGCAACAGATGCTGTTTTACCCGGAGCCAGAAGATGGTGTTGACGACAAAGCTGGTTCTGCATCATCTGCTGATCGGACGACAAAACCGATGAAATCGCCGTCGGGACGAGATGGAAGAAAACTACCGAAACGCAAACCGGTGAAGCCGAAGCGAAATTCAGACCTGCAAGAGGCTGCAAAAGGAATTCGTCAAGTCGATCCTTCCCTCGACAATTCCAAAATGATTCACCTGCCTATTCTCGAGAAGAAAACCGACCTGAAGCTTGCCGTCGAGCAGTCACCGGGGCATCAAACGAAAATCACCGCGGGTAAGTCAGATCAAGTGCGGCACGCGGCGGAGCAGGCACTTGCTGAAGCGGAGGAGCGATTTGGGAAGATTTTTTACAAAGCGAAGTTTGTTGTCGAGGAAGTGGATTATGCGCAGGAAAAAGAAGAAGAAGAACGCCATCGGGAACATCAAGGGATGAAGACTGCCTCGTCTGCAAATCGCGATCCACGCCAGTACTACCTCGCCCGCCGTTGGCAGCAGTTCGAGGAAGAGGTTTTCAAGCCGTGTCGAGAAGAACGGCTTAAAATCCATCGAGAAACAAAGCACGCTGCCGCTGTCGTGAAGCTCGCACGCGTGTTGCACTTCGTTACGCGCGACCAACTCCAGCACAGCTTTTTCCAAGTAGCGGGCATGCCTCAGGCAGCGGCACTTTTCACGGAAGTGGAGAAGGACTGGTTGTCGCAGAAAAAAGCCAAATTGCGTTCTGAAGTGCAACAGGAGGAGCTGACGCTTTTGAAGAGAAACAAGGTTCGGGCTTTGACAACGACTCTGCACAACTGTCTCGTGCGGAAGATTTTGGCAGCCGCGTTTTTCCGGCTGAGGTATCACACAGCATGCCGCGTGACGACGGCGAGTACTGGTGCGAGAACGTCTGCTGTTGCGAGCACTTCTCAGAAACAGGACGAGGCTCTTGCCGCAGAAGGCGGCCCTACCGGCGCTCCTTTAGCCGTTCCCGGCAGTTCCTCGGAACTAGACCTTTTGGTCGATTCAGACTTCGATGTGAAGGTCTCGTCTGGCGCGGCTGGGAAGCTGCTTCTTGCAGCGGGGAAGCGGACAACAGCTGAAAGCGGAGATGCCCCGCTTGATGTTCTCGACACCGCCGACTCAAATTCCACCAAACAGGCTGTCGTCCTGGCCCCGGCTGCGAAACCTTTGCGCCAAAGTCGCTCTTCGGACGTGATTGTGTTTTCGGATGATTCCCCACGCGGTGCTGGAGTACTTCCAATGGCAGAACTACTAGAAGAACCACCAGCATTTCGAGCGAACGAAGCTGCAACTACTACAGAGCCCCGAGTTTTAGTTTTTGATGCAGCAACCGCAGCGGACGAGCAGCTTGGTAACGACCTCGCAGGGAATCTAGGCGAAAGTGCTTCCGCACCACAACGATGGAGCGATAGGGTGTTGGACTTTTTCGGTGTGAGTACTGCGCTGAAGGACGAAAATACACGGGCACATGCTCCGAGCCGCGAAGACCAAATCGCGCTTCCTACAGTTGCTGTACCAAGCGAGGCTGTACCGGCTGCGACGCATCACCAGTCGCAGCTCCAACTGCACAACAGGCTGCACGTCCACGAAAGCCAGAGAGAAACCGTAGGAGGCCAGGAAACAAAGTTTGAAAATAGCGCCGCAGAGGCAGTAGAAGAACAAGCAGAGCCGAGCATTCTGTTCTATCCGGAGGCCTTGCCATTGACCTCGCAGCCGGAAGAAGACGCGGTAGAGGACCTTACCAGCTTTTCTCTACCAGGAACGAAAGTAACTACACTGGCAGGAATGGAAAATAGAGAAAAACACTACAAGCAGAACTCGTTTCCGAATGGCTTGAAGCTACCACCAAAGCCCAGAATATTGACCGTTTCCAAGAAAATGTAAATCAATATCAAATTATGTGAAAACACGATGAAGGTACTTCTAAAGCCTAGATTCTAAAACGCCTCGTTTCGAGATGAAATGGAAATGCACCAAGAGAATGAGAAGATTGAGCAACGCCACCGGCACGACACTGCCTTACAACTCGCGCGGGCAGCCGTGCGGTCGGTACCAAGGGAGATGAGAGGGACGGAACAGCTGGGAAGACCTGTCGTGTTTTCGTGATGCTGATTGCACCTTTCTTGGATGAAAAATTAAGCATGAAGATGATCACTGAGTCGCCCAGCAGAGCTGCTGAAGAAGCTGCAGTGTTTTATCGAGATCCATTTCAATCAGTTCGACTTCGATTTGATGGCCGTTGCCGTTGGCTCCCAATGTAATCAAGATCAACCCCTTGTTGCCTTCGGACCACGAGTAAGTACGACCTGCTCCATTGTTTCATCGCTTGTGCAACAGCACTTCTCCCTTGTATACTCGTGAAGGAACAAAGTAGTACATGTTCAACAGACACTCTTCCACGAAAAAATCATGTCCGGAGCTACTTCGAGCTCCTCCTCCGTGTTGCCTTCCGGCAGTACAACTAGGCAGTTCAGCACAAGGATCACGAAAAACGCCGAACGTGAAAATTTCGACCACTACCACAACACGGGCGACAGCGCGACGAATGATGGTCCTAAGGAGCTTTTCACAGACAATGACCCAGCCACGACGATTAAGGGTTGTGGCTTCAAAAACAAACTCACCGCAGAACTCACCCTGCACCTCATCCAGCAGCCGGGGTCAAGCTACAAGCAGTATTGGACGGTAAGGGCGATGCAGGAACGGGCGACAAGGCACCCGCACCAAACGGAGCAAATGCGAGAGGCGATTACGGTGTTTGATAAGTGGCTTGTGGAGAGGGACGAAAGCATGAGCAGAAATGTTGTCACGGCGAGCACAAGTGGCAAGGCGAGCGAGAATGACCATCATCATCAAGACGCTGTACTACAGCTGCAAGTTGACCAGCCGGCCGCTTTGCAACAGCGAAGAACCCTTGCTTTTTCCAAGGCGAACGCCCACGCGCGACGGAATTGCGATACTGATGAGGAGTTCCACAACTACACAAAACAAGACCGAAACGAGATGCTGAAATGTCTGCGCGAAAACGCAATGTCTACGGATTGGTTTGCGCTATCAGCGACGGCCTTTGTAGGACTCTTCGGCGGACCCGGGGAGCACGGCTATGGTGTGCACGTATGTTGCGGCAACTTCGAAGGAGACGCAAGTTTAGCAATACAGGCTGACGAAATGGAAGACAAGCACAAGCTTACATCTCATGGTCATGGAGAAGAAACGGCTGCCGGGGGTGGCGCAAGCTCAAGCACTGTTCATCAGATGAAGTTTTCTTTTCTGTACGAGAAGTACCGATCGGAGATGCAGAGCCGTTCTTGCAACTTCTCGAAGTGCGTCTGTAGCTTCGAGAACACTCATGAGGTCCATGTTGTTGGCTTCAATGCAGCATTAAGTTGTGCGTCTTCTTCCAGTGCGTCGAGGAAAAACAAGAGCGACTCAAACACATCATCGGCAGCACTGCATCCTACCAAGCGAGATCAGGACACCAAGTGCCACCTACCACTTCTTTCTGCCTTCTATTCCGTCTGTTCCGAGGAAAATCAGACCCATCCGTGGTTCCACTCCTCTAAAGATTGGAGCGTCAGCCAGCTTGGGTTGGGAAGCAAATTTCCCTGGACCGCTTTTTCTCTCGAGTACGATGGAGCACAGGAGAAAGCGAGGTTCGTGCGGAATCGGTTTTGGAAGGCGAAAGAGGATGGCGTGGAGACTGGCACTGACGGCAGCATTGTTGTCGCAAAAACCGGACACATCATGAAGCACCAACCTTCAGTGAAAGATTTTTTTTCGAGAAAACGACCAGCAGTTGCGTCTGTACAATCCGTGGTTGATTCTGGCACAAAGTGCGCTGTCCAGACCCAGCAGAAGTACGCGACCTTTGCTAGTAACAAAAGGCAGAATGCATCTTCGTTGGAAACAAGGACAGAAGTCGCGACAAAGTTGATTTGTACAAAAAACAGCGATGATGTCATTGTCTTGTCGTCAGATGACGAAGTTGACGTAGATGTACCGGGAAAACGAAAATCAAGGGCATTTCATCGTGGCCAATTAGAAATGTTGGAGCTGCGCACCCGGAGAAATCCTGGTTGCGACTTTTTTCGGTATTCTAGTTCTACTCTTTCCATCCAACAGAAGTTGTTAGCAGGTATGATCGTCTGACAAGCGACGCAATTGCGGCTCTGCAGCAGAGGTGAAACGCGTTGAGAAGTTGCGCAGTTTGTGTGATTCGTGAGACGAATACGAGAAGCAAGCCTGCTGAGATGTAGGCATAAGCATAACACTAGAGACTGCGAGGAATGAGACGCGTTTTTGCAGCGCATGCATTTCTGATGCAAATGTAGCAAACGGACCTGCAGTCCGACAATGCAGTTGGCAGCTGCAGCAAGCGCGATCATCTACATCTTCTTCCTCCAAACAAAGAAAAGCGAATAAGGATTTTAGGAATTATACGATTTCTTGCCCACAAAAAGCTTCGTTGCGTATTATAGCGAGGCATTTTCTTAGCTGCCGCAATCGCATCAATCTACAATATTCTGCGCGCATGGCTTCTTCGTTGAGTGGTTTTGTAATTGAATTTATATTTTTCCGTGACGTGATTTTTTTTTAATGTAAAAAATCATTTTCATGATCGTCCGTGTAAACAAAGCTCGTCTACCCTACCAAAATGTCGACCCGTCTCTCCTCCCGTACGCGCTCCTCTTCTTTCGGGAGCGCGGTGCACGAAGCGGCCCAGTTACGGGAAAGTTTATTGCAACAACAGAACTTTCAACATTCGGACCAAGCCGCGAACCGCTACGGTGTCGCAGCGAAATCCCGGCGGTTGTCCGTCCACACGGGCGCCGCCAGTCCCTTGGTGGTCCGTGCTCACGCAGCGAGTGGTCGGGGACAGGGGCAGACGAGCTTGTTGAGTGTGCCGCCAAATGGAAATATCCTCGATGGAGGGGTGATCTCTCCTTCCGCCGTTTCACCGAGAGGAAGCGGCGCTGATGAGCAGCACGCAAACAATTTCTCACTCAGGCCAACGCCGTCGCCATTCAATATTGGCAGCAACAAAGTGGAGCCGAGAATAAGCAGTATCAGTGGAGATAGATTGCACCCAACAGGGTCTCCGATAGCGATACAAGCACACCAGGGCGCGGCAAGTCTTCTAGGGCAGCGTAGTATTTCGAAATCCGAAGTTCGTGGCGCAGCGTCTCCAAGAAAGACCACCACCAGCGATGCGCTTCATTTGCAGCTGTGGGCACAGCTGACCGCACTGTTGGGAGGGGGTGCTGATGCCGACGTTACTGATAAAGCGATATTGTCTGCTCCTGACGCCGATGCCCGAGCCACACTTCTACCAGGCGTGGAGCCAGCAGATGAAGCTGCCCTTCTCCCCACGTCAAAAACTACAGCCGAACTCGGCCGCTCCACGGCCATCGCGTTTTCGTACGGAATCATCAACTTTGTGTGCGTTTTGCCCGTCATCGTCGCGTACGCGCACATTGTCTACGCGAGTAACGATTTCGAGGAATACATGCCGTACATTTTGAAAGTCGTCATGCTGAGTTGCTGCATCCACCAGGCCTTGTTCTCGTGGTTCAGCCGACTCCCCTTCTCCATCGGCCAGGTCCAAGACGTCGGCTTGATCTTTCTCGCGGCGATTACAAAAAACGTCCAGGAGCTCGCAACCTACCAAAACGCCCTAGCAGAGCAGGCACGGACGGCGCTACTGGCAAAAGCGGGCAATTATCCGGGTTTACCCGGCTTGGAGGGCGGAGTTGGCAGTGCACGACCAGCAGCACAACTTGCAGCCCAGGCCTACCACCCCATAACGACGAAGGAGATTGTTGCGACGAGTCTCTGGGCGGGTGGGATCGGCACGACAATCACCGGCTTGATTGTTTGGTACGTGGGGTATCGGCAGTTGGTCGACTACGTCTCGTTGCTCCCCTTGCCGGTCGTGGGCGGATATTTGGGTTACATCGGCTGGTTCTGCATCGTATTCCCTGAAAATTGACCGTCCCCATCCACTTTTGGCATGGCAAGCACATAATTTGCTACGTGTTTTCCATGACAAACTGGATGGGGGATGGTTAATTTTCAGGGAATACATCGCGGCGGGGTTGACCATCATGTCCGGACAACAGATCAACGCCCCCTGGACGGTGGCGCCGCTGTTCTGCGAGGAACAGGTGCCGTACTTGGTTTCCTTTGCGCTGTTTCTCGTGCTGTTTCTCTTCATCCACTACCGGTTGAGCCACCACGTCTTCGTGATGCCCACGGTGTTGCTGCTCGCTCCGGTCGGTTTTCTAGCCATCGCGATCTACGGCTTGGGGTTTACGCTAGAGGAACTGCGGGAGGAGAATTGGCTGAGCTACCCGGCAAAGGGGCTGGTGTGGGGCCCGACACAATACGCGATCTACGATCCGAGGCTGGTGCACTGGAGCTTTTTGCCGAGGCAGATTGGGAACTTCATCGGTACCCATCAATGAAAACGAATGCTCTTTGCTGGATTTCTGAACACTTCTCTACGCAAACCAATATATGAAAATCGCGAAAAGAATTTGAATCACATTCACCTGCATGATGACAAACACAAAGATCTAAATCGCCTACCAATTACCCTTCTCAGGTCTCACCATCGTGGTCACCTTCGGCTCTTCCCTGGACGTAGCCGCGATCCAGGCGGAGATTCCCTACCGCTTGGATTTCAACGGCGAAATGCGGATGATTGGCGGCGCGAATTTCATTGCGGGATTGACCGGTGGCATGACGGGCAGCTACATCTTCAGCCAGACGATTTTCTCGCTGAAATCCCAGGTCACCAGCAGTCTTTGCGGCTGGACGGTTTTCTTCTGCGAATTTCTCCTGTGGGCGCTACCGATCGACTTATCCTGCGTGTTGCCAAAACCCTACGTCGGTGCGTTAGTCGCGTTATTCGGCGTCGACATTCTCCGGGACTGGCTGTGGAAAAGCCGCGCGCTCCTGTCCCAGATGGAGTACGTCCTTGTGTGGCTCGCGTTTTCCATCATTATGGTTCTCCAGGGGTTAAACAGCTTCGGGGTGATTGAAGGGATGTTAGTCGCGACGGGTCTGGCCTGCGTCACGTTTGTCTGCCTGTACAGCACCTTGCCGGTGTGGACGGTCGGGCCGCAGACGAGATCCGGGCAGTTTCGGAGGTACAACGAGCGGAAAGTGCTGGACCGGCAGAAGCAGCAAATCTTTGTGTGCCAGTTGAAGGGGTACATTTTCTTCGGCTCCAGTATGGATTTGAGCACACGACTGCTGAACGCCGTGCTGGATCATTTCCAAAAGGCGGACAAGATCTCCAGATTGCAGTTCGGAGGAGGCGGATCTGTAGTGCAGGCGGGGACGGGGGGCGGCGACAAGGCCATCGTGACATCAAGTTTGATCCAAAATAATAGAGGTGGTGAGGGAACAAACAATCCATTTCCTGTCGCGCCGTCAAGACAAAATCCCGATCAGAATCTCGCAACACACTTGCTGAACGAAGAAAAAACGGGAAAGGTGAACATCAAGAATCTCCCAACTCCTGCAGCAGCAACCACCGCAACACGAGCCGGACGTCCGCCGCAGCCCAGCGAAGCGGTCTTCAACGTCGCAGCTGACAACCCAGCACGAATTTCGGTCCAAACTAGCGACTTCCCGGACGAAAGTAGAGAGAGCACGTTTGCAGTCCCGAGAATCAGTGTGGACGACCCGCGCTATTCCGCCATCGATAGCGTGGTGACAGTCGACCCATACGGGACAACTAGGGACTCCGCCGCGCAAATGAACCACCTGCCGAAAAACTACAGCGAATCCAACCGGAGTGGCTCGTCGGCTGTGCTACATGATCCAGCACACCTTCCCCTGTCGCAGCAGCAACCGCCTTCGTCCCACTACGTCTCCGGTACCGGGGGGCTGACCGATGACGAGTTGATTCCAGTCAACCGGGATGATAAACAAGCCAACGCAAACCGATCAGAGAATGGCATATTTGAGGACTTTTCCTACACACTGCAAATCAACACAGACGGGAATATTTCTAGCAGGACGACGACAAATCAAAACGCGATCATGCTAGAGCAGCAGAATAGTCCTCCTGACCATCAAGAAGAAGATCAGTTTTTGCACAAGCTGAATCTCCGGTCCCCGACCTCGGAAGCGTCGTTTGTCCTCCCGACACCGATTGGACCTGGAGCTCCTTCGCAGCCAAAATTTGTCGTGTTAGATTTTGAGCAAGTACAGAACATCGACTCAACCGCTTGCGTGTCCCTGGCGAGTATGAAAGTCTCTTTAAAAACCTCCGACGTGATGGTCTCCAACTCGCGCTTGCACTTCGTCTATTGCGGAATAAGGTCGGATTCCCTTCGGGAGCTGCTACAGGCAAACAACGCACTGAACAGCAACGAGGACTACGAGTTTGGTGCGTTGGAAGATGCCTTGAACTTCATCGAAGAGATGATTCTGAACCACCACTACGAAAACTTAAGCCTGTATGAGGTGGAGATGAACTACACTGGCAGTGGTATATTAGCAGGAGGAAGTACTACTTCTAACCCGCCGCGCTCGAGTCTTGCGGCGTTTCACAAGTCAAGAAACGCAAACTTTGCCCTGACGCTCGAGGAGATCTTGTTGGAGTACTTTCGGCAGGACCCGACTGTGAACCCGCCGAACATGTGGTCTCCAAGGGTGACGGCGAGCTCGACTTACCGGCCGCAATTTTACCCCGCTTCTGCGTCTGCTGGCTACGAGCCACCGAAGCCGGTTTTTACTAGTGACACAGGAGAGGGACGAGATGACACGACGGCAACTTCTGCAGGAGCGCAGCTAAAGAGTGCAAAGCAAAACGCCGCCAGCACGACCGAGTCGGAGTTCGTGCAATCTGGACAGAAAACCGCTTCCTTTCCGGACGAACCAGGAGTCGAAGTTGCGTTAACCAAGGCGACGTCGAGCACATCCAGCTCCTCATCGCAGCCGATGAGTCGGCAACTGCTGGTGCTGGCCGATAATTCGGAACTACAACATGAGCCTTTCTCCCAAGACTACACGAGCTCGAGCACGGCGCAGCACCAGCAGCAGCATCCCCCACTGCTGGGGATGAAGCCGCAACACCAAATCTCCCTCACCGATATCCGGTCCCACGACTTCCTAACCGGGTTGCGGCAGATCGCCAAATCCTTCACGGTGACCTTAACACTACCCGCGGGCGCCGTCCTCTTTCGGTCAGTATCAAATGCAAAAATGTCTGGGTCTGGAAGAGTCATGCTGTTTTTGCATCACGCAGAAGGTCTGGCATGGAAGCTGTAGCATCACAGGTTTCGAAAAGCTTCCGCAATGCCGAATCCGCATGACAAATCCCCCACTTTGGTGACAGAAAGTGGGCAGCTTTTGCTACCTATGCATCAGAGATTTTTCTGTGTGCTGAAATGCGCATCACAAGTTTGTATTCTTCCAGACCCAGACACTTTTACATTTGATAGTCAGAGGACGTCTGCAACGCGGTGTTTTTCGTCAGTAAGGGTATCCTGAGTAAAAACGTCCCCACACCAGAGTTGTCATGCAAATCTGCATGCCAAAAAAGTTTCTCATGCTGAGACGATTCCGGTTTATGATCCCAGTCCCCCCTCCCACCCTTTGCTTCTGTTGCAGAATAAGTCAAGCTGAGTCACTACGGTTGCCGCGCACAAATTAAGCCTTTAAGTTGTCGCTGTGCCCCAGGTGGGTTGCCAGTCAGCAGTGCCAAACAACTGGTCTATGGTTTGACAACTGTGACCCGCTCGCTTGCCTTTTTCGTCCGTGCCGCAGGTAAGGCGCAAACGGTCCAGCCTCCCCTGTCTGGGCGGGGCTGCGGCTTAGGGGAGAGTCTCGCCCCTTCACCCAAAGGGGTGCGTCGTCTCTTCCGTGAGAGCAAAAACGTAGGGCGTAAAATGGGTCGGGTCCTGGATCATTCTGTATGTTGGGCTGTCGCGCTCGGCTTGCTGGCCGGGCTGTACCGATCAGGTGTGGTGGGTAGCTCCCGACTGGTTGGTACTTTTCTTGGGGCGACTTGCCGTGGTAGCGCTCGGCTTTTGTATGATGAGGTCGCCGAAAGTGCTTCCTCGCCCACCCCCCGGGGAGGGGATCCTTGACCTGTGGCGCTGGGAGCGGGTGTCCACTACATGATGATGATGATGCTGAGCCCCATGAAAGGCATTTTCTAATCGTGTTTTGGGATTTGTGATGCTATAATCAGCATGATGTGCTAGATCTGTGATGCTGCTGAACTACCTAAACAGGATTACATTACAAGGACAAACGTGTCATGCGAAACAGCCAAAGCTGGTTGATTTGTCTAGCAGATTTCCCATCTTGACTCTGGTGTGGGTACGTTTTTACTCAGGATAAAGGGGGTGGTAGAGGTATCCGCGTGGCGCTCGTTGAAGAACAACGCGGCGAGTTTGATCAAGAACGATCCGACGCTAGGGGTTGCTGGTGGCGCAGGTCCGTTTGGAAATATTAGAGCAGGACCAGGAGGAGCTACAGCATCTTCACAGTCGCATCTTCAAGATCGACAGACGATGCCAACGGTCGTGCAACACCAATCTACTTCTGCACGGCAGGAAACGCTGAAGTCCACGACAATTTCCCCGACCCTGTCCTCCTGGCTCCGAACGCGTTCGATCCAATGCCGGCCCGGTGCGCTGCTGGGCAACACGGCGTATCAAATGCAAAAATGTCTGGGTCTGGAAACTTGTGATGCTGTGTGGCGTATCATGAGGAGGCCACAATTGCTGGCTCAGCATGACAAGTTTCTGAGCTTCTAGGTGTTGCCTATTCTGCATGACAAACTACGTTTCTGCATGACAGAAAAGTGGGGCGCTTTGGTAATGTGCATGACAGATTTAAGAGTCATGCCAGACAAGCATGACAAACTTGCATTCTTCCAGACCCAGACACTTTTACATTTGATACGGCGTTTGCCTACCCCAAAAGGGAGATGGTGTACGGGTTTGACGCGGGTTATCCAGAAAAAAACACCCATCCCCATCCAATTTGTCATGCAAAACCCGCATAAAGTGCAGTGTTTGTCATGCTAAAAATGGATGGGGATGGGTGTTTTTTTCTGGATACGAGTGCGAGTGAGGATGTAGGTGCGGTAGTATTCAAAATCGATCGGGAGGCCATGCGCCGGATGGAGCTGCGAAATCCTAATTTAGCATTATTGCTGCACAAAGTCTTCCTTCAAGACATGTGCTACGACGCGATCAGAGACTTGGTTGACTGAGTGTACAACTAGTACAGCGAAAATAAGAACCTGTAGTGCCAGCTGGTTTAAGCAGTAGCACTTCCTGTTCCTGGAATAAAGTAGAAATATGCGCAGCAGTAGACACGTTTGGTTTCTATGTTTGTACTCCATCTGATGCGCAGGATTTTTTGCGCCAACCAAATAGGTCGCAGCTGTTTTTCGTATTTCAGAAGTGGTTTCATCGCGTTCGGGGGCTTTATCAGTTCTCGATAAGACTTGTTTGCTACAGCCGATTTCCTTGACACAGCATCCTCCATGGGCATTTTACATGATGAGTAGAGTCTTGAACTTTTTGAAGATGAAAGAGAAACTGGTTTATATGCAGCAGACAGTTTGCGTCGCTCGCAAGACATTTTGAAATCAGGACGAAGAAGATTTTCGATTATGCATTGAACAAAATTAATGAGCGCTAGCACTCGCCGCTGAGAATCTTCATCTCATGATCGCATTTATTCGTGTGGTCGCGATCGAGAATAAAAGCAGAAACACATCATCAGCGCAGTTTTCGCATCACCTCTTCGTCCGCATGATCAATACGGGCGAATAGGAACTAGTGTCTTGTTGTGAAGAGAAGTCGAAGATGTTGTGTGCTATGGTTCTTGATGAGATGATTGAACCTTTCTGCTTCGACCTCTTCGACTACACAGATAGCTTCGATCTTTTGCGTTCGTCGACGTGGTTTAGGGTTTCAATCGCTCGTCTCATGATGGGTCAAGGGAAGTAGATCTTTTGCTCGTCATGTCTTCAAAGCACTGTAGTTCGTTGTAGGACCAATCGACGATCCGAACGGTTTAGCACTGAGGCAAACTGGTGCTGAGACAAGGCAAATGCATTTTGCAGCATTTTTACACAACCTCGTAGCAGTTTTTTTTTCAGAAGCAGGAAAACCGCGTTATTTTTATTTGAAAGACACAAAACCAATAAAAGCAGTCGATCTGTCGCTGTCCAGCATTTAATATGCTTTTGGAAGAGGAATCTTGAATTAACAATCGCGTAATTCGCTGAGAAGAAAAAGTTTGTTTGCTAGTTAAACGGAATACGAATGAAGTTTTAAAAAGCTCAAATTTGCGCAAATTTCAAATCAGGACCTAAAGCTCTGCGTACTATCGAAACTAGAAGTATAAGTGTGAAAAGAACTCTACTCCCACTAACGAAAGAGTCGTGAGATGAAGTGTATGTTGTATTCCAAAATTAGTATAATCAGTCGCGTGTTGCGAATTTTGTAGAACTACTGGTCGTGCCGACCTGCTTTATTTTGTCGCGTTTGAGAGTAGAAAAAAGACAACCTCTACCATGCTGTTTAGAAGTAAGCTCACGCGACGTGACGCGTAGTGGTCTCCACCCACTTCACGTCCTCGTAGGTACTGCTGCAACTTGTACGTTTGCCGCGTGCTTCTACTGCGTAGTTTGCGCGCGAAGACCCCAACAACAGCATGCTGAACGTCGAGGTGGTCGAGCGCGCTCAGGAGGCGGAACGGGAAGGGAAGTTCCTGGTTTGTACGCTGAAGCAGCTTCCGCAAATCGTCGACAACCAGTTGCCAGAGAAAATTGAAATTTACAGCGGTATAAATATTGCATGTTTTTGTCGCACGAAGAACAAGAGCATCTGCAATGACTATGGTGTCCATTCTAGCTTGGAAGCGAAGACGAGCAAGCTGGTGTCTGATGAATTTGGCATGCGCAAAAATAAAAAACAAGATTCAACCTGCTTCCAAAGAAAAAAAACAGTTGACAAGTCGAAGGCCGTTGGTCGTTCGCAAGACAATGACATTGTCGCGACCTCTCATGCCATCTCGCACTACCACATGGTGCTCGAGGTGCAGCAGACCCGGCCCAAATCCGGGTACGCCCCCATGCCCCCGCTTTTTCTCGACTACAGCGCGTCGAGCAGCAGCAACGCAGCCGCGACGCAGTCTCTCGGGCGGAATAACACACTGAAAAGGACGCACTCCGAAATGCTGAACAACGGACCGATGAGTGAGGATCAAGGTTCGACCCCCGAAGAGCCCATGGAGCATCTGAACAACAGAAACGTGAGAAGAAGGGGCGAAAACGGAAACGCCGTTGCTGGAGCTGCTGCAGCCCCCGCAGCAGCCGCGAACAATCGAAACCGCCGGAATTCGCAGCAAAACGCGGCTGCTGACCGGACGGAAAACATCGGCAACGCCATCGAGGACAGCAACACGCTCCGGGGCCGGGGAACGACGGCTTTCGGCGGCAGCAGTTCTTCGACCGCGAAAATGAACACCAACCCGGAGATCGACAAGATCGTGCGGGGGGTCAGTCGGAACGATCCGAAGGTTTTGCAGGTGCTGGAAAGCCTGAAATCGATTGGGGTGGATGTCAACAAGTTCACGCAGGAAATCAAGGGCACCTCAACCATCGGCGGGCCACCGAAGGGCGTTTTGAAGGTGAACGCGAGTACGAGTAGTGGGCCCGGGAGTTTCGGCCGGGACTCGTTAGTACAGTACGAAAACGTCAACACGTGGCTGCTGCGAGAGAAGATGCGCAACAACGTGCACGTGTTTCTCCGGGATGTCTCGACGTACGGCACCTACGTCAACGGCGTCAAAGTGGGGAGGAACGTCCTTCCGAGGCTGCTGAGGCACGGCGACGTATGACGAGAGATAGCCTTTTGCTTTTCAATCATCGAATTCGAAAATTTAAATTATATAGTTGTATACTAAACCGAGAGAAAGGAATACTTAACATTGACTTAGACTTACTTATTTAACAAGTATTTGCAGGCAGCGAAAGTTCGTATTCAAAGACCTCAGTCAGTCAGAGCCTTAGCAGGCAATGGCAAAAATTGTCTTCGCACAATCCACCGCCCAAAAACGACAGGTAATCGCTTTCATGCGACACGAAGAGGAGCCTAACGTGCTGGGTGACTTTCGGGTTGAGTACGCAGAGGGACACGCGCCGCGTGGCGATGAGGTACAGACTAAATAGCGTACATCAATCGGCGTGCTCATATTCGTCATCGCGGTAGGAGCTGATGCAGCATGGCAGGCACGAGAGTTGTGTGTCAGCTCTGTAGTTCAAACAATGTGCAACATGTTGAAAATGAACTTGCCACAATTCGTCCGTTGACCTCCACAGGTCGTCTCTGTCGAGCTCCCCCTGTTCACCTCGATGAGCTTCGGTGACTGGATTCGGCATCGGGAGGCGGTGGTGTTGGCAAACAGCAGCAAATCCACCATTCGCCAGTGCTACCGGGTTTGCCTGACCACGTTCCTGATGTGCAACGAGGACCCGAGCAGAAAGAGCCGGATAAAGGCCGACCTGCCACAAGACATCCGGAGGAAGATCCTGGAGTTCCTCTACGTCGACACGCCGGCGCAGGCCGTTGCGGGATGCCCATGTAAATAAGATGGGGATAATATACTTTGCTACTGTTTTTTTCTGATGTCGAAGAACAGTTCGTTGTACTGCATTGGGTCTGACAGTTGTGTTATAAATATGAGCGCGACAACTTCGGCTCGATGCCGTTCCATGAACAAAGAAAATATTGGTTTGAATCTTTAAACCCCAACAGTCCCCGAGGAGCAACGGCCGCCGAAGGCTGACCATTTGAAGCACAAGGCGAATAAGGCCAAGGAACGGCACATCAACAGTACGGTCGAAACGATCTTGAACTATTGTGACGGGTTGGCATCGAACGGGACAATGCAGCTCGAGATGAAGATCTACCGTATCATATTTTTTTCTGTTTTTCCTTTTCCAGCAAAGTTGAGCTTGCCAATTTTGCAGCGAAAGTGGTGGCTCTGTCTTCAAGGCTGCTGCATGACGAGCATGATGTTCGCTCTGAAAATAATTCACAAGGAAAATCACAAACACAATCTGAATGCACCATCAAAAAAAAAACAAAAACGCAGTCGACAATATCGAGAACAAGGCGAACAATCCGAAGTGGATGTGGGACCTGAAGGGCGAGGTTTTGAAAGACCGGCGACTGCACACGAAAATCAAGGACCTGGGCTACATCGTGGAGCACAACAACCAGCAGCAAAAACTGACGATCAAGTGGTCTGGGCAAGAGGCCGGCGCCAACAACCGCGCGGGTGCCGCTGCCGCCGCGGGCGCCGCCTTGGCCGCCGCCGCGGCTGCCGCCGACCTCGGAGCCCCGCCGCCACCAGCAGTGCTGGAGCGCGCGCTTGGCGGCGTACACCGAAGATTGGGGATCCGGGCCGCCGCTGCGGCGCCGCCACCGGTGAACCCCGATGACATGTGATAAAGAAGATGGTGTAGCGGAAGTGTATCCGCAAAGCTGCACCGCCCCTGATTTCTTTCAAAAATGTGTATATCCTTTTCTTGATCCTGCCTAGGCGAAGAGGACGACCTGTACGCGACAGCGAGCGACAAGATCAAAGCACTTGTCTCTATATGACACAAGAAGATAAAAAGAACTTCAATAATTAGCGCGCGACTCTTCTCAAGAAATCACGTTTGACGGATTTAATACTGCAGAATTCTATCTGCATTCCCGTTCGACTGAGTTTACCACCAATTTTAACATCTATTCTATACCAGATCACCATGGTGACTGAGATTTCTTAAACCGACTAAAAAAGCTTGTTGCGACAACATCGTATCGCAAGCAGAAACAGTATTCTCAACAGTACGAAATTGACAATGATAGATGGGGTTAGGGAGTGAATCTTTGACCCTGTCAATAAAGACCTAGAGACAGGCCAGCGACCGAGCCACCAAATTACGTCTATACCCGCGCCTACCCAGATCTAGTATTGCAGAATATGCCCAACACCAACTTAAAGTTTATCGAAACCCTACAACGAAGCTGTTTCCTACACAGAAACGACCTTCACGACGAAATTTTTGGCTTCGACCACTGCAGCGGACGTGGTGGGTGGAGCTAGGAAAGCTTTCTCCTTTGCTTGCGACCGAATCTACACCCCCCAGGACGACCGACGTCAAAGGTGCTTCTACACTTCTAGACTTACCTATCAATCCCTACTGACCGCAACTAAGCAACGACTTCGCCGTCCTTTATTGCTGACTCGAGAAGATGAGAAGGGCTTCGGCTTGTTGTGCACAATACAGCTGATATCAAATTTGGCATTGGTGTCAGGGAAGCAACGCGAACATTTTTTCCGATTTCGTGCTCCTGCTGGTGCAAATTCACCGCGGGAATCGAAACATATTGCAAGCCTGTATTAGATGGCGCGCACGCGTTCTTGTCAACTACGAAGTCTTATCCCAGTTAAGTTTATAAGCTGGGAGAGGGGAGAGCCCGGGAGAGGCTGGGAGAGGCTGGGAGAGCTTCCGCAAATTAGAAGGAACAGCGCGACTCGTTTTGTAAATTTGCTTCAGGCTCGATGGTATGATGTCTATTCTACTGCAGTTCTTTTTATATATATGTAAGCGGTTTGGACGGCGCCCCTGTGGCGTATTTCTATTTGTGACTACTCGGCGCAGTTTTTGGGATGGCGGATGCCGCCGACAGGTGGCATCTAGGGGGCGAAAAATTCCTGCATGCGTGTCCTCCACGCGGGCGGCCCCTGGGGCGCTGCTGTCGTTATCCATCAGGGAAAGTTGAAGCGGGCACTTCGATTTTCCTTCGATGAGGGAAAGCTGAAGTGGCCAATTCAAATTTCCTTCGATGAGGGAAGGTTGAAGTGGTCACTTCAATTTTCCTTCGATGATGGAAAGTTGAAGTGGCCACTTCGAATTTCCTTCGATGAGGGAAAGTTGACGGGGCCATTTCAAATTTCCTTCGATGAGGGAAGGTTGAAGCGGTAACGTCGATTTTCCTTCGATGAGGGAAAGGCGAAGTGGCCACTTCAAATTTCCTTCGAAGAGGGAAAGTTGAAGCGGCCATCCCAAATTTCCTTGCTTCGATGAGGGAAAGTTGAAATGGCAACTGCGAGCTTCCTTTGATGAGGGAGCGTTGAAGTGGGCACTTCGATTTTCCTTCGATGAGGGAAAGTTGAAATGGCCATTTCAAATTTCCTTCGATGGGGGGAAGTTGAAGTGGCCACTTCAAATGTCCTTCGATGAGCGGGCGCGCGGTGCTCGTTTGCCTTCGAATCGATGCAACGCCATTGGCTGCGTATGGGGTGAGTGAATGCGCGCGCGCAGCGCGCGCGCGAAATTTTTTTTGGTTCTATGGCTCTCCCTATTAAAGTATAATAATCAACACCATACGCGGGGGATTAGATAATCCAGCGAGTTTTTTTTTTTTTGTGACGTGTTGGCGTTGCTGATTTTCCTCTCCCAGGCTCTCCCAACCCAGGAAAAAGGGGGCTATAAACTGTGCTGTTATCCTTTTTGTCGTGCTTGTGCTTCGCCTTGTCGCAGTAGTATGGCCCACTCGTCATTTTCTTGTCGCGGAGAGGGTTGAAATCAGGTTGAGTGAGGAACCGAAGAAGGAGGAGAATGATCAACTAGCTCGAGGCCGCTACAAAGGCATAGGAGCCGTGGTAGGGTTTTTCGGTGTGGCCTTTCGTGTTTACATACTTACGACTATTCTGCTCGCGCAGGAACGTTTCCTCGTTTATGATTGTGTTGATGTAGAGACGCTTCACGCTCACGACGGCAATAATTAACGTCTGGTCGTCATGGGTTTCGAGAACGAAATGAAAGTCGTCCAATTCCTGGAGTAGAAATTCAAATTCTACGGACGAAATACACAGCACTACTAAAGAGCAGCAAACCACTTAGACGAGTGCCATGCCAGCGGCGTAGTTACGCTCACATGTGGCGTAGAGCTACGAACACAACTAAAGTAGACTAAGACTAGATAGAACAACAGAGTCCTCGCTGTCCAATCAGAACGCGTCACTTCGTGCATGAAGTTAAAGGTTACAATTGCAACCAGGCTCGTTTCCTTCGTCGGCGTTCTCGGATTCGGCCTGCTTACAAAGTAGTGCCAGCCTTCAGTAGAGGCATTAGTTACCGCTGCAGCTGCAACAAGTGACTACTCCTGGTCCGTCGGACGAAGCCCCCCTTGTTGCTGTCTTCCGGCTCCGTTCCGTCACTACACGATCCGACAGCGTCACCAAAAGTTGCGCACCAGAACAACGCGCTGCAGCTTCGTCTTCCACTACACAAGAACTACAAGTGCGACATTGTTTATAACATCGATCACAAGCAGCCTCCTCCAACAAGGACCGCAGCTGGAAGAACAACTAGGAAAATGCCGGAGCGGAAGATGCGTACATCGGCCGCGCACCGCGGCTCCCGGTGCAACGGATTCCGAACGTTACAAGGTTTGGAGGACGGTCTCTACCTGGCGTACGACCTGCAAAAGAGGTTTGAAGCGAACAAGGAGAGGGCAGTGTCAAGTAGACAAGGGCCGAGACAGATGTTCACCAACCGACCGCCGATTACGAGGCAGTGCAGCGTCGTCCCGAAGTCCAACGTGCCAAACGCTTTGCAGAACGGAAAATTCTCCTTCTGGCGAGATCTGCGGGGACCGTTTAAAATTACGGGGGTATAGAGAATAAAATGATTGTCATGTTGCGTAGTAAAACTTTCTCATTTCATATTCATTTTGGATGGATGCTGCTTGTGATGAATCATCCATAGATGCGGGCATACAACTTCTACGACTTCGACTAACAATCTAGAAGTGACATCATCTTCATCATCATGAAAAATAACAAAACTGAAACTCAGCTCGCGATTCTGGACGACCAGAGTCCAGATTTCCAGGCGCTTTGCGAGGAGTCTGACAGCCTGCGAAACGTCCCACTAGCGGAATTGAACGAGGTCTATAAAATCGAGTGGGAAGCGTACTTGAGTTACGATGTGGAAAGGAATTTCACGGACATTGAAGACAGGAGAATCTGGGGCATTGCGGTGGTGAAAGTACCACTGAACTACAAAAAGGGCGCGCTGAAGGTAAAAATTCTAATTCAGTGATTGAAAGAACCTACGAAAGTTTGTCTCACATTTTATTTCCAGCATTTATGCTATCTTCTGCCTTTGTTCTCGTTATATATGCATTTTGAGGAGAATCATGCACCCACGTGCACGTCTACTTCGCGCATGAGTCATGACCAACAAGTTGAAGTGACAGCACACTCCCACAGGTCTATAGTTGGGGAAAGCCATCCTGCTTTGACAAAAAACTGGAATTTCTTTTCAAGCCCGAGAGCAAGAAGCCTTTCGGGCCGACCAAGGGAAAACTGCCACCAGGTAAGTGGTTCTCCTGCTGGAAAAGACTACACTATTTCTGTGAAAGATGCAGGTGAGTGAATGCAGCTAGATGTTTACGCCCGGCTTAGGCTTTCTCGTCGTTTTGCTAACTATGCTATTGCAACACTTTATAACTACACAGATCAATCGAGTCTGAATCGCTCGCAGCGACTAAACTCTCCGACTAGCCGCGCGTCAGCCAGTGATCTCGCCTCCACGGTAGCGTCTTGGGGAATTTCTCCAAGTGACTCAACCTCGTTTGACGGTTACAGCACAGGGTCGACACACTGGCCGACGGTGCCGTTTGGTATACTTGCTTTTCTACGAGTACAACTCCTAACGCACCATGGTGAAACTACAACAAGACGAGATGAACTCTGTCGTGCTACAGATCAGCATCTTTCTTTATCGTTTCAGATGGGTGCGACTAGTGCTACTTAGTGATCATTTGTCACGCGAACCCATTACCATTCCAGGTCGCCGCAGCCCCGCGGTCGCGTCAGACACGACGAGAAAAAGTCCGTTTGGCTCCCCCCTCGATTCCACCGGATCGCAAACCGGGTTGCTACCAAGGAGCTGCTCCTCCTCTCCGAGGACAAGGAGGACGCACAGCGCCGACTCAACGTCTGTGGACGTGGTGGATAGGAGACGGAAGCTGAACCGAACTGGGGTGGATTTGATGACTGGATGGCGGAAATACGACCCGGCAAAGTCGTACTGACTGTTAACGGCTTTATTGCTTTGCGATGCGCGATCCTTTTGCTTCTTGCGTGACCAAATTATATTTGACTACAGCTTGTTGGTTCGACCACTTTGCTTTCAACTTCGTGATGTGTGAAAGAACAAAATCAAAATCACCTCCACAGCAACAGCAACAGCTTCTACGGGTCGCGTGAGCTCTCCCACCGAATCATTAGTGACAACCTCTTCGCGAGCACCGGTCACGAGCTTGGGTTTTTCCAAAGCACGAGGGTTTATGACACGCAGAAAAAGATCTGGAAGCCGGCGAAGAAACAGCAGAAGTGCCGGTATCTGGACCCAGATTTCCACGACAGCTGCATGCACGCAAGCAAAATCATGTCAGTGGACAGGTTACCATTTCTAAGTGTCATCCTGTAAGATTGTACTGTCGTCGAGGGCCAGGACGAGATCGTCCCGCCACGAAGACATAAGCAGGAAGCAGTAGCAACACAATCGCGATACTTCAACTTCTTCAAATAATGAATCAGCAGCTGAAATTTACGAACAAGCTTCATCTTCACAAAGACGTAAAGCGGACGGTGGACTACAGGACGACGCGTTTCGTTCCACCTTCGTGTGCGGGCTTCTACTACGCGTCGCAGACGTGAGATAGAGTTTACCTTGTTTACCAGAAATTATCACAATCAAATTATGCAACGAACCCTGAATCCATCCTTCTCCTTCTGTCATCTGTAAAATTATGTATTGTCATTGAATCAGAATGAATGTGCAAAAATAGATCCTGTCTACGAGGAGGTGGGGATAGCGTTTTTCAAATTTGGAGGCGCCGTCAACATCGGCCTCGTGTGACGAGGCAGACGTATCTACACGTAGAATCTTATTGTGACCACCACTACCACCCAAGAAAATGACAGACCACAACGACACAAATGTATCGAGATTTTTGCTGCGTTTTCAAGTGCACTAGAACAGAAAGTCAGAACAGAAAGAATCACAGCCGAAAAAAACTATTGACGACGGCAAATCGATGTCGACGTTGTCGAGGTCTGATTGCTGCCCATGCAGCGTCTCTTGCAGTGCAAGAACTACATGCCTAGTTGTTTCGCGCACTTGTCGTTGTCAAGAGCATCTGTGTCCCCTAGTCTAGAAATTCAAATTGCTGTGCGTGCCTCGTCTGAGAGAGTGGCAAAAGGAAATAATGTCTGACATTGCACTCTGTACCCTGAAACAATTAAACCAACGCGTCTGCATCCATGGAGCGAGACTGAAAATGGTGAAGAGGGAGGGTACAAATATGCGCAGTATCAGGCTGCTCCTGCGTCTTTTAGATTTCTTCGTGTAGAAAATCACGCTTTGCACAAACTAGCGCCAGAGTTTTTGTTTTCGCGTGTGAACAAAAATTGCACTTTCAGACCGTCGTGCTGGGTGTGTCTTGTTATCTCGTACTTCTTGTCCCCAACGAACTGCTTCGTCGTGAAGGAAGTACTCTTTTATCTTCACCCCCCACTACAGTATGAGTGCCCGCCACGGTGGCGGCTCAAGCGGGGGTGGCAGTGACGACGACGAGTACAACGATCGCCGAGGACCCGGCGCAGGCGCTGTTCCGCCCGCTGGAGCATCATCAATGGCAGACCGGTCGTCCCACCAGCAGCCCGGCGACCGGGAGAGGTCGGAGGACGACGGAAACGGGAGCAACATCGAAATGGAAGTGATAGACGACGATGCTCCTGAAATTGAGCAGGAACACGAGGACATCGCTGCCGGCGACGACGCGGGCGGGGATCATGATGCAGAAGATGGGTTAGCGGACGATGCTGACGACGACCTAGATATCGAAGGTGAAGATGAATCGGGCGAGGAGGAAGAGGAGGCAAGCGCGTCTGTGTCTGAGGGAGCGGATGACGACGCGGGAATGGACGATGAAGATGACGACGGCGACTATATGCCACGAAAGAACTACTGCTCTCAGCAGGATCATCCACGTCTACGATTGACGCTCTTGCTCTTTGTGCTTGTGAAAATTTTTGTGTAGTACATCTTACAGGTGGTCTCTGCAATTGCATCTGATCTCTTCATCTCCACGCCCACATCATCAAATGGAAGGATTTACAATCACTAGTGCAGTGTGTTGATTCCGGTCTCGTTTAGTTGGTAGGAATTATGGTGGTATAATATGAAGATCCTCACTTTTTAACAAAGAGAATCAAAAGGCCATACGTAGATATGAGTTTTCTCTGCGGGTTTTTTCGTGGATAGCGCCCGATGAATCGGAAGAGGAAGAGTCGTCGGCGGAAGAAAGCGACGAGGAGGACGAGGAAAATGAAAATGACCAGCAAGACCCCGAACGCAGTGAGAACTCCGACCCGTCGCCCGTCCGGCACCGGGGCAAGAACGCTCCGGAAATCACCCGACAAGGCGGTGGTGCGGACTTGGTACCGCCGCGGGCGCCGGGAATGAGCGGAGGTGTCGGTGGTGCTGGAGAGAAGCAGAAACTACCGCCATCGTCGAAGGACCGCAGTACTACTTGTTGATTGTGACAACTCTTGGTTGTTGTTTGTAATTGTAGCGCATGGCGCAAGTACAGAATCTAGTATGTATCGTGATGCTACTCGGAATACAAGTGCTAGCGGCACCAGCTCTCTTTGACTCTCACTCGGTTTTCTTATGTGGAGAAGCTGCGCCTCGGTTCCGCTACTGAATCAATGTGAGAACACGTTTTAAAGCCCCCGGTTATTTGTCGAGTGTAGAGCGATCCTCCTGGCGGAAATTATGTTTGCTTCCGCTTATACGTGGAACACATCTTGGCAATTATGTTCCCTCTGTCTTCTACAAAGCCACAACAGCTCCTTCGAACCTCATAGCATTTTGAGTTTCTACCTGTTGTATGCGTTCCTCTCCACCTTAGAAGTCCCTGCAGCTGCAACTGCAACTCGTTTACTCTTTACACAAAGAGCTCCAGCGGTTCGCAGCATAATTAGTAGAAGTCAAGTTTTTCTGTACACGCTCTCACTCACATCACCGGTCACAATACTCTGACTGCGACTGGAATAGGACCACGTACCTGTGATGTTTTCATGGTACGCTTGGGGGACAACAAAGCATGTTTTGCAATTAATATGCTGCTCGAGACCCAGCTTAGACAAAGACGCACATAATCCTACATTCCAACATGTAAGGTGCGCCACACAACTCCTCGTCCCAACTCCAAGTTCCAGCACATCAGCCGGTTAAGAACCAGCTGCACATCGCACCAGCAGTGGTCCCGCAGCAGAAAAAGATCGAGCCCCAAGGTGGCCTCGGTCTCTCTTCGGTAAGTTCCTCCCGTGCTGTTTCTCCGGCCACACTGCAGCAAGGAGCAAAGATGATCGTGCCGCCGAAGCTGGCTTTGCCCAAACCGCCGACGAGAGAGGAGTCGTCATCCTCCAGCTCGGCGAGGAGCGCCGTCGCGGCCGTGTTACGACCTGGTAACACTGCACTATCAAGTGGTGCGAATTATGCCCAAGACGGGGTGAGGATCGGCAGCCCGACGGACTTTTCCGCTGGCAGCACTGCTGCGTTTGGTGCTGCGGCATCCTCCTCCTCTACCTCCACCGCATCGAATATTTTCGGCAGACTGTGGGGCTGGGTGAAGAGCACGGCGGGTTCGGTGTTTAAGAGAAGCAAGGAGGAACGGGATGCGGTCGCGGTAGAGGAGGAGCTGGCACGGGAAAGGGAAGAGAGGCAGAGAAGAGGAAGCACAACAGGAGCTGCGAACGAGACATCTGCACGTGTGCCCGCCGTTCCACCCAACTCGAAGGTGACGAACGTACCAGCGGACAAACTGGATGTTAGAGACGAAGGTGACGATGTGGTGATGGAAGATGCTGGGGTGATACGACTGGAACAGGTAGAAGCTGATGTCGCTGGAAACGAAAAGCAAGCCGAGCAGGTTGATGAAGAGGGGAAGGAAAAAAGCAGTCCGTCTGCAAAGAAGCGACGTATAATATCATAATTTTCGTAAATTAGCATTTTCATCGCTTTTTTTGGCTCTGCAAAGGTTGTAGCAAATAACTGTTTTCTTGCAGCATCCAGGTTGATGTAGTTAGGAGTAAAACTAAAATCATGCTCAGAAGAAAATAATCTCGATCTCCCTATCACAGGTATCAGCAAGGAAGACAATGCCATCGCTTCAGCTGCCGCCATCCAGCAGGGCGATAAGGTCGTGCCAAGGAGAAAGTCCGGCGCCTCCCCTCCCATGAAAAGCAAGTCGCCAACGAGTAAAAAATCAAAAGATTCTTCCCATTCGATGAAATCGAAGTCACCGGCTGGCGGGAAGAAAACCTCTACAGGATCCGTGGAGCACGATCAGCAACCTCCTGTGAAAGCTCCGTCCCTAGTATCGAAGAGCCATCTAGTCGTGCCTTCTGCTCCGCCAGCGGAACAGAACCTCCGAGCAAGCAGCGGATCATCGTCGCCAAAACTGGCCGCGAATATGACCGGATCCAAACGCCCACCATCGAATCCGTATCTGACAAAGCCGGACGAAACCATCGAGAAGTTGCAGAAGGCAACCGGAACGCCGAGAACCCCGCATCGATGCTCCGTTCCCCCGAATCCGTTTAAAAATCGGCTACTGCATCACAGCGCTTCGCCGTCGAAGCACCAACGAAAAATTGAGGCGAAAAAGTATAAATGAGTTTTGTCGGGAGAACAAGATGTGCATATCATGAGATGACATTATCTGGTGCAAGAGGATCACTGCTCTTTTTTCAATTTCGATTTCATTCTATCTTGAAAGATCGCGAAACCATTATCAGGTACTTCTCCCCCTCCGCCAGTCAAGGCGCGCAGCCCCGCAGGCGCGTGAGTTTGAGCGACGGCCCAAATTCTGGCGGAGCCAGCCCGAAGAGAACTGTGACAATCCGGTTGTGCAAGAGGGCGGATAGGATGGTAAGGAAATAGTAGTAGACAAACGTTCATCGCACGATGATGTTTCATGATTCGCATCCTGACTGCTAGCTCAACATCGTTTTCATCGTTCGGCGATGGTTCCAGTAGTTGTTGAGGACCGTCACCGTTGTTCTGTGGACCATGATTAGAATAAAAAAATGTTGTCGCAGCTGCACTTGTCCTCCACAAATTCACAGGTTACAGATCCGACCGACGGGGGAAACAAGTCCTCCTCGTCCAGCGGCGTCGCTTTCTCCTTCAACGAAAACAACGAAAAGGTCCAGATTGACAAACCCGCCAAGACCATAGCAACCGGAGCTTCTGCGTCACCCAAAATAAATCCGGCTTCATCCTCCACCACAACCGTGCTTCTCGGCACAAGAACCTTCCGCAAAGACGAGCGGATTTTTCACCTCTACGACTGGGCGCGCCAATTCACGGAGGACGACGATTTTGATCTGCGAACCGCCACGAAGGACCACGAGGAGGACGAAAGTCTGAACCAAAAGGTGTTGATCGATGACATCGACTCGGTGACCTTGGCGGGCGTCGGTTTGGACGGAGAAAAAAGCTACGATTTGAAGGTGGTCACGTTGGCAGAGATCGAAGCGGAGGGAGGGACTACTGCGGGGGCCGAAAACGCGGAACCGTGGAGCAAGGTGTGGATTTGATGAAGGGGACGGAGTGCTACTGGGCCTGACCTGCTTGTACTAGCCGAGGAGAAGATGAACAACAGCAGGCTTTACGCAGCTTCAGTGTCGTGTATGTGTATGAAAGTTAAGATTGAGATTCAGATTTTGCGCAAAAATAGTCAACGCTTGCTGTTTATTCTCACGAAGTTCTACAATAACAGGGTCGACCGACAAGAGATTGTTTCTTCTTCAAAGATTTTTTTTGCATACTCGTCAAATAAAACGATAAATTGCCTAATGCAACGCTACCCTTGAGTGAACCCATCTACCATTGGTGGACACACACGCAAATACGAACAAACCTCCACTCGTCCGCCAGCAGGTTTGTAACTGTCATTTACATTTTGCTGTCGATTCGACCTGCGAGTTTTTTCTCGTGGTGTCCGTACCAGCATCAATCATTGTACCCATTACAAGGACTACAAACTACGCACGCGCAGACTTTTTACGATTACTTTTTTGCATGATGACGTTGACGCGATCAAGATTACCGGAGGTGCTGCCGCGGTCAGCAAAGCAAACGCAGCCTGCGTCTCAGATCTTGCTATTGAATGTTCGTAGTTCAACGGAATCACAGGTATACAAAGCAGATGAAAAAATTTACCAACCCATTCGTTTTTTTTTTTTTCGCGAACTATTTGAGGGAAACAGCAGCAGCTAGCAGCTAGTACAGCGGAAGCCATCGGCATGAAGTCGCCTCTTGTTTCTAATTCTATGCTATCGATCAATCGTTTTGCTTTTCGTTGGCATGCTTAGATCCGCTTGTTCCTTGTTCCGCTTGGCCACGTGATGCTTTTTTCCTTCCTTTCGTTTTCATTGACACCAGTGCCACGATGATGATTTGAACGATGAATAGTATCAAGCATTGGTATTGTCGTCATTGCTTATGCTTTAAGTTTGAGCAACATCAAACTAGCAATGGTAGTGGTGAAGTGTCCACTATCACAAGAATGCGCTTCATCCGCAGACTGAAACTTGTTCGTATGATGTATACGTACAAATAAGGCGCTGCTTCTTCATATGAAATTTCAATGCATTTGTTCACTTTCTTTTTGACTTATACGACAAAATGCCATCTTCGTCCAGAACATTGCTAGCCGGTGTGGTGTTCCTGCAACTCCTGACAATTTTCGCAGCGGAGCAAACTGGTACTACGATGATCGCGAAGATGTTTATCCTCGGTACCCTTATCCCGCTTCAGCAAATTCGCATTGTCGCCCTCGGTTCGAGAGCCCCAGGACATCATGGTAATGGAAATCATCATCTTTTCGGTGCTGGCGTTCACCAGCCGCCCTTCCCTCAACCGGCAGGCGCGTCGTCTTCCCTTTCAGCGGCCGCGCCCAGCTCGTCCACGGGTGCCGTCTCCCAGCCCCCAGCGTCGCTGTATTTGGACGAGAGGACAAACAGCCAAGCGCGGCGGCTTTCCTCTTCCGGGCACAGAGCTGGAGCTCCTACCGCGAGCAATCCCGTACCGTCGTGGCCGAGCTTCATTGTGCCGGTCCTGCACGGCTCTAGTAGTGCATCAGCGCCTACTGGCTCCTACAGTTCTTCTACCGGCGCACCGCCGCCCAGAACGGCGAGTAGGACCCAGTACAGCCCGGCAGGAGTGCCGCATAGCTCCTCACTACCGTCCTCCGCCGTTGCTGCGCCGCCTGCAGGTGCAAGTCCAAGAACAGCTGGCGCACACCTCGTTCACAGTGGCCCGCTCCCCGCTCACCGAGTTCGAGCGGCATCGGCGTCGTCGCCGAAAGCGGCTGCTGGTGGCGCATCTTCATCGTCTGGCCTGCGACGCACGAGCGGGGCCAGTCACCAGGTCGCGACTACTATCTCCAACGGCGGGCCGCCGGATTTGCGAACCCATCTGGATCCGCCTGGTGCAGGAGAAACGCGCCCATCGGGAAGGAGTTCCACTGTGTCGCGGGATGTCAGCAGCTCCGCTTCTTCCAACAGTACGGCGGGGTCGAGGAATTCCGCTAGCAGTAGCTCTTCCGCATCGAGCAGTGTGACGATGAATCAGGGGAGTCTGCCAGGTCGTAATGATGTTCCACCGACGGCTGAAATTGATCTCGGAGCACCGCGAGTGGTCAGGAATCATGACCTCGGGTTTGTAGACTCAGCAGCCGTCATCGACGAACGATCGACCGGCAATCGGCAAGCCGCAACTGGCGCTCGCGCAAGAACAGTAGAGCGTGAGGGGACCACGATGATTCAGCCCAACACCGCGCGGGGCAGCTCTTCGTCGAACAGATGGAGCAGAGCGAGTGACGCGGTTTCCCATCGGGACAGCAGGGGAACGGGTAGTACTTTTACTTCTAACGCAGGAGCAGGTTCCTTGCATTTCTCCCCCTCGTCCCGTCTCATCGCGACGACCTCCACGGCAAACATACCCAACCCGCGAAATGGCGACTATTCGCCCACGGTGTCGAGGCGTGCGTCGCTCGGAAGTGGTGGTGCTAGCCAGCAGACACAGGGTGGTTACGTTTTGCCCGCGACCAGCCCTGTTCTGACGACCAGCACAGCTAGCAACACAACTGCTTTTGCTAGTTCGGCCGCGATTCCGCCGACGTCTAACAGCCCAGTCTCGGCCCGAGTTGGTGCAGCAGCTGGACTAAGTCTGCAAACACACTCAGCTAGCATCCCGCAGCGGCGAGAGCAACAGCAGCAGCACGGCACGCCTGGCACGATTCGGCATGGTACGTTCCAGAGCCCGCGAAGTCTGGCGGGGGCATCAAGCTCGACCAATCTGTCCACTGCGGACCACACCCGGTTGCGTGCATCGGAGCGGACCGTGGAAGAGCAGCGCTCGCTGATTTCACAACTGGCCAACGATTTGCAGCACGCGAAGACGAGGCTGCGGTCGCGAGACAGGATGCTACATTCCGCGAAGGAGAAGGAGCACCAGTTGTTCATCGTATTTCTATGTTTGCATGACAGATTTGAGTAATTGTCGCACATGCTACACGTACAAAATACATCACAGACTGAGATTTTGGCAGCTACCTACAACTAGCTGCAAACATCATGATATTGATGAACAAGTTCATTGCAGTGTTGTTGCCCATGAAGCACGAATGTGAATGACACACCATTATCAGGAAAAAAGCTCCCTTCTGGAGCAGGTTGCTGGTTTGCAGGAGCTATCCTGTGCAAAAGTATCGTACTCGTATTGTAATCATGCATTACAAATCCTGTTGGTTCTTAAGGCAAATTAGCATTACAAATTTTCTTCCTCATGCTGAGGAAATTTGTATATGCATTTATACGAGTGCGATACTTTTGCAATTCATAGGAGCAGTGTGGGTTCCTTCAGACCGAGATGGACGCTCAGCGCTACTGCTACTCGTCGGAGCTGTATCGCAAGAAAAAAGTGTTACAGTTACACATTGTGTTGCAGGCCAAGCAAGACAGATAAGCTTTGTCATGCCGGATATGCATAGGAGCCTCGTTTCATAGGTGCTTTCCCGTAGGGTTTCTGCGATACAAGTTTTCTCTCTCATGCAGAGAAATTTGTTTTGCTGAATTCACTACAAATGTGTAACTGTAACACTTTTTTCTCACGATATGCTGGGGCGCCAGTGCCGCGAGTGGATCGAGTCCTTCCGGTTGTTGCGGGACGAGCTCACCCAGAAGGTGCAGGATTCTTGTGCCGCTGGGAGTTGCCGGGCGGACTCCATCAGCGAAGACCTGGTGCGGAAAATGATGGAGGAGTGTGCGGCGGTCCGCAGTCTGGTCGAGAGGGCATTGGAAGAAGAAGAGATGGAGAGGCACATCGAGGACGAATTGCACGGACGTAGTCTAGACAGCACCTCCATTTCCCAGCCGCAAACGCAACATGACTCCGACGAAGCTGGAGCAACGACGAGTCCGGAGGACGTAAACCCCACGACGACCTCTCGACGCACCCCCTCTGCTGGATCTGACGCCAGTGTGAAGAGCGCAGGTGAGGTGAAAAGGAAACTCTTCGGGCGACACCGGGCGAACACGGATTTGTCCGTGACCTCTACTATCGCACCGAATGTCGATGAGGAGGAGGAAATGGAGTGGAATGGAGGCGGGTCTTCCGCGACAACTTCGGGCAGTGTTGTCGATAGGTTTTTCCCCACACCGAGCCCCATGGACGTCGATGACGAGGGGGAAGATGCGACGGTGTATTACCACTCACAGGCGTCTCAAACAGAAAATAGCCGAGTGGAAGACCAAGCTTGCCCAGCTGGAGGTGCTGGGGGAACTACTACTGCAGCCGACGACAAGATGACCTGTTCTACCTCTAGCAGGTCAGTATCGAAGGAGAGCAAGCGGAACACAGTTACGAGCGAGGAGCAAGAAAAGAAAAACGGCGAGAGTGACAGGCTGATCTGCCACGAGATCGTGAAGCTACTGACCACTGCAAGCGAGGATTGGCAGGACCCAATCACGCTAGACGTCATGGACGACCCTTGTCTCGCTTCGGATGGTCACGTGTATGAAAAGTCCAGCATTGAGCGGTGGATGACGCAGTCGCGAACGAGTCCGAAAACCCGCGAACCTTTAACAGCCATGCCCCCAGTGGTGCCTGTCAGACTGTTGAAAAACACGATCACAAATTGGAAGGAACAGCACTCGAAAGCGTTTGAGCTTGCACTGCTGCACAACCAACCGGAGATCTGCGAACATTTGATGGCCAGCGGTTTTGATGCGGACAAGTTCTTCCTGCAGAATGCAGCGAACGGGAATTTGGAGGTATGCAGTGCTCGTGTCCTCTTGATTTATCGTGCTCTGTAATTCGGCGCGACACGCACCGGGCACGTACAAGTGCACAAACTCGCCGTAAAATGATCACGCAAACTGAAGCACTTGAATACAGCCACTCCCACCTTTAACCGTGTATTTTCGCCACCATAGCACGTACTTTCATCTCGTTGCTGTCCTCTTTGTTTTGCTCCGTCACCACCAACCCTATCCACAACAAATTGATGAATTTTCACGACCTACAACCACAGGTGATCAAGGCTCTTGTGTCCCCCACCGACGCCCGAACTCCATATGTCAGCCACGTGGCTGATTTGGTGGACGACATGCTATTACCAACACCGCCCCTCGGTGTCGTTTCTCGTGGCGGGACGACGATGGCGACGCTCTTTTGCCAGTTTGACACCTTCAACCGGGACAGGCATATCCACCGCAAAAGTACTATCGCACTCGCAATCGCTATCAGTTGCAGTGATGCGCATGCGTGAAAACAAATGTAGTTCCTCATCTGAGCAGTCACCGTTGCAGATTCAGTTTTTCCTCTTGAAAGAATCTTGAATGCACATCACATTTCTACGTACTAGTTGTAGGTGTAAGTAAGGTACTCTTGCAATGCATACGGGACAGCGAAAAGCAAATGTGGCCAAGCTTCACTGCAGTGCACGCAGCGGCATACCGCAACCACGCGGACATCGTCGAATTTTTGTTGCAGCAGCCAGGTAACAAGGGACAGTGGGTTCTTCTTGAGCACTAGCCTCCGCTTCGCATTCTTGAAGAACAAGTGTCGTGTTGAAGATGATCATGATTAACATTCCATTTTTGTTCGCTAGACTTCACATGGTAGGACAAAGTCTAATCTGCGGCTGCCATGCAAGAAATTTTACTTCTCCTCTACAGGCGTCGACGTTTGGGCGACTGACGGTTGTGGGAACACACCGCTGCACTACGCGGCGTACCATGGGAATACCAAGATGACCGAGGTGATTCTCGCGAAAGCTGGCTTTTTAGACATTGTGATGGCCAGAAACGGAGGACAGAAGGCCGCTGGAATGTCTTCCCCGTCAACATACAAGACAAACTTGCAAATCGATGCGGGGCAACATCAGAACCCACTTCTCGATGCTGGAACAAGCTGCTCATTGATGCCGTTGGAAAATTTACCCGGCGTCACTGCCCCTCCAACAGCGGCATACGTCGGCGCAAGTTCTTCGGAACCACCTGCAGTGGTCTCAACAAGAGCTTCGACCACGAGCGGCGTTCGTGGGAGCATTTCGTCCACGACAGATCTGGTGAACGATTTTCTGGACCAGAACCGCCAGCGCTATTTGAATTTCACGGGCAGCATTCGCGAACTCCGAGAGCTGCACCAGCAACTGACGGAAAGGCTGGAGTACCACGGGCGCTCTGCGCGACCGAGACGTCGACCGGCTCCTGCATCTTCAACAGCAGAGCCAGAGCCACCCCGGGAAGAGCGCACAGCTTCGTCCGTCGGCGCTTCAAGGGTCGACGCAACTCCCGCGCGACCGTCCGCGGCGAATCGAAGTACTCCGAACGGGCGAGAAAGCGTCGACGAGCGCAGACGACGGCGGAGTGTTACTCCTCTCAGCCGGCGCGCGGGCGCATCGCAGGTTGGAGGTGCTGCATCGACGTCACCGGTGGCTGGTGGGGGCACAGCTGCACCACCTACACCTCTTTCATCGTCAGCCGGGCCAATGTCCTCTGCGTCTTCAGGGTCTGCATCTGCTCGCGGCAGCCGCGTTTTGAGTGCTGCAAGCACTCCTGCGGGGACAGCTTCAGGAGCCACTGGTCAGCTGCAAACTAGCGCGGGAGGGGGAGCGGGCAGTCTGAGTGGCAGTTTCTCTGCACGAGGCACGGCTGCGGAGTCGTCTAGTGCCGCTGGTGGTGCGCACAGTCTCAGCCCGCCGCTGCCAACCCGGGGTGGCGTGGCTTCGTCGGCGGGTGCGCTAGTTTCACCTGGGACAAGTGGGGCCAGCGTTTCGCGGACCCGCCCGGGAACCACGACCTCATCATCCTCTTCCGCCACCTACCGAGGAGCGTTGTCGAGCCAGTCCACCGCCAGCATCACGCCTAGAAGGGGGAACAATGGCAACACGGGCGGAATAAATGGCGCAGCTTCTTCTTCTCTCCACACCAGACCGAGTACGCTTGCGTCGCTGCGGGCCCGGGCGAACACAAGTCCCGGCACCGGGGCAGCTGGAGGTGCCAACAACAGCACGAACAATGCCGGGGCTCCTGCTCAGACTTCATCTTCCTCCTACGGCGGGGCGAATTACCCAACGCCAAGGGGCGTGAACAGGTCGCCTAGAACGGCTGCCGGCCAAGCTTCTTCGTCTTCCGGAAGTGCGGTTCAGACAGGAGGAGTCGCTGCCCTTACCGCTGCTGCACAGGGGCGCATGCAGCGCTTGCAATCAGTTTTGGCTGGAAACGTGATTGCAATGCCTGGAGCTCCTGGTAGCGCAACAGCCTCTGGAGCTCATCTCCCGGTTTCCCCTCTCACCCACTCCCGCACACCCTCCTACATTCCCTCGTCCGCAAGTGCGACGCACATCACCCGACCTGGAGGCACGAGAGCGGATCAGTCGACGTCCTCACACCAGCATATTTACAGCGAACCGCTCCCGACCTCTCGAGACCGCCATCCGCTACTGGATGAGCTGGCGGCGATCGATGTTGACGCAACCCCCGCGAATTTGGGTTTGCGCCCGGATATGGTGGACGCCGTCAGTCGGAAACGCGAGGAATGGCTGTTTCGGAGACTGATGCCTGCGGTGTTTTTGCAAAAGTCGAAAATGTCAGAAAACATCACTGCGAAGAATAGCCTGCAACTGGAGGAAAGAACAAGCAAGAATGACCGGCGCAGTGGCCGCGACGGAAATCAGAAAAAGGGAAATCAAAGAAAGCATTCGTTGCCGCCCTCGGATCCGCACACCTATACGCAATTTCTGACCGAATCGGCGAGGCGCAGCGAGGAAAGGCTGAAGCTGATCTATTGGTTCTGCAATTCTCTATCCGAAGCCGCCGATGGGGGCGAAAACTTCCGAATTTTGCAGCGCGAGTGCAGCCATCTGTTGACGTATTTGTCGGGGTGTGCGGAGCACAACCGAGCCCGCGCTCTGGAAGATCTGGAGGCAAGGATGCAGAAGCTAGACGTCAGTGATAGAGACAGGGACGTTGTCGACCAGCTGCGGGCTCGTGCTAGTACTAGCACAAATGGTGCTAGTACTGGTTCTGCATCGTCATCGGCCGACGCAGCAGGGTCGACAAGAACTTCTCGGACGCCGAGGACTCAAGGCAGTTCTTCTGCGCGCGAATCGCGAGAACGTATGGGCCACAACAGTCCGGTAATCACTGAGGAGCAAGTAGACGCTCTAACGAACAATCCTGCAGGCGGAAGTGGAACCTCTGGCTCTGGTGCGCCGCGACCAGCATCACAAATCCGCCTGAACCTCGGACCCATGCACGAAATCGATCTCTTACCAGATGATCGCGGACCAGTACCGGCGATACCGAGCGCTGCAACAGAACAGGCTACGGCTGCACAGACGTCGGTCGAGGAGCTCAGCAGAATTTACAGTCCCATCCCACAGCGAGGACTACACCCAGACCAGGACGAGGAGGAACCAGACGGGTACTACACCCCCACGTCTGCCGAATTTGACAACTTCCCGGTTGTTGTAGCACCAGATGTTGCTTCCGCAATATCCGTGCAAAACGAGAACGAACACCTTCAACAACTCCCCACACGCCCGACTTCTCGATCTTTCGGTGACGGAAGCACAAGCAGCGCAGCAGCCGCGCGACGAAATCGCCCAATCCCGGGGGAGCTGGTCGACGATCAGATGAGAAACGACGCAGGTGCGCCGTCTATGGGCGCAGGAACGGTGTTCGATGGAGAGGTGTTGCAGGGCGAGGTAATCCTGCAAACGCCGGACCACTACGGGAGCAACCCGTTTGAAGACACCACAGAGCAGCGGCACTCCCTCGGTGACGCTGTGGCCGCAGACACTGCGTTAGCAGCTGCCGCCAGACAGCAGCAGCTTCCCTTGGACCAGCGGAACACGCGGACAGTGACGATGACGTCGATTTCGCCCCCAAACGACGACGATTTCTCCAGCAACTCCGAACTGGAGTCCGTCACGGCGGAGCAGGAGCAGATTGACCGTTTTCTAGAGCAATACGCAAACGACCGACCGAGTTTTATCTCCCGCATCTCCGCGTTTTCCAACAGTATAAACACACTGCAATTCCGGGAACAGGCACGAAGAATGAGTGCAGCGGGAAGCAGCACGACCGGCGCCGCGAGAGGTACTACTTCTAGCACAGGTGGTCGAGAATCATCTTCGGGAGTAGATGCTGCTGCTGCTGCACCGACATCTTCGGGGCGTGGCAGCGGTAGTGGAGTGGGTGGTGCAGCTAGTGGGAGTAGACCTTCACCCGGGAGAACGTCTTCCGGGTCCGGGTCTGCAGGACCGACACCGAGGACTAGCAGATCTTCGACGGCTGGTGCTGCAACGAGCAGTAGTGCAGCGGTATTAAACGCAGGGTCATCAACATCTCCGACAAATGGAGCAGGTGGTCCAACAGGCACTACTAGTTCAACAATTCAGCCACGCCTCCGGCGCAGCGACAGCTCGTCGTACACCTACGCCTCGGTTGAGCAGGTCGATCGAAATGCAACAGTGGCAGATCCAGATCCAGATCAAGAAGCCATCCCAGCCTTCGAAGATATGCCATCGTGGCTTCGCGGGCTTGTATCCAAAAAAAAGAACCATCCCGATCCAATTTGGCATGCAATAAAACATGCGTCCGAGGAGCCTGTTTTTGTCATGTCAAAAATGGAAGATTGGGATGAGTCTGTTTCTGTGGATAGCTCGCTCTCTCCAGCGACATGCCGCTCCCGACATGGATCTACCAGGCCGCCACTGCAGTGGACTTGGCGGGGAATAACGATGCTGCCTTGCGGGCAGATCAAGAGCAGCCCGCAGAAGCAGCAGGTGGCTCTGCAGCGGAACAGCAGCAATTGCGTCGTCCCGGCGGACCGTCCGCCGAGACTGTGAGCGGTGTGCGAAACGAGCGAAGCAGCAGCGATCCTCGACGTGCTGCTGGGATGAACCTGGCAGCTGCAGGAGCTGCTGCGTCAAGAAATCGAACAAGAACCACAGCAGCAGCTGCACAGCCTGCTGACCTTTCACACGGCCCCGTTGCAGAAACACCCGCGGGAGCTGCCGACCGCCCGTCCATGACAGAGCTAGCGCGACAGATGTTTGGGTTCGCTTTTGCCGGCGATCCAGCTCCGGAACCGCCATTGGCCCCAGCGGAAGAGGAGCGGAGGATGTCATCTGCAGTAGCAGGCGGTTTTCCATTGGTGGATGTCAACCAGCAATACAGAACACACGTAGAGCAACACGCGGCAGTTGGAAGTAGACCACTAGCAGGACGAGGCAGCACCAGCACCAGAAGCTGCGGCGACCCAGACCTCACACATCACGGCCCCACTGCGCGCGACATTGTCAACTTGGATGCGCAGAACGTGAAGGGATTTACAGCGCTGCATGTAGCAGTGCAGGCAGACCATGCAAATTTGGTGGCGCTATTGCTGTCCTCGGGGGCAAAGGTTTGTTCTTGTTGTAGTTCTGCTGTTTCTTGGAAGAAGATTTTGACTATTGTTTCTTTTGGTCTATCAAACGAATGACCACAGCTTTTACTTTGGAGCTTGGCAAGGACACCGAACTTTCGGAAATCATGAGAATGAAGAGAATTATGTGCCTGTCAGTGGTGTGATTTCAATCTGTATTGATACATGAATGAGCAACATCGGGCAATAAAACAAATGCGTCAAAAACACCAGCCCGCCACGGTAAGTAACGGGGTTTCCATGACACCGCTGTCCACAGCTGTATTGATGACAAAGAACCTGGAAGTCATGCAGCTCCTCTGGTTAAGCGGCACCCGTCGGCTCTCTGGCGTTGTGAATCCCAGACGCGGCGTTCTGGTTGATGAGATGATCAGGACATTGCTTGACATTCTGCTGACCGGAGAAGAGGAGGAAAGCGTCGAGTATGGTGGGCAACAAGACCTGCTACATCATCAGCCAGTGCAAGGTCTTGATCTACCACACGCGGCGCGTGGCGCGTGATAGATCTTCGTGTTGCGGCACACAAAAAATCTACAGCTACACGAGGAGAAACAAATTTGACGGCCTAGAGTAAAAAAAAAAAAGGTGGACACCGACTTGCCATCCGTCTACGCGTCGCGAAAGCTTTCTCATTCTGTTTCGTACAAGTGCAATTGTCTGCAGCCAACTACGTCTTTTCATATTCAAATGAACAAGCATTAAGCAAGTAGGGCAGCAGGAGATAAAGTATTGTGCCCCGCATTCCAGCATGTAGTGAAGATTTGCTCTTTGCAACAGTACCATAGTTGTGAATGTAGTTGAGGGCGCTGACTCGACTCATTCTCATCCGAATTGAGGCATCTCCATAATATCTTCAACGTGAACTTAAATCATGTAACATGAGCTAGTACTCTGAAGCTCACTTTATTTCTACTCTTGCATTCAAACTCAGAACCAGGAAGCAACCTCCTTGAGAATAAACTTTTCATCCCAAGAAAGTACCGCATCGCTATATTCTATGTCAATTAGACACGTTTCGACGCATATCCAATTTTGTTGTCTGTTTAGTAGAAGAAATAGTGGTGTTGCAAGTCGAGAAAAAAAAACTGCAGCGCTGCAGTGTTTTTTTTTCGCCCTTGCAGCTACCAACTCCTCGCTCGATGAGTTGAGTTGTTTTATCAGAGCTTTATTGTTTTGACCCAGAATCTACTGTAGTTTGTCACAGATGAAGCATATGCGTGACTCGTTGGTGGAGTTATTTGTTTATTCTAAAGGTAAAGCTACATCTGCCAGCATGTTTGTAATTTTGCGAAATGAACTTTCCGTGTGAAGCCCCGAATATAGGGGCCATGCTTTGACCGCGAAATGTGAATACTTTTGAAGCAGATGTACAACTTGCCTGACAAAATATTCTACTTACAAGATTACGGCACTAGTGCCTGCTCTTGAAGACGCAGCCTAACCGACGCTGGGTGCACGTCGGCTATTAAGTAGCCGTTACTGATATCTTCAACTTCACAGGGGGTCGCGACTCACGATCAAGTAGCTCATTCCTTTGAGAAGACCGCTCGCATAGGGTGTGGTGGTGTATCTCTTGGAGGTTCAGGCATGTCTCATGCACTTGCGCGAAACGATTTGAGCGACGTGCTTTCGTATCACTCTAGTTCTAGAAGTTCTTTTGTAGATTAGATGTAAATAAAAAAGAAAATCAAAATCATGTTTTTGCGTGCCGTCTTCTTTCGTGCCTTTCTGGCCCTCGGGTTGTTCTTCTCAAAAGCCCTAGACGACGAGGGTACCGTATTTATTTCCTCGGCTGCTGTTACTACTCCGCCTCCGCCAGAGCAACGCAGCAGTCCCTCACTACTTGACACAGAGACAGAGGTTGTCGAAAAGGAGCAGAAATACTACGACCAGCCGCTGCCCAGCTTCGACCCCAGCGGCCGCGAGGCCTCGGACGTAAATCTCACCGACTTCCGGCTTTTCAACCCGTACTGCCACCCGTTGAACCGTACGACCAGGCGCTACGAAGTGAGGCGGGTGTCCTTGGACGCACCACGGGTCTTGGATGTTGTGGCGGCGTATAGTAAATTTGGGTCCGTGGAGCCGAAGGGCAATGATCTTCCGGCTCCACCGAACGATGCGGGGAGGATGCACGAACAAGTAGACCAGGCGGCGCGGCAGGAAGGACTACCAGCATCCGCATCGCGAAATAATAACCGGCCTGCGACTACTAGAAGCAGGAAAAAGCTCATCCGCCGTGTCCTGGGCTTCCCACATCCCGCGCATTCCGGCTTCGGGGACAGAGTTGGCATGTTTATCTCCCTGGCGGCACTTGCGAAAACCTTGTCGACGACAGAAACGCGACAGATGAGAGGTACAACTTCATCTGCAGATGAACACGGCGCCGGTTCCGAAAGTTCTCCACGTCTGTTGAAGATTCAATATGATTACAAGATTCTGACCTTCTGGCCGGCGGGCGGGCGCAACGACAACTGGGGCCACAATTTTCGCCAAGACGGGTCTACTTGGCCAATCTTCCGCCCGGACCGATTTTTCACCCTGCTGCGGAGCCTACCGAAGCAACTCATCTTGCTTCGCTCGCGAGCGGAGTTTTTGCGAGTTTGGGACGCCTTGGACACCATTGTCAGGAGGTTAGAGATGAAGGATGATGAAACTGGGGCTGCTACTAGTAGTGCACGAGCAAGTGCAGCGTCTAGCAGGGCTGAACCGGAAGGCAGCGTGATCAGCGTCAAAGGTAAAGAACGCAAAAAGGTCGAAATTGTGCACTACGCGAGCACCACACCCGGTGCTAGAATTGCTGCCGCAGCGGGGGGTAGAAATAGCAAACCACAAGACGGTCACAGCAACACCAAAGGATCTCCATCTTCTAGTAGTACATCCGGCACTCCGAACAAGATGAACAAGAGCACATTTCCCGCCTCGGCGCTGTTTAAGAACCTGCGGGAAAGTTGTTGCGGCATTTTTTCAGACGAGGAAATGGCTGAGCTTGGCAAAGACGACGAAGTTCCCATGTTTGAGCAGCAGAAAATAGTGACACGGTTAAATGGCGGCGAGGGGGCAACTCTGTATCTCCCCACCGCGGCGAAGGCCGCCGCCGCAAACGCGGACGCCCAGGCCGACGCTGCTGCTCTTTTATCGACTTCTAACGACAGGAAGAAAAACCCCAAATCGCACAAGGTCGAAATCGTCGCAAGTAGCACGACCGCGAGCGTTGGGCTGCTGCCTGAACTTGCGGTGGGCCATATGATGGAGTTGCAGGACCAGATTATGATGCGCACTGGAAAGGGAAAGATAACGGAAAACAAGAAAAAGGCTTCTAAAATAGACTCCAGCAACGACGTCGTGATCATTCCGTCCCAGCACGACCAGCTTTTCGCCGACATTCCCGAGAAGAACGAGTTTGACGTCTCTATCGAGTATGTCGTCGTCCCGCTCGACGACTTTGTCATGTCCTCCCAAATCGAGCACGGGATGTGGGTCCAACCCGAACCGACGTCGTTCCTGTTCAAATTGCTCTTTCCAGGTCTGAACACAGATTTGTTTGTCCAAAACTACTACGAACTGGCGCCGCTCGTACAGTTTCAAGCCCCTTCCGCGCGGATCATTTACCCGAGCGCTGTGCCTCCTCCGTCCTACGGAAAGGCGGACCACCTGCCTGCGCGTGCTGATGAAGATGATGAAAAGGCTGCAGTTCTTGTATCGACCCAGAGCCAAACAGGTCGTTTGCAGACTCTTACACAATATGAAAATCGTGCTGACATGAGAACCGATGTTGATGAAGCAGGAGCAGCACCTTCATTTACAACATCCCTGAACAACCGTCCTTACCTTGCCCTTTACCTGCGCCGCGGAGAGAAGCAGTACCACAGCAGCATGCGGGAGGGATTACTGTTTCACCACCTGAAGCAACTACTGGTGGTCGAAGCGCCGGTGTTCGCGAAGAAGTTTGCCTGGGTCGTCATCGGCGATACGCCCAGTGTGGTGGGAAGGTATGTCCGCTTTTTGAAGTCGTCCTGCAACGTGACGATCGCCGTATCTCGGGACGAGTTGGAGCTGGAGTATGAGCAGCAAGCCAGTACTTCATCTGAAGATCATCATCATGCGGAAACTCCCAAGTATTCCAGTACTAAGGCCCAGGATAATATTGGTCATAGTACAACTACGACATCGCCGGCTCGACCAAGCGAATCCTCCGAATCGCTCGTCGACTTCTTGCAGCGGGCGTTTCTTTCCGAAACGTCAGAACTTTTAGGGGATGAAGATCCAGACCAACAGAGCCCCCGCAGAGGAACAACTGTGTCAGTAACAAGTCCGGCAAAAAGTACTACCTCTTCTCTCTTCCGCCTCCCCTTCAGCAGGGACCACGAAACAATCAACAACATGCCGGCAGACCTGCAAAAGAACTTCACAGCCCTCTACTCTGACTTTTCGCTTCTGACCAGAGCGGCTGGTATTGTGATGCACACGGCGCGCGGGGACGGGTGGAGCTCGTTTCCAGCGGTGGCGGCGATGATAGGCGCGAGAAGGGCTGGAAGATCTTCGCCTATATGCATTGCAAAAGTAGAAGTGTGATCGTGTTCGTGCCTTCCTATAAATCACATGGCAAAGTTTTCCAAAGGGAAAAATGGTCGTGTCTGTCATGCGTATTTAAAGTAGAAAAGCAGTTCTGTCATCGCAAAACTGGCAAAATATATTATGTGAGTGCGATACTACTTACAGCTTTTGCACAGGATTGCCTATCCCCATATTCAACTTGTATCTCGTTGGCAACACCTACACCTACTTCCCCGCCGCGGTGAAGGTGCACGCGAGGGACCAGAGAAGGGAGCCCTACGATAGGAAAGACCTGCGGAACAGCTGGGCGATCGGGTACACGCATGACCCAAGTCGGTATGACATCTACAAAAGCATAAACTGCGGCCGGGGGGTGCCGAACATGTACTTCCTCATAACGTCACATCGCTTTGTGGAGGAAGTTCTTGGACTACAACCTAGCGCCTGCACCCACTGTGAGGAGTAGTAAACTGGTGCATAGATGAGGACGAGGACGAGCCCAGTAGATGCTAGTAAAACTGTTCATGTTCTTGTTCTAAAGACGCAGCTTCCGTGCAAGCCATGGCACATTTTTAGGTTTCTCGTTTCACACTCACAGCAAAGATGAAAAGCAGAAACAGCACACCATTCACATGGATGTTCGTTGCTCGTGGTTTTCAAGTATGTTGCTCTTGTTCTTTGTGCCTTCGACCTGTCGGCGTCACTTGTACCGTCCAAAGAAGGTGAACTTGCTGTACGATGCACATCTGCAGTCGTGATCAAAATAAAGGCAGTGCAAAATTGTTAATGCGATTTCGGCTCGCTCGAAAAATTTCATGGTCGCGGTCGTGTATCTGTATTCTGAGAACATTGCTTTCCTTGTTCTTTGTTTTCTACGTCGAGAGTGGAGTAGCACAAGCCTCCCGAGTGTGACTTCTACACCAGATCGTCGACCTCGTGATTGGGGAAAGTGTCATTACGATGCCATGGTCGAAATAAAGAAGTCGCTCTCATTCTCATTGTTGCAGGTCGCAGCGACCTGAGGCAAAGGTAATATTCTGAACAAAACCAGGAGCATCGTCACGGCCTGACTGGACTGTTAAATGTAAGTGCGCCGGGGTCGTGCTGCCTGTACTCTGTTGAAGTAAAGACGTCATCGAGTTGTAAATCTTTTTACCGTTATTTGACGGGTACGATCTTTGTGCCGGTTCGCTCTCCTCTCGGTCTTCTCTCTTGTGAGCGCATCATCAGTGTATTGATGTTGTGCCTATGGGGGGACAAACTAGGGGCGACGAACTGAGAACGGCCTTTTTTCGAGGCTTAGATGTAGTGGGTTTTTTGCGAATCGTCCACTTTCGGGGAAGCTCAGGCGAGGCCCCCTGCGTCTAGTTTTTGCGCAATAGCAGCGGCCTAATACGCCGCATTCTCTACCTGAGGTTCGCGCCTGCACCGCTTGCCTTGTTTCGAAAACGGCGCGGCGCTCGCGCTAGAAATCACTTTTATAGAATATCCAAGCCCATTCCGCCCTAGATATTGAATATCCAGCGCGGTATCCTATATCCACGCCGTCCCGCCGTGGAGATACACCAGGGGGGCGTAATATTTTATAAAATGGCTCCGCCGATTTGGCTCCGGAAATGGTTGCCATGGACATAGAAAATACATCCGTGCGTGTGCATTTGGGGGCGCTGACGAAGCAAAAAAATCAAGCAACCCAAGAAATCGGGCCTATATCTAGACACAAAAAAAAGGCCATTCCCATTCTCAGTTCGTTTCCGAATTTTGTCCCCCCATAGTTGTGCCCTCCCGGTTTCGTCGCGTCCTCGATGATGGTAACGTAAGCTGCTGAGCCAGAATGTATGGTGAGCTGCTTGCTGAGCGTTGATGCAAGTGGTGGATCGTTTGATATGCGAATGCAATGTCGTGAGCACCAGAGAGAGATACTAGTGAGCGGGGCGTGGAGCATGAACGTCTTAAGAGCTTCGCTGGATAATGAGCATGAGGTTGGAGAGACGCGAGTCGTGCCTGAGGTTTCTCACCTTTTGTAGAAAGACGCCGGGAGTACAACAGTAGTTCGTCACTACATGATACTGAGTGGAAAATTTCAAGAATAAGAAAACGAGCAAAATTCGGTCTTTAGAGTCTCTAGGGCGGTCGGGAGGGGTTCCAAGATCGACGAAACACGATGCCGGCGGCTCGACCGGCAGCGCAGAAGCAGCACGCGGCGCCCTTGGGCTCGGCCGCGTTGCATCCGGCCGGGACGCCATTTCGCCAACCATCGCCACGGGGCGCCACTTGTACTTGGAGAGGAACCGGCAGGGCCCCCGCAGCCCGACAAAGCGGCTCTTCTTGACGCCGGCAAGCAGCTGGCCGGAGGATGAAAGTGGGGCGCTTTACAGATACGCGACGTCTTTGCCAGAGTTGGCCAAATGTTGTAGCATATTTTTCGACGCCCCAAACAGTTCGCCCAATTCGCGCGCCCAATCCGGACCCTTAGCAGGGTGGGACTCCGCTCCCCGACGGACTGCATTTTGGGCGCCCAGAATTGAGGCGCCGCGTGACTCCAGAATCGATTTCCGAAGTGGGCGAACTTCCAAAAGCGCGTTTTTTGAGCACAAGATGATCAAAAAAGTCCTCTGAGCGACCCCCCGCGCCAGGGGTTGCCGGAGGGGCCTACTTTTTCATTCTTGAAATTTTATCCAGTGGGAATAGGGCAAAAGCCCGTTTCAGGAATGGCCCAAATCTAGGGTTCTCGAGAGGGGTCGACCCTGTTCATTCTTGAAATTTTATCCAGTGGGAATAGCAAAATTTTGCGTGAATCACGGGCGCAATGCAGAAAAGAGCTCCGGCGTCGAGTCCCCTGGCAATGTCTTTACTCGGGCACGCCCGCAGAAGCAGGCGGGATTATTTCAGTAGCTTCGAGCCGCTTCACGCTTGCCTGTGGAGGCGCCGCCGCGCCTCGCCTATTCGGACCACGTGACGACCCGAGCCCATTTGGCCCCGGTTATGAATTTTCCAGAAACGGCCACACCTAGCTAACTAGTTTCGTGCGTGAGGTTGGTAGCCCTCGGCCCGTCAAGAAAGACGCCGGGAGTACAACAGTAGTTCGTCACTACATGAAGCCGTCAGCGTCCCCTCGCAGCTAGAAGTACAAGTAGGAGTATTTGTCGCTCGCGCCGCCGTGGAGGGGGCACAACGGCGCGGGATATTCTTCATAACTATAGAGCAGTAGAAATTTTAGAAACGGAGAGACCAAAGGAATGCTGTGCGAAAGGCAGCGCGCTAACTAGAATAGGGAATCCACAGCGCCCCAACGATTTTGCCTTTGAGGAAGTACGTCCGTCGCCAAATAGGGTCCTGGGGGTTTCTGGTAGAAAGACCCCCAGGCAGAATGAAATATGACCCCCCGGCAGACATAGATCCCGAGCGTGGGAGGTAGATCCCCAGGGAGAAAGATCCCCAAGTAGATAGATTCACAGGAGGGCTCCCAGGGACGGAGACACACCCCCAGGGACATACATTCTCAGTGAGAAACTTAGAACCCCAGGGAGATAGGTGCCCAGGGATGTAGTTTTCTTCTAGGGAAATAGCCCCCCAGGTAGATTGATAACATAGACCCCAGGCACTGACGCAGGTAAACCCCCAGTGAAGTAGGGCCACAGGTTGGCAAGTAGCCCCCCAGGTATGGGAAGGCTTTCAGCGGTAGATCCCACGGTATGGGCAGGAGCTGCGCCCCCTGCGCTCGGGGGCTGGCTTTGTTCTATCTGCCGGGCAGAACTGGCAGCGCCTTCTTTCGCTTTGCTAGCTTTCCCTTCCCACCCTCGGCCGGCAGCGCCGCTTTAGTTGGAAGGCAAAGGGGCCGCGAGCATGCCAGCAAGCAAGCTGCATGACCCGGAGGCCGTGTTGGCTTTGTGCGCCTTCCCCTCAGATATAGAATGATCTCTCAAGAGCGCCGCTGTGCCACATTCGTTCCCCCAAGCAGGCTGGCCCGGGTGGCGTTCTCCCGCGAAACCCCCGCGGTGCCTCCTGTTTCTTGCCTTCCTTCGGGCCTGCAGTCGTGCGCGTGGCCCCACTTCTCGCCGGGCCAGGCCCCGTTTATTGTAGAAAGACGCCGGGAGTACAACAGTAGTTCGTCACTACATGTTATCGCCGCCGAGGCGGCGGTAGTGAGGTCACGCTGGGTTTTTTTTGACTGGGCGCGGCCGTCCTCTCGGACCGGCGCGACCTACGGTCGCGCGGTCCGAGATCTTTTGTTTTTGGGCGCGGCAACAGGCCTCGGGCCGGCGCGACCTGCGGTCGCGCGGCCCGAAGACTTAGCGCGCCCGCGCTGCGGGCGCAGTGCGCATTTGCTTCCCCCCGCCTCATACATAAGAGCTTCTGCTGATTGGTTCTACGCGGTCTAGAGTGTGCTATCAGGAGGGTGTTCGCCGCTGTGATCCGTGGGCCCCGCACCTTCAAGTCATCGATCGGGGGCAGGCGTAGCAAGGGCGGCGACGCGAGACGCGGATGGGAAACCTGAAAAATGAATTAGAAGTGATTGCATGTGGGAAGACGAAGAGCCGCGAAATTCTGCACATTACATGTAGGAAATAGAGCCTTCAAGTGATGGCGTGTGGGATATAGAGTATGAGCCTTGAAGTTCTGCACATGAGCGAAGGCGTGTCAAGCTGGCTGGTGGCTGCACTAGCTATGTAATTAAATACTAATTGGAAGACGAAGATCATGATCCACGCAACATCCTCCTGATCCTGATCCTGATCCACGAAAGCAGACGAAGGAACGAAAAACAACCAAAGCGGCGAACGAACCCAAGCACGCACTGTGGCATTGCTCTAGCTTCTCCGGCGCTAGTACGTGCTTGCTTTCTTTTTTGGTTTTGGTCTTCTTGGGTGCCGAAGGGCCAAAAAAATCATACACGTTGTCACACACGAAAACGCTGTTGCTCATCTCATCATACATAGATCAAAGACTGCGGTCTGCTGTATCATACAAAGCAAAAAGACTGCGGTCTGTGGCCGCAGGAGGCAACTTTTTTCACTCTTGCCTCCTCCTACGCACCCGCTCCCGCGAATACCGGGGCGCAGGCGGATGCTCGGCCAACAAGTCGTCCTCTTCGTCCATGAGGACGTCTTCGTAAGTCCATTCGTCATCATCGTCGACGTCTTCGTAAGTCCATTCGTACTCCCGTCGTAGAAAGACGCCGGGAGTACAACAGTAGTTCGTCACTACATGAAGCCGTCAGCGTCCCCTCGCAGCTAGAAGTACAAGTAGGAGTATTACGTACCCTTCACCTCATCGTGATAGTGATGAACGATGACGAGGACACGGGAAAAGCTGCAAACAGTTTCTCTATTTCGTATTCGTACGTCACACTCTGACCTAGCTGATTTCAAGTTGAGTTTGAAACAACGCTCATGATTCTCGATCAATAAACTCGTCTAGGATTGTCAAGACGTTCTCTCCTCGTCGGCGTATCCGTACCGCTCGACATAATAAGAAATCGCTGCTTAGTTGTTGGGGCACAATAAGTGTGTTTTTTTTTCTGCCCGTGAAGGTTATATATAGTTAACCAATAAGGCAAGAGCCGAATAAAACTTGTTCGTCCAGCACGACGTAGTCGGCTAGAAGAGCAAATCGCAAACCCTAGAGAAAAAAGGTCACCCTCCAGTAGTTCTTCCCAAGCCAACGAGACCCTCGTCCAGGAAAGAACTTCAAAAGAACCGACCTGGGATTACGACGACAACCGATCGCTAGATGACGGCTTTGTCGAAGTGCTGCGTCGGCGCTGGAACTGCAAAAATGGACCAGATTAAGCTCGAGCCGCAGCTGAGCATGGAGGAGGTGACCAAGATTGCCGACCAGATCGCGGCCTGCGACTGGGACGAGAGCGCGGAGGGCCCGATCAGTTGGACGGAGTACAACGGGCTAGGGAAGTGCACCTACCACCAGCACAAGGGCAAAGAGGAGAAAATCGCCAAGTGCCCCCACATGATGCAAATGGGTCCCAAACCAAGACCCACGGGGCTTGCGGAGACTGCGTTGGACTTCGTGGGGAACACGCCTCTGATCAGGCTCGACCGCCTGGCAAAAGCCCTGGGGTTGCCGGAAAAAGTGGAACTCATGGCCAAAGCGGAGTGCTACTCAGCGGGAGGTACTTGTTGTGTTTTGCCATGGCTGGTGTCCATGTCCTAGTTTCTCTCTATGATTTTTTCAACAAAAAGAACAGAACCAACGGTAGCCCGTACTAGTTCGTTGCATTTACATTTTTTTCACAGCATTTTTACTTTTTAGTGCTTCCTTCAAAATGAATCAAAAACAAACCCGCCATAACTGGATAGCCAAAAACTACTCTTGCCACGCAGGTTCCGTGAAGGACCGAATTGCCGTGCGAATGATTGAGCAGGCGGAAAAGGAGGGCCGCATCCGCCCGGGAGATGTTCTCATCGAGCCAACCAGTGGCAACACGGGGGTCGGTTTGTGCATGGCCGCCGCGATTAAGGGCTACAAATATCAAGAGGAAAAATCCCCCCTGCCTCCCCACATCAAAACGAAACTTCTGATGCTGGATTTGAGTACACAAATCAGGTTTGTATTGCAGGAAAGCATTGCAGTCAGATCCCCAGGCTAGGTAGGGGCGTATGCGTCTAGGTGTTCAGCATGACAAGCGGCTCCCCTTGAGGCCCAACAGCATGACAAACCGCTTCCATAGTGGGGCGGAAGCTTCTGCCCTTGTCTTCTTGCAATACAAATGTGATTTGCGACCGCAAATCAGCAAGACAAATTTTCGGAAACATAGCTTTTCGATATGGGGAGGGGGGATTTTTGCTTTTGATAACAAAGTGATCATCACCATGCCCATGAAGATGTCCGGGGAAAAGCTGAACATGATGAAATACCAAATGCAAAAATGTCTGGGTCTGGAAGAGCCAAACTTGTGACGCTGCATTTGGATGCTAAAAAAACCTGTATTGCATGACAACCAAGAGGATTCAAGTTTGGCTACGCGGAGAGGGCATTTGTCATGCTGGATGCGCATAGATAAGCGCTCAAAAAATCTGTGATGCTATGGCATACATTACAGACATCATGGATCATGGAAAATGTGCATGACAAAGCTGTGCGCTTCCAGACCCAGACATTTTTACATTTGATATGAAGGCACTGGGCGCCATCATCTACCGAACACCAACAGAGGCCGGATGGCACGACAACAACTCTCACATCGCGCTCGCATTGCGGTACACTAGTTTTGCCGCGTTCGCGATTATGATTTCTTTTTAATATCATACGAGTTGAAAGCTGAGACGCGTTCGATAAAAGAACGAAGAAAGAAAATGCCTATGCTGTGAGGCGATGGATACATCAACATGTGAAGAAGTAGAAGATGAGCCTACGCGTGACCACATTTGAATTGAACTACATCAAATTCAAATCATTCTATGTTGCTTAGGTTGCAAAAGGCCATCCCGAACGCCCACGTGCTAGACCAGTACCAGAACACGGGAAACCCGATGGCGCACTACGAGGGCACCGGGCAGGAGATCGTGAACCAGACCGACGGTAAGCTCGACTACATGGTCGCAACCGCGGGCTATCAAAGTGAAAAAAGCCCCCACCCCATGTCGGAAACGGAAGATGCGCGAATTTGTGATGCTGTATTTGAGTACACAAATCGACTTGTATTGCTAGAAGGCCAAGAGACGAAGCGGCGGCCTAAATTGTAAGTAATCTGTCATGCTGTTTCCCACTTCCAGTTGCCTCCTGTCATCCTGGAGCTGGAAGGCTTTCCCACACTAGACAGCACTAAAGTCCGCATCTTTTGCCTTCTAGCATCACAAAGCTGATTTGTGGCCACAAATCTGCATCACAGATTTCCGTTTTGATATGGGGAGGGGGCATTTTTCACTGTAATACGGGCACCGGCGGAACCATCACCGGTCTGTCAAGAAAATTGCGCGAAGAAATCCCAAGTGTCAAGATTGTCGGGGTCGATCCGAAGGGGTATAGTATTTGAAAAACTTAAAGTCGGGATTGAATTTGGACAAGAACTAATAGTCTTGCATGAGTGTAGAACGTGGCGGGCTTCTATCTTCTTGGCGTAAGTACCAAAATATCCTCGTGGCGTCGAAGAGTGAGTGCCCGTAGTAGCTTTATTCTGCGCATCGCCTTATGTTGACATCTTTTGAAACAAAAAATGAAACAGGTCCATCCTCGCACTGCCGGAAAGCCTGAATGACGAAAAGCGGTTGCAGCCATACCAGATCGAGGGGATTGGGTAGCGTTTGCTTTATTCTATGCGTTCAACTACGCAACAAAACAGTGAGAACACTGCATTTGTCATTGTCATACAGAATGAGTGCAGCCTCTTCCAAGAAATTCGCTTTATGAAGTGTAACGACCTTATACGCCAAATCACCCCTAGGTACGACTTCATTCCAACGGTGCTCGACCGGGAAGACGCTGCCGACAAGTGGGTCAAGACCGATGACGCTGAGTCTTTCAAAATGGCCCGCAGTATCATTCGTCACGAGGGAATTATGGTCGGTGGCAGTGCGGGAAGTTGCATGGCCGGCGCCCTGAAAGCCATCCAAGAGCTCGACATCAAGGAGGGACGGGTTTGCGTCCTGTTCTCGGACTCCACGCGAAACTACATGTCCAAATTCCTCGACGACGCCTGGATGGAGAAAAACGGCTTCCCGTTGGACGTGTACTAAAGCTGCGGTAGAAGAAGATGCTCATCTACTTCCTCAGGCAGCTATGAACCCCATTGTTCTCCTCGAGAACGAGAACGTAACTGAAACGATCCTAAATTTTGTTAACTGGTTGAAAAGCTATCTCAGATTCTTGATTCAGATTCTTGTTTTTTTACCAGAAGAACAAGATAGAAAAGTTTACACTGCTATCTGTACCGTTTAGAGATGACGAGCACGACGCGAACGGAGATTCCGAACAAGCGCACGAAGAGGATTTCCGAACCGGTCTAAGCCTGTCGTTTCTTTTTTTTACCTCGCTCCTGTGGCCGAAGATGCTTCTCCGTAGTGGTTGAGATAGAGTCTAGCTTGCTACGACGGATGAGAGCACCCCGGGGGAGTAAAATCAAGAAACTAACGATCATGTTGGCCGTGTTTACTTGGAGGCTATGCTGTAGTTCTTAATCTACGTCTCAGTCACCGTGCTTGCTCTCTGATGAGGTCACGACCTCCCTTGAGTCTGTTGAAGAGAGTTTTTTTTTGTTTCAGCACCTATGTCTGTTTCTCTGACAGTAACTCTCTGTAATCAAAAACCATACTACATATAACGACTTTTATCAACAAAGTGCCGCAGCCGTTCGATCGGTCCTGCGGTACTGATTATGTGCTAAAAGAGGTTTGTGAAATCAGTTTTTTGTCGTCAGTTTCTGACCTTCGGGAAATTATCGACAAGTAGTACTACTTCACTTGTTTCTATTTACAACTCCGACTGTATCTATTTGTTTCGAACGCCGTATACGATCATGATTCTCAATGCTATTTCTGATTCTTCTTGCACAGCAGCTTTTTTACGAAATAAAGTCTTCTTGTTCCAGAATCTCGACCACCGCGTTGATGTCCCGTATTGCTGTTTGAACAATGCACTTAACAACTTGCGTAGACTTTTGCAACGAGGAAGAGGGCGAGGAGGCAACAACCGGTGTTGATGTTTTTACACCTTGTTGCAGCGCTACATACTAGGACCACCACTTCACCGCCCTAGCCGATTGCGGTGTCGTTCGCGCGTAGCTACATCTACCGCAATACTAGTTGCGCGATTGTAGTGATGAGACCAATCCTTGTTTGAAAGTGATAAAAGCTACGTGAAGATCATGACGGCCAAACTGTATACAAGAACGTAGCTTTACGAGGACCCTCTTGAATGAACCAAAGTTTATCTCTGAAGAACAAATCACAACTTATAACTTACTTCCTTTGGATTCTTTCGATTTTATTTCGACCACGACTTTTCTGCCGCTTTTGACACCTTTGTAATATTCACGCCGTTTCGATTGCTTTGTAGTGCCGGTACGTGGAGGCCTCTGCAGCTGCACCAGTGCTCTCGAACGCAGTTGTCGCCATGCACCTTCATCAGAAGTTGTATCAGCACACACCGCTCCCGCTGATAGAAAATACGCGTACGTCAACATTTCTGTAAGTGAAGGCAGCTGTCGGCAGGAGCGTCTGCAGGAATCATTCAATTGCGATGCAGCTCCTCTTCGTACAATAGGCGGCTCCAGCTACAATCAAAGCGACGGCCTCGACGGTAACGAACCTCTGAAAAAGCACCATGCATGCAAGCATGAGCAGCATGTCGAGCACCGGGGGCAGAGTGCTTGATTGTTATTATTGCAAGGTGCTGTTCGCCATTTCATTTTCAATGTTGTCTACTAGGTTTTCCTGCCGACTTGAAGACGATGGGAGATTCACGTCCAGCACCACACGAAGGTGAAATACCCGAGAAAAGAACAGGCTCTGCAACTCACCGTCAGCGGACATGCATTTTTGCAAGAAAATGAAAAATGACTGCGAGTGAGTGCACCTGCTCCTGCACAAGTAGTGCGTACTGTTCTAATATCCTGCTGACTGGCTGCTTCTATAGAGCAGCTTTAAACTTTTCAACACGTATCTGTTTAGAGAAACAAAACGCAATCTTCCCTCAACAGGATGGCTTTCGGCATCGTCAAGAAGTCGCTGCTTTCCTTCGCGGCATTTGCCGCGTCGTCTGTGCACGGGCTCGTCCCCCCTACGGAGACGGAGTTTTCCGATGAAGGCGATACCCGCGGCGCGAAGACGCAGGACGAGACCGGCACCACGTCTGGGGACCTGCAAGCCGTCGTCGGGAGTGATGGAAGTACGGTAGCTGCAATATCCAACAGAAAAAAGCAGGCAGGGCAATTGTACAATGCAAAAAGAAATAGACAGCAAAACCTGTACGTGCACTTCTGTGTAACCTAAAGTAAAGCACGCTATGGGCTCGCCCATAGGAGATTTTTGTTTTGCAGCTCTTTGGTTATTTTTTGAAGGTACAAATATATATAATTCCCTGTCTGCTTTATTCTGTGTGATATGCAATGGTGGACGTGAACAAGGGAGTCGTCGCGGCTGTGGTGATCGGCGTGATATGCATTGTTCGCATCGGTTTAGGTACATGAAGATTGGATCAAGTTCAAGCTGCAGTTTTCAGAAAAACAAAATGAACTGGACGGAACAAGCAATTTGTGTCATGCTGTTTGTGGATGGTGGATGGTATGGATGCACAAAGACTGATTTGGCTTTTCATGCTGCGACGTACAAAGCTCCAGCATGATTTTTTTTTTTCCTTTTGTCGATCGTCCAGGACGAGGACCATGTTAATGTTTGTGTACGTATACGATGCCCTTGCAGTCTGCCATACATTTGCTTGCAGATTTCTGGTTGGAACACAGATTTCGCGCTGGCCGTTAACGGCGCCGTGAAGAAGAGTATCCGCCATGGTCAGGGTGGCGTGGAATGGACCAAAATCCAGGCGAAATGCAGTTGCGTGACAGAGAACGGTAATAAAGAAACCTCTACCGTGCAGACCGCGACCCATCCAGACTACCAACACAATCACGTGGACGTATATGCGCGCTGCAAAGACGCGTGCGAGGATCAGTACCCAGGAAGGAAGGTGGAGGTGGAAGAGTGCAAAGTTTGCACCAACGATGTCTAGAAGGGATAAGTGCTGACGATATGATGTTCAAGCGCGGGAGGAAAAAGTACTTACACTTTGGCGACTTTCAGCATATCATCAATTTTTGAAGTTGGACCATGATAGAAAAATAACGGCGTACAGGGTTTAGTTGTCGTGTTCGCCGGGGTAACTGACTCATGTGCAGTGCGACCACTATGTATACGTTCATTTCTTTTCGTTAGTGTTCGTAGTTGTGCTTCACTTTTTCGGTGTTTGTCTGGTGGTGCCTGAGTTGGAGAAAGATGGACGGACCACTTGACCTTGAACACAGTTGAGAGGAGCATAGAGTCGCTTGTCCTACGACTAAGTACCGAAAGATAAACAAGAAATACTAACCACGAGGAACGAGACGACATACGCAAGCCAAACTTCTCTACGTATGGATCCGCCAAAATATTCAAGAAAAAGTAAATGTGAAAACATTCAGCGAGGAAGTTGTCCCCAGCACCAGCGTCTTCTGGTTTTGTGAAAACAGAACAAGCAAAACGGACAGGAACACTAAAGCAACATGAAATCCCTTCGACGACCCTTCTCACAGCCCGCCGAAGAAGCCGGCGACCTGGAAACAACAGCCAACTTCGATTGGTCAAGTCTCGACCGTTTGGCGGAAGACGTGCAGCACGCTAACTGCACAGCGTCGGCTGCGCAATATAAAAACGTGAGAAACGGCGACAGAATCGCAGAAGCAACTACATCTACTTTGGCAACCGGAACAAGCGCCGCCTTCCCACCGGCGGCGCAGGATGAAAGCGCGCCGGAGCAAGCAGGAGAAAGAAATCACATCGAGGGAACTAGTGTAGGATCACACAGCGCTCTTCTCTTCCTCGACGTCGACGGTGTGTTGCATCCGGACGGCGGCGGCTCCGTACGAGGCTCCCTAGCAACCAGTACCCTGTGCAAACCACAGATGGTAATTTTGCGAAGGATTTTGGAGAAGCTGCACGAAAGACTACAACATTGTAAAAATGCAGTTGTTAATACGGAAAATAAGCGCAACAACCTCCCAAGGAGGACACTACATCTCATCATCAGCTCCGCCTGGAGAGAGAACCCCGGCAGGACGCAGCGACTGCTTCGGGAGCTGGTGAAGTACGGTTTGGAGTTGGAGCATTTCGACGTGCGGAAAGCAGCACGACGCACGGTAGGAATGACCACACCACAAATGGAAATGGTTGATCCCAGCACCTCCAGCCGAAGAACTGCTGCTCTTGTTGACGAGGCAGCTGAAGATGTTGATCTGTCCTCACTGCTGCTTCCCCTGAACGTATCCACCACCCCGGCGATGAACGACTTTTTCGTGCCCTTGAAACACCGAAGGGAGAAGGAAATTGCGGAATGGATACGAACTTTTGATACAGCACAACAAACGACTCCATCGGTTTCTACGTCTCAGCTACTTTCGCAGCAGCACCAACAGGAGGCGAACAAGGCTTTGCAGAGTGCAGGCGTACCGAGAAGTTCAAAAAATCTAACCGTTCTTGTCCTTGACGACTTACCGCTGCTGGAAGAGCACATTGGTGTACAAAACAGTTTTTTGCACGTCAACCTGGCAACGGGGCTGGTCGAAACCGATTTGGATAGATGCTTGAATCTCGTAGAAAAACAAGTAATAAATCACAACGCGTTCTTGTGCTGCAGCAGAAAATGAAAAGAAGCACGCGCAACATACTATCAACTTGTTGCTTTTGAATGTTGAAGTGGCATTTTATTTTATGTTCGTGATAGATCAAGATCATCACGGCGACTGCAGTCGGATGCGTTCTCGGCGCGGCTCTGAAGCGGCTGCTCGTCGCTTTGTTGATCATGATCTGCGGAATCGGTACATCTTTGACGTTGGAACGCTCGCTGTTGTCGTTTAGTACATTTCATTCGTACTCAAATAACCCGTCCGACGCTGCGTGGATCACATGCACTTGCACCGTCTAGAAAAGTGGATCAGCAGCGCGCGGGTTGAGTCAACCCACAAGATCTGGTGGTCAAGGACAGACACTCATGATACCAAAGCGATGTTTCTCTGGATCACGAGAACTACATAACAGAAAAATTTTTAGTACAACAAGTTTCCACTTGTAGTGCCTCTTCATAATTTCCGACGTCTACGAGGACCACCCTAGACTGAAAATAAAACCCCTACTCTCTATTTCGTCAGTCGTTTGATGAAAGAGCAGAAACAGTTGTCACATTGACGATCAGGATCATTCGAGCATCCCGATCCGGCTGAAAATTCGAGGTTCGCCCATCTTCGAAATGGAGTAAGTATCTCCTCGAAATCGTATTTTTTTTTCGGGAGTTGTGCAGCCCAGGGATAACTCGGTCGTCGCGTGAGGAGCGCAACATTGATGCTGATTTACAACAACAACATCAATGCATCTATACAGTTTTTTTCGACGATCTGTCCCGGAGGAAGGAGAAGGATCAGGCGTTGGGTCGGGACGTGGACGTGGACGTGAAACTAGATTTAAATTTATACGATCGAGTGCTCCCGCTCCGTTGTCAGATGTCGAGCGAGCCGCTCGAGAAAGTAACAAGTACATTAGTAAACTAGGAAAAAGTAAATTTGGAATGAACTTGGTAAATTGCAGCGACAGATCTAAATAATTTTTCATTCCTCAATTGAAATAAAGGATCACCATCATGCCCACTCTCTTCGCCGACCGTCGGCCGCAGGTCGAACGATGGCTCTCGGAGCACGCCCCCAATGCGAAAGTATCCAGGAAAAAACACCCATCCCCATCCATTTTTTGCATGGCAAATAGTGGATTTTATGCATGTTTTGCATGACAAATTGGATGGGGATGGGTGTTTTTTCCTGGATAGAAAGTCGTCTCGAGCTACCGGAGAGAAATCAGCCGGCAGTCGTGTGCCGGAATCTCGCTCTGGATCGGCACCATGTACGGCGGAGGCGCACTCTACCTGATCATCGGCGTGTTGCTCTTTTTCAGACGGTGGCTGCTCACGTTTGCTCGGGGTGCAGGTGACACGGCTGATTATACAGAGGAACGAGGAGGACAAGACGCGCTGTCCAGCACGAGCGGTCTGCTCCTTTCCCCCAGCTTCTACTTCCAACTGGACCTCTTTTCCCTCTTCCTCACGTCTCTGGTCGTAACCGGCTACGGCTTCAGAACGGACTTTTTCCTGCGGAACTTCCCGAAAATTTCCGAAAAAATCGAACGATACATCATGGTCGGGTGCAACAAATACTTCGGCTGCGTCGTGATCGCGGAGGATCCGGCGGAATTCCGCAGATTGCTGTCCGACCAGACCCAAGCGGTCATGGTGGGTCTGGCGCCGCACGACGTGCTACCGCTGGCCTGTTGCGGCCTAGCGCCGATTTGTCTGCAGGACAGTTTAAACTTGGCGGAAAATAAGCCGGGGGTGGTGATTGCCGCGACGGAGAGTATCCAGCTCACCCCCCTGTGGAACCAACTCGCGTACCTGCTGCATGCGCGGTCCGTGGGGAAAAAGCAGGTGGTGAGGGAATTAAAATCGGGCAAGAAACTCGCACTAGTCCCCGGCGGGGTGCAGGAGGTCCTGTGGAACTACTTCTACAAACAGGGCCTGGAAGAAAAGCAGGTACGAGATTTGCAGCAAGGACACGACACGTTTTTCGCGGAAATGGGAGGAGCAACAGGTGTAAAAACCGACAATACTAGTACAACTGGATCGAATAAAGCAGAATCATGTAGCAGCACAACTGCAGCTTGCAAGAAGGAGGAATCCGAATCCACAGCGTCAATAAGCACGCTGACCACAGCTACCACGACGAAATCCAATTCGCAAGTTTCTCTAGTAAGTTCCGACATAGGTTCTGGTGGCTCAACAACATCTTGTTCACCTGGCAAGAACCTATCTTCAGCTTCTTCACAGACAGAAACATCAGACCAGCACCAGCAGCAGAAGAACAAGGCGACAATTTTTGCGGAAAATGGAAAGAAAGACGCAGAACAACCTCTGAACACGAAACAGGACGACTTTACCATCCTGTATCTCCAGAACCGCAAGGGGTTTGTGAAACTCGCGATCGAGCAAAAAGCAGCGGTCGTCCCGATTTTCGCGTTTGGCCAGGAAGCGGAGTTTTCCTTCCTCGCCCCGCAGCCCCCGGAGTCTTTCCCGAAGCTGCGGAGGCTGTTCTCCGAATTCTCGCGAAAAATCGGGTTCGCGCCAATCATTCCCCTGGGCATCGGGAAAATCCCGTTCGGGATTCCCAACAGCTGTCCGCTGGGCCTGGTAATCGGGAAACCGATCGTCGGAACCAACGTGGACGCGGTGCATGCGGAGTACTGTCGGGAGATAGTGCGGATAGGGGAACTGTATGGGAAGTGCTTCACTGCCGATAAAAATGACGCAGATTTTAGTACAACTGGTGCGGGCGGAAAGACAGCGACGCAGGACAAGGGCCGGGTGCTCCTGATTTGAAGGGGAGCAGACGAGGGTGGAGATCGAGCTTTCCGCTGGCTGCTCTTGATGGTGGTGGATTTCAAAGATGCCTTGCATCTGCTTCATCTTTACACGATGAGCAGACGTTTTCATTTCTCGTGCGAGCGCCACCAGCTACTGCTGTCTGTTCTTCCTCGTTTTCTTCCGCACATGCATCGTGCAGCAATCCTCGAATTTTTACACGCAGTGGCTTTTTGCGACGAACTCTTTTTCAAATTAACAGTAAGCACAGGAATGAGAGTTTTTCAATTCCATTTCACAAGTCGAACGAGGCTACAACGTGTGTAGAGTCTCGTCATCTCCTGGCTTCGATTGCCTGGGGTTTGTTCCTCGAGGCGCGCGAACGCAGTCTGCTTTCTCGAAAAGATATCTGCAACGGATTTGTTTCGCCGAATGGTCGAAATCGATATAGAAAAGCGAGACGGAGGGCGACCTTCATTTTCAGATGAAGCGGTACTAGTTTATTTGAGTGATGATATGAGAGACCAGGCAATTAAGAAGATGAAGTGCAAGTGTCGCGTGTTTCGTTTTTGGCAGCTACCGCCAAAATATCAAGCCCGATAAAGACGAACATAATTTGAGCCTCGCCCTGATATCAAATCGGGGCACAGCACGTAGAGACAAGGACAAGCCGTGAGAGAGAAAACATAGACAGCCTGCTTCGCTTCGTTCGCCGGTATAATTGAGTATGGAATTGGTGCAGGTGGAGGCATTTCCCTCCTCCTTGAGGAAGGCCAAGGAGTGTGCTCAGACTGGAGAACTCGCAACCAGGCGTAGTAGGCAGAAGATGAAATGGGCTTTGTGGATGAAAGATAGAGCAGCTGGCGGTCGTTGTAGGTTCGTCTTCGTCATTCATCGAATTTTGATTTAATAATCGCGTAGTTTTCACTAGTTGCATCCTCAGAGCCTCCTGCCATTGGCATTGCCAACCACGAGCAAATCAACAAGATGAACACTCGTACCAGCACGTTCTTCTTGCCGCGGCTCGTCTCTACACTAGCGCCTGCAGTCCTCTACTGCAGGATGGCCGTCGACGTGGGAGCACGCCAGTCTACTTCGGCACGACGAGCGCAGCAAACGCGGGTTCTGCTGGATGCCGCAGCTGAGGACTTGTCTCCTCAGCAAGATTTGCTCGTCCACCTGGGGGATGACTATGACACAGATAGCACACAGGAGTTGGTGCAGCATGATGTACACGACAAGCCAGCGGAACGATTCAGCGACGAGCAGCACAGGTCAAGGCTGCAACTGCTTCGCGGTAGGAAATCACATACACATCAAGACGAAGACCAAGAACCTGCAATACCAGAACCAGGCGCAAGTGACGTCATAACGAAATCTTCGCTACTACTACAACAATATCACCATCTTATTCCGGACGAAACTAAACAACCACAACCAAGAAACAAAGCAAGTGCAGCCACCAACCCGTTCTCCTCCTTCCAAGAAGCAGGGCAGCAGCAACATTTGGAGCATCTTCGCGCGAAGCTCAAGCCAGAGGACCACTTAGCAGCTCTAAAGCCCTTGGGTGAGAAGATTCTATCGAGCTGCTTCCCGCGGCCCTCCGAAGAAAACAAAGAGAAAAGGGGCAGAATGACCGACATCACCAGTGCTGGCCATACGACCACATCAAACAAAAGAGCGAATGTCGAGATTCAAACGCGCGATCCTCTGACACGACAGCCACGGATCGACTTCGTCACTTTCTGGACGCCGCGCGGGGGCGACCAGGATTTGAAGCATCAGCTGCGGAGTTTTGGACAGAATGGCTTGCTGTCAAAACTCCGGAAAATTTTCGTTTTGATCCTACCACCACCAGAGACAGGACGAGTGGCCACAGAGACAGACGCGGAGGATGAACTACAGGCAAGTGGACCAGAAGATGAAGATCAACATGGCAAACACAAAGAGCACGGTGTTAATCTTGATGCAACAGAAGGAAGTACTACAAAAACCATGATGCAAGCGGACGAGGCGGAAATCGACGCGGAAACTGGTTTGTCATTGGACAGAGAGATCAGAGCCGGAAAGCAAAGCCAGGGCAGCGGCAATGCTCGAAAGCAACAAGATGAAATTGCTAGTGGTAGGACAACGCGAAAAATATCATCATCCTCAAAAACGACCTCATCCATTTCAACCGCATCTTCGAAATCAAAGAAGCAAAAGCACTTCGCGATGGAGCGGATGCTGACTGAGCTCCAGCTGCCAAAGTGGCTCGACGACCAAGCAGACGAGGCTGTTTTTGAAGTTACCACAGTCGGTGAAAAGGAGACAGATGTGCAGAACGCCAAAAGTTGGGCCCTTTCCCTGCTGCAACGTCGAAACAGGAAGGAGCGCGAGAAGAACTACAGTGACGCCGATGTTGACAGTGCTGGTAGTACTTCTACAACCGCATCAACCAGCGAGAACTACAAGGACGCCGCGAGAACAAGTAGAGCATCCTCTTCTAGTAGCTCAAATGCGGTTCTGCCAGCAGCTTCACTCGTTCCAACTATCTCCTTTGTCACGGTGCCACAGTGCGTGGAAGAGAAGCTGGCCGAGAGCCGCATCCGCTGGGCGCAAATCTGCAAGATGCAGCACATGCACAAGATTCCTGGCCTTTCCGACTGGTTTCTGTGGGGGCCGGACGACGTGTTTCTGTTTAAGAAATTTCCTTCCTTCGGAACAATTTTTGTGGAGAAGAAAAGTAAAAAGCCCTTTGCCTACTCCAGCGGCAGCTTCGGTCTCGGCGACTGTCTCGGGGAAAGACCGTTTGGCGAGTTGCACGGCGTGGCGTTGCTGAATAAGTGCGCTCTGACGGAAACTTCTGCGGAGATGGTGAAAGTAGCGCAAGACAAGGGCAGCACTGGCGCTGAAGGATCTCAACTGCTATCATGGTTGAAACACAAACAGTACGTGTACGGCGATGCCGACCAGAATGTAGGAGGCAAAATTCTTCATCCCGAACTGAATTCCGTCTGCGTCGCCACGCATGCCATGTTGGAGACTGGTGAAATTTTCGCGAACAAGCACCTGATCAGCTACGCGGGAAAAAATTCCAATGGCGTCGCCGTCATTGCGGAGTGCCACGTGAACGGGCCCACTTGTCACACCACGCAGTATTTGGAACAAATCCCGACCGTCTTCGTGAACGTGCAGGGAGACGGGTTCAGTGCGGAGTACCCAAAGTTGGGCGAGAAACTTTCCCAGAAAATAGAACCCTCCGATCGCATCACGAAAAAGTACTTCGAGAAGAAATTTCCGAACCCTTCGGTATTCGAAAAACAGATCACCGAAAGTGTGTTTTTCGACAAGGAGAAGTTTGAAGTCAAGGATGCTCCGGACGAAGAAAAGAAGAATAGTCGGATTGTGGAAGCCGAAGCCAGTGTTGGGGGTGGTGTTGAGATTTCCAAGTTGGTGAACAAAAACCAGATGTCGAATCGACAGCATGTGAAGAAAAGAAAAGTTTTAACGAACCCCTTTGCCCGCGAGTTAGAAAAGCTGGTAGGACGCCGGGAAAAGCTCAGAAAGCAAAGCCAAAGCCACTCTTCTGTGGAAAAATCGGACCTCCACTCAGGAAAGAATCCTGGCGCAAGACAGCAAAGCCACATTTTTGAAAAGAGACATGCTGTATTCAGGGAAAATTTGTCACCGTCACCGTTTTGGCATATTCATTTTTTGAGCAAAAAAATTTGAATTTCTGCTGGCTTTGTATGCGTGTCCGTGTCTGCCACATGTTGCAACTGCGGCAAGCTAGCTACTGCGTTTCAAGCGCGCTGACCTAGCTCGCTGAAGGTAGTCCCGAAATATCCCAGAACGGCGCTGCCGTTATACAGGCCAAAGCCGCGGCTCCAGAAGGTCCTTGGCTGGGAGGCTGTCTACTGACACTAGAGCAACCAGATTTCCGTCCGCGGAGGATCGGAATATTGTGGCTGGTCTTGCTGGGTTGCCCCTCAGCATCTCGGGCACATCTTACTCCTTGACGAAAGACCTTCAGCAAAGGACCTCCACAACCCGTGAAAAAAAGGCAATTTTTTGAGCAAATTAACCGACGACCTGGTGACAAATCTCGAAAATCGTGCATTTTGCACGGTATGGTGGACTCTGGGAGCCCAAAATCGGAACTGGTGACAAATGCCAGAAATTTTGCATTTTGCGCGGTATGGTGGACGATTGCGCACTGATCAAAAATTCTTGCAGCTGCAAGAATTTTTGGTCCGTGCGCAATCGTCCACCATACCTTGCAAAATGCAAGAATTTGCTGATTTGTCACCAGTAACAAATCTGGCTCGGAAACGTCCACCATACCGTGCAAAGTGTAAAACTTCTGGGATTTGTCACCAGGTGGTCGTTAAATTTGCTTAAAATTTTGCTGCTTTTTTCTGGGTTCTGGAGGTCCTTTGCCGGAGGCCTTTCGTCAAGGAGTGACAAGGGCCCGACATTCCGAGGAGCAACCCAACATCGCAAGCCGCACCATGCAGAAGGCCCCCCAGCAAGGGTCGAGCCCCTATGCGCCAGCAGCCAGCCTCCTCGCAACGGACCTTCTGGAGCCGCGTCTTTGGTCTGTACGACGGCAAAGCCATTCCGGGGCGCTTCTGGATTGCGTTCAACTACACGGGCCACCATGCTCGAAGTGTAATGCCTCGCGGGCCACATTTGCAACAACTGATCAATATGGGCATGTGTGGGATATCAGGAAAAAATCAAATTTTTTGGGTCGGAAAATGAATATGCCAAAACGGTGACGGTGGCAAATTTTCCCTGAATATGCTGCTTCCACCTCTCATCCTGAGTTTCTGGAGCAGCAGGAACAAACGGAAACGCAGGCAGCGGGCGCAACTAGAAAAGTCTCTTCCTCCGAGAAAATGAGAATGCAGAACCAGCTCCGGCTCCTCAACCGCGAAAAGCAAAAGGAGCTGCAAACAACGCAAGGAAATAAAGCGATGACCAACGACCTGTTCAATTCGAAACTGCAACACACCGCGTCGTCGTCGAAAAAAAAGTCGTCGGAGTTCCATTGTTGGATCAAGAACGAGGCAGACAGTAACCGCACGGCCACCTCCATCGGCCACTCGTGCCTCGACCACACCGAGGAAGCCAGCTGCAACGGTGACGCGCTGTGCATCTGGCAGACCCACCCGCGGATGTGGCGCGAGTGCGCGTGGGCGAGTGAACACAAGGAGAAGCAAGTGGCGAACTCAGGCACGGCAGAGGATGAGGAATACTATGTGGACGAGGAATGCATGGGGCTGTGCAAAGACTGGTATTCGATGTGCTTTGGCTTGAACGACAACGACATGTGCGACTGGAATAATTTCGAGGAGTGTCGAAACGAGGAAGATACCTGCTACGAGGCCGGGCGGACCTGGGTCGAGACCTGCGGCGCACGGAATGCGCACACAGCATTAACCAAATTTTCTGCTGGGTACGTGGAAGACGCAGCGCAGTGGCTGTGCGCGGACGACGAAGAACCAGTTTTGACCATAGAGCATATGCAATCACAAATTTCAATAAACCGTGCACAGACATGACTACAAATGTACCATCCAATACGCATGACAATTTTTTGTTGCTATGCTGCTACTACACCTTTGTTTCAGATATGAATATGCTAATCGAATTTGGTGATGCTGAATCATTGAAAAATATCTTGCAGAAATTCATGGCTGCCAATACTAGCTCAGACGGACACCATGCACGTTGCAAATTTTCATTGGATAAAGAACCTCTGCAGCCCCCAGCTGCAAGCGACGGACGAGAATTGCAAGGCGCAATGTATGGAGAAGCTGCAATTTTGCTTCGACGAAAGCGATGTGAATGCGCACGTGGACTTGCTGGGAAAAATGAACACCTGCACTTTCTGGTCGCAGGAATGCCACTGCAAAGTACGCGATAGAAAATGCATTATACCTTTTACGAGGACAACGTACAAAAGGCTTTGCAAATTATTCAAATTTAACGTTAATGTTGGAAGTTTTCCGAATGAAAATGACATTTGTATGTGTCGACAATCTTCGGCGACGACGAGATGAAGTTGAGGAGGCCTGTCATGCATGGTTAGCTGCACCATTGGTTTGATTTGTTTTTGTACGTACTCGCCAAGTATGGGATCAGCATTTTTTTCTTCTGCATACGAGGCCGAAGCGTACCACACCACCGGGAGCGGGTCGCAGCGGTGTGTTTCGGATGGGGAGATGTCGATGTACGAGTTCCAGCTCGCGGTCTTAGTTAACCCCGAAACCGACATTGCCGCCATCAACGCGCAGTGCCCAGACACGACCATTGCGCAGCCGGACGCGCGGTGTCCCGCACCGGCCCTGGAGGATGAGGGAGGCTCGAGCAATGTCGCGGCGGTCTCGATTGGGTGTCTGTTGGTCGCGACGTTACTCATGATCGGTTGGGGATTTGCGACGGGAATGTTGAAGCTGGGCGACGGAGCGACCACCGGAGCAGGGGAGGGGGGAGACGAGCTGGCGGGCGAGGAGAAGGGAACAGCTGACGCAAGTCCAAGTGCAGAAAAAAATGCGGACGAGGCTAAAGCGGATGATAGTGCAGCAGCGGCCACAGCTGCAAAGGCGGAACATCAGGAGCCGAAACCCCCAGATGAACAAGAAGAAACAAAACAGCCGGCGGTAGACAACAAGGGTCCGACGGGGGATGATGCGGTGGATGAGGCAATCACCGAGGCGATCGAGGACGCAGCGGACAAAGAGAAAGAGAAAGCCGCAGCCGAGGGGACGACACCAGCGCCCGCGGAAGCAGGAGCAGCGGCTGGGGAAACGGCGGCTACGGCGGAAACGCCGGCTACAGCGGAAACACCGGCTACAGCGGAAACACCGGCTCCGGTAGCGGATGGAGAGGCACCACCAGCGTCGTGATGCTAAAGATTATGATGTGTCGTGAAGGTGTGCTGCTGCTGAGACTGAGTATAAAGCGTACGTCGAGAACTTTTGATGTCGTTTCGATATCGATTTAGACGTTTCAGATTCATTACTCACACAAAGATGAACGGAAGTTGTTGCAAACCCCGGCGATGACGAAGTAAAAAGTATGCGTAGTTTCAACTTGTGTAGTTTCCACTTGTTTTCCCAGAAACTACTAGACACCGCGAAGGCAACATCAGACTAGTGGACGGCTAGGCGAATCGCCTGGGTGTTCATTTTTTTTCATTTGTATAGCCGAGAAGTCTTGTTCTCATGAACACAGTAAGCTTCTCCACACAAAATCAGATTGAAAACAACCACTAGCCGAGCAGTACAATTTCAATTACAAATCAGGTCTCACCGCGCACCGCCCCCGATTCGTTAGAATACAATTTCCCGGCTCCTCCCTCTTTAATTTCTGCCTCTACCCATAATTGCAACTCGTTATTTGTGTAGCTTACTTTAGCACTCAACTTCTTATCGCTTCCCTCCACAAGAAGAACCACCGCCCCGCTTGGACCATATTATTTTGTATTTTTTCGTAATGGCCGCCCTTGGCGTCTTTGCTTCGTGCCGCGACACCGCGGGAGATGCGGACGACGAGGCTTGGATGGCCTGGCTGCAGCCCGTAAGGGACGCGTTTCTGTTCTTCGAGAAACAGAAAACGTCAAACGTGTCGACAGCAGGGAGCAATAGAAGTGCTACTGCTGGTGGTGCAGTATCACCATCTCCCAGCACGACAGCGTCCAACGCGAGCTCCTCTTCCTCCTCCACCGCTCCACCTGTAGCCAGACCGTCCGCAAAGTGGGAGATCGCATATCGCAGAAAACGCGACGGCGGAGACTTGCGGAACATCGGAACTGTTGCGGTGAACGCAGCTGCTGCGCACCAGAATGGAAGAAACTACGGCGCAGGAGCTGGTGGTGCACCAGCTCCTACAAGTACTACTAGATCGCAACCCTTAATGGTCGCCATGAGATATGCGATGGATCCCTATCTCCTGTCCATGAATGGTGACGGCGAAGACGCCGGTGACGCAAATAACCAGCCGTCCGGGATCTGTGGCTTCGTGACGGATTTTGTCTGGCCGGCGGATATTTTGCCAGAGGAGGTGGAAACAGCCCCGGGTGAGGACACTCCTGCAGATAGGAATGATGTCGCGCCGCCGGACCAACCACCACAACAGCAAGTGAGCCAGCACCAGGAGCAAGCGACGCAGAGTTTCGGCGGCATCGAAAATTGCTACTGCTTTGGCCCGGTGAACCGGAAAATCAAGGTTTGGCAGGGAGAAGACCCCTTCGCAAACAGCTACTACGACGAGGACGATCCGCTGTCGCAACCGCCGAAAGCCGTGCGGTTTGCGGTGAAGCAAGGCTTAGTGGTCGGCGGGTCGAACACCGGCTCGATGCTGGTGTTGTCCCCGGATCTGACGTTAGCCGCGTCAGGCCCTTCATCGGTCTTCCCAACAAGGAAACGGAAGGAAGCGCTTGACGGAACCCAGAACAACGTTGGCTTCAACGTCTTGGATGTTGCGGTGCTCAAATTAGTGGTAAAAGAAGAGTACAGCTATGGTGGAAACGGACCGAATTCGAACACCTCTGGCTTCGACCAATTTGGGAGGTACTCAACGGAGGAAGACCCGGGGCCCACGGCGGAGCAGGAGAACCAGAACGCTTTCATGTTGAATTTTATCTCCTCTGCGACAAGGAATCAGGCTGTAAACAGAAACTATTTTGGATAAAAGGAGCTACTTGTTGCTTTGATTGATGACACCGAACTGTTTTTCTGGTAGACGTGGATCATGAAGTGTTGAGGCAATCATTGTCATACCGGACGTCTCCGTAGTACGAGAAATACACGGACGGACCCGACTTTTCGTACGAGGTTTTGCGCTCCTTTTCAAAACAGAGAGAGGGACGACGAGGCGCATTTTCGCGCAGTTCACAGCGAGACAGGCGTTTTCTCTTTTTTCAAACCGAGTGCTCTCGGTGGCGTTTGCTTTTTTTTTGTTTCTTGAAGCACAGAGAGCGTCGAGTGCAAGAATTTCTACGTGGCACCAGCGAGACCGAGACGAGATGGAAAACACGAACGCAAGAGCTACAGGGTTTGTTCTCACATCTGCCTGAAAAGTGTGCCTCAGTTTCCTGAGGTGACGCCACAATTTCGCTCCAGGTTGTTCACGTACGTGTTTTGGGCTACTTCTAGTAGTGTAATTCTAGTAGTGTGACTTTTCCCCCGCCGCGGAAAAGTATCCACACCCACGACTCCAGTTCGTTGTACATGTACATGTACTGATTTAGACTTACTAACAACTTAATCCATAACTACTATCGTTCGATCTCCACCACCAATCTATGACATCTCCAGTTTCGCACACCCTATTTGTTCCCGCCTTCTCGTCATGGATCCTCCCGTACCCCGTCGGCCGACCACCGCGACGAGGGCCACTCGTATTCCCATCCACAACACGAATGGTGAGGACAGACAGAAAGAGAGTGTCGCGGGCTTCTTGCCTGCGACTGGCACAACTTTCCCGGCGACAAGTACGAATGCACCCTCTGCTATATTTTCCTCCTCCTCTACGTCTACCTCGACCGGTGCTATTTCATCCAGCAGCGCAATCTCGTCTTCCATCCAAACGACGGCCACCTACGGAACTTTGCGCCACCGCTTCCATCAACCGGGGAGGCAGAGGGGAAGCAATTTTGAACCAGGAGGCCGAAATGCAGGAGCGGGTAATATCGCCACCACCGCGGCGCACCACATATTCAAAAGTCTCGGGAGCAACGACGAGGAGGTGCTGGGAGCCTGTTATGGCGAGGGAGAGTATTCGTGTTTGTTTTTCTGCTTCTCTTGGAATGTTAGAAGTGTGTTGCTTAATATTTCATGCTGCAACTACAAGAGCGTCAGCGTTTTCGTTTACTAGTCGACCACCACCCTCGTCTGTTGCAGGAAAACAAGTTTCTTTAACGCTATCACAGGTGGCGGCACGCGACCGACCTGTACTACTACATTTCGCAGACCGTGATCTGGACCTTTGTGATCGACTTCTACGTCTTCATGGTCCTAGTGCGCTACTACCTCTACTCCTTCGTCTCTTCGATCTCTCTACCAAAACTCTCTTCTCTCTTTGGTTTTTGGCCGTTTGTGTCTACTTCGACGACGGTAGTTTCATCATCGACCACAATGTCCTCTTCCACCACAACAACCCCTTCCCCAAACCCTTCCTGCGACGGCGACGACTACCTGGCAACGTGGTTGAAAATAGGGCTCATCGGGTCCCTCCCCACCACCATATCCTGTGCAAAAGTATCGTACTCGTATAAATGCATTACAAATTTCCTCAGCATGAGAAAAATTTGTAATGCAGATTTCCCTTGGAAACAAGATTTGTAATGCAAGAGTTGCATTTGTACGAGTACGATACTTTTGCACAGGATACACCATCCTGGTCGACAACATCGTGCGGAAAACCACTTTCCGCACTGCTTTCGTCTGGGAATGTTTTTTCACCATGTGCGGAATCGTCTGGTACTGCACCGGGATGGCGCTTGTTTTTTCCTACGCGCCGCTATCAAATGCAAAAATGTCTGGGTCTGGAAGATTCCGAGACTCATTTGTCATGCAGTTTTTCCAAGGTCCCTGAGCTCTGGAATGCGGGGCCTAGCATCACAGGTTCTGCAGCCCCTTCGTGATGCCTATACTGCATGAGAAATGCCCTCTCAGCATGGCCAGAAGTGAGTACCTTTTGCCAGTCATGCAACACACATGTTTTTTGTGCCGTACGATCCGCAACTCGCATCACAAATTGGAATCCTTCCAGACCCAGACACTTTTGCAATGCATAGCCGCCGGACGACGACGAAAGTTACGCTGCGTCGTTCAGATTCGGAGCAAATGGAGCCGGGCACCTGGTAGATAGTGGATCCACTTCAGCAGGACAAATGGCACAAGATCTTTCACCTGACCTCCCACAGGACCTTTGCCAAAGCATGCTCTGGACCACTGCGATGGGCGTCACGGCGCTGCACGCGACGTCCTTCACACTCTTCACCACTTTTAGCCTCGCAACAACGTTACTACCGTCGCTGTTGAAGCTGTTGCTGCGGGTGCTGTTTCTCGGGCCAGGAGAGAAGAAGAGTAAGAAGGGCAAAGAGGAGCAGGAACTGGCTGACGAAGTGGATGTAGATGAGTTGGTCGACCAAGATGAAGAACTAGTACATCAGCGCACTTTACAGCATGACACCGCAGGGGGCGGAGGCGAGAACGGTGAAGGCGCCGCAGAGAGACACTTCCAAGAGAAACATAGACGAAATTATAGTAGACCCGGAGCGGCGAGGGGGCCGAGTGCAGCTCTTGTTGACAGAAAAACCCTTCTGAGGAGACCACCGCCGGGGAAAACTACACATGAAGTTGGAATTACTGGATCTCGATCTCGAATCGGGGGAACAATAGCGACGCCGACGCCGGATCAGCACGCTCATCACCCAAAAATCGGCTCACGTCCACCGACCGGACCCATAAAGCAGCCACAGCTAAGGCCGAGAACCGCGGATGATGGGCTGTTTGGCGATCAGACTGTGCTGTTTGGCGATCAGACAGGAGCAACATCTTCCGGAAAGATCATGTCACCAGGGGAGCAAGGCAGCACGATGACTGATGAAACAATGGCGTCTACTACGCAGCAGTCCACTAGGGTAGGGTCGTCCGTCGGGACGACCACCGGTTCTGGACGTACACCTTCTGATCCGCCGTCTTCAGGCCACCAAAGAGTATCTCTCAATGGGCAGCAACCATTTGGATTTGTTACCGTGTCGAGTAGTTCCTCCAGAATAACGCCGGATTTGCCACGGAGGCTGTTTGTTACCGCACAGGAGGATCGGGTTTGAAGTAGCAGTAGTACGACATAGAAATGAGGATGAGACTCAGACGGCCACTCGGCCCAAGAGGACGTGGACGCCGGCGCTGCAGTTGCATAATTCATCAACACGACCTTTTTTTCTTTCTCCGTCCTCTCGCACTTTCTCTCACTCCGGAAGTTAGAAAAATGTCTACATGGTCGACGACCATGTCAATGTGCATAGAAATAGAACCTCTTTTTTTGTTTCAGCATTTCATTTTAACTTTTCACGTTTCAAACGAACCATTTTCGTGCTCTGGTGACAAAACAAACACTTATACAAAAATGAACAATCTTGCTGGTCATCAACAGAGGATGCTTTGCGTTTCTGCGTTCCCACTCTGAAACAACGTTAATCTTCGACATAGGCGGTGTACAAGCTTCTGCATGCGTGAGAGCTGCCACACAGGGACTCCCAAAGAAGCAGGACGATACTTTTTACGTTCCGGGTCTTCCCTCGGTGCTGTCAACAAATTGATTGATGCTTTTCTAAAAAGTAAGTCAGGGGGGCCACCGGCAAAACGAAAAGGGGTGACGAGGAGGAGGGCGACAAGAGAGCAAAACCGCGCGGACAAAGCTGAAATGAGTGCGAGTGGACGAGAGACCACCGGCTGAAGCAAACTCATTCTTTAATGTTGAATGCACGGGCTCAACAACGCAAACTGCGTTCAGGGTGGGAGCGAGCGTGAAGACGTAGATGTCGTCTACTAGCGCATGAGTGCCGACAAAGTTCCAGATCTGGTCTAGTAGTAGTACTCAAGAAGCGACGTGTAGCGAAGATTTTTTTTTCGTCGCTCTCTCAGCGAGGACGACGAGGCGAGCCAGGATATTTGAGGTTGAAAGCAGGTAAAAAGCTGAAGCTGTGCCTGCTGCGCTCGAAAGACCACATCAACGAGAATGACTTAATTTCATAGGTCGATGCCTGTAAGTCCAAATTGTAGCATATGCATTAATTCTACCGGCGCCTTGTTCTGCATGATAATGATTGAGCCGAGAACAAGAGACAGAGGGGACTCAACGCCATGATTTGTCCGCAGATTCACTTCTTGGAAGGCAAGAAGTTCCATACATGATTCGTTTGCGTATTTTGAAAAATGATTCATGAATTCGCTGTAGCTGTATGCCTCCACCTCGCAACCGATTCGTGATGAGTTTGTTATTTTTCCTTCAAGATTGCAACTCCAAAATGCCAATGCCAAACGACGTATCCGATAATTTTAATTCGTATGGTCTAATTTCTTAACTGACACGTACGAAGACCACCACTTCTATTTCGCGTTGCGATCAAAGGATCGCGTGGCTGCGAGATGCTGCTTTTAAGTGGTAGCAGTTAGGGTCTCTTCACTACTTCTTTTAGCTTATCCTAGTACTTCTTCCAATTCTAGTACCACGACTTCCGTTGTATGTTGGTCTTTTTACTCCTTTCAACAAATACCGCAAAGCCAAGTAAAGCTTTTTTTAATAAAGATTTGGCTAATTATTTCCGCACCTGGACCTACCTCGCTCGCGACGTATAGCATCACAATAATGTTTGGCCAACTACTTCTGCTATCGCTAACGTAACCCGCTGGTACAGCTGGAGCTCGCACCTACTTTTAATACGATCCATTTACTTAACCCTGGCAGCAGCCGCGACATCATGCTACTCAATTTGCTAGTATCTGAGTTCGTCGCTCGCTGGTCGTCGTGTGTGTGCAGGTCCTAGCACCCTGCTGCTCTTCCCTTTACTCCTTGAGGAGGGACTACGACTAAAGCCGCCTGAAATTCCTGATCCCAGCTCGTCAATCCGAACGTACTAGTAGCTACAGCCGCCACGATGACCGCAGTCGCTCCAGAAAAGCCCGGCTCCGGAAGCGGTATGAACAAATGCGATGAAAAACAAACGCTTTTTTTGTCATGTTACGGAAGAGGTGCATAGATGCCACCACACTCTTGCAGCTGCCATGTGAATAATTTGTCACCTAGCTACTCCACCTACTTCATCACTTTCAATTTCAAAGTTGAACGTAAACTCCCACTCCCGCAGGCTCTTTCCACCACCCCTCCTCTGGTGCCTCTACCGCCGTATCCACAGTGAAGAATTCCCATGCACGCACAAATTGCGCTCTTGCATGGAAAAGGTTGTCTGCAGCTGCTACCCGTACTGCTACACTACAAATCAGCATTCTATTACAGGTAGAGGAAATTCAGACTATGTCTAGGTCTATGAGCACTTATTAGCTTGAAGAGAGAAAAAATTGTCATGCATTCAGTGCGTGCTGCACAGGAAATTTGACTCGCATACGCCAACCGCGCCGACTATGCGCCAGTATCGCAGATCTGCAGCTTCGGCCGGCAAGAGTTCGAGGATGCGCAGTTTTATGCGCTGTAAAAGTATCGCACTCGTACTAATTGCAGTAGAGGCAAATCAGCATCTACAAGTTCTATTCTATTTCTCATTCTCATCCTGCGTGATCTGATCGATCCTGCTGATGCACTTGATTGTACTGGTGCGATAACGATATTTTTGCAATGCATAAGTTTGCGGCGCAGACGAAAGAAAAGCTGAAAATCCTGAACAAGGTGATGGAAAGAGAAGGCGATTACGACATCATTTTTCTCATCCTGATCATGGTGAACTTGCTCATTATCGGTATCGAAACCGACGTGCAGCACGACCGGAAACAGTCAATCGGTAACGAAAACTTCCAGGACGCGATAACAGATAACCCATTTTTCTGGATCGAATGTTTTTTCCTGTTCGCGTTCACCGTGGAGCTAATTCTCCGATACCGAAATTGGAAAAGGAAAAGCAATTTAGCGGCGGAAGAAGAGGAGGAACCGTTCGAGGCAGAACAAGTAGAAATGGAGCAGGACAAGGTCGTTAACATAGCAGCGCTGGAAGATTGGGATCAGAAAATCAATCCTCAAGTGGGTCAAGAACATCTTGCAGACGGCGCGTCTTCAATGCCGAATACAACAACGCAACAGAAAAGTGAAAATCAGAATGAACACCAGAAACCTCCTCCGAGCCCCGGGGTCGTACTCGTAGGAGACAACGCCAATCCCGCAGTCAGGTTGAATATGGAGGCAGGCACGACACCAGGAGCTCTTGTTGTTTCACCACCAGCGGCAGTAGAAATAATGCACCAGACGCCGAAAACTCCAAACCTGCTGGCTGGAAATCACACGTCGACAACATCTATTCACCACCATCAATCTGCCTCAAAGCAGGCCCCTTTATTCAACAAACTTTCGAACTATCAACTGCAAAAGTGTCTGGGTCTGGAAGAATGCCACGCGGGTCTTCCATGACCCTTGAGGTCTGGTATGTAGGACATAGCATGACAGATTCTGTGAGAGTTCTATCATGCCTATCCTGCATGAGAAACTGCCTCTCGATTAGGGCAAAAGTGGACAGCTTATGGTAATCATCATGCAACACAGATTTTTACATGATTCAGATTTAGCATGACAAGTTGCTTTGATCCAGACCCAGACATTTTTGCATTTGATACGAACAAGGAGAGTCACATTTCCAAGATAACGAGTTCCTCGATCTCCGGCTTACCCCCCTCGTCCTTCCTATCCTGAGTAAAAACGTACCCACACCAGAGTTGTAATGCAAATCTGCATGCTGAAAATGTTTCTCATGCGGAGCCCCATGTGAAGCATTTTCTAGTCGTGTTTTGCAATTTGTCATGCTCCAATCAGCATGGTATGCTAGATCTGTGATGCTGCTGAGCTAGCTCAAACAGCACTACACTACGAATCCAAATTTGTCATGCAAAACAGCCAAAGCCTGTGGATTTGTCTAGCCGATTAGCCATCTTGACTATGGTGTGGGTACGTTTTTACTCAGGATACTTCCAACCGAGTAACCACTCCGCAATGAAAACTACAAGCGCATCGAATTATCAGAATGCAGCCAGTAGTACCAAACTTGGCTCGAGGTCGTGTTCACGGCCAAACGTGTTTGTGACGGAAAACGACTTGACACTGGGGGCGAATTTTGGAAACGTGTTGAAACTGTCCAACAAATCGTTTTTACCCGGAGGAGGTGCTGGCGGGGGACCGCATTCTGCGTCGAAAACTGCGAAGAAGCAGCTGATGTCCCGAGCCGGCACGGAAAAATTCGAGCTGACCAGCCGAGCAAAAACAAACAGCTTTGACCTGTACGACGACGATTTCACTGGTGGGGAGAGAAGAGACGCGGATGTCTTCAGTAGCAGCGGGGGAGGCAAGACTTGCGCGGGTAAATATGAAATAAGTACAAATTACTGTATTCAGTTCCTTAGTTAATCTTAATCTTGCACCTTTTTGTATCGTATACATTTTTGTACACGATTCATCCTCCATTGTCGGCGAGCAGCAAGAACGTCAATTGCGTGAAAATTCCTCTCGTCGAAAATTCCAAGGTCGTTGCGTCCACCGAACGAAACACTGCGTGCGCATCGCAATAGACAATGCGTGGACGGTGTTTGACACGTTTATCGTTCTGTGCTCCTTCGTGGACCTACTCGTTCTTCTAACTACCTGCTCGTCCTCCACCTCCTGCCGCGATTATCCAGGAAAAAACACCCATCCCAGCATCCAATTGATCACCTGTAGTCATGCAAAACACGCATAAAGTGCTGTACATGTCACGCAAAAAATGGACGATGGGGATGCGTTTTTTTCATCTGTGGATAGCGATGACCTCTCCTCTATTGCGATCTTCCGTCTTCTCCGCATCATGCGCGTGTTCCGAACGGTCAAGCTCCTCCGCTACTGCAAGTCCCTCTGGCTGCTCTGCCACGGGCTGGTGGCGGCGTTTCGCACGATAATGTGGATCGCGGCGCTCTTGTGCTTTCTGATTTACGCCAGTGCGATTTTTTTGACCCGGCTGATTGGGCACGACGAGGATTTCTGCAATGCCGAGCCGAAAATCGAGTGGTACTACGGAACCGTGCTGCAGTCGATGTACTCGCTCTTCATCGTTCTCACGCTGGAGCAGTGGCCGGAGCGCGCGGAGCCGGTCATCCGGGCGGTCGGACCCGGGATGGCATTTTTTTTCATTTTCTACATCATCGTGACCAATTTCACGGTTTTAAACCTGGTCGTGGGTGTCATCTGCGAAAACATCCAGAGTCTGGCCTCGACCAGCGACTTGGATTTGATGAGACAGGTACAAGATTTACTTCATGTCAGATCAACTTGCTGCAAGTGATACTTATCATGATTCCCAAGCATGATTCTCCTTCTCCTGGCAGAACAAGTGTTTATTGTCTTTTTGTAGTTATGCGGAATTTTTTCTGGCTTGAAAATTAATACCAGGAACCAGTTGAGGGCGAATTGTACTGGTTCCTGGTATCTTCAAGCCAGACTGGCTCTCGTCCTGCAGCTATGGCTATGCATCGACTGGTGGCAACATGACAGACTTTTATGAAAATGATGATCTCAGGTCCAGCAAGACCGGCGGTTAATGCAGGAGAAGCTGCTGGAAATTTTCTGCGAACTGGACATCGACAAGAACGGTGAATTATGGATTGCAAATATCCCTGGATGTCTGAAAGGTGGAAACTTGTCATGGTAAATCTGAAGCATGCAAAAATCTATGTTGCATGAGTGCCAAAAGCTGTCCACTTTTAACCAGGTTGGGAGGGAGTAGTATCTCATGCAGGATAGGCATGGTAGAGACCCCACAGAGTCTGTCATGCTAGGTCCCGCATTCCAGACCTCATGGGTCATGGAAAATCTGCATGACAAGTTAACATTCTTCCGGACCCAGACATTTTTGTGCTTGATATGAATTGTCGAAAGAGGAACTTACCCAGTCCCTGAACGATTCCCAAATCCGTGCGATTCTGTCGAAAAACGAAATCCAAGACGAGGAATTGCACTGGCTGTTCGAGGTCTTGGACCGGGACGGCAGTGAGACGCTGACCATCGAGGAGTTTGTCAACGGGGTCATGGCGTTGAAATCCAGTGAGCAGGCGAGAGACCTCGTGTCGATGCAGTACACAAAAATTAGCCTCCTTTTATTTTCAACCTGTTTTTTATCAAGAACCTATATTCGCTTCTTGCAGAGAAGATTGCTGAGCGCCTTTTTTTCTAAGTCGCAACATCAAAAAAGGAAAAAGCAAACAAGCGGCTCATTTTCTTATGCCAGCAACAGCATGATCTGGTAAACGAATACAACAGGTACACTCTGGTAAAAGAGTTCAACACACTCTCCAAATCGCACGAGCAGAAGGTTGAGGCATTAGATAAGGAAGTGCAGGACTTGAAGCAGGAGCTCTGGCGTCACATGGACAAGTCCGTGACTAGAGCGATTAAGGAGGTGCTGTCGGAAAGTAACGTGAAAACGAAGGCGGGAAGAAAAAAGAGATCGACCAGAACATCAAAAACGAAGTCAGCAAACGGTTGCACGAACAAACCTCCGGCAGGTGAAGATGGGAAAAATCCCGCCGGCGCAGTGCAGAAACCGAAAAAGACAAAAAGACCAAACAGTAGTAGCCGACAAAGGACGATTGAAGCGGCCAACGCGCAAGTGGACAAAGGAGAAAATAGACCAGGAATCACGTCCGAAACGGCAGGCGGTGGCGTGGGTGGCCACCAACTAGTACCCGGCGTAGAAGATGTCCCGGCGATAACAGTGACTGGCACGCCAAGACGAGACCCACCACCAGCGGTTGACGTTTCTAGCCGCGGCCGCACCGTGGAAGCGAACAGCTCGTCCTGTGAACGGAACAAAAACGCAAAAAGTCCACGACCACCCAAGCCAAAGGGATAAAGAAGTAGATTTCAGCGCTTCGATCTTCGCAGGAGCCGGTGCTGGTACAGGGACTGACATATGTTCTTGAAGGACAACAGTTCGTGACGCCTCTAGATCGGACGGGTTTTAATTTCGCTTTAGCTATGTTTATGTTTTCCTTTTTAGAATCAAACCACAAGAGACACAAAATCAAGACAGAACCAGATCCAGAAATAGAGATGAAAGTAGACTGTATTTCTAGACTCCAGATGTTAAGTAAATATCTGTTGTAACGACTGGCCTCATGTAGAATCAGTTTCTTGCTCGCCCCGCCCTGAGCAGTAGACAGAATTAGAAAAGTGTGAAGCTGGTCTAGTAACGTATTTACAAGCTCCTCAACACTATTAAATATGATATCGAGTTTCAGACTGCATTCGAAATCACTAGAAGCGTCCTCCCGGTCCACCCGCTTCGGATTTTTATTAGCGCTTCGATTTGTATTTGTTGTAGCCATAATATTTTTTTCACTTTCACCTCTTTATGCTCTTGCAACAGAAATATTTTTTCACGTATCGTTTTCATTTTCACATGTACTTTAGATTTTGTGAAGCTTTTTTTATATACGCATAATCTCGTCACAGTGATATTGCAAGAGAGGCATGACGCTCTGCTTTTCTATTTCTACTGTGGAGGTTCTGTATGGATAATTATCATCCGTAGTACCTGACTCCATGAAAACATGAACTTGTGTTGTGGAGGTAGTGGTGGTCACGTCTATGTTCGTCTTACCACATGTTGCCAAAAATTGACTGTCAACGGTCGCGTGGGCATATTGTTGTAATTACTAGAACAAGAAGGGGTCCTCTGCTCTTCATAGCAGCATGATTTGTTATTGGCATTGTTTTACTTTTGTGTCCTCAGGAAGGTCATGATTGCCAAGCAAGAAGCCGTGCTTATGTCAACGTCTTCGTGCGGCCGCTTTTCCTCTCCGAGGAGTGGTAAGCAGGGACACGATCTGTACTCTCTCTGAGATGAGGGCATAGCCGCGTACTGCTTGTACAGCAATTATGTGCTTTATCTTTTCCAACAATTGTTTTGTGCATATTTATTAGTAAGCTTTCTTTTAGCATTACCATAGCATGTTGATACATAAATTTTCCACTGTTGCAAGTTGTGATTTCTATCATGAAGGGGTATATGATGATGCGAAGACCCAAGGTATTCTCTCCCTCGTGTTTCATTTGAAATAGATACTCAGCTCCTCAACTCCGCTCGCATCTATATTTTGCACGAATTTTTAAGCACTGGATCAGCCTCGTCTTCATCGGTGGCATGATGATATTGAAAAGCGCCATGGCCACCACTTTACACCACCGCACAAACATCTTCACGAGTGTGTAACTAGTTATAGTTTACCACGACGTGGCGCGGAGGTCCTCCTCGCAGTCGTGTGACTGTGTATGAAACGCGAAAGCGAGCGCATTCGGATGAATTTGAATCGCGATAAGAACTACAAGAGCAAAACAGTTCGTTTGAAGAAAAGCGACCTGAACGACGATGCTGTGTCGTCTCTTGTCATGAAACTCAGATGATACGTTGTCACGGATCATGAAAGAGAAAGCCGTTGTGAATAACGAAATTCAAAAGATCAAAGACCAAATGAAGAAAGACGACGCATTTATTGTTGTCCACTGAAGCTCTGGAAGATCCATGTCACTTTCCTTCTGTAATTGAGAAGATCTTGAAACCTCGTCCACAAACAACAAAGATCTCCCAAGCTGCAACACGCTGAAAGTTGCCGATTTTGCAACCTAAAGGTAAAAGAAAGTTGCATTTCAAAGATGATCCACTTTTATTTTTTGACAATTTGATGGAAGTTTTTGTTTTACCTCCTAGTACGTTTTTCGCTCCTTGCTACGATTGACGACAAGCCTCAACGTCTTTGAAACATTCCTTCACCCGCAGGAGTCTACAACAAGTTGTAAGGAAGTATACCTCGAGCTCGAACCTCGTCCATTTGTCTCCTGCTAGACAGTCTAATTCGCACCTGCATTTAATATCTCTTCTTTGTTAAACGCGCACCACTGCTCTCATCTGTTCACTCGCGATTCGTCCACAATGTCGAATGTTCAAGAAGAGACCAAACAGGTTGAGCAGACCGCTCCAAAGATCGTGGAATCAAAGAATGACATCGCCGCGGTAGAGCAGAAGGACCAAGACACCACACCGACCGCGGCCGCTGCGCAGTCCCCCGCTACAACCTCCGCAAATTCCTCTCCGGTCGAAGTTAAGGAGGCGGAACAGACTAACAAGCGACCGGCGGAACAAGCTGCCGAGGCTGTGAACAAGCCAGAAGCAGAGGTCGAGAACAAGGACAACTCTTGCTGCGCGACGGGCGCGTGCGAAGAAACAACTAAGGCCGACGAGGAGAAACCCTCTGAAGCGAAGATGGCAGAACCGGCGGCAAAACTGCGTAAAACCGACGATGGAAAGGCCGTCGATGACAATCGCATGCAGGAGATCAAAAAACAGGTATTGAAGGATTTTTCTCGACGTTTGGGCGTTTATTTCATCATGATGTCCCGCCGATGATGAAATTGTATTGCAGACACACCTACCCTGGTAGAACCTTTTCGTGGAGTGACTGGAGGGAGTTTCCCCCCGTCCGTTTGTGTATATGGGCTGGCAGATCCCTAGAAGCTAATGCCTGGAGTTGTTGGTCTTCCGCCCCTCTGAGTGGGGTCGGGGAAGGAGCCAACGCGGACGTAGTCCGCAGAATTCGCTGGATAGTTTGCTTTGTGATGGATTCACATCGTTTTTGTGTTCTAATGGATGGTAGCTCATGTGCTCTGAGTGCACCACAGTGCCATTCCGCCATTGTGGGCGCCTCCCAGCGGGGAGGGGGGTTTGGGAAGTTCGCGTTCTAATGAATGGTAGCTCATGTGCTCAGAGTGCACCGCAGTGCCATTCCACCAAAGAGGGTGCTCCCCAGCGGGGGAGAGTTAGTTCGGAAAGACCTTTGAGGGCACCGCCAGGGAGAGCTCCCTCCAGCAGGAGGGGTTTGCGGAGATTCATCGTGGGGCGAGGTCCCAGTGGGGAGACGTAAAATGTTGCTGGGCTGTTTCGGATGGATCCTGCTTTACTGTAGGAGGAACAGGAGCGCGGACGTACAGGAGTCCATCACGACAGAAGTTTTCGGCATACTTCGTATGAATGCCTGCTCTTATTTTTAGGGCCTAACGGGGGCGAAGTCGCTCGTGTGGATTTAGGCACCGGTGGCAGGACCTATTTTGCGTTGAAGGAAGGTCTATCGTATCAGGATCCTGGTTCGCCGCGTAGACTCAGGGCGCCACAGGAAGCAGTGGCTAGCCACGGGAGGGGCCCCAGCGAGAGCCAGGGGGGTACGCAGGTGCCAGGCGAGGGCAACAGCTTAGTTGGAGAGCTGCCCCTGTGCACATAGGTATTGTTAGTTTTGCCAGTGCCCGCCGGTCGAGGTGAACTTCCCTACGGGGACGGTCCCAGAGGCACTCTACCGCGGAGTTGCCGACGCCGCTAGGTTTGGATATAAGGGCGGCTCCAACGGAGCAGGGGCCGCGGGGATTGCTCTACAAGGCATTTACCAGCTTCGCTCTTCCAGTGGCTTCGGGGCCTGAGGTTTGAAGTCCTGCTTGGCGGGGATTGTCTGGGGGGCCCCCGACGTTCAGTTAGCCTCCGCGCGGGGGGATTTGAGGGCTTCTGCACCAGGGGAGCTCCGCTCCGTCCTCGGTCTCGCCTTGCTTTGGGAACAGGGGTCGTTTGGCACTGGCGGTATCCAATCCGTTACCCTTGCGAACTTGTTCCCAGGCTGGGGCTGGTGGTTCGGTGTCTCACTCCTTCGCCCGTCCTCTGTTCCCATTGCCGGGCGGGGCCGAGGTTTCTTCTTTTTGGTTCTTTACCCGCACCAGAATTTGTCTGTGGTACGTGCGTTGATGTTGCGGTATGGTCCCGCATGGCTGGGATTGAGCGGGTCTCGCTACTCGTGGAACCCTTGCGGGGATGGTGTTCGTGTTGGGGGGATCACCCACGTCGGGGTGTAGACGTACAAGAGGGCCTCGCGCTTGCCCGGGCCTATTGGCGGAGAGGCCCGCTGGTGGTTCTGGTTTCCTATTGGTCCGTTACAGGAGTACGGCTCTTACCACGTCGACTCCAACTCCATACCTTCGCTTTTGGTCGCTCGCTTCTGAGTTTGGGCGTTTTCATCATGATGTCCCGCCGATGATGAAATTTTTTGGAAGTGTCACGTCGATTGCAAGAATCACATGAAAATTTTTTGAGTGTGATTTGATATCCGTTCGGGTTTATGCAATACAAATTCAACCAAATTTTCGAGGTCGAGTACTACCTGTCCGACAAGAATCTGAAGCACGACTATCCGATTTAAAAACGTCCCCACCCCATAGTTGTAATGCAAATCTGCATGCTGAAAATGTTTCTCATGCGGAGCCCCATGAGAAGCATTTTCCAATCGTGTTTTGAAATTAATCATGCTCCAATCAGCATGGTATGCTAGATCTGTGATGCTGCTGAGCTAGCTCAAACAGCACTATACTACGAATCCGAATTTGTCCAAAACTTGTGGATTTGTCTAGCCGATTCCCCATCTTGACTCTGGTGTGGGGACGTTTTTACTCAGGATAACGACGAGTTTTTCCACAACAAGATTTCCCAGGAGGAAAACGGTTTCCTGGAGATGGACGACATCCTGAAATGCAACAACATCAAAAACAAGCTGATGGTACGCAGTTTTCATCTTGTAAAATTGACAGTGAGTCACCTTTTTTCGACAATGTCAATGCTTCAGATCCCGCAGTATGGGTATGTATGTCAAGTCGTTGTTGCACTTGCAGTGATCACCTTGTCCGTTACGACTACTTACCACGTCTACCATTTACTCATCACTCCAGGTAACCGACGGCGCAGAGATCTGCACTGCTCTGAAGAGCTCCGCAACGGTCGAGTGCGTGTGTGAAAACGAGAAGATGCGAATCCGCCGAAAGGACGGCAAGAAAACCCTGCCGAAGTTGGAGCCGCGCCCGGCCAAGGGCAAGGGAAAGGGGAAGGGAAAGGGCCAGCAGGTGCAGGACACCACAAACATCATTGACACCATGCAGTTCGAAAAAGACATCTTCAGATCTGGCCCGGTTTTGAGGTAAAATCTATAATGAAGTTGGTGATAACATCTTAATCTTTCACACTACGTTGAGCATGAAACAACAACTATTGGACCTTTTATAATTGCTGCACCTGCATACTCAGCATACGCTAAGACTCAGAGTAAGCTTTCCTAAATCCTATCCCCCCAAGAACTACTAGAAGCAGCTCCACCGGACACAATTCAATCCCGAAAAAACAGAATCACCGACCTTCCGGAGGGTATGCAGTGGAACGAGGTGAAGGGCGCTTTTTTGACGTACGTGAAAGAAAACAAGGACAACAAGGACTGTGCCTTCAGTCAGGCGAAGGTCACGGGCCAGCACGGCGGCAAGGTGATGTCCGTTTCTAAGGTGTTGAGGGAGGCGGACAACGGGAAGGCCATCGGGGTCATCAGCAAGGACGACACGACGGCGGGCCCGAGAACCGTCTACGTCATGATCTCCGGGTTCCCGGGGGACATTTCGTATTTCAAAAACAACATGACGGAAATCAAAATCGAATTCAGAAAGAAGGAGGGGGAAGAAGCGAAAGGTACAACTTCGTGAACACTTTTGTCAGAAATGGAAATGTGCTAGTCGTGCATCTAAGAGTCTTCTTTTGGCATTCTTGCTTTTCGATTTCGATATATGCAAATCATCGTCAGGCGCTAGTTATTCACGCACCAGTTTCTGAGCTGCTGCGAACAAAGTTCACAAAAGTCATGTGTTGGGGTGGAAACCCTTAAGCGTTCCATGAACTACATAAAAGAAACCCCCTATTAAAAAATCCAAACCAGACCCGATCATCCGTCCGATCCAAGTGGTGACGGACATCAAGCCGCTGAACAGCCTGTTTGAGAACCCGGAGGTGATGAATAAGGAGCAGAAGGAGCGCCGCAAGCGCGTGGCCCACGAGCGCAGCAAGCAGCAGCGCGAGAAGGGCGAGGGCAAGATTGTCGTGGGAAATGTGATGACCTTCGAGAACCTGCAGAAGCTGAAGGCCCACGTCCGCCAGATTCAGCAGGCCCGGAAGGACGGGGACGTGCTGGATAGCACCAAGAAGGACTTCAAGCTCATCGCCACCCTGCTGGACGCGCACCCGCGCGGCAAGGCCAAGAAGGAAAACATGTCGGGGCTGAAGATCGACATCTCCGAGCAGGGCAACAACCGCTGCTTCTGGGTCATGAAAAAGGACGGCTCCAAGGAAGATTTTTCCATGATCAAAATCTACGACGAGCTGGAACGGAACGTGAAACTCCTGGCCGACGCAAAAGCCCCGGTTATGGAGGCGGAGGAACAAGCACCTGCTGGTTCCAGCTCTGCAGCTTCGGCTCCTGCGGAGGTCGTCGCAAAGGAAGGCGAACACAAGGAGGCCGCAGCAGCTGTTGTCAAAATTACGGAGGAAGGTGAAGCTGCTGCTGCTGCACCGACTCCCGCTGCTCCGGCCGCAGAAGAGGCGAAGAAGCCCGAGGAGGAAAAGGCTGCTGTTGTTGATGCTCCGAAGAAAGAAAAGGCTGACGAAAAAGATGCGGAAATGAAGCCGGCGGGAGCTGCTTAAAAAGTCTTTTTCCGCTGTACATGACGAACAAGTGAAATACTTCCTAGACGACTGAAGGAAATCCCTCGACTTGCACACAGTTTCCAAGAACCTGTTGCTTCTGAAACTACTTGATGCGCGCTTCTTTCAGACTTTCTCTTTGCACTCTGCCTTTCGCGACTTCTTTATCGCAACAAGAACAAAGAACAAATGATAACTCAACATCCCATATAACGAACGCATTTTTTCACGTTATTTGAAAACGTATGTATCTCAAACTCAATCTACCTATTGTAATGATCGCAACCTCTAGAGCTGATGGTGACCACGCATCTAGAATGTAGCGAAACTGAGCCAGCGATGACATTTTGTCGCTGCGGCTTCTGGGAAGCGGTAGACGAAGATTGTACAACTGCGTGTTACAACACCACTACCACCGATGGCACTACTACATGTACATCTTCGAACAAGATGAGGAGCAAGCAAGTTCTTCACACAGCGAATCTTAGTTTAATGCCTGGAACTGAAAATAGTGCAAGTACAAAATGAATCGCGCGCAATTTTTTCACGTGCCGTGAATGACTTCACTACATAAAGGAAAAAACAATGTTGAGATGATGCCTCGGTGGTTTTTTCCTCGAGGCGCAGACGACGACTCGATGTCATTGGACACAACGCCGTGTCCTTCGTGATCATCTGTTCTGGAGGTAATAGCTTCTGGTATAGCTATTGGGAACGCGAAGGGGTAATCGTAATTGATATACAGAAGAGCACAAATGCTCTTTTTCTGAGCCGTGCCTGTCATCGACGCAAGAAAAAAAAAACGACCAAGATCAACATCCGGGTGCACTTACTTTTTTTTCCTTTGATTGCGAAGGAGCAGGCACGGCCATGCGGATCTATCTGAGTTGTCAGCAGCTTTCTATGCGTTAACGATGATCAAGTATTCCATGAAGATACTCAAACCCCTGTTGCTGCCTAGTTCTACTACCTAGTACTCTTCTCGTATACGAGTTTTAGGATCCTGTAATAGGCTAGCGTTGCAAATAGATACAACCAAAACTACATTAAGTATGTACCTGTTCAGAAGTTCTCTTCTTCATGGCGAGTGTATATCATTCCAAAGGCAAAGCGGTACTTTGTTTCAGGTCGTGTTTTTTGTTTCTTGAAAATTGGTACCTTGGTTTCGCGCTTTTACGGTAGTTATTTGGAAAAATGTATACAGGGTCAATGTGGCCCGTATTATTGATCCAGAAAGAGAAAGAACTCAAACTTCATCTATTGATTGTTTGATCGTTGGAGAGTGGTATCTTCACGAAGAGATGAAATCAGAACTACGAGAAAACAATCTCACGCTGTTGATCTGCTCTGCATTTTTTAGTTATTGTACAGTTTAGAAGATGCATATGTAATTTTTGTAAAATTTTTGTTTACTCAAAGAACTGAAGTTGTCATGGTGTGGGTTGCAGCTGCAGGCGTGACAGCACTAAGAAGTGGACGGAGAAGGAGTTCTTCTTCCGGCACCAGCCCGATGATGATTTCAAAATCTAAATCATCTTCATTCCCGCTGCTCATCTTGCTTCTCGTCTCCCTCCACAGCCTGTTTCCCGCAACCACCTGCTTTGCGAAGCTACTGCGGGCGGGGTGGCCCCCCGTTGCGGGGGGCCACCGAGGCTGGGGGACAGCAGGACCTTCTACAGGAGACCCGAGTAGATCCTACTACGGCGATGCAATGTACCCGCGCCCGGGCGATCCACCTTATCATGGGGTAGCTGGTACAGCAAGAGCTCCTGCACGCGCCCCGCCGCAGCGGCAGATGCGGGACCCTTATGCACGAACATCGCAAGCACCTGCGTCGAGCTTTAATTACGCGCCACTCAACTCACCACAAGGACAAGTCCAGCAGGGTGCGTCCTCCGCCCAGCAACCAACATCCGGTGGCTCTTCTACTTCTTTCCTGAGCTCTTTGTTCGGCACGGGAGGAAGAACATCTTCGTCAAGTGGAGCTCCAGCAGCTTCGATCTCTGTGGCCCAACGCCTGCGGCAATTCGTCCAAGGCCCGCCGATTTTGCAGGACGGGCTGAAGAAACCGCTTCTGGCGGCAGAGGTGCGGAAGCTGCACGAGTCCCGCGCCCAGTATTGCTGCTGCTTCAGCCGGCGCCAGCAGTGCTGCTCTGCGTCGCGGCGGGACCGGTGCCGTACCGACTGCGATTGCAGCTGCGATTGCGGTGGGGGCGGGTACGGGTGGAACTACGGGAACGACTACTGGTCGGGCTACCAAATGGGGGTCCTGAACGGCCTCGACTCCCACAGCGGGCACGTGAGCCCCGAGGGCACCTTCACGCGTGATTTTTGCTGTGGCCCCTGCTACAACTGGGGCTACCAGGACGGGAAGACGTTTGGCGTATGAAAGCCTCAGGTTGGAAGTCCTCAAAGTGGAAATGATAGATAAATTTGCAATGCAATGAAACGACTCCAGTTGAAGCGCCATTTCTGGTGTGCGCATGACAAATTTCCCCGGCACTCAAAGCATGTCAGTCTGTCATGCTAGTCAGGGCAAAGGGGTACCCTTCTCTCGTGCTAATCAGCAGCCTAATTCTGAACCCCTAGAAGCACAATGGTCGGACTCCATTGCGTCCTCTGCCATACAGTCTTTTACTTTTTCTTTGGTGTCGCATTTCATACATCGCAAATTCTTTCCACTTTGAGAGTTTTCATTCTGCGGCTTTCATACGGCGCGCAGCTGGCAGACAGCGTCGACCGGCACCCGGGTGCGTATTACGGCGATGGGCTGCATCATGGTTACTTGGCACCATTCGACGGTGGACCCAGCGGAGCGGGAGCAGGAAGTACACCTATTAACACGCCGTACAGTTCTTGCGGGGATCCGCAGGTAGACCACGTCGTCCGCGCCCATGAAACCATCATGCACGGGGGCGACGGGGGGGCTGGTCTAGGGCACCACCTCCACCACGCCGCGCAGCACATGTCGGGTTCGGGACCCCCGGAAAACCTGCATGGAGACAGCTGCTGTCCGTGCGCCAGCGGCGGCACCCACGATATTTGCATATGCAGTGGACACAAGAAGCAGCGCACTACGTTGTATAAACCGCATCTCATCTTCACAAATTTTGGGGAGAACCTTGTGATTTAAAAACGTTGATTCAGTAGTTGACACAGACAACGATATAAGTAAGTAAGTAATCATGACTGCGATTCATACGAGTGCGACAGCGATCCTTTTGCACTGCATAGTGCACCCTGCCAGGCGACAGCTGTTGCACCAACGACAACGGCAAGATCGACGGGTGTCATTTTTGCTGCACGCACCGCCCGCCGGGCGACAACGACCCGCAGTGCTGCGGCCTGGTCCAGCCGGATCTGCACCACGAACAGTGCCACAAGTGCTGCTGCATCGACGGGCAGAATGAGGTGAACCCCTGTGCTTGCTGTTTGCAGACGCAGGGCGAGGGGGCGGACCAGTTTCAGCAATGCGACATGTGTTGCTGCGTGCGCTTCTGCTGCCACACCGAGAGCAACCACCTCGCCTGCTGCAATCCCGGGGGCTGCTGCGGCGAGTGCGGCAACCTGGACCCCCAGCACGGAGAGATTTGCTGTCACGGGTGCGGGAACTGCGACAACCTCAAGTGTGACAACTGTTGCCCAAGCGGTGGAGGCGGCGGCAGTGGGGAGGAGGCTTGCGCTCTATGTGCTTTTTGCGGAGCTGCACTAGCTTTCGTCGCCATGCTGCTGCTGATGACGATGACGGCAGCTGCGGGCTTCGTCTACTCGGGTCTCATGTTTTTCCCGCTCGCGGCAAAAAAGTTCATCATCCTGGTCTTATACACGAGCACCACGGGCGTTTTGCTCGACCCGGTCCCCATGCGGCAGCCGGTGGCCATGCTGATGCTGCCGGAGCCGCATTCCATGACGTCCGGCCTTGTTCCATCCGGCCTCACCGACGCGGAAATCTACGATACAAACAGCGTGAACGCCTTTAACGAGACGGCCCCCACCCCGTTGGCGGAGGAACTTGCCGAGGCCTATGCCGACGTGAGAGCCATCCCGATCGACCTGCACGCGGTGCAGGTGAACTCCGACGGCCACGTGCTGCGCGTCTTTCGGGTGCGAGAAGACACCTACGTCCCCGACGCGCGGCAGTCGTGGCGCCGCGCCGGTGCGTACGAGGCCCCGGTGGTCCTGCTTCCCGGCGTGAACTTGTGGAGCTGGCGCCGCATATGGCGTTCTCAACTGTTACATTCTCAACTGTTACATGAATTTGTAATGCAAGAATGGCAAAAATGATAGGGGAGATCGTGCGCGCCTTGCATGACAGATTTTGCGCCGATCATCACTGAGAATTTGTCATGCGAAGCAGCTTGATAGTGTCGATTCTGAAGGCTATTTTGCTGCCGCACCCCCCCGGGCTTTAGTCGCGCAGTCTGTTAAGCATGACAAATCATGTAACAGTTGAGAATGTAACAGTTGAGAACGCCATACCGCATCAAGTGGTTTTCGGACGCCGTCGCGTCCACCCTGTGGCCCTACCAGGCGGGGTATCGGTTTCTGGCGAAGGGCACCCTGATTGCCCTCAAACCCGTGCCCCGGGGACACGGACCGGAGTGCAACCTGGACGAGACGCCCGCGGCCGTCGTCATGGGGCAGCACGAAAAGTGGCACGACCCCTTTCTGAAGGTGGTTCCCTTCCCGGGCTTGGGCGACAGCGACGCCGCGACAAACAAGCAGCACGACTGGTGGCCTATTAACATCTCCAAATTTCCGCGCGACGCCTATACACATCCGGTAGCAAGGTTGATGATGATGATGAATCTAGTAGGGTGTTGCATATGCACTGCCACCTGTGTAGTCGTGCTTCGGCTTTACATCTTCAAACGAACACTCTCTCCGCAACTTCCATCACCTGCCTCCTGGCACCGTGCCTCTCTCCGAGGAAGGAGATTATAAAATGAAGACGTTGTCCAAATTATAGAGAGAGCAAGTAGACCACGTAAGTAATGTTCATGGAACAACCATCTCCACATCTAGTATCCCACTGCCACATATTCAACAGGATCTCCAGCCCTACGACGGACCGATGCCACCCAAAATTGCACCAAGCACGCCCCGGGGGCGAGGAGTGGATCGGTGGGGCCTTGGTGCTGCGACTCGAGGCACCAAGCCAAGTCCCGCTGCCGGGACGGAGGGCGCGAGAGGCGAATGGGACCGCGGTGCCGCGACTCACGGCACCAAGCACGCCCCGCTGCTTGAGGCGGGTGGGACCTTGGTGCCGCGACTCTCACACTCGAGGCCGGGGCATTGGGTGGAGAGCGACTGGGGGCGCCCACCTGCGACCAACGGATCCAGCGCCCCGGGCCGGGGCGTTGGATGGGGGTCGAGGCTGGCCAGCAGGCCTTGGAGGATCCAGAGGCCCTGGCTGAGGCGTTGTTTGGTGGTTGCGGCTGTCCACCTGCCATCGGCGGATCTAGCGCCCTGGGCCGGGGAGTGGGATAGGGGCCGGCCCGAGGTTGGCCAGCAGGTCGAAGAGGGCTTATCCAGCGACCCGGGCCGAGGCGTTGGATGGGGATCAAGGTTCCGGGTGGTCCGGTTCCGGGTGGTCCCGTTCCGGGTGGTCTGGTTCTGGGTGGTCCGGGACCTATCCACAAGAGCGCCCGGGCTCCGCCCGGGCCAGCCTTGTACTTATATGAATGAAGATCAAGATCTTGTCCAAATTATAGGGAGAGAAAAAAGTAGACCATATTCATGGAACCATCTCCACAACTGGTATCCCCCCACTATAACATTGTCAGGATCTCCAGCCCTACGACGGACCGATGCCACCCAAAATTCGGACCTCCGCAAGACACCTCAACCGGCCTGAGTCTAGCGCTATGGCCGGCATTGGTGGCCTTCGCGGTTGGGCGCCAGAATTAGAGCGCATTACGCTGGGCTGTGTTTTACCCTGGTTCCGGTTTTTCTCTTACGCTTGGTTTCAGTGTGTTTTGCCCCAGTGCCTCTCTGACATTCTCCGCCCGGCTCTCTTTCTGGCGGCGGCGCTTTCGTTCTGCTTGGAGCCTCACGCGCCGTTTGAGTGCGGCGAGCCCCGATGCGTTGACGGCCAGCCAAAGGTCTTGGATTTGCATCCGAGCAACCACGAGGGCAAGTGCCGGCCTCCCGGGAAATAGCCTTTGGGGGTCGTCCTTGGGGGTTCAAGAATGGGGTATCCGACATTTTGCTCCGATGCATTTTTATCCATCGTGATTCGCTTCAGAAAAAAACGCATCGGAGCAGTTTTTGTCGAGGTTCTTGTTAGATGTATATGGACAACATTGGATCTCGTCCAATCTGCTCTGATGGAGACAGGGATGCGTTTTTCGGATCGAAGCCCTGGGCCTTGAGTGCCTTTGGACCGCTAACAACCTGAAGAGGTCCATCAGGGCAACTCGCGCGAGCCTGGGGGCATTGCTCTCAACTTTGGTGACGAAATCGAGGAAAACATCGCCCAGATCCCTGATCCGGAAAACGCATCCGTGTCTCCGTCCGAGCAAAATGCATCACCAGCAAACTTGCTCCGCTACGGTTTTCTTTTATGGAGGCACGGGTGTGCTTTTCGGATCAGAGATTCGAGCAAGCAAAGTAGCGAACTTGCTCTAGTGCCTTCTTTACTGCTTCGCCCTTTGTAAGACGGCTTGGTCTCTCTCCAAATGCATCAGAGCAGCCTCGTGTCTGATATCAGTGCGCGCGCCAATGTCGTCACGGCGGGTAGGTTTTTCGCTCTGTGTGGCCCTGATGCGGAGAGGCGGGGAATTGCATCGGAGCAAACTTCCAAAAACCTGCTGCAGCAACCCCTTCCGAGGCCTTTTTCGTGCTTATCAGCCCAAGCAGGTCAAATTGTCTTCGAGCTCCTACATTTTGCGCAGATGCTGGCGCGGATGAAAATTTTGCACCTTTAACACATCTCCAACAGGATCTCCAGCCCTACGACGGACCGACGCCACCCAAAATACGGCTATTTTCTGTACTTTGGCACCTCCAAGTTGAAGAAAAAGGCTGCGCTGTATGTTTTGCTGCAAAAAGTACTCAAGACCGGCGCCCCCGCCCTGCTGGCGGGGGTTGGCCGGCGTGGGAGAGAGCACGAAGCGCCCGGAAAAGGGAAAAGAGGCCTTTTCCTGAAACTTGGCGGCCCGAAGTTGCAGAAAAAGGCCTCCAAATGATTGCCGCGAGCAAGTGCGCGCACTTGGTCCGGCTTGGCTTCTTTGGCTCGGGCGATGCTTCCTCGCTGTTGTTGGGCGCGCAGCTGGGCGCGCGGTTGGGTGCAAGCCGGCTTCTTGGCTGCGATAGCTGCGAAGAAACGAAAAGCCGAGCTTTTTCTGCAACTTGGCGGCCCCAACTTGTTGAAAAAGCCTGTCAGACGAAACCTGTTGAAAAAGACCGCTGCGCCTTTTGCTGTTGCCTGGCCAAAGGGGCCCGGTGACCTTCCGCCCTAGGCCCCCCCTCGCATTTTTGCCTGGCCGCTGACTGAGGCCTTTTCTGGCAACTTGCGGCTGGGAACTTTTCCAATTTGCGCGTCTTCTTTTTGTGTTTCTTGATGTGGGCTCTGGAGCCAAACGAAACACTTCGAAAGCGCCACTCCCTATCGAAGCCTGGCGTCCCATGGCCATGGTAGTGGACATTTTGAGCGCGTTTCAGAAGCCACCCAGTTGCTGGGCCGATTTCACTCCGACATCTCCACATCTATTATCCCACTGCCACATCTTCAACAGGATCTCCAGCCCTACGACGGACCGATGCCACCCAAAATTTTAGGCAGAGTAAAGGAAACCATATTCATAGAACCATGTCCACATCTAGTAATATCTAGCACAGGCGGTCGCTCCGCGACCGCCGGGGAGGTATGGAGTAGACAAGGAAACGATGGGCCCGATTTCCTACTAGGAAGGTTGCTGCAGTCGCGGGGAAGGGCGGGGCAGCAGGCGGTAGGCGTCCAAGCGAATTTATCCAAGGGCTCCGGCGCTCACTAGAGCCTCACACCCCACGTCCCCGGAACGACCTCGGAAGCGGGTGGGCGGCGGGCCTTCTGGGCTGTTTGCAATTTGCGAGCACCCCCCGGGTGGGCGAGCTAGTAATATGTGCATTTTGCTGGATACCCCCGGGAAAGTGGCCGCGGCCTAAAAAGCCCTACCTACGCAAAGGGGCGGGGCAGCCATGCCCAACGGGCCACCCTCCCACCGCGAAGGGAGTGGGCGCCCGCGATGCACATGAGAGGCGAGCGGGGCTGGAGAAAAGGGGCGGCCTGCCCTTCTGAAAGGCAGGGATACCCGCGCGCGCCAGGGGGGAGCCGGCCCCCTGAGTCCAAGGAAAGAAACACCAGGCGCAGCGCCACCCCGGGCCCCTGTGGCGCAGCCAGTATTACTCTGGCCCCCTGCCTCTGCGCCTCCGCTGCCAGCGCCACGAGCCGCGCACACAATTGCAACAACGCGCACCGCGCCTCCACTGCCGCAAGGGGCAGCGTACGCCCCTCCTGGACCGCCCTCCCTTTTGCAAAGCGTCCCACACCGCCCCCCGCACCCCACACCGCCCGAGACCACGGCGGCGGCCTGCCCGCTGCGAGTTTCTCCGCAAGGGGCAAGGGATGCCGACAACACGCACAAGCGGCGCGCCGTAGGCTCACAGCGAGCCGCTTTAGCGGGACAAGAAGCGCTCTGGGAGAGCTTGTTTCGGAGCACCTCGGCGTTCGCAGGGTCGTTCCGCGCTTTGGCTTTTGCCCAGTTTTCTCCTAGTACGCGCTCTACTAGTACGCGCTCTACTAGTACGCGCTCTACTAGTAACCCGTCCCCGTTTTACTAGTAGAATTTTTGCTCCCTTGTCCCGATAAACTTACTAGTAACGTTTTTTACTAGTAAGAATTTGCGGGCTTTCGTTACTAGTAAGATTTTTACTAGTAGAAATCTGGCCATGCGTCAATCGATTTTCTTGCCGTATAGTATATAGGGTATTGTATCCCACTACGACATTTTCAGGATCTCCAACCCTACGACGGACCGATGCCACCCAAAATTGCGGCCGGCACGCAATTCGGGGCGATTTCGCCCGAGAAGATCGACCTCATCAAGTGCCGCAACAGTTGGGAGACGGGCCCGACGAGGTGCGCGTTGCCGGCGTGGAAGCTGCCGACAGACAGCAAGCTTTTTAACCAGCAGCACCGGCTGCAGGCTCGCGAGGCAGGAATGAGCTTCCCTTCCGAGCTACGTCCAGGAAAAAAACTTGCTAGATATGTTTTTCTTTTTACTCGTCTACCCCCGCCGTAGACCATACGAGACAACACAGCGTACGGCTACGCTTGTACTCATGCCCGACACCGACCTACGGTCGTCGCCCCTTAATTTCGCGATACTAACTACAAACGCCTTCACATCATGCATGTTTCCCAAGAATAAATATGCCAGTCGAAAGAAGTTAGTAGGTACTATGCACAACTTAGAAGTAAAGAAGTTTAGGTTATTTTCTTGGATACCAGCAGGGGGGAGAAATGACACAGGCGGAATGGGAAAAGATGCCCAAGGAAGTTGCCGATGGGGAAAATAGTCTACCGCTGTCTACCATTTGCGTCAAGATCGCAGGTACTTAAATAGAAGCATGCCCTCTTTTCTTTTGGTCTCTTTATTTTTGATGCGTTTTCTTTTACAACAGGAAGTCCATATTAATTTGTTTCGAGCACTCCCACTCGCACTCCTCTCCATGAGCGCGATTCAGCACAAGGTGAAATTTTTCCAATTCCAACCAATACCATTATTATTGATAGTAGATGGTTCGCAAGAAGGGGAATACTCGTATTGAAAACCAAACAGATGGAGATGGTGTCGGCAGCGGGCCCAGCTACAAAAATATCCTTCAAAAAAATAACACGCCAGAGGACCAAGGCCCTTTGTCTGACGACTACGTGGAGATGCTTGGCATGTATGGTAAAAGATGCATCATCTATGTTTGCCGCGCATGGTCGTGCACCTCGCAAGTACACAACCACCAAGCAACCGACGCCTGTTTAGTATCGTTGAAGATAGTGCTACTAGTACGAGTGAAGATGTTGATAGTACTTCTACCGGTTGTACCTTCGCGGCGTTGCTCGACTTGGTATTCTAGTATCGTCCAAAAGACTAGATCCCCCCCGAACAAGACAAGGAACTCGGTCGTGGGTTCTGTGCTGCGTTAAAAAGAACCTTTTCCTTCGCATGCGCCAAACCCTTAGCCTACAGAACGTGCCCGTTTTGTTGCGTCACCGCAACGAGTGGATTCCCGATGGCTCGCAAGTCGTCGACGCCCGCAACGACTACGGCCCGGAGACTTGGCACCACCTGGTGCGGGACGCATTCTACGCGAAACACCCCGATGTAGCAGCAAATTTCAGAGCGGAGGGAAGAGAAGCACACGACAGCGCGGGAAGTGACGCTGCTACATCATCGTCTGCAGCTGCAATTCCAAGCGGGGACGCGTCCTCGCAGGCTGTCGGCCCGGCCTCCGGGCCGCCCCTCCCCGCAGCCGCAAGCGCGGCTACAGGCTACGATTTTTACAACTCGCAGGGTGGAATGAGCAACACCGTCGCGTATTATGAAGATGGAAAACTACAACCTGCCGGGGACGAAATGACTGCTGCAACAGGCCGGAAGACAAGCACGATCGAGCAACAAGAGAAAGCTGCAATGCAAAAATCTACTCGGCTACCAACAACATCCTCGCCTGCAAGGCAATTGAAAATACAGGAGTTTTTGGCTGGTTCGACGGCTAAAGCAGAAGGGCCCGAGCGTGCTGTAGTTGATCCAGTTTCTATTCATGTCGAGGACGTAGAAGACAACGACAATCACGAACAGCCAGAACAACATGTGGCCGACTACAGTGCAAGGACTCACGACAGCAGCACAAGCTCTTCGCAGCACTTCAAAAACCACGCCCATGCTGCTGAAAAACGAGGAGCTTCTTCCTCCTCATCCCGTCCTCTGCAAGAGGATCAACAGCAGGAGCTGGCGAACAAGAACAACGAGCAACGACAAAAGCGAGTTTCTGGTCGTGTTGCAGAACAAGCTCCGAAGCAACAAGAGATGACGATGACCGGCACGTCGAAGAAAAACCGGTTACTTTCGTCACTATCGGGAGCTGCGGGGACCGCTGGTGCTGTGGGGGAAAGAACCAAGAGCAGAAGGGCTCTGGCGTGGGAGAGAATGAAAAGTAGTAAAGATAACGAGGAGGATCCGATCTCCAGTATGAAAAGCCAAGTGCTGGACTCGCTAGAGCTCATGGACCTGTTTGAGCAAATCGAGGACGGGTCCTACAAAAAATCACCGCTGGAACTAGTGAAAGACTTGAAGCAGTACTTCCCCGATGTCGCGGACAAAATGCTGCGCGACCCCTTTGTCTCCCAGCAAGTGAAAAGCGCAAATGTTTTCGGGTTTACTATGCCAGGTGAATGACCATGGTGCCCACGCCATGTTACCTCTGTTACTTGACTACATGACCTGCTCATCTTGATGTCGAGCATCTTGCATGTGCTGCATAGACGAGAGTTTGTTCTTGAAAGAAACCCGCAAGACTACAAGCGGATTCTCCGCGGTCGCGGTGTGTACAACACATAATTAAATGTGTGATGTGGTATCGAGAGTCGTTGTCGTGGGCGAAAAATTTTGTCTGGCATAGTTTTCGAGGTCTCGTTGGAGGAGGATCCGGCCAAGCGGGATGTATCCACAGAAAAAAGCCCATCCCCATCCAAGAATGTGTCATGCAAAGCATGCGTAAAATCCTTTGCTTGTCATGCAAAAACTGAATAGGGTGTTATTTTTCTGTGGATAGGCGGCAGAAAAGTACTACAACATACCGGAGGACGTCGTAGAAAGAGAGAAAAAGGCTGGGCGCTTCGATATCCAGACGAAATTTGATGATGATGCCGCACGAGCACAAGAAGTGCACATCCATGTTCATCTTGAGACCACGTCTGCATGACAAATTCGCGATCATGCAAATTCAATTTATGTTTCTGTTTCTGTGCGGTAACAGCTACAGCATCAAAGTTGTGTTGCATATTCCACAAAGTGATCGGGGACATGCGGGAAGAGATGCTGGGAAAGATCAAGTATGAAATGCAAATCTGTCTGGGTCAGAAAGAACGTCGCAACGGCATTTTTTTTCATGGTCGGCTAGAAGCAGGTAGGGGACTCATCTCTGTTATGCATGTTACCCAAAAGCACCGTACCGTTGCTCTGTCATGCAAGCACGTAGTTTGCCATGCAGCATAGCCAAAGCCTTTGGCTATGTTTGGCTATGCTGCTTGGCAAAGCAGCTCAAATAAATTTTGTGCTAATGATTAATCTACAGCCACAGTGTCACGGCGAGACGACATACAGACATATAATTTGCACTTGATATCAAGAAAGCGAAAAAGGGCGAAAGACCCTCTACTGGCAGTGGCAGCTCGAGCTCCCGAACAACTTCCGATGCTGCACAAGACGAATCGCGGAAAACCGAACGTAATAACTTCGAAGACGCGTCAAAAAATGTGAAAAGCGGGTGCACCGGTGACCAGAAAGTAGAGCAGGGTCTCCTCTTGCGTAAGCGAGCCGCTGCGGCAACCGTGGCTTCTTCTTCCTCAAACCCAAACGGTTTACTTGAGGCTCAGAAAATAAACCCAATGCTCGATCATATGGCTACGCGGGCAGACGGCGCGACGACGTCATCTGGAGCTGCAACCACATCTGGAACGCCGCGCGTCGAAGGTGGACAGCAGGGGAACCACGAAGGCAGGTCAACTACAGTGACTGCGGCAAGCACTTCTAGCAAAGGGCGCAATATGAAATTTGCGTAACTCCTGTATTTAGTGTCTCGCAACGGTCTTTCTTTGTTCCATCGAAGGACCCCGGTGGATGTTGGACTGGTCCCATTTGTCAGGCGACAACTACTTTGATTGATGAACTCGAGAATACAAAACTAGGTAAAACAGCAGGAATTACGTTTTTGATTCCGTTCACCCTCGTGTCCATGCGCATGCAAAGACCAATTTATCACCCTTACGGTATCGCTCCTCACTCATTTTTCTCGGAAGTTCGCAGGAGCGTGAACTACTAGTAACAGGTAAGGAATGGAAACTACAGCAAGTGCTGATAGAACACATCTAGAATGATCGAAAGCTGGGGCTGATATTCTTGTGCCTGGTTCTGGCGGTAGGATCGCCAAAAACTATATGATCTTCAAAATGTATTCTGAGACTACAGCTCAAATTTTGAATTCTGAGTAGACTACAGCTCTCTCAAAATAATTTCAGAGACTATAGCTTCTGTTAGTGTTACTTTTGTTTTGCGAAATGCAAGTACTAAGGGATGAAAGTTGCATTTTGTTCGCGAGCCGAGGACCAGGTCCAGGACGGTAAGTGCTTGTAATGATAATGGATCATCCGCAAAACCCAAACTTTTAGTCCTCTATTGCTCGATCTTTTACTTTTTCTGCCGAAATCAAAAATGTAAGTATGTCGAAAAAAGAAAAATGCTCCCACTTCTACCCCTGGGTGACGCCAGTGTTTTCCCTATTCGTTAACGAGCCTGTAGACGTGTTTCGGACATCTTTCTACGTGATAAGCATAGGACTAAGAAGATGGAAGCACTTGCATTATCTTGCTCGCTCCTGGTTGCACTCGCAGGACGAGCGCCTCCGTAGATCTTTTTGATTTTTTGTCCGAGCAGATGTATGCGAAGCTTTTCTTGTCCGATCATCATCATGACAGGACTAAGAATGTGGCGTCGTGCTCGTGGTGCAGCGAAATGTCATCTACAAGGCACCTCAGAATTGGCCTTTGAAACAGGATCTTGCAGACACTCCTCGTGGAGGTTCAGACCAGAATATAGAATTTCTCTGACTGCTGTGCAAATCATGTGCTGACAGCTCGCTATTGCAACACTGTCCTGATTTTCATTTACTTATTCCTGTGTTCCTTCTCCTGCTCGAGGCGAACTCCTGTGACTCATTTCTGCACCTCGACCTCCTACTAGCGTGGCCCAACAGATCGATGGCGAGGTCGTTCTTCTTCCGCCTGGGTCCAGGTATTTGTCATAGGATGGATCACGAACGTCGAATACGACGTTACTTCAACATCGTGCGCTGCGAAAAAAGACGGCGTTGGTTCAGGATCATCTACAAAACTCGAAATCAGAAATCGTCGCAGGGCATAGACAGACCCAGACGGACGCCGTCGTAGCTTAAGTAGCATGTTGAAATACAAGACGCAAGCTGCGAGACGGTGTTGGCTCGTCGCTTTCGTCGCATTTTTTAGTGATGTAGTTTTTCTTCTCACGGATCTCGGTCGATCACGTCAATTAAATGAAGGTCTCACGATTTTGGTGGTCCACCAGCTTCCATATTTGCCTTTCGTTGGTGCGCGAAAATTCGCCCGACGGATAAAACTCGGTCCAGGTAGACCGGATATGTTGGCACGGACGAAAAAAGCGTATGGCAGGAGAAAAGCTGTAACTGAGGTTTTCGAGTCACGACCTTGTTCGATTTGGAGGTTGTCATTTGTCTGTGGCCCGTCCACCTGAAGGCCAAGGGTAAAGTTTTTACATGACCACATCAAGCAACGCACAACTATCTCGGGTGACTTTTTGTTGCGTTGCTGAAGAGTCCTTTGCTGTAACTGCTAGTGCGAGTTCGAGTTTGAATTTTTCCTTTTGCAGACTGAAAAACCGAATACACTGCCTTTTTTCGCCTATACCCCCGTCGGAGACGATTGTCTCTTCCTCGACTCAGCCTCGCGAAAGCTTGCGGCGCTGGAAACCCGAAGACAACGGCGCGCGAATTCGGCCACTCCACTGCTCCGACCGCCGCCGCCAACCACCGTGTTGCCGATCGTGGGGTCGCCGCAGCATAGGAAATGCAAATGGGTCTGGAAGTGGAATGTTGCTTCTGCAAGAGAAACAGTTTGTAATGCTCCCCCCCCATGCTCCTAACGTGACCCTCCTGAGCGCTTCAATGCATGATGCGAAACAGCGTTTCTAATCTTCGTATGTAGTGGCATGCAAGAACAACGCCGCGGCTCCATCTCATGCAGATGGACGGCTCAAAAATATTGTTGTCTCCGTTTGTTGCCTACCACGGTGCGTTCGTCATGGACAATTTTTGTAGCATGACAACATATTTCCGTACTCCGAATTGAGTTTTTGCAAGGCATACAGGAGTTTGGGCAGCAGCTGGCGCACGAACTTGGATTCGGCTCTCCCGTGCGGATTGAACGACCGCCGCCTGTATGCGAAGGAAAAGAAGGAACGGTCCCGGGCCTCACTGCGCTGCTGCTCACACGAGAAGAAACTCAATTTTTCTTGCGAACAATTTGCATCATTGTCAGCCCTAGCCGGAATGAATTCACCGCATGGGGTGCGGCATGGCGCCCCTCCCCCTCTATCTCAGACCTAGATGAGGCAAAAAATTATCATGAAAACATTCCACAGACAATTCATATTCAAGTTGAGGTGTTGCGTGCCGAAGTTCCTTCTATTTTCCACCTCGACAACGTCCAGAGCCGCGACTGTTTCCACAATATTTGGAAACAATTTGCGACATGATTGGCACGGTTTTGTGCATTATCGAGGGCAAACGAAGGGTTTGACGTGATGAGTCAGAAATAGATCGATGCAGATGACAGAATGAAGATGAGCCGCTTTATGTTTTGCTTTTTCATTCTTGCTCGGTAGGGTAGGGAGAACAACACTACGTGGCCAGGCCGCGATCACCACCAGAACAATTCAAGTATGTCAGGCGACAACTCACCGCAAGACGAGCGGCGTGTCAGCACGCATAAATCTTCGAAACTCCAGATCAAAACTTCAAACCCTTCAATTATTGTTTCTCATATCCCTGTTGCCCCGATGTCTGGGCTGCTTTTGCGGTGACATCTGCGCTTGCTTCACCAGCCTCCAATTCCGACGCCGGTTATCAAACATGAAAACGAAAATCGTTCGGAATTTTGTTGAAACCTGGCATGTAATCCTTACCATGGTGGGGACAACAAGCTGAAAGAACTGAACATCATGATACCGTCAGAGATAGAATTGAACATCAACATGAAAAACTCCTTTATTAAATTATCCATCTTCAATTTCGTCCATTGACATTGTGATTGCATAATTTTACGGCTTTATTTTGGAAACTCCAGCGTGTGGCTGTGGTTACACACTGGAGTTTCCAAAATAAAGAAGAATCCGAGCGCCAACGTGGCTTGCATAATTTTACGGCTTTACCTTCTGGTGGGGAGACGATGTGCATTTTCACCGGGACTATCCATGATCATGAAGGTAGCGATAAGAAAACCAAAAAAGAGAAAAACACAAAACGCGCCCGCAACAGCAGCTATTTTGGAAGACAAGAATTCTCAAGAGAAAAACTCCACGGACAAAATCGCAAAAAAGTATGCTTTTTGGAAGTAGATTGATTTCTAGATCCCCGAAAACACTTTTAGATTCGACAAAGGCAGTAGCTTTTTGATATTTTCCGGCTTTCGCAGATCTTTGTAGCTTTCACACGCATTTATTTTCTTCATATTTATATAAGTGCATGTACATCAAGTTCTAGAATTTTTTTGTATGTTTTCGGGGTACCCGGGAACCTCTTCTTCCCACGCTGGGTATAGGCAAATTCGCCCGTAAGGGTCTCGTCTCGGCGGACTGAAAAAAAGGAAGTATGTGTCTGCAAAACGTGAAGAATTTTCCCGAGAAAGGCATATCACCCGAAATAAACAAAGAACAAGAATATCCAACTCACCTCCGAGGAAAAATTTTTGTTTCATGTTGTCCATGATGATATTCTCCCAGAGATAGATTCCCAACATATATTCCAAACAACAATTGGGGTTGCTGATCATATGAATGGATAATTCAAATTGATCATTTCGGTGAAGAATATGATGTTTCTTTCTATCTTTCTTGTCGTGTCTGGCCATGGCATCAAATATTCAAGATCCTAAAATAATCCATCATGATCTTGATCTCTCTTTCTTCTTTCCCCACAATCGATATCGATATCATCTCTTTTCTATCTTAAAAATACAACCTAACTAGAATATCATCATGATTGAGATCATTGATTCAATCATATATTGATATCATATAATCAAGGATTATATTTTCAAAATGAAAATAGATATCATTTTTTCTTGAAGAATGAAGATCGATGATTTATATTATTCGCATCTAGGATTCAAATTTTATTTCGGTTTCTCTTTAAATTTATGAATTTGATGAAATATGAAAATGATTGAAAATATATATCTCTATCTGAGAATCAGGATGGATAAATCTGGATCAGATCTAGAATAAATTTAGAGTATTTATTTTTTTTCTAATATAAATCACAAGGTTGGCCCAGGTGGAGTCCGGGTGCTCTTGTGGATAGGTCCTACACCTACCGGAACCGGATCACCCAGAACCGGACAACCCTGAACCAGCCGCAGCCGCCATCCAATGCCCCGGCCCCTCAGTCAGAGGCCCGCGGGGCGGTTTCTCCCCCTATTGGCCTGCTATCTGGCGCGGGAGTTTTAATTTTGTCGAAATGCGAGGGGGCCCCTCTTCTTATGTAGATCGCACGGTCTCCGTGTGCCACCCCCCTGAAGTTGATTTAGGTCCTGGCCAGGTTGTTTCTGTTGTTCCATTGGGCAGCATCTCTGCCCGGTCAACGTAGAAAAGTTTCGACATGTCTTCGTTGCCCGGCTGCCGGTGTTCATTTTACCGCCCTGCATGTTGGTCGTGTGGCTGACCATTGATCTCAGATTTTTGCGTTTTCCCCTGTTATCTCGCGTTGTGTTAATTTGGTTTCCAGAATGAAGGTCCGTCTTTCGTGTTTTGGAGACCTGTGTTGGTCTGATTAATAAGCTTCAAGCGATATCCTGCCCCACCTGTAGCTCTAGACTTGACGCGATGATGTGTGTGTAGATCTGGTCCAAGGTTTTCCATATCGGGCAGAATGGAGTCCGATGAGGAGGAGGACCTGCTTCTGCCATTTTCTGGCTTTAGTATTCCAGTTTCAATGTTTCGCGATTTGGTCACCTTGCCTCGGATGACGCGGATCAGCCGGGGGCGGTACCTGAAGTGGTACATCCGCGGGCTGGCGAAGCAGTTGGGGGACACACAGGCGGCAGAAGCTGCGACGACTACCTCCGAGGAGAAAGCGGGCCTAGCTTTTGAACAAGCTTGGAGAAAATTAAAACTCGCCTTGCAGTGTTGTGAGGTGAAAACTATACGGAATCGCTTACGGTCCGCGGTCCCGGGAAAGGGTGTTTTGGAACATCTGGAATTCGACGGAACGCCATTGCGGGTAACGGTAAAGGGAGTAGTGGACGCCGGTGACTGCCTCTGCATTCTGCAGGGCTTTGCGTTTTTTGATGATCCGGACAGCGCAGGCGCTGAGCTTCTCCGCAGCGGGGGACGCTTTTACGCAAAGCCGATGGCTCGCATGTGGCGGACCCTGGACATCAAGCACGTGGTCCATGGGCACGCAGATGTGAGATTGTATGCTGAATTGGACCAAACCGAAACCGCCCGGGAGATGATCCTGGAAGCAGATCCGAGATTGGAGGACGCGATGTTCTACGCATTGCAAAAACATCCCACCAACACTCCCTGCATGAAAATTCCTTTCTGTTTCGAAGAAAAAACGAAATCTGTCATGCGATATCGGGGAAGACATAAAATTTCTCATGTCGCGGCGCAGTTTGTCTAGGTGCGATGTTTTTGAATTTCATATGTGTTTCTCCCTCGCGCGATATTGTGGCGATGGTGCTACGGCCGGAACATTGCGGCACTATTGTGGGTATGCAAGGCAAAAAAAAAGCTCGCGTAAGAATCGCAGTACAACTTTATCAACATGCATAACGAAGCTCGTCTTACCATGTAATGCCCCGAAGCCCCTTTGTGTCATGCAGTTTTGCGATTTTTACACATGCAGTTTTTTTGCACTGCATATCCACCAAAGACACTCGGAGCAGAATATAAAGGTTGGCACGGCCTTGGGTGCGGAGATGAGTTTGTGGGTGGTCGACGAGTGTTGTGGGCATGGCCTTCATGGTGGAATCGGGGACGGCATAGAAGTTTTTATTGCCAGCAACGACCTGGAGGAGGACTTCAAGAAAGTGCGCAGAAGTTTTCGCCGCTCGGCACGGGCACTGCGCGATGGGGTGGCGGCCTGGATGGACCGGGTTTATTTGGAGGCCCCGATGGAGGATCACGAACGCGAACGCTACCAGCAGGCCGTGCGTGCGTTACTGCCTGCAGAGGATGGTCCGGACTCGGTTGAACTTGCTTCCGAGTTAATTCGACTGCAACTACGATTCGAAGGCAGTTTCCTGCTTGGCGCCGTCGGGGCCGCAGAGACCGACGCAGTGGCGGACTTGGTGTTGCGTCTGAATTTCCGGGAGATCCACTATGTCACTGGGTCAGGGGTGTTGGGGGCCAAACACGCTGAGCTATTTGCGGCCTTGGTATTCTATTTGCCCTCACGAGAAGCTAGGTTTGTCATGCGGAACTGGGAAATTTTTATTGATGGGACAGCGCGCGAAGCATGGCAAGATCGCTCTTGCCATCCTTCTTTCATGCACATAGCTCGCAAAAGGGCCCCCCGCACCCTGCTTGACTCTTCCATACCCCGTTCGGGCGGTTCGGGAACGTCGTCTCGGGAATGCGGCGGGCCGCACTTGCAGTTCTTGTCGGGGTGTTGAACCTGGGGAGCTTCGTGATTGATAATTGTACTCGGGTCGGCTTTTTGAAGCAGGCGGCGCAGGTGCAGATGGCAGAGGCGGACTTCGTTCGTGCTACTTGGGGGATCGGCTTGGGGCTTGGAGTTTTTGAAAAGGCGGAGAAAAAGCTTCTGAAACAGGACAACATCACCCGCCTGCACCAAATCCGCGAGGAACTTCTGGTAGACATTGACGGCGCGCGCTTCTCGAACTGGCTGCAGCTCTTGCCGGTCGCAAATCTTCCCCCCGAACAACAGGAGACCTTGATGCGGGACATCGGGCACGCAATACATAGAAGCCAGCGCAGCGAGTTTCGAGCTGTACCCTTTTCGCCGCCTCTTCGTCGCCCCGTGCAGTCTCCTGCAGCCCGGGAAGGATTTCCAGCTCCGAGAATTCCTGCAGAGGGTTGCTGCACACCCCGAAGCGGAGTCGGATTCCGGTTTCACGATGAAGATCAAATATCTGCAGCAGAACGCGCCAGCCGTCCTGTCCCGGTGCCTCGATTCCCTCCGCGATGTTTGTGAGCTGCTCATGACCGCCCCGCAGTCAATCTATTTCTGCGAACGGACACGCAAACTCTCTAGCAAGTTGCACAAAGGCCGGCGTGGGTTTCCGGTGGTGAATGAGTCCGCATGGAACGAGCGACACACGCAGGCCAACAACCTCGTAGGATTGAAAAAAGAACAACTTCCGAAGGGTCCGCTAACGGTCGGGGAGGCGGTAAAGGAAAGCGGAGCGAGCCAAGTGCGCACGAACTCGGTCTTTTTTTCCGAAAACGCACTAAAGGGGGCAACTTTAAAAGAGCAGGCCGAGCACATGGGCAAAGTGATGGAAACCTACGCGAGGATCAAGCACGACCCCGAAAAGTGGTCAGGCCTTCTGCGGAAAGTTGAGGACAAGCGGAGGGAGAAGCGGTCGAAGGCTGTTGATAAGATGATCAAGCTCTCCAGCCGGTACGACCAGCTCGAGGAGCTGGAAATGGATCGGGTTAGCCGTTTCATGATCAGCAACAGCTTCAACATCGACGACCACATTACGGATTTCGCTGTTTACAACGCTGTAAAGGACCTGGCGGGGCAGAATGTCGACACCCTCGCACGGAAGGCGTGCGAGCAGCAGCACCTGACCGACGAGTTCGCTGTCGTCGTAACGGAGGGAGCATTACGCACCGGGACATCTTGATGGCCCCTGGAAGATGCGGAGTGCTCTTGCTTCTAGATTAATTTGTCATGGTGCGCGAAAATTCTGCACCCCGCCTAGAAGCCAGAGACCGGCAATCTTCCAGGCCCGGCCGGGTTTTTTTCTTTGATGCCCCGAGTCCGCCGAGTTCGTCCTGCCCTATTTCCACTTGCCGGACCTAGACTATCGGGTTTCAGAACTGGTGCGGCGGCACAAGGCCGGCCAAAAGATTCGGGGTGGGTTGCTCGTGGTGCGGCCACGGACCCCCGGTCAGTTTTTCTTCGACGCAGCGGTGGACATCTACCAAATCTCCCTTGCAGTAAAAACCCCGCTTCTGCTCGGTGGGGTTCGTCTGACGCAGGCAGAAGGCGACGCCGCCTGCCCGGCTTTATTGTGGAAGACTACCGAGCTCGTCGAATTCACGTTGTTTGAAGAGTTTGCCGAAGTTTTCTTCATCTCCCCAGAACAGGCGCGGACCGTAACTGTTGCGTGTCTCGGTCTCGATATGCAAATAACAGCCCACAACATTTCCCACCATCCCTCCGCGACTATGCTTGCCGGTGGGAAGGTTCAGCGGCGGGACCAGAAGGAAAATCGATCAGAGCAGCACATCCAGAAAAAGAAACGAGAGTTAGCTGCGCACGTCAGGCGGCTGCGGGACCTCGAGGTCAACAGGCCGGCGGACCATGTGCGGGATGATGAGCAGTATGAAGAAATGCGACAAGAAGCAGCAGACGAACTGGCCCGCGCGCGCAGAGAGGCAGAGGAGAAGTATGGAGGCGAGACCCTGGACTTCACGACCGACCCGGCTATGAGAGTCATCGCCCGCGGCGGGGCGTGGTGTGTGAAACACCTGAAGACCGCGGTGGCAAATTATAAATTTGATATAATCGACAAAGAGCTCAAGAAAAGGCTCGGCGACTTGGGACTTCCAGTCGCAAAAGACGCCGCGGTTAGAATATGGGGCGAGGAAGCAAAGGCTAGAGAGCACTGCGCTCTCCTCTGGCGGATTTTTAAATGGGCCGTCGCAATATCAAAAGTCATCTACTTGAGGCCTGTCATGTTTCGGATCAAATTTGTGATGCGCAGAGCCCTTCCCGCATGTCAGGGCGGCCCCTAGGCAAGGCTCGCGCTTTTATGTAGTGGAGCAAATCAGCATGACAAACTCGAGCAATCTCTTGTCTCGGAGATCGGAAGAGGCTCATAAAGTGGAGCCTCTTGTAGATTTTTTTGATCAATAGCGTGCTGGTATTGAACGTTTTGACGCAGAGACTTCTGATCCCTACAGCGAGATGTGCCGCGCAGAATATGTGGAAACATACTCACCACAGCTCGATCGTGATCGCAAGCATTTGAAAGATAAAAGTCTCTACTTCGACAAGAACCGGAGCAGATATTTCGAAGCACTGGACGGTCTAGGATCTGAAGGCATCTTTATCAGACCCGTTGAACCTTAAATGAAATAGTCACGCGATGAATTGGCACGAAGCACCGAGATCCCCGGCTCATATTTTGTTTTCCAACTTTTGGCGTTGTTTTCCTCCTCAGCCTGTTTTTCTTTTTGGATTTGTGCAACACGTGATGATGGCGCCATGCATTACAAATTCCCGTTTCTGTGCATGAACCTTTTCTAGTCAGCGACTCTTCCGCATTGCCTCGGCAACGTTCTCTCCTTCCTGTTTGTCTTGCAAACACCAAAAAACATCATGGCCCCCGGACTTCTCTCTAGCACCTCCACCGCGAAGGGCGCGGCCGCACCGGGCAGCAACCCGAGTAGTGCGCTGCTCAACGTCAAAAACAAAAGTAACAAGCGCCCCGCGGGCCAGGGTTCCGACGACGTCCTGCAGCTTAACGACCCAAAGTTTTCGGCGGGCGCGAGCGAAGAGGTATTTTTTCTACTTGTTCGTAGGTGAGTGTGCGTATTTCTCCAGGAGATCCTGGGGGGAATTGCTTCTCTCAACTCTCCCGGGAGAAGCAATTCCGAGGCTCCGAAATTGCGGGATTTTGGCTTGCGGGCAGGCTGATTTCTGCTGCTATTCGCAGAGGGGCTGCGATTTCCCTGTGATTTGCAAAGGAAATTGAATAGAAGCAGATCAAAAGTTCGGCCGCGACCTTTGCAAAAAGGCCGCGAAACCGAATCGAATAGCAGTTGAATAGAGGCCCCCCAAAAGGGGGCCCAATAGCAGGTTGAATAGCAGGGTGAATAGCAGGGTGAATAGCAGGCCCAGGGAAAGGGCCAAACCCGACCGCACTCCCGGCCTGATTGCGTGCGTTTTCGCCTGCAGTTTGGGGGGGGGGCAAAAGCGCAAAAAAAGCCCGCAAAACTTGCGCAAAAATTAGCCGAAAAGCGCGGGGCGTTTTTCCCGGTCTTTTCGGAATCTGTGGAGCCACCCCGTCCGCCGTTTCTCATGCTGTTTTGCAGCATATTGCTTGACTTTTCCCGGATCTCCTGGAATATTAAGGTAAGCAGCATTACAAACCAACACGTAGAATCGCAATCACGACCTGGGGCGGTCGGGGCAGACCTGTTAGCTTTGTCAGATTTGAGTAGTACAGGTGCACTTTTGGGCGATTGACTTGAAATCCAAATACAACTATCGCGTACTCCATCTCAGGTATTGGAAGCGGAGAACGGAGAAGACCAGGCCCACCAGGCGGCCCCGAAGAACATCCGCAAGAGGCAGTTGACCGACCCGCTCAATGACGAGGCTTTGAAAGACGCGATCGCTACGTGGTTCCAGAGCAAAGGTAGAAACTGTGAAGGTTGGAAGTTCACCCCCGACCTGCTCACCCGCAAGTTCATCTACGACAGCGCCAACCATCAAAAGCAAAAGCTGGATATTGTCGAGCACATCATCCTCAAACTGATCCCGAAGAACAAGAAGACTTTTAAAAAATTTGAACTCGGGAAGCAGAAGGAGGAGCAGGTGAAGAAGCTGCTTCTCGCTGAGCAGGACGCGATGGCGCAGGAAAAGGAGGGGTTGTTGCGGGACTCGGTTGCGGAGGTTTTCGGGATTACCAAAAAAGAGAAACAGAAAGAGATGGCTATTGCTCTCTGCAATGGCCACGCTGATGAGCTGCGGCGCCTGTACCAGCCCAAGAATTCCTTGTTCGCGGCACCCGTCCACCAAAACAAGAACATTGTTGCGGCCCCCGCCGCCTCGAACAATTCGTCGCTCTTGGGAGACACGGACGCTCTGATGGAAGACGCATCTTCTACCGGCCCCCAGGCAGCTGCATTGTCTTCTTCTTCTGCGGCGATCAACCAGAATACGGCGGCTCTGGCGGGACCCTCTTCTTCTTCCTCGATCAATAGTTCGGCCGTCGCCGGCGCTGCCGGTGGAGGGGGTGGCTTTGCGGCCTCCCAGTCCCACTCGCAGAACAACAGTAACATGGTGGTGCCCTCGCAGTCCAGCTATCCATTGCAAAAACCTACAACAAAAGATACTGCTACCCGGAGAGATTACTTGCTTGTTCGATTTTTGCATGACAGATTCAAGTTTATAACTGGCAGCGCATCATTGTTTTGCAGAATCTTTTGTTGATATGATCTTTTGCATTGGATAAGATTCAAGCTTCAGAAATTGACCCTGCGACCCTGGCTATGATCAACGCGTCCACCGAATTGTTGGAGGGTGAGGATGATCCAGTGGATATCGACATGGACGGGGGACAAGCTCACATTCCGTCTTCGGAACTGCGGCGGCCATTCACCTCCGATGAGATGGGGTGCTGGAATGTCGGCAAGGGCCTGCTGGGGATTCTCAAATCCTGCGACGACCCGGAGGGTGACAGCGAGACTATCGAGTGCGTTTACGCGATGGACCGCGCGGCAGAAGGTATCGCTTCACCTTTTTCAAATGGTGACTTCGATTCAGGGTCCACCACGTGACCATGTCCACCCGAGCACTTTTTTGCATGACAGATTTGTTGTTCGAAACAAAACAAAATAAAACGCACTCCAGTTGCGGGAATTACGACTGACGTGCACAAGAAGGACCTCAAGACGGCCGGTCGTGGGTTGCTCACCTCGCGGTGGTCTGTGGGAGGGTTGACCCGGAAGCAGTATGCGGAGCGGTATTGTATTCCTTTGCACCTACTAAAACACATGGAGTTTCTTCTTGCAACGACCACAGGCCGAAACTTGTTGGATTCTTGCACGCCGTATCTTTCTTTGCCTGCCCCTCGCGTTGAGAAAATTACTTCAAAACCAACCCACACAGCCACCGCAAGCACCTGGCTGCGCTTGATGCCGATTCTTTGACCGCCCACGAGGTGGTCGTGGCCAACACGGTGGGTGGAAAATTCAAGGTCCCGGAGTCCAAGGCTCTCGAGGTGGTGAAAACCGTACGCGAAAAAATGCAGCATCCCTACTGGCAATTGCGCATGACGAAGAGATGTTTTTTTTGCATGAGAAAGAGATGTTTTTTCGCATGGCGACGAGATTGCTTTCGGAGCCACGAGGCACGCGGCATTTTTGGGATGCATATATATTGAAAAAAAGCCAAGTGCTGGGCTTGTTCAAAACCGAACTCGACTCGTTGAAGGACATGGCCGATTTGGTGCAGGAGAAAACGTCCACTCTAGCGGTACTGTTTCATCGTGTAGTGATGCCGTGTGACATCCCAAGAACTAAATACCCCATCACCCATCTCGTAGCCTGCCTCCTGTGCAGGAGCTTTCGCCCTGCTAATATGACCACAAAAGCCACTTCTTCAGGTAGCACAGCCGATCGTCGATTGCTACAAGAGTAAGAAGCCGCTCGAGGGCAAGGCGTTGCTTACATTTATCGGAGTGAAGTTCTGGGCCTGGTTGGGTCTGCAACGCGAAACGAAATCTGCATTGCAGATTTCGCTCAGTGGCGCAACGTGCATGACAAATCTCCTGAAGGGGAAAGACGAAATTTGTAATGCAGACGGAGGCAAAGGCAGAAAATTTGTAATGCAGAGGTGGCATAGGTGCAAGTCTGACCACTTTTACACAGGATAGTAAACGACTTGAGCAGATGCAGAGTGTGCGTTGCAAATTCAACCCGGCCGAGGCCTGTGGGGGTATACTTGTGAGCGCCAACCTGCAGGACCTGAAATCGAAGGCGAAGAAGGATAAGAGGGCCGGAGGCTGGTACAAAGCCCTGTTTGGGGTTTTGCACGATAGCGGCGTCCGCTGCTGCGGACCCTGGCTCCGCCCGGTCTTTCTGGACAACAAAACTCCGGCGGAGATGCACGAGTGCCTTGCGGGGATCGATGTCATGCAGAACCTCAAGGACGCGCGGATCGACGTGCACAAGAAATTGGCGAAGCGCATCGAGGGCGGGTCGTGGAGCGTGTATTGTTATTGTTGCGTAGGAATGGTTTCGAGTTTCTCTGAGTATTGCTTCACATGCCGGGAGAACGATAGATGTTGCGCGACTTCTTTGTGTATTTACATTGGTCTTTGCCAGGGGGGGTCGCGGTAATCATGGCGTGACGAGCTAACCGGCTCTACTTCTTTTAGATTATAGCTTGCTCCTCCACTGCGATGCGGGGCACCGGTTTAAAAAAGAAAACACATCTTCAAAACAGCCAGGCTCTTTCTCAAGCAGGCCACCGCGAAGAAGGCGGGCGACCTGCCTGCCATTTCCTACGACCTGTTCCTGCTGGAGAAGGAGGTGAATCAGATCGACCGGGACCAATACAAGCTTCTGTCGGAGTGCAAGGACGAGTACGCCGAGGACAAGAAAACGTGGACGCGTGGTGGGAAATGGGACACGGCTTCGGAAAAGATGAGCAACTGGCTGGCCCTCTCGTACACCGGCCGGCAGGAGGCTATCAAAATGGGAGCGGGCGACGACGAGACGGCCCAGCTCGTCAAGGACTACGGTACCCGCCTCGCGAAGGCGCAGAAGGTGAACCTGAAGGCCGTCGCGCCGTTGCTCAAGAAATTCGTAGGCATGGTGAAGGTGTTGGACACCAAGCCGACCGAAGCACGTGCTTCCAACTTCGATTTTTTATAATTGCGTAGTGGCGCTATGAGTTCCTTCCTATCTCGTTTCCTCCTATTTCGCTTTCATTCTCCTAGTGCGCAGCGGTGTTATGTTTTTTCCTATTTCGTTTTGATTCTCATCCGCTGGAATTTACGAGTACAGTGCCCGTCTCCAACTATGAAAATAATAATCATTCACAGTTGCCAAGACCGCCCAGGACCTGCACACGATGCTGAAATACTCCGTAGTGTATTTCACCGAGAAAGAGGACGAGGAATTCGACATGTACGCGAAGAAACTCGCCGCTTGGGAGCAGAAGCGGAGCAACATAACCGACCGGAAGGCTGCCAAGAATCGCGGCACTTTGAAGGCCGCGCGGGCAAGTGGGAAGTGATGGGCTGTGGGGAACCGGTCGGCCGGATTGTTCTGCAGCAGTTTCTACTTGATGTCCACACTTAGTTTTTTTACGTTATCTTCTAGAGAGTATTTATTTCCATGTCTACTCTCACCAGGACCATGAGCTCCGGTCTCTGGAAAACGAAAGAACCGCGATCGTGTTTCTCTTTGGGATTTTGAATGTGTGACTACAATTCTTATTAGCAGTGCGCTACACTCCGAACTATCTCAGCTTTTTCGTTAGTCTTTACGAAGAGAATTCTCTTGATTTTCACCGCGCGAGGAATGCACCTCAGGGACCTGGTCCAACAGAACACGAATTTGAGAAATCTGATATGGCTTTGCATGGCACCAACGAGCGACTTCGTCGGGTAGAAAAGAAGCTGGGTTTTTCATGAATGAGCAAGAACTCCTTGCATGTTTCACCATGCAACCACAGACCGACAATTTCTTTGTCCACACGACGAGCACTTTTTGAAAATTGACAAAACGAAAAGGCCGATGACAAAACCGATGATGAAGCTGTCTCTCAAGTCCAATGCTATGAATCCCGACAAGGGCCGGGGAGTGGGACAACATTGCGAAATGTTGCGGCACAATGACCACCAGCCAACATCTTTTGAAACCATTTGGACCAGATCTAGAACACATCAGTCACCACGCATGACAGATTCGCTGTTTTTGTAGTATAGGCTTGCAAGAATGGTGGCACTCAGCTGGTTGACATGCCTGAGCCCATTCGCCCGCGTAGTTTTGATCGCGTTTTCGTACTGCGTGTGGCGCTTCCGTCAGACAGGCATCTTCTCGTGTGTTTGGGTCCGAGCCCGCTGGGCCATCTTGCGTTTCTTTCGCAGAGGCTCTGCAAGGCTGCTCGGACGGGGCCTGAGCTTCGTGCTGCGAGGCCTTTTCCGATTGTAAAGGGACGACTGACAAAAAGGCCTTCTTCCCGGCCCTTCTCTGTCATGACCCCTAGGGCCCCTCCCCTTCATGGAAATTTCGCGACTATGGGCCAGCCACAAACCTGACAAGACCCACCTCCTGCGGCGGGTTTGCGCAGTGGCACGGGCCGGGCCCCTTTGCGCCGGCGAACTTGTTCGCCTCGCGGCCCCACGAACAGGCTTTCTTTTTTGAAAATCCCGCACGGGATAGCGCCTTAATAGGCGCCCGCCGCCGCCCCGGGGCCTCTGACTGAGGCCCCGGGCACTGTAACTTGTCAGCACATCAAACCACCGGCGTTCCATTGGATGTCAAAAGAACGCTGCGAGCAAGCGTGCGTGCGAGAATGGAAAGAGAACTGAGAGCGAACTTGTGAAGATCCTCGCGCTATCGTCGTTCGCTGAACAACAAACAACTGCGAAGCAAATGTGAACCCTTTAGGAAAGAGAAAGATTATTCGTGTCGCCAACACGCCGGCGCGGTTGGCAAGAAACTGGCCAGACGAATTTGTGTCGTCTGTGCGTGTACGCTGCTGCTGGATCGCGCAGCTTGTTCTTCGTAGATCTGCAGTGCATTCGTTTGCGTTTCAAGATGATCACGAAGACACACTACGTGTAACTACCCAGTTACAGGCACTGGATGCTCCACGACTTGCTGGCCAATCTTGATCTCCGTCCATCGCCCCGACCCGGGGCGCTGGATCCATGCTGCCCGACCTGCCGGCCAGCCTCGACCCCCATCCAACGCCCCGGCCCGGGGCGCAGGAAGGATCCGTCAGGAGCCGGTGGGCACCCCCAGTCGCTCTCCATCCAATGCCCCGGCCCGGGGCGTTGGATCCATGTCGCTTGGTCGCGGCATCAATGGCACAGGGTTTATCCCCTTGGCCATTTTTATCAACTGCAAATAATGTAATTCCGAACCCGTCATCTTCTCGTCGTGCTCCTGCTCGTGCACAAGCACAAAGGAAGTGAGTCATAGAAAAGTCTATCACTATCTCTATCATGTAGTTGACGGTAATGCACGTCTTGCAAACCCAAATTACCGGCTCCTTTTTGATGTCCACACAAGCAAGGCTGGCCTTAGTTGCGCAAGACCGATACAGGCATCGATGACCCTAAGCAAAATCTTGTAGAGCTTGTATGCAAACACAAGCAGCAGCAACAGTTGATGCGACTCAGCGACACTACTTGCAGTCGATAGCGCGCTCGTCCGTTGTAAAAAGTTTCTTCATCCTCATGATCCTGTTCCTGATCGTCCGTATTCTGTGCAAAAGTATCGTAGAGTCGTCTCACTGCAAGATTACGGCTTTATTGCAGAGTGCTTTTCTTTCTTTCCCCGATTGCTATTCTTCGAGCACGAGCATGATCAGGGTAACAAACTCCGTTATTGCTTCGTCATCGTCCCCACCAAGGTGAATAGAAATTAGGCGTTTGCTGTAGTGCTAATGTTGCTAATCTTGCTTTTATCTTTATAGATCCTCCATCTAGAATTACGATATTTTTTTCCGTGCATAACCCGAGGAAACCGACGACTTGCTGTTGCTGCGCTCCGAATCGGATCCAAAACTCGGCCCTTGTTCCAGATCCTTGCTTTGTCCACTGCTGGTTTTGCTGCCATTCTTCTCGACACCGGAGGACGTCGTGGGGGTTTGCCGCTCCTGGCCACGGGAAAGACTGCGCCCGCCCGATGCGTGCAGTGGTACCTTATTTATCATAGCTACGGACATTTACGTTTTGTTGTTAAGCTATAGTAGAGCTTCCAGAGTCAGATCATTCTTTCGCAGCAATAACGTGCTCACTGAGTAGTTCTACCTTTTTTTTCCCTTTCGGTGGAGCACATGTTCCGGTGAGGTTCTTGCGCTTCACCACGGAAAACAGGATGAGGAGAATCAGCAACAGGGTGACAACAAAGAGAAATGAGGAGGCCGGGTGTGCAAAAACGAAGTCGGTGGCGTGAAGGATTACCTGGTGGCGAGTGTCAGTTGGTGTAGTTTTTCCTGCATGGTGCGTGCAGCGTTGTTTCCTTCTTCCCAACAGGAAGGAATTGTTACGGAACAGGCAAAGTGAGATGAGAAGCAATTTAACACCTCCAAAAAACCAAGGCTAGCGCTAGGCACAGTCGTATGCAGCATGGAGATGGAAATCAATGAAAAAGTACTTATATTTATTATCCGCAGAGGCAGATGGTGCAACCATTGCAGTTGTTCTGCTTCTGTACCTGTTCGAAGCTCCCAACAACTCGCATCAGAATCCCACCAGTGAAAACATTGCCGCCTGCGTGCCCGTTTGAATTCGCGGCGGCCGGTAGTAGATTGGAGTTCGAGTGGCCTTCACTTACCGGTCCTTCCGTGCGCAACATCTGTTTGCCGGCTGAGGCTGAGGAAGAACTGAGTGAAGAAATGGAGACAGAATCGTGTTTGTAGGAGGCTGCGGCCGTGTTCGGCTTCTGCTCTTCATCGTGCGCCACATCCCCTCCTCCACCAGACACCGTTGCAGCTTCGGCACCGAGCTTCGCAGTAGATGATGTCCCTCGTGTGGCTGAAGAAGCGTCTTTCGCCACGGAAGACGGTGCGGCGCTCGTCGCCAATGGCGCTGTTGGTTTAGTCACTGCAGTGGCGCGACTGTCACGGCTTCTCGCGTTTTTCGAGTATTCTGAAAAAACAGCTGACCCTGACGCCGACGCCGACGCGGACCGCTTTACCGATTGTTCCCCCGGAAACGTTTGCTGCGCTGCTGTAGATGTAGAAGCACGGTCACGGAGAGCCGGCGGCGCCATGCCATCTGCCTGGATTTCTCTTCCTATTTGCGACTGCGCTTCATCTGACACTGTGCTGCGGGCGCCGGCACTTGATGTTTCTCCACCGGGCGTCGCTGCAGATGCAACTTGCCGAGACTGACCGAGGCCCTTGTTCGTCGTCGGGTTTCTATTGGCGTCCCCTGTGGACGACCCCAGCGCAACGCGCGGCATAGCAGTGTCCGCACCGGGTGGCGGCGCCTGCTGCGGCTGTGTTTCCGCGGGGGGGGTGCCCTCGGCTCTTGGGCTTGCAGGCGTTGGGGCCAGTGCTGCGGCAGCTGCATCTTTAGCGCCCTCCAGCTCCACGAAAGAGGCCAATCGAGCTTGCTGCCTTGCTTGCGCGTTTTTTTGTTGTTGGTCTTCGTTGCGCGCCCGAACCTCTACCTGGATTCGTTCGCGGATTTGTCTGACCGCTGTCTCCGGGCCATCGCGGTCCAATGCTGGCTCGTCCATTGCCAGATTTCTTTGCGGAGCGAAAATTGCGCTCAGCACGTTACCGGCGAGTGGCCTCAGTACCGCGGGGTCAATCGGGAGAAGGGGATCCACCAGCCACGCCTGGGCGTGCTGGATGACATACACATTCTGGTCGACGACGTTCACTGGTGGCCGGAGCTGGACCTTCTACATCAAGTTACTGCGCGGCTGCAACGTGCCTATGTTGTTGAAGCGGGGTCCCGCGGCCTGGGGACCGGACAGCAGCAGTGGTTTCCAGCCAAACTGCTGCTGCTCCTCCACCGGGGCGTGGGACAGTTCGAGCATCTGCATATTTATGAGATGGAACTTCTGGTCTGTCTGCGTCCCCTGAAGGATCGGCTCCGGTACCAGAATATTAAGCTTGCTCTTGACTGTGTACGTCTGCTCGACGCCGCCAGCAACGTCGCCGGCGGCGGTCTTAATTTTTTGCGTTAGCAAATAATTCCAGGAAGTGCCTTCGGACTCGGCGACCTCGATGGTCGAGGAGTAGCCTTCTATGACACGACCTTCCCCGACACCAGGGTAGGGCACTCGCCCCGAGGCGGGTGCTGCGGGCGCGTCCCCCACTAGCTGAAGGTTTGCGTTTGGTGGAATCGGAATTCTGCGCTTTACTTCCTTGAAGTTGGGATCGTTGTCGTCCAGTGGCAGAATCTTCAGTCGGTTGGTATGTTGGTCCCCGGGCGGTGATTTGGAATATGCCCACGCGAGGATCGGCGTGTGATAGAAAGCACCACAGACGATGCTGTACATGACAGCTGTATGCAGGGCAGGGACTAACTTGTTCTGCACATACGCCATCGTTAACGTTTCATCCGCTGCCGCGGCCGCCGTTGTAGTTGTTCCAGAGCCCATCACTCTACTTCTGATGGCAGCTACCACGCTGGCCTGCGTCTCAAGTTCTGACGTCGCCTTGCTTGCTTCTCGGTGTACAGTTCCTGTCGACATTTTCATTTGTTGATGATTGGTTGGGCTTTGCTGCAACACATCGCCCATGGCCATGCTGACCTCGGGTGGGTGTGGGTTTACATTGGAGTCCTCGACGTGGCTTGTTGCGCGAGGAAGAGATGATGAAGAAATATGCTGCCTCTTTTTTGGAGCTTGATCATGATCCTCTTGACTTGCACTTGCTGAGGCACCACCAGTGGTCATAGCGTATTCTTCATGATCCTGGATGTTGTGCTCCGAGGTGGCCGCGGTGCTGCTTTCCGTACTAATCATTCGTCCTTGCGCCGTCGGCAAGACCGGCGGAACTGTATCTGTGCGAGGAATGGGGGAGCTACTCAGCTCATTCTTGTTGGGATAAGATGTTGTCGAAGGAGATGTCACTTGATGTGTCTCCGGAGATTTTACACTACTCGTAAGTTGTTTCTTGTCCTCGCCGCTGCTTGTCACCGGACTGCGATCCTGAATTTCGGCCGCACACCTTCCGCACCAGCTGCACAGAACCGCGAGCCGGATACAGCTCCAGGTAAGGCGCAATACGTGCGGCGGCATCCTGGCGGGCTTCGTCACCTTGCGACGGACGCGCTGACGCTGAGAGGGGAGTCCAGCAAACGTCTCACAACCGTGTAAAAGAGCTGCGGGTGGAGAACCACAAGGCCGGTTTGCCTGCGTTATTAAGTGACGGAACTTTCGTTTGTCCCAGCAGGCTGCATTTCAAGCGTGTTGGTGGCTTCTCAGATACTGAGTAGACCACTGCCGCACCCGGAGTCAGGAAGTAACTCTAGCCCTATCTTTCAAGGCTCGCCGAGAATAAGAATACTAACTTGAGGATTACTAATCGTGATCAAGACATTTTCGCTCAAATACTCGCATCATGATCTTCTCCACTTGAACCGATGCACTCAAATGACAGAAAAGCAAGAATGACATCCTGCACCATGACGATACTAGTAGCCTTAGCCTGTTTCTGTTTCATCTGTTTCGCCCAGCGAACGCTTTTCTTGTTACATAATTGCACTCATTCTCATGCGCTCGTTCTCCCACCGGTTTCTCATCTGAATCTGATGTGTACGCAAAATTTTCGTTTCCGTGCGAACTTCATGATCATGAAGAGACTAAATACACTGCTGCGGCAGGCGCCGATAAGCACCAGAAAATTATTCAATTCTAAATTCCGTATCCGTAGCCGTCGGATAGCATTTGCATTATTTGCTAACAGTGCTACTAGACAAGCCTATTTCATCGACCTTCATCTCCACGGACTTTTTTGAGGCAGGTCCGGTATTTGTTACTCATGATCTCCGTGAATATTGAAAAGAGAAGAATGAGCTAGAAAGGTACTTCTAGTTCCTTCGGGGAAAGTTTTTCTTGCGCCGATCCACTAACTAAGTAATCGCAGCATGATCATGTATCTTCATCTTGCGCGTCCCGCGCCTCCTTTCCCACCACCCAGCAGCTGATTTGCGTCCGCAGGTGGCGGCCTCGCGAAATTTTCTTCAAAAAAGAAAAACGCGTCGAAAATGTCCATGTCTTCCGCCTCATCGCCGACAAACAGGAAATATGAAAGCGCTTCACAAACCCCCTGCTTACCTCCTTTTTTTTTTCGCTTCCACAAGACAGATTTCGCTTCCACAAGCCAGATGATTCCACGTCCTCTAGGCAGAAGAGCTGCTTGATGGGGTGCAGCATGTTGTGATGCAAACTTGGGCTAAAACTAAAGGAAAAAGGCAACGTCTCGAATTGTGTTGAAGTTGATATGATGCCTTAGCCTTTCATCGGATCTGCATGACAAATTAGGTGGAGGTAGGACACTAATCGTGCACTCTCATAGCGACCCGGCCGCCGGGGCCAGAAAGTTGAAGCAGGAAGACGGTAGCATGTTGTCGCCGGACAATCCCCACTTTTCCGCCCCGCCGGGGGCCTCCCACCGGGTACCGTGAATGACAAGTCCCTCGCCCGCGCCAACTCCGCGGCGACCGAACACGCTACGGAGCTGCCGGACCTGCGTCGCCACTTCCCAGCTGACGACTTTCTCGTATTTCCACGAGTGTAGCTGCATCGCCTCGCCGAACGGCCCGATCACATCCTTGAACAGGAAGCGGTGCTTTTCCGGGAAAACCAAAAAGTCCCGAGGTTTTCGGTAGGCCAATTGCAGTTTCTCGTAGTCGAGGAGCACGCGCGGCTGCTTTTCTCGCAACTCCGCGGTTGCTTCCCCGGTGTCAGCGTAACGAAATTGGTCGCTGCTGTCGACCATCCACCAGCCACCGCTCCAGGACTTGCCCTCGGCGGTGTCCAAATTTTGCGTGGTGGTTTGCGGCTGTTCGCTTCGCCCGATGATGGCGGCGGAAAGGAACCGGTACAGACTCTGTATCAAATGTAAAAATGTCTGGGTCTGGAAGATTCATGCTGTTTTTGCATGACACGGAAGGTCTGGCATGGAAGCTCTAGCATCACAGGTTTCGAGAAGCTTCCGCAATGCCGAACCCGCATGAGAAATCCCCCACTTTGGTGACAGAAAGTGGGCAGCTTTTGCTACCTATGCATGAGAGATTTTTCTGTGTTCGAAAATGCGCATCACAAGTTAGGATCCTTCCAGACCCAGACATTTTTGCATTTGATACTCTGCGTGTCCGCGCAACCGACTTTGAACTTGAACGGAGGGGACATTTTCAGGCCGTAATGCAGCGTCAATTCCTCGTCCGAGATCTTCAAGTGCTTGTCGATTTTGCCAGGAAGGCTCAACTTCCAATAGTGAATCTCGTCGTAGGGGATGCTTCGCCACCTGGACCGCGAGCCTTGGGATATGCACGAGAAAAAGTGCGTCAGTGTAAGTCTGTGATGCGAACAATAAACATGCAAGTAGAGAGATGCGTCTGTCATGCTGGATATGGATTAGAGAATGAATCAAGTCGAGTAGCGAGCGCGCGTTTTGACGTCCTATCTGCGCAGGACATGAAGAGGTTTTTGCTTTTATACCGGATAGATTTGAAATGCTGTTCCACCAAGTGACACTTACACACGTGTTTTCTTGGATATGCGAGGTGAGCTGTGTGGAGGAGAAAAATGTTGACGCGGTGTTGTCATAGTCACGATGCAGGATGCGGAAGCTGGTAAACATATGGAACCGCCAGGAGGCTCGAAATTAATGACAAGAGTGAACAAGAAAGTAAGGACTTGCAATGCCGATGCATGAAAGGCAGCCAGGCACAGAGTGCCTGTCCTGCAGGAGTTGCAGTAGGGTCAGAGTCAGAGATGGACGAGCAGCCTGTGAAAATAAAAAATGACAAAAAAAGGTGTCTTTGTTTCCCCAAACAGCATCAGAGATTGGATTTAATAGGAGCGTCCGAAATTTGTGATGCGCAGCCTCGAGATTCAAGTTGGGTTTCCGATTGGTATCATCTATCTTATGCACTCCAGCAAATTATTTCAACTTTCTTTGTAGTCCATTTCGAGCACCATGACGCATCCATAAAACAGCAAGATGTCGTGCCGGTTCTGTGCGGTGAAGCCGAAGTGAATCTTTTCACCGGGAAGAAACAGGTGCAGCCCAGGATTGTTCTTGTCGTTCTCGCCTCCGCTCGGAGTCGATTCCGTTCCTTCCAAGGTTCGCGCCATCAGAAGCTGCTTGACGGTTTCCGGTATCAAATGCATATATGTCTGGGTCTGGATGAAGATTCTGAGATTTGTCATGCAGTTTTTCCAAGCTCCGCTAAGTCTGGAATGCAGGGCCTAGCATCGGAGGATCTGCAGTCGCTTACCCTTTGTGATGCCTGTTCTGCATGAGAAATGCCCTGTCAGCATGACCAGAAATGAGCACCTTTTGCAAGTCACGCAACACAGATTTTTGTATGATCCGCAACATGCATCACAAGTTCGCATCCTTCCAGACCCAGACATATTTGCAATGCATATCCGGCTCCTCCTGGTAGTACTGGTTTGCCAACCACGACTATCGCAAGAAAAAAGTCGTGTTGCAGTTCCACATTGTGATGCTGCAGGACCGGCATGACAGACAACCTTTGTCATGCGCAAAATGCTTGCGGGCTTGGCTTCATTCATGTTTTCCCGTCTGAGCTCTGCATTGGAAGATTTCTCTGATATGCAAAAAGAGTTTGTAATGTATTTTTGAAGTACATCAAGTAGTTCTTACAAACAAGTGTGTAACGGTAAAACTTTTTCCCCGGGATAACGACACTCCGGACTGAAACCAGCTGCTCCCCTGTTCGCACACGTGCTCGTTTTCTTCCACAATGCTCCGCCAGGTTTTCGTATCTTCTTTTGGCGGGGCAACGGCGCCCTTCTTTTCGGATACCCGCGTGAGCCGGAAGGACAAGTAAGCGTGTACGGCGATATTGAGAGGAAAAATGCCCCCTCCCCATATTGAAAACGCATTCGTCTGAAAATTTGTGATGCAGATCTGAGGTCACAAATCCTCTGTGTCTTGCAAGAAGGCAAAGCCAGAGAGTCCGCCGCATAATGCCGGCGGTTTGTGATGCTGTTTGGCTTACAGAGCCGACGTCTGTCATGCTAGTCCCCTACGTCAAAACCCCTCGACCCAGGCTTGGCATATGCCTGCAGTCCTCTCCAGCAAGACAGACCTGATTTGTGTACGCAAATCCAGCATCAGAAACTTTGTTTCGATATGGGGAGGGGGGATTTTTCCCTTTGATAGGCGAGCAAGGACTCACTGCCCCGAAAATCGACCATCACTTCTCTCAGCCCGTTGTTGAAATCCCAAGCTCTTTAATCGCAGGAAAAAAAGTGGATCGTGTCAGTCTAACGAGTGCAAGCGGACGCGGTGCTGGTCTACGTAAATCTAATTCTTAAGTTCATTTTTTCATATAATATTGTCCAGAATTACATGCCAGACTACACCCAGCACACGTATCATGTTGCCAACAAGAAAGAATGACGTATGAAAATGAGTGTCCCTTTGAGGCAACGGAAACGGATTTGATTTCACAGGCTAGATTGTACATGATGTTGACAGTGAAAGGTTTTTTTTTTTCAGCTGCATGACTGAGCATGCAGGGGACACGAGAGTGAGACAAATCTTCTGAATGTGTAGGAAATTACTGCGATGTAGTTGTCAGATGATATCTTCTAAAGGAGCGCCAGCAGTTCCGACAGTAAGACTGACGCAATACTTCCTACTTGTCGGATATCCCGCCGCTCTGCACTCGTCAATATTCGTGCACCATCCAGCGACCGAATTTGCAAATTGCAGCATTTGTCCTTCACGTTCGCGCAATCCCAGTTCCTGCTTGCTAACCTGCGTGGCTTGCTGCTCGCGTTGCTGCGTCATCAGCGCCTGCGCCCTGGCGGACTCGGCCTGCTGATGTTGATGCAGTTCTTTCCGAGCGGCCTCATTTGTCCCGGTTTTTCTTGCCGTCTTGTCCCGATGTTGAACGAGATTTTCTTGTTGTTCTCGGTTGTTCATTGCGATCGTGTTGTCCAACTCCATGAAAGCGTTTCTCAGTGCTGGCGGTTGCTTATGAGAGTGCACAACTCCCCCTTCCCCACATTTGTATAGCATGAAGATGAACAGCAAAAATTATACAAACACCAGAACACGTGGAGGCTACGCATGACAAATTTGAGTACCTAATGGAGTATACTGTTTCCGTTTGGGCTCCTTCCGAAATTGGTCATGCAAACAGTGCTACAAGGCAACGACTGAATTTGGCATTTTGCATCACAAATGGGGGGGAATGGGATTTGTGCAATGTCATATTGCGAAAGAGCATGACGCAGCTCCCGATCCTCATCTTGTCCTTCATGAGCTGGCGACGTATTCGCTACTAGGCCTGTCTGATCAACATCTTCATCCTCGTTTTTCAGTCCGCCGAGTTGCAGATAGGAGTAGCTCTGTGAGCCCCCCTCCAGAACTTCGGCCACCGATGTGGATACTAAAGAAATCGGCGAAACAGAAGTCGGGGTTGCGGCCACGATGCTGTCGCCAGTGCGTGGCTCGACCTCCGACGACAGCGGAGAAGTAAGTCCAGCACGGGCTGAAGTTGACGAACTTCGGGAAGACGTAGACATTGCGCCCGTCAGATGATGCTCCAACGCAAGATCTTCTGCGTCGTGGTCCTCCGATGGTCGCAGAGTGCTGCTTTTCACCACGACGCCTGCAGAAGTAGTTGGACTAGCGTGCTTCTGGTTCTTGGCTCCATCGTGGTCTACGACAGCATCATGTTCCACCTCCTTAACCTCGCTGAAAGAGAGGAACGAAGAAGACACAAAAGCACCCAACAGCTGCACACCCTCTCCAAGCAACTCGAGTCCCGCACCAACTTCCCCTCCCCCGACCCCGTCATGTTCTGGATCCGGAGGAGGAATGTAGACGCCCGGCACGTATGAAATGCAAAAGTGTCTGGGTCTGGAAGAATGCAAGATTTGTCATGCATATTTCTCATGACCCATGATGCCTGTAATCCTTGACCTAGCATCGCAGACTTTTAGAGGGCTTCCTGATGCACCTTCCACATGAGAAATACCCTGTCCGTGTAGCAAAAACTGTACCCCTCTTGCTAGTCATGCAATACAAATTTTTTTAGAGTCCAAAAACAGCATGACAAGCTGCATTCTTCCAGACCCAGACATATTTGCACTTGATAGCACGTCGGTGGACACGAAGAGTTCGCCCTCGCTATCGTAAGGAAAAATCCCCCCTCCCAATATCGAGATGAAGTATCTGATGCTGGATTTCCGTACATAAATGCGCGCTGTCTTGCAGTAAGGCATCGCAGCCAGAAGATCCTCAGCCTAGGTAGGGGCTTTGGGTCTAGTTGTTTCGCACTACAAACGGCTGGCCCCTAGGCCCAACAGCATGCCAAATCGCTTCCATATTAATGGCGCGAAAGCCTCTGCGCTTGTCTTCTTGCAAGACAGGCGTGATGTATGGTCTCAAGTCAGCAACACAAATTTTCGGAATCATACCGTTTCGATATAGGGAGAGGGGATTTTTCCTTTTGATACTCGCCCCAGGGCAACACCTTCTCCGTCGCCGCCTTTTCGCGCAGCGCGAAGGACTGAATGGCGTTGTAGCCGTATGCAAGAAAAAAACTGTGTTAGTGTAACTCTGTAAGTAATGCAGAACATGCAACAGGTTTACACCTGTCATGCCCCATAGCCATGAAGTCCTCTTTTCAACATGTGTGTTTTTCTTACAAGCCACGTATGACAGGTTTTCTCTGTCATGTAGACCGAATTTCTGATGCTGTCAGCCAAAGAAAGTTAGGTTCACACGGTTTTTTTCTTGCACAAGTCGATGGAAATGTACTGCTCGTTCCCGAGAAACCCGCCCAGCAGGTTTCCAAAATCCACGAGCTTGTTGCGCTTGATTACCAGGCGTTTATTCGTGAAGGCGAACATCCCGGTAGCGGAGTCGAAGGCCATGTCCACCGTTTCGCCGGCGTCGGGCGTGAGGAAATTGTCCAGCATGTCCTGCACGATAGATTTGTCCCGGATTCGAATGCCGTTGTCCAACTGCAAAAGCCAGTCGAAAAAGCCCCCGCTCTATCCAGGAAAAAACACCCATCCACATCCAATTTCTTTGTCATGCAAAACATACATTCATAAAATTCTTATTCTGTGTCTGTCATGCAAAAAATTATATATGGGGATGCGATGAGTTTTTTTCTGTGGATACGCTCGCCTGCTCCGCACCAGCCCCTCCCGCTTCTCCGTCCACCAACGCCAGCAGCTTGTCGCCCATCTTGGCCGCGGGCGCGTTGCCCAGGACCCGCCAGGATAGGAGGTGCGTGACCAGCAAGGGGCTGGTGCCCACGCCCCAGAGCGTCTCGTAGCCAAAGGTGGTGCCACCTTCCCCGCCCCCTCGGATGTTCAGGTGAATGGTGCGCGGGCCGTGCGTATGCATTGCAAATACGTCTGGTGCGTTTAGAGTTGTGATACCGGACAAAAACAAGACCTGTCAATGTAGTGGATAAATGCATTGGCCGATTCCTGTTCGTTGTTCTCAAGGGCAATTTGTAGTTTACAACTCCAGACGCAGTTTATTTGCCTGTGATAGTGCGACCCGTCCCCCCGGCTTTCGTAGATTTTCGTGTGAATCACCACGGTACTGTCCCAGTCGAGAAAGGAGCCCGGCGTGTGAAAGGTCCAGGCGCGGACGGCGGAGTAGAGGTAGGAAATGTAGTTCGCCTTGCCGCCCGTGAGGTGCTTCTCGAGCAGGTCGGGGACGTCCTGCTTGAGAATCCGGTAATTGGTAAAGATCACCGCGTCGCGAATGTTGGTATCCAGGTCCACCGCCCCGGCCTCCGACGCCAGCGCGAGTTCGACCCGCTCGTCGTGCAGCAGTACCTTTTTCTCCCGCAAAATCGCCTGCGTACACGCCGGGTCCACCTGTTTCATGCCCGCCTTCCAGAAGAACAACTGCGTCGTGCTCAGGATCCCGCCGTTCCCGTTGTCGTGGCCTTTTTGCTTGAAATTTTCCAAGTCACACGGCTCGTGCGCGGCGGCGAACCTCTTGCTGAACCCCGCGGGCTCGGGCAGGTGGAGCGAGTTGGAGGCGAGCAGCCGCCAGGACAGAAAGTGGTGCAGTTCGAAGGCTTGCTTCACGTCCACGGAAACGTTAATTTGCCGACTGTCAGTTTCCGTTTCCAGGGTGAACTTGGAGTCCAAATCCAGCCGCGTTCCCACCGGCTCGCTGCACCAGGAAAGAACCGCCGACCACCGCATGGCGCTAAATTTGGTCTGCGGCTGCTCCGTGCCGACGGTGTCTTTCCAATAGTACGGCCACCCTTCTTTGACGTTGATGTGCAGGATCTGTATGCAATGCAAAAGCATCGTATTAGTATAATTGCATTACAGATTTCCTCAGAATGACAAATGCAATTTGTAATGCTGTTCTACCTTAGGAAGAAGAGTTGCAATGCATATTTGCAATTAGTACGAGTACGATACTTTTGCACAGAGTAATCTGCTCGCTGGTCCAAAACATGACGTCCTGGCCCGCGGACTGCTTATGGGAGTGTCAGGATTGAAATCGACAAACTTGAAATAACTTGCATCGCGTAAAATCGATACCAGATGCAAGCCCAGTTTCCTCCAAGCGGTGCATGACAAATTTCGAGACCTTCGAAATCCATTTTGTCATGCTGTTTAGGGACAGACGGCGTCTGTTGTCGTGCTGCTTTAGCAGCTCTATCGCAGACCCCAAACAGGCCGACAGTCGGCCTCACTTGGCATCCCTGCAAGAGAGGCGCTTCATGCCTATGCCTTGCAATTTATGCATGAGAAGTTATTTCATTTTCAACGTTGTCGATTTCAATCCTGACACCCCCATACTTCTCGAAAATGTAGTGCAGTTTTTCGCCCCGGTCAAGTAATTTCCGGTAGTTCTTCGGGCCTGGCTGCGGGTCGTCATCGCCCGCGCGGCGCGCCTGCATCACGAGGAAAAACTGCTCCACTGCTTCTTTCTTCTCTTTCATCTTGTCCTGTGGGACGAGATCCCAGATCAACCCAAAGAATTTTCCAGCGGAAGTCAGCACGGATCCACGCAGGTTGCGTTTCTGAACATTTTGCGTTGGATCGTAGTCGTACCAGAGTTTGCGAATATCACTGTTTGAATATTTAAATTCACCGTAGAGATGAATATGCATCATTCAGATTAACATCATCAATCTACAACTACCTCCTGCTGTGCTTGAGAAGTCGCCTGCTTGTTTTCCACGGCCTCATCGAGTCGCCCGATTTCGTGCTGCAACGCGAAGGCGAAAATGTAAATGGTACTCGTCGTAGTGGGCGGAGTTCGAGTTGGAACAATTCTTGCGCCGTGGTTGACCATCAGCTCGTTGTTCTGCAGCTTTCCTATCGTGCTCTTGAATCGGGAAGTAGTAGTAGGGGTGAAAAAACGGAAATGCTCTTCGAGGGGAACAAGGTCGGAAAACAAAAACGCGCCGAGAAAAGCTGCGGCACAAGACTTCATGGTGAATGTCCAGAAAGCGGCTGCGCACATTGACGAGACCGTGGTCTGCCCAAGGGCAAGGCTCGACTTTGAGCCGCGACTTGATAACATCATCAAGCTCCTTTCGGTCAATGATTTTTTCGTACTATACTTTGTAATTTCGGTACGTGGAAAAATGTGCAGGATTTCTTTATTTATTAGGATATTGTAGTGTACAAGATCACAGGTAGGATTTAGAATTTCAATTTTTATTTTACTTTTACAAGATAAATTTAAATATACAATTAGCAATTTCTCCAAGTGGTTCTAGCATTTGCATTGCGGTATGATGTTCATGGTAGGATAGGATTTGAATTTCGTCAAAAAACCAAGTTGTCGTGTCTTCCTATTTTCAATTAGATCAATCCTACTGGTGCGCTGGTTGTAAGTAATTGCTGAAGTGTTAGAATGTTGCGTGGGCGCGAATTTGCAATCCCACCAAACGTCGAAGCCACCAAACGTCGAAGCAGGAGTCCACTGACTCCTGTTTAACATCATGAGCACGATACGAAAGAAAAATCTGTTTTTGTTGACTTTTTCCATTTCGCCCACGAATAAAGCTTCACGAAGACGACAGACACCCCAACGAGCGGGAAAAAGTAAATAGAAGATGATGCGACTTGTTCCAGCACGATAATCTTCTTGTTCACAACGAGTCAGTAGTTTTGGTGCTGTCAATGCAAAAAGCCCACGAGCAATGAGAGACCATCGACATTCCGGCGCGTCGATCAATGCGAAGATCTGTTCGGAAAGCAAAGTCATGCAGATGCCCGGGCCATCAAGTCGTAGACAGTACACAGGCATCATCAATGTATTGTGATTGCAGATACAACCATACATCGCACCGAGGCAAGATCTTGAACTTGATACTGATACGCCGCGGGTGCTCCTGTCCGAGAACAACGACAAAGAGATCTTTTGCATCCAAGATTTCTTGGCACAGATTTGAATGCTGTTTAGCCCTTCGGAGTAGATTTGTCATGCGAAATAGCTTGATTGTCTGGCTCTGGCGGCTTGAGGTAGTTTTGCGCATGACACATCCATGGAACTACATTTGAGAAGGTAACCGATTTGAGAAGCTGTACTTATCCCATACAGCAGGAACAGGTCCTGGTGTCACCTGCCGTCCCATCACCGAGAGGTCTTGCGGCTGCGCTGCAGCGGACGAAGACGAGAGATGAACATGGCCGCTTGTTGTCCCGGCGTGCTGCAACGTCGTGCTCGAGTCAACAACACCTTGTTGTTGATTTGATACCAAGGTCGTGCGACGCGTTTCCCTTGCGGTCATTAGCCGCTCGCCAACGCGGGCGAAGGAGCTAGCCGAACTTTTGCTGTAAGACGGCCCCTATGGACTGCGCGGGCGGAAAGTGGCGGTGCCGTGGACAGCGAAGATCCGGGTAGAGCCCCTTGATGGCCGCTGGTAGAAGAGCCAGCCCCCAGTTGTAGGGGGCCCCGGTGGTGCTGACCCCCCGTTCTGTACCCCTCCTTGCGGTTAGCCCTCGCCAGTTCGTACCCCCTCCGGCCTCTCTCCTCCGTCTCCGTCGCCAGTTCGTACCCCCTCCGCCCCCTCTCCTCCGTCTCCGTCGCCAGATTGTCCATGTCCTTGTCCATGTCGTATGCAGATTTCGTAGATTTTGTAGAATTGTAGAACGCGACGAGGACGTCGCGAAGTGCGAGCATGACGGTTATGAAGAAGTTGCGCGGGCGAAGGGTGGAAACGTTGCATCGAAGACGATGTTGATAAGACTAAGTACGGAAGTCGAAATCACGACGCGACGGCAGAAGCGCAGCAGGGGCACAGGTGTTTCTGTTTTTTGTTTTGTAGCATCCGATCAGATTTGTTTTTCAACCGCTGATGGAAAAAAAAATTTGCACATGCAGACGAATCGCTTGTAAAAATCATTTTCATTGTGAACGGATGCTACAAAACAAAAAACAAAACGTCAGGTGGTTATGTGTTGAACGAGGACAAGCGGTTGAGGTGTGGGGTCGCAATGCAAAATGCAAGAGCACGGCGTTACATCAAGAAAAAAAAGCATGAACTTCAATAAATTGCTGAACGTGCTGCGCAGACCGAGCTTTTGCCTTCATGAAAAAGATAAGTAGTTGCAACGCAGCACGCAGAAATATCGAGAAACAGAGCGAAGCAATACACTTGCAAGAAGTAAACCGCGAGCGCCAAAGATGGCAAACAAACGCTTTGACCATACGCCGCGGGTGCTCCTGTCCGAGAACAACGATAAAGAGACACTAACAGCTTGGAAGTGCTTCGCCGCCACATCGGGATCGAAATCCGCCGCCTTGGACAACTTTCGCTTCCGGGTTCGCTGGGATCGGGTGTGGAGGTCGGTGTTGAAATCAGATGCCTGGGTTAAGCGAAATTCTGCCCGCTCCGCTATCACGCCCGAGAGGTGCTCACACTTTTCCCGGTAAGCCGCGCCGGCCGCTGGGTCGTCTGGGTCGAGGGAGGCGCCGAGGCGCCGCACCTCTTTGCGCAGGATCTTGATGCGGAGGTCGAAACGTCTGCGCTTTTTGTAGTCGTGGCTTCGGTTATAGCGGCTGAGCTCCTGTTGCGCGGAGCCAGCTAGGATACCGCGCGCGGCGACAAGCGCAGCCGGGATGCGCGAAATCGGGATCGCCAGCGGCGCACTGTTTACTGCTGGGTCAGAGGCCGCGGATTCATCACCATCTGCAGGAGCTGGGAGCAACGTCTGCACAACAGCATCGGAGAACTGGTGCTTTGCTGATGGGGTGGCACGCCACAAAGGTGCCGCAGCGTCAACATCAGAGCGACGGCCCTCTAGGGTCGTAGCGTCAACATCAAGGGTCGTGGAGAAACTGTCAGGAGGTGCACTGTCAACAGCATTGGCATCGTAGGAAAACTCCGTCCCCAGTATCGCGTCGATCGGTGGGCCTCCCTTGAGATGAACATCGGCAAAATGCTGGAGAATTTGTTCTCTTTTTTCGAAGCGATTTCTGTTGCTCCTGCAGAGCAACGACGACAATTTTTTTGAAAGGCACCAAAATAGGTGCACGGTCGCTTGTCACGTTGCGAAATGCCCCATGCGGCGCAGGTCACGTTGCGAAAATAATCTCTCATCAGACTAGATCACGCCACCTGTCCGACTAGATCACGCGAAAATGATCTCTCATCAGACCACTATACGCCGCGGGTGCTCCTGTCCGAGAACAACGACAAAGAGGCACAGTAGACTTATCCTTATTTGAGCAGCGGTTCGCCTACGGCTTCTCGTTTGTCAAACACAGTCCATCAATTAGTGCGGCGCAGCCAACATTTACATTGAGCATGACCGCAAATGATAATGAAAATAGAAACAAAATTGCTACTTCTGCACCGCATCACATCTGCTGTGCAGGTCCAAAATGAAAAAGTGCAGATTTTTCTTTGTTGAAACCAAACCAGTACACGAATACGGACGACATAACTCTTCAGCTTTATTTCAGCAGGTGGCACGTTGCCTGGTTGCAAGAAATGCGCTACAAGAATTTCACCGAATAACTACGGTATGATGCCACGGATTGAGGATCCTATATGCAGAAAAATCGTCAGTGCTGTGTTAGTTTGAGTGCTTCTACTAGGAGGACCTAGTACGACGTGAAAGTTAAAGTACTATTTTCCTTTTTTTTTTTTAGGTCCACTGCTTGCGCAAGAGAGAAGGCGGGAGCTTGGGCCACTGCTATTGCTTTTCGTGAAGAAGTATTTAATGAAACCTTGATCTTTAAGGTTCGCTTTTGACAGTAGTTTGAAACGATGACACAATAAACAGTCTCTGTTTAATTGAAGTAACCTGCCTGCCGTCGTCGTCTCCGCGAAGCGGAAGTAACTTCGGACAAGAACGACGGGCAAGAGGGCAAAACATAGATCTGAAAATACATACGACCCTGGCGATCATCTTGAAAAAAAAAATACGTGAGCCTGGAGCCCACTGTTGTTTAACACGGCCAAGTCTGAAGTAGCATACAAGGAATAAAAATCGAGGACAAAAGTTGGATACATCGAACTGCGACTTTAGTTCAGATGAAGGGCACAAACCTTGGTTTACATACGCACAGCCTTACCAAGGAATTACAGAAAGTGAAAGCTAGCAAAATTATTCAAAGGTCAAAACAGAATCGTATTTGATTTGGAATGCGTGAAGAAGACGTGATGTCTTAAGTTTCTTTCTCTTTCTCTTTGTACTGGTCCTAACTAAGCTAGATAGATCTTAGATCTAAATTGAAGAGTCCTACCTCCGTTGAAACCTAAACATATAGGAAGCTGCGCGCTTTGAAAAAAAGATCTTCCAGTGTTCTAAGGCACAGACGTCGTGCTGCTGCTGCTGCACCGCGCATCACTACACCGGCAACCCTTGCGGCGACCTCGGATCCACGAGCTCGATGGGTGCAGCTATGGAAAGATAGTTAGTACGATACTGAGTTTTGATTTTTTCTTCCCGCGACATCACAAAGCCAAATTCCATTTGGCAAGGCCCAGGTGAACCCAAGTTGGAGGACATACATTCCGAAAGGCAGCAAAATGGCTGTGGTCCCCGACAAGGTAGAGTGTTAGGCGAGAGTACAAGCACACAGATGGACATGCTCTTGTACTGCCTTTGGACAACTCTGCTCATACTTCTATGTCTTCTGGTGCTTTGACTTATTCATCTTCATGCATTGCGGGCAATGAGTCAACGTGTTCAATCATGCCGCTGGTGTTGGAAGTACAAAGGAATTCAGTATCGTCTTTCTCAATTTCATACCAACCGTGACCAGGAAATCCGCGGTCGCGCCGGTTCCCCAACACAGATGGTAGTAGTCCGGCTTCGTGCGGTTTGTGAGCAGGCCGAAATCCAGAATTTCTGAGTCGTAGCGGACCACCGGCATACTGTCGATTCTGGTGGCGTTGCTCTCGCACGAAAGCAGGATAGTTGCCTGCCCGGTCACTGCGAGAGGTAGTTTTCATGGCGTTGATTTTTCTTTACCGGAAGCTTGACAAAAATGCGGGCCGCGGAAAAGAACAAAAAAGACTTCGTGATAAAAGCTGAAGAAGAACTGAAGGACTTATCATTGTCGTGGTTCTACACCTCATCATGATCATGAAAGAACAACGCAAAATCAAGCGAAAAGATACATCAATTGAAGATAATATAATACCTCCCATCTGATTGGCGAAATCTAAGTTTCTGATGTTGTATCCACAGTAAATTTCCTGTACACGTACAAATGCGGTGTCTGCATGACAGAACTTGGCTTCGATGTCGATCCTAGTTTAGCATGACAAGTTTTACGCTCCAAATTGATGAAATTTGTATTGCATGTTGTACATGTACGGGAAATTTGTATTGCATATGTTGCACGGGAAATTCATAACGCACTTCAATGTCGCCTCCAGCGTCCACTTCGTTGCCGCCTCGAGTTCCAGGTCGCCCACTACCAAGGGCTGGTAGCTGTTTGCGGGGTCGCCGTAGATCCTCTCGTACTCGGGCGTGGCTGCGGTGTAGGCTTCGATTTGGCTCCGGGCTTTCGCGCTGCCGAAAACGCAGCCGACTGCGCACCAGGCGAGAGAGTACCTAAGAAAGAGTGTGTAAGTGTATGTTCCTCGTCGACCACAACAGTTTCAGACGAATACAGATGAAAGAACAGTTGTGCGTGTATTCACTTTTTTGTTTCAGATTCAGTGTAGGAACACCGGTCGGCATACAATGGTGTCAATCCATTTTTCATTTGGTGTTTCACATGCAGCAGCAGCTACAGCTTGCTCTAAGGTTATACTTTCCGCCCGGAAGTGTGCTTTTCGTTGGAAACGTGAATGTCGCTGGTGCCATGCTGTAATTCGCTTGCCTTTCCACTTCCCAAGTTGCGTCGGAGGCGTTCTCTACAGTCTTAAAGTACTGATAGCGAGCATTGAACCTGTTTTGATTTGGTTTCTTTGCGATGAACAAAAATGAAAAAGCGATTGAGATTTTTGCAGATGTTGCATTGCAAGCTGGCGCAGTAGTCACAACATTGCCTCGCTACAAGTGTCCCGCCACAGCCACGGCTGACGAACATACCAGGCTTCAGCGAATGCGAAAGTCTCCTTACCTCTCCGACTGCATTCTGAGACTGGCTTCCAGAATTTCGTTGGAGCTTTTTTCGAGGACGTACAGTCTCGATCCCGGTGTCGTGTTGAATTCCTGTACGTGCGTGATTCTCAGCGGTTCGCTGCTGTTCGCCTGCACGGTTTGCTGCGGGAGCTCAATGCCCTTGGCGTACAGCTTCCCGATACTGATGCAAAAATCCTTGCCGCACCACTCGACCAAGTGGTCCCGTCCAGCTTGCATCAGCAGCGGTGCCGCGACGAAGGTCATCGAAGTCGCAGCGAGGGTAGAGGTCGGCAGAGACCGGTAGGCACGAACTTCCACCTGATAATAGTTCAATTCGGCAGATTAAGACTTGTTGTGAAAAATAAACACGGAGACGACATCGAACCGTAGAAGTGCGCTCACAACCTATCAATCGTACATCATCATCATGCTCAAGGTCCCGCTTCTCCGCAAATTGAATACTATGACTATCTATCACAAATATGCGAATTCGAATTTCTTTACCGTCCCCGCAATCTTCAGGTAGCCCGGGTCTTTGGAAATCGGCGGCACAATAGGCGTCGGCTGCACTAAATGGTTCCAGTTCCCCCTCACCTCGAAATTGCACACCAAGCCCAGCTCGCACATGAACTCGTGATCGCCGAACGGGCCGTAGAGAATGACGTCGCTCAACTTCCAAAAGTGCACTGCGGTTGGATACTCGGCGGCCAAGGGTTGGAACTCGGCGAGAGTGGAGTTGGAACTCGACGTCGAGCTAGATTGGTCTGACGTTGCACTCCCTGTTTGCGATGAAGCTGAGTCAGATTGTACCACCCCCGATGTAGAAGTTGATGTCAGATTCGTGCCGTTTGTGCCATTTCCGAGATCCTCGCTTTCCCCCTCCTCTTCCGTGAGGTTTTTCTCTACCAACAAGGTCGTGAAGTTCGCTTCCACGTAACTCGCGTACGCTTCCACGTATAAAGCGTACGGCTTTTCGACCGTGGACCCGAGATACGGCAACTTCGCCCAAACGTAGGTTTGCCCCAGCGACTCCCGCCGGTCCGCCCTTTGCACTTTTTCCGCGATCCTTTTAAACAGCATATCCTCTTTCGTCTCGTTCCACCCCTGGACCGAGCTGTTCACCCCGTAGGGGAAGGACAAATTGCCGAAAAACGTCTTTTCCTGCACGGTGACGTGTTCGGAATACAGGTGGGAAAACACCGTTTCGTTCCGGTAAAAGGGGTAAGAGCCGTTCGGGTAGAAGACCTCCTGGATTTTGAACGCCTCGTACTCCCGAACCGCGTCAAACGCGAGCATAGAAGGGTGGGTGGTAAACGCATAAAACCCGTTGTCGTCGATGTTGTCTGAGGGGATTGTGAGTTGCCCGGAGGAGGTCCTCGTTGCAGCCATCAAACGACGTCTGCGGTAGCCGTAAGAACTACCTGAGGAACTGTAGGAGGAAGACGAGCTCGTACTCGAGGCTGTTGAGTAGGACGACATAGAGGAAGAACTACTTGATGACCCGCTAGTGCCTCCTGTTCCAGAAGAAGATGAAGCTACTGAGGAGTAGGCACTTGATGACGACCCACTGGATGAGCTGTACATCGTGCTAGAGCTGCTGGAAGTTGAACTGCCACTGCTTGTCGTCGCATCAAGCGCCATCGGAACACCGCTGCTTTCTACCGCGACCGCCGCGGTACTAGCTGCTCCTGACGCCGCACCTGCCGTGGCATAACTCCTCGAGACAACCGCCGTCGCGTCCAACGGATCGCTTCCGTCCCCGATGTTCGGGTAATCCTGCCTCGCCACCGGTAACACGTACGGCCCCGTGTAGGCCGCGCTGTAGCTGATCGGCTCTTCCTGTTCGTGATATTCTAATGGTGGGACGCTGAAGAGAATACTCGTGTCAAACGGGTCGGTGGTTAAAACCCGCCCGACTTCCGGCATCAAACCGAAGTACATGTTCGGCCCGAGATGCGGCCTGCTCGCGGTTTCGGCGGTCTCGTTGTTTGCGATGGACAGCAACGTGTGAAACACGTCCGGCTGTGGCGTCTTCGTAGTATGCTCGGACGCCGATGAAGCTCCGGTGTACACTAGTCCATGTGGCGCTTTCGTCGTTTCTCCTCCGTTTTCTTCATTCGTCTTAAGAAATCCGTCGACAGAGATTTTGCAAACCGAGCCGACAATGCAGTACTTCTCATTTTTCTGCGGAATCCGCGGTCCGGTCACGTACAGCTGCCCGGCCGGCATGTAGGTTCCCTGCGAGAAAGTCACGTTGCAGGAATAGTTGCCGAAAACTTGGTCGTTGATGAGATCCTGCGGCTCGCAATTCTTGTACTCGGTTCTCTCGTTGTTCAGCCAATTGCTGTAGGTGGTTTGCAAGGCAGAGAGAGAAGCTGCACTAGGTTTGCTGTCAACCGTTACAGAAGTTGCAGTCGTGCTATTGTCTGCTCCTGTGGAGGTCGTGGCGCCACCTATTGTGTCGTTCAACAATGAACTATCTTGCGGCACTTCCGGGTTGAAATACGTGTAGTCGTACGCTTTTTGTGCTTCGTATAGCGCATTTAGTGTTGGTTTCTTCCCGGGTAAGAGATTCAGTATCTCCGAAGAAAATCTCTTCCAACACACATAATACGGCGCGTCCGAAGCCTGCAGCGCTGGATTTCGCCAAGGGTGCGGCGTGAACTGAGCGCCTACTTTTAGAGTGGTTGTGGTGGCAGATGAACCAGAATTGTCCCCCTGCTCGTTCCTACTGCCAACGGTTACAAACATAGCGCCGGTTTCGTTACTGTAGGACACGTCGCCCGCTGCGATACTTCCGCCACTCGTCACTACCACTTGCGAAAAATCGACGACCGACTTCGGAGAGATCGCCGCACAAGGGTCTTTACTGATGAAGACATAGTCGTTGTTGTTTGGACTCAAATCGTACCCTTCCAAATCGATCGTGCACGGCTTCAACCGTTTCTGCGTGTACGCTGTGGTGTTTATCACGACCTGCGGGTACTCGTTGGCAATTTCCTCTTCCGAAATGCCTTGGAGAAACGCATTGTATTTCCGCGGTGCGGACACGGAGTAGTCGTTATTGTTTTCCCCTTGCTCCGACACCCGCAGCATTGAAAGATCCAGACCGGGTAAGACCTGCTTGTTCTCCGTCTCCCCTAAGTTGCAAATCTGCACCCTCTGCGTATCAAAGACCCCGGCGACGTTGATCACTCCCGCGTCGGCGGAGAAGTCTAAGTGCGATTCGCAGATGCTGAAGGCCGGCTCTTGCAGCGGCTCTGGCGGGCCGTAGATGTCGGAGCTTAGCGAGCTGTAAGTTTCTTCTGGGTACACCGGATTGAATTCAGAAACGGTTAAAGGGAGGGAACCGGGGACGATTGTTGTCGTGGCGCGACTTGCGGTTGTAGTGGCTGAAGGCGCTCCTGTCGCTGCACTCGCCGTGGTCTCTCCTAATTCCATCATGGTAGTTCCAGCAGCTGCTCTCACAGTCGTTGTCATGGTAGTCGTGGTTGTAGCCGCTGCCCGGGATGTGGTTACCGGCGCTGCAGTAGAAGTCTGCTGACTGCTAGTACTTGTGGTCATGCTACTGCCATAAGAAGCGGGCGCCGGAGTCGGCTGTGAAGACGAACTAGAGGCGTAGGAAGATGATGAGCTAGAACCCGTCTCAGCACCGTGGTAACTCAACTTTCTCCTCCTCGGTTGTTCCACAAACTGCTGCCCAGCGCTCGTCGTCCCTCGAAAAACACCACGACTTGTCGTCCGGGAAAAAGAAAAACCAGTTCCAGCCTCCGCATGAATCTCCTCCAGCTGTCTTCTGTAAAACCCTTTCGGCGCGACGAATTCTGACGCCGACGTTCCGCCGTCACCGTGCAGTGCCTCGTTGTACCCCAGCGGTCTCGGGTTCGTAATCACGGACGCAGGCTCCACAACGTACGCGCTTCCATCCGGGTACTCCACGGTTCTCGACCCGGCCCACGTGTTCAAGTTGTCGAAACTGGGGGTCACCACCGCGAGTTGCGCGGATCTGTCCCCCGCGTATTTTTGGTACGCCTGCTCCAACGCGGATTGCGTGCTGTAGTACTTTTGGCCCCCGCCCGTGGTGGTAATCACGGAGGATAATCCGGGGGAGTAGACGATTTTATCCCACTCTGGGACCGGTTGGATCTGCCCGGAATTGTACAACGCGTCGTCGATCGCTTTTTCCCGCTGTTCACTACTGTAGAAAGTGGTTTCGGGGAAGATGAAGTTCGGTAAGTAGTCACTACTGTAGACCCTGTCCGGATTCGCATTCCAGTAGTCCCTTCTCGCGTACTGCGTCGGCTGGCGGTGGAGAGCAGCACTGTACCCTCCGCCGTCGATATTGGAAAACCCGGCGAGCTGCTGCTCAGAGCCCGGCTTCAAATAATTTTTTTCGTCGAAAAAGCTCGGCGACTTCCGCGGCACTTGCTGGTTTTCCGGTAGTATTGCAGCAGGTAAGTCTGTTTTCGGATCCAGTCTATCAGTACTGAAGTAGACTATCTTCCCATCCGCCGTGGCAGTTTGGAGAAAATCCTCCTCGCTGTCCGTTTTCGGGCGGTAGTAGGACTGTATTGGATATTTCGTCAAGGAGTACTGGTAGCGGAAATCGATGTAGCGGTCCTGCGTCGCGATCATGGGCCAGCGCTTGAAGTTTCTCACCGATTTTTCCTTCCTCCGCGATTGCGCCCGCAAGGAGCAGGTGCAAACCCGAAACGTGCCCCCCTCGGGGATCTGGCCGGCTTTCAGCGTCGCCTCTAACTTGCTCGATACCATCGCGGATTCCCCGGTCTGGGGGACTGGATCTAAGAGCGGGATGTTATCCAGCTCCAACGTGAAGGTCTTCAGGTGGCCGTAAATGCTTGTCTTTTTCATGTGCGTCCCCGGTTTTTGGACGACAATGCCCTGGAGTTCAATCGGCTTTCCGAAATCGATCTCGTAGTAGAGAACTTTGTCCACTTCGTATTTTTTTGTACTATACGTCGTGTTCGGCAGTGGACCGTAACCGGAAAGCGAACCGTACAGCGTTCCTAATTTCTGGTCCTTAATCGCCAGCCGCCCTAGAATCGGGTCCGAAATTTCCGGTAAATCCGGGACGCAAACAACCGCGGGGGTAACGATGGTTGTTAGCGTCGAGCAGGGCGGGCGCTGGAAATTCGTGCTGTTTAACTTGCTGTCGCTGGGCATTGATCCTGCTGCTGTTCCTGCTCCTGTGCAGATATTTCCACTCACTTGCGACTCCAACCTCGGTAAGTACGGTCTTTGGAAGCTCGCGTACCTGATTTCCCCCGGCGTGTTCCGGTCGGAAACCAAGCCGAAATCGGCCAACCCGCCGAAGCGGAAGCTCGGGTGCTGCTTCTCCCAAGTCAAGGGGTAGAGCCGGACTCTGCGCGTCGCTTTCGGGCCTTCCTTGAACAAATGGAGGGAGTATTCCGTGTCCGGGAGGTCAACGAGGAAGTTGTTGTTCACCCCTATGGTTCTACTGGACGATTTTGAAGACGCCATGTTGCCAGTTGTACTCGCGCTAGTGCCCCCTCCAGCAGCTGCAGCTCCTACCGGATACAAAGTGTTGCTGAGCGCCTTGGTTCCCTCGTCGAAGTAGCTGGTCTGGAAAACAGTGGGGTACACCACGCCGCACTTTTCCGTACTCGGGATCGTCCGGATTCTGTCGCCCTCCTCCACGCCGGACTCCCTCAATTTGTTCAAAAAGCACGGCTGGCCCGTCGTGCACTGGAACACGTTGTCGGAAACCTTCGGCCCGACGATCTCTACCCTCTTGATAAACACGTCGCCGTTCCAGCACAGGGCGTAGTTCCCCGTCAAAGTTGGCACCGGGAGGAAGGAAACGAGCAGCGAGATTTTCTTGGAGGAGTATTTCGTCTGGGTCAGGTTTCTCTGTGGCGGCGGCTGGTACAGGGAGGAGGCTGTGTGGAGGTGAAGATCTTGGGCTGATGAGCTTTCTTCATAACCCCCTTCTTGTTCATTTTTACCATTCATCCTGTAGTGCATATCCCTCTCATCGAAGTAGTACTCTTGCAAATCCGTGGCGTGCGCCTTCCCGGTTTTCTCCCGACAAAGTCTCCTTCCGATGGAGTTCTCCCCGCCGGAGACTTGATACAATTCTGCCGCTTCCACCTCGTTCAAGTCCTTCTCCCGTGCCCTGAACGCGTTCAAATCTTGCGGGTCGGAGATGTGCGAAAAGTAGAAATAGTTTCTCCCAATCTGCGCCCCGCCGACCGTTTCGTTGACTGCGGTTTCCCCCGGGAGAATTTCGTTGTCTCGGATAATGATGCTGTCTGTGGTCTTGTAAAAATCGCCGGAAACCCGGAATTGGCAAACCTCGCCCCATTGACACACCTGGAACAACTCCTTCGGCCCGACAAGGGAAGTGGCGGTAGTTGTTCTTGTGCTGGTGGTGGCCGCGGCAGGTTTTATTTGCGATGTGGCCGCTCCTGTGGCTGTGACAGCAGCTGTTCCGCTTGCTGTCGCGTTTCCACCGACAGTCGAGGTTGATGTCGTCGCAGATGAAGTGCTCCTCGCTGCAACAAACCCGCCCGCTCCCAACCTCGTCACCGACGCTTTCGCGACCCGCACATCCGGATACGCCCGTCCCATCCCGGTTTCGCGTCTCTGCCACCGCATCTCTTCCAAGCAGACACTTGGTCCGTAAACGAAAATCTCGCCGTAATCCACGTAGGAAAGCGGGTCTGTCGGGTCCACCGTCCAACACAGGTGGTAGAACCCGCCCTGCGAAACCACGAACCGCGGCATATCGCCATTCGATGCTGCTGTCATCTCAGTGACAGGCTCGGTGACATTGTGGTAGTAGAAAGACTCCACGGAGGTTAAGGAATTGGGCTGTTTCAGTTGAACCTGCTTCAAATCTGGCGGGTCGCGCCACATCTTTGTCGTGGCAGAAGATGCCATAGTTGTACTAGTGCTCCCGTTCGCACTGGTCATCGTATTTCTGGTGACCTCCACTCCGCCGTCCGTGGCAATCCAGTCGGAGACATTCACTTTCGCCAAAGCGCAGCTGTACCGCTGAAGCTTCAGATGCCCCTTGGGGAAATTCCCGCACTGTAACCGGAAAGGTAACCCTGCTTCCAAGATTTGCCCGTTGTTCAAGACATTGCGGATACCGTGGTCGTATCTCGATTCCGTGTCCGCGATGACCGCTTGTCTCCGGCTTTCCAACTCAGCTGCAGTAAGTGGCGTGTACTGCTCCAAGTGCTTTTTGAAATAGTGCAGGAACGCGTAAGTGTCTTTGTGAATCGAGATGGCTTGCAGATTTTGCCTCGATCCCGGGTAGGAGGGGAACAGAAAATCCTGGCGCCAGGAACGAATTGCGGTCGGGGCGAGAGAGGAGATAAGAGAAGAAGAACCTCCCGATGCTGATGATCCCGATGACATTTGCAGATACCGGTCGTAACGGGGCGGGCGAGAAGCGCCGTCGGCTGAAGAACTAGTCGCGCCTTCTGTACTAGAGATCCCACTAGCTGCCGCAAAATCGTCCTCCTCGTCTTCGAATCCAAACAACCGCCTCTCTCGCAACATACCAGAAGCATTGCCTGTTGTAGTAGTGCCGTTTATCGACGAGGAATTCGCATCTTGGTACTGCTGTCCACCACCAGCAACATCAGAACTAGTTTCGTTAGAAGCTGCAGTCGCGTTGCTCGCATTTTTTCTATCACTATCACTAGCCACCTCAGGAACCGTCGTCGTTGTGGTACTGGTCGTGAACGCCATTTTCAACTTGTAAATCCGGATCCTCTTCCCCGCCAACCTCCGTTGCGAATACGCGAACGCGTCGTTGGACCAGAACAACTCGCCGGTTTTCACCAGCGACTCGGCACTGCCCCGCTCCGGCGACGGCTCGGACAGCAAGCCAAACCCTTCCGCGGACAAAGGCGTCGTGCAACAGACATCCTGGTCGCGAAACAGACCGATCCGGAACTGCACCGACGCGTTTTGCGCCTCGTGGATGTAGTGGGTTAGAGTGTGATACTCAATATCCTCCTCCGTCGCATTCGATCCGTTCGTCGAATTGACGTCAAAATCTTCGTCGTCTTGAAGAACGAGAGAGGACCCTGATGCTGAACTATGGCTGCTCATGTTAGTCGTGTCATTTGAAGCACTAGTGTTCATCATTCCACCACCCATCGACGTGTTAGTACTCGTCCCATTTGATGTTTGTTGGTGCATCGTCAGCACCCTTCTGTAGTCGACGATCCCAACATCGCTGTCCGTGTCTTCATCGAACCCGAACTCGACGAAGTCTTCGTTCTGTTCCAACACTCTTGGTTGCATTTTACTTCCCATCCTGTTCCCAGCTACGGTCGTGTAATAAACCGTCCTGACCCGTCTTGCAGTCTGTCGCGAGATCGCATGGAAGATCAGTTTCGACAAGTGGCGATGCGCGTGGCAATGGTGATGATCGTTGCTCGTGAAGTTTTCGTTTGTTTCTCGAATTGGATTTGGCTCGCGGAAGAACAAGCTGTCGTACCCTGACTTGAAGAGCGGGTTCTTGACCCGGTTGAAAGCGCCAACAGAGAGGTACGGTTCTTGATTCGGCTGGAACAGCGTGTTCGAACTGGTTTCGTGAAGATGGAGCGAACTGGTGTCCTCTGAGTCTGTCGCACTGTTGGCCGTTGCGGTTCCATTTGCGTTCATTCCCGAAACGCCGCCACTGTGAAGTCTCTGCACCGCATGCGACGTGCCATTTCGCGCAGTGAGGTTTCTCTCCTCGATCGGCATCGCGCACATCGATGAGCTAGTGCTGTTTTCGCTCGCCACTCCTGTCGGAAACCCCTCGCCCAAAACCAAAGTCTCCCCGAGCACCAAGTCTTTTAAAGTTTTCGTGTCGACAAACCCCATATCGATATCAAAGTAGAAGTCGTAATACTGCGGCTCGCTTGCCACGTACGCATCGGCGGAGAAGTTCGACAGTTGATAGGTGAAATCCGGCGGCCCGTACGGCACTTGTCCACCAGGGAGGGAGAAAACATTTTTCTTGTCCTGCGACCGGAAGTTTTGGTTCATGTTCACTGTGCCAGTCATGAGGTCTCTTTCCATATCCACCACCTCGACACGCAACCCGCCGAAAAACCCCGGCTCGGCGTATTTGTTGGACACAAAGCTGGGCACGCCGGTGGATCCGCGGTAAAACCCATTTTTCCGCTCCGCATCCACAACTGTATCCAACAAAACCTCATTTGGATCAGAAAAGCGGTGGATCGAATGCGGTCCGTAGTCCTCTGCTGGGACGGTGAGTTTCTTGATTCCATTCCTTTCCTCGACGAAAACAGAACTCGTGTTGTGCTCCGCGTGCTCCCACGCCGGGCCGTCGTAGGAAAAAGCGGAATTGTCCACGGTGCCGTCGATTTGGATCGCGATTTCGGGGGAATAATACCCAACCCACTCGTTGCCGTACAACTCAACTTCGCAGATGTGCAGTGGAATAGGGGACCCCAGGCCGATCTCCTCAAGCAATGGATTCGCACTCGACGCGTTCTGGTGCGCCTTTCCAAACAACCGGAACGTCCGGCCCGTGATGTCGCAGTCTTGGGATAACGCAACAGAAGTTGTGGTCGTCGGCGTCGGGGAGATCATCGAGTTTGTCGCGTTTGTCAAATTCAGCTCAACGAAGTCCGTTTCTTGGACCAACGGGCATGCTTTCGTCCCGTCAACGACTAAAATTGTGTTGGACAGCATTGCTTGCATGTCGAACGAAGTCGTGGTGTCACCACCAGCACCGAAAGAAGATCCACCAGCACTTGGACCGCCAGAACTAGAACTAGAACTGCCAATCTGCCCCTGTTGCGGCCCATGCACCATGATCCTCCGCAACCTCGTCGGCCTGGGGAGTTGGATTTCCAACACCGAGTAGATGAAGGACCAATCCGTCGTTTCAAACCACTTGGTGCTGTTGTCAAATTCGTCCGTGTCATTTATGAGAGTGCACAGCTCGTCCCCCTCCCATTTGTATAGCATGAACGGCAATACAAGCACCAGCAAGAGTGCCGGTTTTGCATGACAAATTTGCACTGGAGTGTAGTGTTGTTTGGGCTGCCAGAACTTGTCATGCAAGCGGTGCCATGAGGCAAAGGCAAAGGGTGGATTGGGTATTTTGCATGACAAATGAGGGGGAGGGGGAGTTGTGCACTGGCATATCGTTTGTCAAATTTGTATTGTTCGGGTCGAAAAACTATGAAATGCAAAAGATTCGTAGTACTCCTACTCTGAGTTGTGCAATACATATACAACTTAGCTTAGCATGACACATGATATTTGTCATGCTGTTTTACCTTGGAAAGGACATTTGTCAAGCATAGTTGCGATTAGGATTACTACGAGAAGTACGATATTATTGCAATGCATAAAAACTCCTCCGTCACATTCGGCTTTTGCGTTGCGGCGATCGCAAGGATCTCCTCGTCTGTGAGGATGCGAGATTTGACGCAGGTCTCCCTATTTCCGTCCACCGCGTTCAAGTCTAGTAAACTGCTGAAATCCGCGGAATTCTTCTCCACCGTCGCGCGCTGGACGATCGACGGCAGCTGCCTCTGCAAAGCAGCCTCGACCACTTTCTCGACTGAGTACGAAACCGAGTCGAGGTCTGTCGGGAGCGTAGTGGAGTTTTGCTCCGCCAAAGGTAGCATCTTGACCGTGGTCTGTTTTCTCGCGGTGACCCACTGCTCCTGCTTCCGGTAGTAGATCGGCTCTTGGCCTCTATCCGGGTTCAGGGAGCTGCGGTCTATGATCTCTTCTGCGGTGAACAGAACTGTTTGTGAATATGTTCCAGATCCGGCGAAAACCTCCCCACCATCGGGATTGTTGTTCATCGCACTTATCACGTTGTTTTTCGTTTCCCGGTTGTTGCAGTGTTCGGTGGTTTTGAACCAAAAGACATTTTCCATCGGGTTCTGTACGAAACAACCGCAACTCTTGTCATTCAGGCACTTCTTTACCGCGTCTTCGAAATTCATGTTGAAGTACGCGTACTGTAAGTCGTACTCGAGATAGATCGGCTCGCAGACCGGGGTGTCATTGAAATTCGTCATATTATCGACTTCTAGTTGCGGGATGCAGTTGTTTTCCGTGTAGTTGCTGTCGTTTGATAGCAGTTGCATGGAGATGGACGTCGAAAATTGGCTGGAAATAACTCCTGAAGAACCAGCAGCAGAACCTCCACCTCCTCCGACGTGAATCTGTGTTGCCTGCGTCGCGCCGGAGATTGAGGAGGAATAGGCAGACGATCCGGTCGCTTGTGTCGTATTTTGTTGCGCACCACCAGAAATGGCATCCAAATCTCCGCCAGGGCCGACAACCTCCCCCACGAATCCGACCATCTTGAAGTGCGGAATCCGAATTTTCGCAAATTCGTCGATCACGTCCGGCCAACTTGTGAAGGTCGTGGTTCGGGTATGGAAGCGGTGAAATCAGGTAGAGTAAAGAGTAGCAGCGAATATCAATTTGCAATTTTTATGCAATGTCTTCTAATGCAGAAGCAAAAGCATGGACATCATCACGGAAACATACAAAGATTGACGCGTTGATTTAGTGTGGTAACATTGCAACTTAACTCGTCTACTGCAACAGAGTGCAAACAGAAACAAGATTTCCCCCGACATAAGTTGTGGTCGTCGACGTCGTCGTGGTTGTCGTTGTGGTCGTCGACGTCAATGTAAATCCCTCCGGAAAAACCGCCAGCGCTAAAGACTCCCCGGTATCGGTCGTCTGCACCAAATCCATCACCTTCACATCCGCAAAACCGATCGCAAAGGCATCCGCACTCGCGGATAACACCGGGTCCGCGGCGATTGCTGTGGTTAACTCAGAGACGATTAACGAGCCAAACGTCTGGAGTTTCGAGTTGATTTCTGAACTTATCGCCTCAGCGATGTTCACCAGTGAGGAAACGGAGAAGGACTCGTCCTGCGCCTTCAAGAACGCGTCTTTGTCTCTCGTATACAGCGCGTCCGGCTCAGCAATGCTGTCGGACTGGCCGACGGAGTTGCGAGAAATGGTCATATCGTACTCGACACTGAGCATCACCTGGGACGTGGAGAGAAGACGCTTGTTCTCTGCGTCTGATTCTGCTGCTTGTTGATGAAAACCTCCGCTTTGCAGCCTTCTTTTCTTCTTCTTCATTTTCTCCTCCTCATGCTCCCTTTTCTGCTTCGCCAAGTCCACCTGCGTCCTGACGACGTCGGATACAGCAGCAGCTTCAGATGAGCCCCCGGAATAGAAGTCCTCCCCGCCTGCAACTTCCGCTACTTGCTGCTTCGCCAACTTCCGCAACACCAGACTCGCTTCGTCGTCCGGGAATAGAGAATCTTCCCGCAGCGGCCGGGCTTCCTGCCGCGTCCGGATTTGCAGGTCCAAGTCATGGTCCGGCGTCGCCTGGTGGATTTCAAATTTTGAAGATAATTTTGACGGAGCTGATGCGAGGTGCTGTAACCCCCCCAAGTTAAAGCCAGGCTGTCCACCTCGTCCTCCTCCTTCCTGTAAAAGCGCCCTCGCCCGCAACGTGGCTAAAGACGTCACGACAATTGGCTTCGTCAAATTGAACTGGTTGCAATCTAGTCCCCCAGCCCCAGTCGCCTGCTGCGTGCTGTTCATGCTGTTCATCGCCTGACAGATCCCCAGCGCGATCGCCTTTTTGAACGCCTGACAGTCGGTAAAATTTGCTTCCAAGCTGTTCATCTTCTCCGTCGTGTCGCAATTGTCACTCACCCCCGCTTGCAGACTGACCGCACCGGAGAGGACGATGTCGGAGACCGTGCTCATACTGACGTTGATAAACCGCAAGTCCGCGTTTTTGTTCAGCAACGTCAACGCATCCTGCTCTTCCGCGATTTTGACAAACGGAGGGGATTGGACGACAATGGTTGAAACCGACAAGCCCCGGTTGCACAGTTCGTAGATCCCGCGCGGGAACCGGTACTCAATCACCATAGAAGTCATCAAATCCGCGGTCAACCCCGCGTAGTACGTGTTGTTCACCTTCACAGGGCCGCCGTACTGCGCCAAGTCTTCCGTTTCCGTGTTGGCCAACGGTTTCGCGCCGTTCATCAATCGTATCGGGTACTTGCACGCTTTGCACTCGGTTTGTAATTCCGACAAGCACAGGTCGACGAGGGATTGTCCGACTTTCATGTTTTTCCCCAGTAGCTGTAGTTTTTCCAAATTCCCAGCGTAGGGAAAAAAAGGCGCTTTGCCGATGCTGTCCGCAACACCGAGAACGCCGTTGATCCAGAAGGTACCGATGTCGATCCAGTACGTCGTCATATCTTCCTTATCGGTTGTCCAACAGGCACGGTATTCCCTGGCGCGGGTTTTGGACCCCTGGAACAGGCGGTAGTCGACACCAGCAACGCCCGTCCTGACCTCATCACAGTCATCTTTCGGGGAGATGATCACAATGTCCCCGCCGGAGGGGAGAACTTGCGCGTGGTGGGAGTCTGACTCGATCAGGGACTGTATCATGTCGGCAAAGGTGTAGGGCTGTTTAGTCTCCTCTCCTGTTGTTCCCTGATCTACTCCTTCCGATGGGGCACTTTCATGTGATGTCGTCGCCATAGTACTAGCACTTCCTTCTCCTCCACCAGCCGGCACCATCATATCCGGGATCGCGTGGTGCGGCCTGTCTGCGACCAGTCCGTCATACTCGAACGGTCGCAGGATGTTCTCTTCCTGACTCGCGTAGTTCGGCGTCGGGCCGTGGACGTTGATTGCCGCAACTTTGACCCAGGACCGAGAGACGTTCGCCCGCGCGTAGCAGATTTCGTAGTTCAGAGCCTCCATAAACCGGATATCGAAAGGGTAGATCATGATCGATCCGGGCTGGTCTTGCCCAGCCGCGCCGGCAAGTTGCTGACTGACAGTTGAGACGTACCCGGGGCCGGAGATGTGTTTGTCGGCAACAACTGTGAGTAAATGCAAATCCGTGGATTCATCAAAGAAGTCTTTCGGTCCTAGCGCATCTGTTTGCGTCCTGAAAATCTCCCCGGCTGGAGTCCTCGTCACGTTGATCTGCTGTTCGGTGGTGGTGTTTTGACAAAGAACGGAAGAGGACGACTGTTCTGAACTGTTTGAACTGTTCGCAGATTCCTCGTCATCCGACGTTGTACTGGTGCAGTTACTTGTTGTGACGTTCTGCGTTTCCAAATACGTCTCCACGTGCATCTTCAGCAACCACTGCTCACTACTGACATAGGACACCAACTGCTGTTCCGTGCCGCTTGTCGGGGTAAACCGGATTTTTTTACTGTGCGCCTTCGTCGGGTACCCACAGGGCTCCCCCGCGTCGACGATCTGCAACTCGTCCGAGCTCCGCAGATTGGTGCCGTGCAACACTAACCGATACGGGACACCAGGTAACACTAACACTTCCTGATCGTCCAAAAGCGTCGACACTCTCGTGTTGTAGCTGTACGGCATGTGCTTGGTGTTCGTCCGCATAGCACTCGTCAAGTTGTAGGGGTCGACCAAATCGATTCCGTGGTAGAAGGGACCGGAAAGTGTGAACTCGCCGAGGAGAATTCCCATCCACTTCACTGTGTACCTCCCCCCATAGAGGATTTTCTGCATGAAACTGCTCTCCTTTCCGGTTAGTTGGTAGTTGACGTCGTAGTGGTTTTCGAAATTCTCAATCTGAACGATCGCATTCTCGCCCACATTGTAGCCGAGAATCTCGATTTTGATCGGAAGACCGGCGAGGAACTCGGCGTCGACATTTGGTGAAGATGAAACAGCACCCGGTCCCTGCTGCAAAGCCGCCTTCTCCTGCACCGAGATTTCCAACAAGTTCTGCGTGTCGTTGATAAAAAACTCTTTCGTCACCAACACTTCCGCTTCGATCTGCTCGCCCCACAGGTCCGTCCTGGTTTTCCGCTGGTACTGCGACAGTTTGAAACCTATCGGCCCGTCGACGTCGAGTCTCCCTGCCTCGATGATCCCGTTCCAGCAGAGCGCCAAATCCCGCACTCCCAAAGTGAACACCCCGGCCGACCAAGTTCTGGTCGTCGGATACGCGGCGTTTTGGGTCGGGATCACGTTTTGGAGTTGGTAATTGGGAAAAGAGAAGTCCGGGAGGTCCTGCTGCATGCTGTCCTCCTCGTCGAGGACGGATAAGGTCGAAAAGTCAGCGGATTGTGTCGAAAAGTTCATATCCACTCTGCGTTTTTTCTCCTTCGTGTACCACTCACAAACCGTTAGGGGAAGAGGCTGCGGCTCGAACAGCGCCAAACCCGTTAGATTCGCCGTCGCGTTGAGCTCGTCGTCTTCCTGAAGTAAAAGGAAAGAAGAGGTGGTCCCGTTGCTGGTGCCATTTGACGAAGCGTTTGGCGCGTTTGTCGCGTTAGGGTCATGATCCTGCGTACTAGCATTGAAACCTGTGCCGTTCGTTGTTGCGTTCAAATCTTCGAAAAGGTCCTGCTCAGACACTGTTTCTGTTTCGTTCGTCAAATTCAGTTTTCCCGTGTTAAATTTCACCAACTCCAACTTCCCCAAAAATTCTCCAAACCCAGACAGCTGCAAAGTGCACTGGAAAGACGCCCGGCACACGTGCTTCTGCTTCAAGTCCGGTCCGAAGAGCTCGAGCTCCTATCAAATGTAAAAGTGTCTGGGTCTGGAAAGTTGGAACTTGTAATGCGTGTCATGCATTCCTGGAAAATCTGTGTTGCATGAGCAGCAAAACGGAGGCTTTCTTTGTCATGCAAAAACGCAATTTGTAATGCGTGCTAGGCATCAGCAGACCTCTCAAAAACTTGTCATGCTTGGCTGCGATTGGAAGCGCTTCAATCATGCGCAATTCAGCATCACAAGTTTCCAGACCCAGACATTTTTACATTTGATAGCTCCCCCTTGGAGACGAATTTCTTCCCGAATTTTGGCGAATTGTCCCAGGAAGAGGATATCCTGAGTAAAAACGTACCCACACCAGAGCTGTCATGCAAATCTGCATGCCAAAAAAGTTTGTCATGCGGAGCGCAATGAGAGGCATTTTCTAGTCGTGTTTTAGAATTTGTGATGCTATAATCCGCATGATATACTAGATCTGTGATGCTGCTGAACTACCTAAACAGGATTACACTACGAGGAGAAACTTGTCATGCCAAATGACCAAAGCTGGCTGATTTGTCTAGCAGATTTCCCATCTTGACTCTGGTGTGGGGACGTTTTTACTCAGGATAGAGGAAAACAAATCCTCATCGTAGAAATCGTAGAGCGATTTCCTCGTCCCTTGATTCGCCGCAATTGTCAGCGTGTTGTTCTCGTCTGTGTTCAATACCGCCCCTATCAAGTGCAAAAATGTCTGGGTCTGGAAGAATGCAACGAACTTGTGATGCTGCGTTTGGGTGTCTAAAAATATAGTAAAAAAATTGTGTTGCATGAGCAGGAAAAGGATTCTAATTTTTGCTACGCAGAGCGGCACTTGTCATGGGGAATAGGCATCAAGAATCCTTCAAAAAACCTGTAATGCTAGGGCATGCATCACAGACATCATGGCTCATGCAAACCGTGCATGACAAGTCTCAGAATCTTCCAGACCCAGACACTTTCGCATTTGATAGCCCCGGCTCGCCAACAAATCTCGTACTCCCCGACAATCGCCGACATGTTGGTTGTGAACGGCGACTCGTAGAAGAAGTGCACCCCGGAGCAGTCGCACCGCTCAAACTCGCAAGACCTTCGCGGTAGGCAGACCTCGCAGTCGCAGGGGTTGAGCCAGCCGGTGAAGGGGAGATCCGGTGGAGGGATTGTGGAGGTCGTGGTAGGGGCGTCATCTTCGAAGTCATCAGTCGCGTTGGTCGCGTTCGTTTCGTTCACTTCTGTAAATTCTTCTTCTTCGTCGGTGATGTTTGTGCCATTTGTCGTATTCAGATCATCCTCCTCCACTCCTGTTTCATTCGACTGGTTGCTCGTGGAAGTGGCTGCGAGATACCGGACAAACGCTTCAAAATCGTCGTCCGTTTCTTTTGGTGGAATGATTTCCACGTTCTCTGGGTGTGGTAGTTCGAAAATCCGGTCCGGGCCGGTGTATACAGATGACGCGGAGTTGTCAGATGTAAAATCAAGTTCTTCGTCAAAAAACAACCGTCTGCTCGTGCCGTTTTGCACCTGTACCAGGTGAATTCCAGCGCCGCTGAAATTGGTTGCGAAAGTACTGCTTCCGTTGGAACTCGTAGTTGTCGTGTTTTCCCCTAGGGAAGAAGATGTTGGCCCAGAGTCGTCGTCATCAAACAGGGAAGATAAACGGCTTCCAGCGCTGGCGTTTGTGGTATTACCGGAAGATGATGTGTTGAAAGCGCTGAAGTCTTCGTCTTCATCCAACACCGAGGTTCGGGAAGTAAACGTACTTGTTTCATTAGTAACATTGGTCGCATTCACATCAATCGTGCTATCGACCACAGCCGCCTCCTCCTCCGGCGCGGAAACCACCGTCGTCGTCTCCCCGTCCACACTGACCGCCAGCACCGACAGTTTCGCTGGCGTGACCGCAGAAACGGTGAAGTCGCTGGCCAGCGTCGTGTCGTTCGCCACCAGTTCCACGATTTTTGCCTGGAGGACTGTCGCAAAATTCCCCAAATTCGTGTTCAAATTCGTCGACAAAGCGTTCGCCTCGGCCTGCGAATCCATTTTTACACGGTAATTCACGTCGAGTTTCACACTCGACGCCGCCAGTCTCCGCTTCGCCGCCTGCTCCAATCGGACAGCGTTGGACGCCTGCTCGGAAAGACCGGTCAGGGAGTGGAGAATCTGGTCCAGAATACTGGAGGCGGTGGAAGACGAAGCTGAAGCTTCCTGTTCCGTGGAGTCTACAACTTCGTCGTAGCTATCCGCCGTCCCAGCTACTAACTGCCGCCGCGTCGTTGCGTTCTGCACATTCACCGACGTCAAGTTCACAGTATTACAGTCCAAAGTCGGCTGCCCGGATTCCTGCAACGTCGTGCACAACCCCGTCGACAACGCGTTCTTGAAAGCTACACAAGTAACCGAATCAGAATTCATCTCTTCCGTCGTGTCGCACGCTGAGGAAACCGCCGCGGCCATCGCGAAACTGGATTCCAAGAACGTCAAGGTCGTGTACCCCACACAGACCGCCTGGGCGTGGAAAACGGGTGCGCCGTGTTTTGAATTGCACTTGCCAAAAATCGGCTCGTACTGCTGTAAAATCGGTTGGTAGAGGGTTGTCATGAGGATAGACTGCTCAGAAACATCAATATCACAAGTAATCTTCCCGCCACACAGAGCATTCAAGTAGTCCACCATCGGCGCGACTTGCGACGTGCACGCAGCGTCATTCAAGGCGCACGAAGATTTGTCTGCTTGTCTGCACTGACCGTAGAGGGTGCTCGTCGTATCCTCGTTGCAAACGCCGTTCACTACCCCAACGGCACCGAACGTAAAATTTCCGATCACGCCTGTGAAAGTCTGCCCAGGGACTGGATTTTCGCAGGAAAATTTTATCGTGTCATTGATTGCCTGCGCCGGTTGCGCAGACACACACGCGTAGCCGGCAACCGGCGCGGACGAGGTGGACCCAGAAGTCGTACTACCCGAGGACAGGAGTTGCACCGTCACCTGTTCTTTCACCCCCCGGAAATTTGCCACTGCCGGCTGCTTCCAGGAATCTGTCATCGAACAGCACGGCCGGAGCTGCTCCGCGTCGGACCTCTGCAAAATGCCGCCAGCGTTGTCGTAGTGCGCGACTCGGTTCTGCTCGTCCTTGTAGAAATTCTGCAGCTTTCGCATCACGTCGCCCTTGTAGCACGTTTTCGGCGCCCAGAAAAAACTGTAGTATTGGTCCCCGTCTAACTCAGGTGGAAGTTGACAGGTACTCGACCCAGACCGGGAATTTTTTTTCCTCTTCACCACTTCGGCGTGGTAGTGGTAAGCGACTTCGGCCGTCGTGCCGGCGCTTGAAGATGTTGTTGAAGATGCGCCAGGATGAACATCAAGCACGTGCGCGTGGCCGCCGCAGCTGTCTAACGGCAAATCATAGCCGATCACACCGTCGTCCACGTATCGGCCAAACACCGGGAACCCATCTAGCGCCCAACCGAGCTGAAAGGTGTGCGGATCGATCTTGTCGATGTAATTGTGCCTCGTGTACAGACAGCCGTACGGATCGCCCTGGTACCGGTACTGCCCATTGCTGTTGTCCACGTTCCCACCACACCCGCCGACCGAGCACTGCTCGACCGCATAGCAACCGGAATCCGCGTCGAGTGCTGGGTAAATCAAGACGCCCTTTGTCGTCACCCCGACCGGGCCCTTGTCGACGGTTTTGGAAGCGGTTGACGCGTCGACATTTGTGCCCGTCGTCGCAATCTGGTAATCACTGGCGTTGGTTAGGTGGGACAAGGGGATCTTGATCGTGTAGGACTGGGGTAAGGAAAATCGGGAAACGCAAGAACTACTAGCAACACTGCTAGCCGAGCTCGTTCCCGACGGCACCGCCGCCAAGCCCGCACTGTGAAGCGGCTGCCCCTTGCTGAAGAGGACCAAGTGGTTGTCGGTGCAGTAAGCCGCAACCATGTTCGACTCCGTCTCGTTTCCCAGCAGTTTGCTCAGTTCGAGTTCTGTGCACAG